TATTAAACGTATAATAATTAATATATAATTTTAATTTAGCTCCTTTCTTTGGAATAAAAAAAGAATTCCCTACTAAATTAATAAATAAATAAATCTATCCCTTATATAACCCTTCCGCTAATTATTCTTAAAATACTTTTAATTCCTTAATATTAAACATATAAATAAAACCTTAAAAAACGGACTCTCCTTCAATTAAATTAATATAATATTCTAAACGGTCGTACTATAATAAAAATATAATTAACGCTTTAAATACTTCGTAAATTCTTTATACTCTAAAAAGATTATCGGTTTAGCAGTAGCCGTCTCCTCCTCTTCGGGTTCGGCGATAAATAACTTCGGAATTACTAATTCTAATAAGGACTTTAATAACAAATAAATTCTATTTAATGCAACTTTAAAAACTTTAAAAAGTATATCTGGAAATATATCAGTAAATATAAAAGTAAGTATATTAGAAGAAATTTGGGGGAAATCCGGGATATTCAATAAGGTTAAAAATTCTATATATAAAAATAGAAGAATTTTAAAAGGGACGGTCAAATACAATAAGGGGTTAAAATTATTAAAAGATTTTAATATTTCTTTCGGGTCTAATATAGGGATTAAATCCCAATGCAGACTATAGAAAAATACTATAATTTTACAAATATTTTTAATTGGCTCTTGACTCGTTTCCAAATTTTATATTTTAATCTAAAACCGGAACCTCTTCTAACGCTAATCGATTTTAAAATTATATTCGCACAACCAAAGGTAACCGAAAATAACGTTTACACTAAATAAATCTATATTTATAAATATAATCTTTTTCCTCCGCTTAGTATTATAGGAATCGTATATTTTAATAAAATAAATAATTAAACTACATGCAAAAATAGATTAGAAAAAGAAAATTAATGAAATAATAATTTATAAATTCTATTTTAGCGTCCGATAAGAATAAATACCTTCTAATAAAATTCTCTATACCGGAATTTATTAAACCATAAATTTTCTACTAATTTCTATATATTTTTACTAATAACTTCGTATTTAAATATAATTATAATATACCCGCACTTCCTTAAGCCGAAGTAATTATAATCTTTACCAGTATTACTGGATTAATATTCGTACTTTAAATTAAGGTACTATAAGGAATGGAATATTAATATAATATATAGCCTAATTTACTATAATTATGATAAATATATTCAATATAAAAAAACGCCGAATATCCAAACTTACTATATTCGTAGCAAATACTATATAATGTTACTACCCGGTACTAACCGTACATATATCTAAACTAACTACAATAATAATAAATAATATTAGAATTAATAGAGATTATAAAGAGAAAACGAAAGAAATTAGTAGAATCAAGAATAAATATAAGAATAGAAATAGGAATAAAAGTAGGAAGAGAAGAGGGAAAAAATAAATAGGGATATAATACTTAAGGATATTAACGCTATATTATTGATTCCAAAATTTCTAAACTCTCTAATCGCTCTATATACGCTACCGCTTTAATTAATATATTAATACCGTTCGCCGATAAACGCTGCTATACAAATAAGGATATAAGTGGTTAACTTATTATAGGACGTATAAATATTCTAATTATTCGTAGGATAAATTAAAGTTTTTAATATAAAAACGGTTATAAAACGTACGAACGGTCTCGGTAATACCTTACTATATACGTTTAAAATTAATAAAAATAGAATATTTAATAATTTAAATATTACTACTATATTCCTTCTTTAAAAAAGTATATAAATCTTTCTAAATAAGAATGTTATAAATAGGATCGTAATTAATCTTCTTCTTAAAGGCTATAATATATTTAATCTATACGTTCTTAAAATTACCTTTAATATAATTAATAGCGAAAAAGGGGTATTTAGAGGTATTTAAAATAATAATTATTGATATCGAAAATAAATCTACGTAATTAAGAGGAATTTTCGGTAATACATTTAGAGATATTAAATTTAAGGTAATATTTAAATAAAATAATAAATTAAATCGGCTAAATAAATACAAAAATAATAAGTATTATAATTTAAAGAGTAATAATAAGAATAAAGAAAGTCGAAAAGCGTACTTGGTTATAAAAAAGATAATCCTAATAGTAGAATCTGAAAGGAATGGGAAGGTAATTACCGAATTAATTTTACTCTAATAAATCTACGAAGTTATTTTAATCCTAAAGAAATATATCAAATAGGAAGTAAATTAAAAATAGTTAAATAATTACTATATAAAATTCGAAGAATTTTTATTTCTATACTATAATATTGTTCTCCAAATAATAGAAGGGATTATACAAAACGTATAAAGGGGCAAAGGAATAATTACTATCTAAACTATCGTCGTTTATTTTCTCGACAATTAATTAACGATATTAAAATAAAAGAGGAGGTTATTATTAAAGGCCATCGTCGACTATAATAAAAAGGATAATAAATAATTCTTATATACCGGAAATAGAAAGAGGGGTTTCTTTAATAATCCGAAAAATAAATCGTCCGCTACGTATTTATATCCTATTAATAACGGTTCAATTCCCGCAAAAAGAACTATCAATGTATTAAAATCGTAAAAAAGGTAGATTAAAGTGCCTATGGATAGTGCAAGTACGTAAGGGATATTAAAATAAAGGGAAGATTAAAAATATATTAATAGCTAACCTCGATAATTTTAGAAGCGAATTCGACCGGCTATTTATATCGTTATAAACTCTATCCTATAGTAGCTAAGTCCGCGACGGCTCCGAACCGTTCCGATGCCACACTACAGCGCTATACTATACGAACATCGGCGCTCCTCGGTACTAGCACAGGTCCAACGCCTAACAAGTCCCTAGCGACCTGACACCTAGAAGCATACGGTACGTACCTGAAATGGAATCAAGCACCTGAAGAACAGGCTGTAAGAGGAGGAAGAGTGCCACAATTTGCCCAAATCCCATACTCATTTTCATCTTAGATATCCGCCGCATACAAGGAACTATATTCCTCTCTCCAACTCTTTAAGGCTCGGTAGAAGTAGTACACGAAAAATGCATTTGCCAACAAGAGAGCATTATAAACACCAAACGGTTCGCGCGAAACGAGAACAAAGAGTCGTACAAGACTGGCGCCTGCTCCCTAGGGAACTCCATTTTATACCTAGCTCATTAACAGCAATTGCCATAACGATCTGCACAATTCCACTGGTCGTTGGTGATGTTGTAATAGACACGGGTGGATTGATTTCCGTCCTCTGCCTCCCTCCAGCAGCGAATGAAACTCGGACTCCATGTTGACTATGCAAATTGAACCGTCGAAAATTTTGCTCTTCTAAAGTAGGAAGAGATTTGAGGTGGTCAGAAGAGGTAGGTATTTAAACCGAACATCATTTTCGTGGTGGGGGAGAAGGAAAAAAAGATGAAATCAGCTTTACAGTCCCCCTCCTTCCGCCAAGACTGCACAGGTGAATGAGTCCGGGAAACAGCGGCATGACCTACTGGGACCATATAAGCACCAAAGTGTAGACCTTCCACCACGGTCCAGTAGCCTACGTGGTAAGGCGCTGGGTCCAGAAAATGCGTTGGTATTTTCGTAGGTGCCATCTGGCTCGTGTAGAGTCGACTCATCCCGAGTTCGATTCCGAGTCTGATCGGGATGAGCTTTTTTTTTGGGTTTTTTTTTTTGCTTTTCTTCGTCCTTCATTTTCTACCTTAATTGCGTCATATCAGGCCAGTGCACCTAACGCAGTACAGCCCAACTAGATGTTGCCGAAAAAAAGACAAACAAGGCTAAAACGGGAAATGCGGTGATCGTCCTGTCGTCGCCATCGCATCGTTCGATTTAAGAAGCCTGCAGTAAAAATAAAACAATGCTTGCTTAGCTAAGGAACTGTTGAAGTGGGTTGAGGGTTCGTACCTGGATCGTCGTTGGTATCTTTGACGTCGTTTGTTATTGTGGTATTAGCAAACGGTAATAGTAATAGTAATGGTAAAGTAAAATAGAAGTAGAAGGGTGAAGTCAGAAAACTAAGTTCAGTTTCCCGCGCGCATGATCCCGCTTCAGTTTGTAGACTAGGGCAGAAGGCTGCGACGAAACTGAAAAAATGCTCGACTGGTTCAGTTGTCGTCCAAATGAAATTTAGAAGAAAAAGAACATAAGCAGTGGAGATTCCCACGGCAGGACCGAAGAAGACGTTCAGGGGTCTACGAAGAAAAGGTCGTAACTTCCTGTCAGGTCGCCTGGCCACTCGAGGCAGGCACTCTATGTCTCGCCCCTCACTTCCTTCTTTCATCCAGCTTTCAATCTCCTTTGTTCCTTCCTAAAGCGACTAGAAAAAATTGGGCAGGTGTTGTATGTGCTGCGTCGCTCCCTCCAGCTGTTGCCAGCGCTGGATTATGGACAAGCTTGCTGCAGTGGTTGCTTGAATGGGGAGGACATAAAGTCTGGCGTATCAAGTGCAGATTTGACCTGTGAACTCTCTTTGTGGGTGGGCGCCCTGTATCAAACCTTGCGACATCAAGTTTACAGCCAGGAAGTGTTGGGAACGATAGTCGACAACATGCTTGGTATTGGTATATTGCTAACAACCTCAAACCCTCAAATCCTCAAATCCTTCTTCCTTCTTCGATAATTCTTAAGTTCAATGGGAGAAAAATGACCTCAAAGTCTCTTTCTCCTCGTATATGTATCTAAACCACCAACAAAGAACAAAAAATCATGAAAAGAAAACAACACTTGGTATGTTTTTCCGCCTGCCTGCCTGCCCCCACGCGCCCAGCGTATACCGTCCGGCCTCCCAGAGAAATTTCAGACAGAAATGAAAAAGGGAAGAAGGGCAAGAAAAGAGAGAAAAAACGAAGTAGAGTAAAGAAGAACTATATAGGAAGCCAGCCGATATAGATAGAGAGAATTAGAGTTTAAGAATTTGGTGGGTATTTCGGGGTATTTCGCATCGTTTTGCCTTTTTTTCTTTCTTTCTCCTTTCCAACACAGACAAACCAGCGACGCTCAATGTTTTTCAGTCATAGAGGTAGTCATCATCATCCCTTGCGGCACCTCCGCTGCAATCAATGCACTGCTGAAAAGGCCGCAACTAGCGACGAGTGTAGACGGGGATGTTCCGACGAGGAGGGGGGCCGCCGCCGTTCTGCTCGGCGTTGTTGGTCAACTCGGCGACGCGGGCCTTGATGCGGGCTACGCGGGATTCGATGGCTGTTTTTGCATGTTAACGTCGATTACACCTCTACTTCTGAATGACTGATAACTTACTCTCTTCGGTACTGCTATACCCATCCAACTCAATCCTCGCTCTCGGCGGTTGGAGACTCCTCGCGCCATCAAGCGGCTGTCCATTGCCATTCGTCTTCTCCTCTTTCAACCTTTGCGCAGCGCGCTCAGCGGCGTTCTTGCGGATCTGAGCCCAGCGATCCTGGGGGTTGGAGCTAGCCGGGCTGAGCGAGACGGGCTCGGGGCTGTTGGGGGTGGAAGAGATCGAGGTCTCGGAGGCGGTCACCTGGGAGATGGGGCGCTCCCTCCTCATGGGCTTCTGCTCTGCAATGTGGACGGGAGTAGGAGCAGGAACGGAAACGGGGGCGCGGACAGCAGCGGCTTGCTGTTCCTCAACGCCTTCGTCCGAGGCAGAATCTTCATCGGGGATGAAGGCGGGTTGGTCGAGCAGAGGACCCTGGTTGAACTGGTTGACGTGCTCCTGAGGCGGGGTGACTTCGGTGGAATCTACCTGGTAAGTCTCCTCAATATCCTGCTGAGGCTGCTCGTAGGTAGGCTCGGCATGGACAGGCTCAGCGGCAGGAGTGGCAGGCAGAGGGTCAGTGATCTCCTCACGGGGAGTCACAAACTGAGTTTCCTCACGCTGCATGGGAGGCTTCTCAGGGGTAGCCGGCTTGGGCTGTACGGGGACCGGCTTGCGAGTCTGAGCCTTTTCGTTGTTCGCGGCAAGCATGGCGTTGAGTTGAGCAGGCGTGTTATCAGCAATCTTTGACGACCTCTTAGCGCGACCAAACAGCTTTCTGAGACCGCCTCCAGTGGTCTTGTGCTCCTTGTGAAGCTTCTTAGACTTCTTGTCATCCACGGGCTCTGGAGAGACCATCATTTCACGGATGAAGTCTCCGCTCTTGCGGACCAGGTCCATGCTCTTAGACTCCCTGGTTGGTGTAGCGAGCGGAGTCTCCCGGCTGGCATTCGAATGGCGTTCTGCAGGATGGACCTCCTGCTCCGTCATCTGCGCCTGTCTCTTTCCAGAGTTGACCGTGTTCGGCGTTCTGGGATGCTCTGGCTGTGAATCCGACCTCGGGGACTGGACAGCCATCTGAGCTGCCGACTTCGGTGGCAGTTCAGGAGCACTCTCGGAATTATCGAGCATCGAGCTGTAGTCATTGCTAGGAGCATAAGAAGAGTCGTTAGTACCGCGGCCAGCGTTCGAGTCAGCCAAGTAGGCCTCGCGAATCGCGTCACGGTCCTGGTCGTACTTGTTGGCCCACTGGACAGCTGGCGATGCGGCGTTCAGAATGCTTGGTTGAAGGGTAAAGACACTACTCGTCTTCTCGGCCATTACTTCCGCGTCATTCCGTCCACGTCTTTGGACAGTCTGAGGTTGTTGCGACTTTTGCTTCTCCTGCATTTGAAGTTGGTAGGCAGCGGCCTGAATCTTGGCCTGCTGCTCCGGGCCAATGCTTGTCTTGCTGACACCAATAGAACCAGTAGTGTGGCTTGCCTTTAGGTTTCCGTCAGGCTTTTCGAGAGCATTCTTGCCGGATATCGACTTCCTCCTGGTGAGGTTCTTATTGCGGCGAGTCCAGCTAAAGAGACCCTTCTTCTCTGCGATATAGGCACCCTCAACGACCTCAGGAGCAGCCCCTTTGACAATCTCCTCCATGACAAGCCAGCGCCCAGCGCGGATAAGAGTCTCAATCACTGCGCAACGACCAAAGGCCGCTTTCCTCCCAGGAGTCTCCTCGGGCGCCAGACTGCTCATCCATACCCACCAGAAAGCGTCATCGAGGTCGAATCTCGTAATGCTGGCAAGCTCACCGGGCGCCAGAGCGTCGTCGAACCTGGGCTTATGAGATTGAGAGCTCTTCTGGCGGACAGTTGTCTCAATGGGCGGCAGAATCTTGTCAGGCGGAAGCAGAATGTTGTGCGAGCTGGGGTTCTTGTCTTCGAATCCCGAAGACAGGAAGTCGGCCCACGAAGGTGTTGTAGGCCTTCCCAGATCGTCGTTAGCTGCAAGCTGGGCTTTGATGGCCTTTTCGCGTTTAGCAGCCAAGGTAGCTTCATCATCGGTGGAATCCTCCTCGATTGTGCCTGAGAAGCCCATGTCCTCGAATCTTGACCACGAAGCATCTCGAAGACTAGTCGAGTGCTTTGTGCTCGAAACGGCCTGGGACTGATTCGCAGCAGAGACCGCTCTAAGGACTCTGCGACACTCCTCAGTCAAGGCCTGAACCGGGTCATCGTACTCGGAATATTCCCTTAACGCCTTATCCTCCTCGCGATACTGGAAGTGATTTGCTCGTCGGAGAAGGGCAAATGGCGTAGGTGATACTGTCTCGACAATCATGGCAACTCTGTGGGTAGAGGATTGCAACAAGGCCGGTCGCTGTGGTGGGTATTCGGTTTCCTGCAAAAGCTTTTGTAGCGACAACGGGAGGGTCGAGATGGCGCCTAGAGTCGGAAGGGGGGCTAAACAACGGAGATAGGCGAAGAACAGATGACTCGTCGCATCAGCCGCCTTTAGCCACGATTTGTAACCTCCTTCAAAGCCCTGACCACCGTCGTCGTGTTCAAATGCCCACCATGCCGCCATGCGGGAGAGCTTTCGGCCTCCGAAACCGTTCATTTTACCATGTGCTGCAACGGCCGAGAGTAAATCGAAGAATTGGAAGATGATTTCGGTTCGGGCCCTGTTATCGACGCTCAGGGGAATAAATGTCTTGAAAGAGTCTCTGGCCATGTTGGAATCTTGTTCGCCGACCTTGAACAACTCGTATGAATCCCAACCGACGACACCTCCTTGCAATCGACTCCAGCACCACTTGATTACACCAGAAATAACCTGTACCACCATGGTCAGCACGTATTAATCGTAACGACTTGTCCTGTCGGGAAAGCGCACCATGGGCTCGGTCATGCGCAGCTCCTGCTGGAGTGCCTCTCCGCGAATCGCTGGGCCGCCATTTTGTTTGTCGAAAAAGTGTCGCACAAAGGTGCGAACGGCGCTGGGGTCGGAGGTCGGTCGGAAGGGGAGCAGTAAAAATGGGATATCGAGAGCTGTTTTAAGAGAGAATTAGCGATTGATCGGACGAGAGTCGGGATGCACAGACGCAAAGGGTAGGTGCAGCATAAGCCAGGTAGTGAACCCCCAGGGGTCCAGATTGATGTCATACCTCGCGACTTGAGCTCCTCGGTAGAGAGGGTGATCAGCTCAACCACCTCTTCGGGTTCAACGGTTGTGCGAGTCCAGGCGTCGGTCCATTGGGGTCCCTTGGGCAGTTGCTCGGCGAAGGAGTCCAAGTCGGCGCCCTTTTTCTTGGACTTGGACTTGTCCTTGTGCTTGAGGCGGGAGAACAAGCTGGACATTGTCGTTTACTTTTTGGGCGTGTGTTGTAATTTGTTTGCTAGTCGAGGGTTGCAGGGCGAGACATTCGATGTAAGAGAAGAATAGCCGAATGCGCGAGGGTATCAGGGGCGTATGGGGGTATTGTATTGCTGCACCAGCGCAATTGAAAGAAGAATAAAAGATCCAAGACAAGACCGACTGGCGATGATGAAATGGACGAAAGTCGAGGTGAGAGATGGGAGAGGACGGCGAGCAATTGGCTGGTCTCGGAGTTTGGGAGTTGGAGGCAAGCGGTCAAAGGTGGGGATGGGGATGGATCCTGGTCCTGGTTCCTTGTTGTCTATACCGATTTGCAGGAGAAAGGGGAATTCCCGTCGTGCCGGCAACCTGACCTCGAGGACTAAGGTTGAGAATGGGAGAGTGAGGGAAAAGAGAGGGAAAAGGTGATTGGGAAGAGACTGGAGAAAAAAGTTGAATGGATGGATGGATGGCACCGGTGACGAGTGGCAGAGACGAGACCGAGAAGCGGGAGCGAGTCTAACCAAGGGCCAAGTACATAGCCCAGAGAGAGAAGCTCTTCAGGGGTTCCCATGCCAATGGCTTTGTGTGATGCCTGCAGGAAATTGGTCGTGACGGTAATTAACATCCACGAGCTGTACATACAGATGCAGTCTGCAGCACATACCGCATCTACTCGCGAGAATGAGTTCAGGTTCTTTCTAGTCCAGGAAAACGCACGTTTTTCTTTCCTTATCAAGTCTAGTTCCCGCTTTTAGAAAAAACCGGTCCTAATGAGTAGAAGCATTCCAAGGACTGGCAAACTACCTTGGCTTACCTTTTCGAGGTCTAAGTAGCTCTCCAGCTTCGGTGGATATCCAAAAAGGAACCTTGACAAAAGAAGTCTGAGAGTGCCGAACGGTGAGATGGCGAGGATGACAACTTTGCTTTGTCCACTTGTCCAGCGTGATGAATTGGTTGACGATGCTGGTCGGTCCCGTAAGACACTGGCCTGTGCGCGGTGGGTTCTCTTTCGGTGCATGCCGTCCTTGAACATCTCTTTTCAGGAACGCCATTTCCTCAAAGGGGGAACGGCTGAGCGCCCAGTCTCGTAAAGCGACGCAAAGTGGTGAAGTGCTCACATGCAGACTGTCTTGTTTTCCAAGGCACGGTGTCCTAAAATGAAGTCAGGTTTGGGTTTAGTCGATCCGGGGCTGAAGTGGGCTTGATGGGCTTCCTGAAATGACGGCCCAATCCCAACTGGGCGCCCATGTCCTCTTCTCAGAGTCTGGAGGACGGGAGGCTTTGAGCTGATATCACCAACTACCATTCAGTAAAATGAACTACACGGCACCGTGGGGGAAATTGTCATGGGGGTGACGATGGCGGGGTCATTTGTCCCTTCAGCGCCTGTCTCGCCTCGGACAGCGCTGTTTCGGACCAAGGCTCCAGCTCCACAGCGACACCTCGCTTCATTACCCTCTACTACTCGTGCAACACATCATGGTTAATTCTCGGCAAGCACCCGGCCCACAGATGAAAGCCGAAGCCACTGCATTCATATTAAATTGAAAGGTGCATGGATGGCAGTTATCGTCTTTTTTGCTTTTCAGACAACAACATTCAGCCCATTTCACCCTCCAGACTCTCCTGTCCGTCCCCTCTCTCGATCTCCCACGCAACACAGCAGAATCAGGAACAACGACGTACAGCATCAGCAGTACTGCATCCAAATCACAGAATCGGGCGTACTATGGTCCTGTCGTGTAACTGGGAGGAATCAAGCGGTTCGCCTCCGCGCCTTAGAATGCCGAGTACTGACTCGCAAGCTGTGACAGAGACATGTCAAAACTGTCATCCCATCACCCCCTTTCTTTTTCTGCTCATCCGATTATGCCGTTGGCGACGAGATTCTTCCTCTCCCGCTCGCCCCGGATACATAGAGCATGAATGAAAAGCTGCCACCTCATCCGTCACAAGAGACCATCGATTTCGCGCTGCCAGTGGTCTGCGAGGTCGATGATGGACGGTCCGCTTTGGAGACCTCATTGGTCGTTTGTTTTAAGCCGTCCTAAAGGTTCTCTGCGCTGGCATGGCTTTCCTTGTCAGGCCTGGTAATCCTTGTTCATCAATACAGGTTGCGGAGCCGCTCTTTGAGGCTATCTTACAGTTTCTCTTTCTTGTCTCCCACGTTTTCAACTCTTCGCCAAAGCTTCCACCTTCTATGGAGACGATATGCAACGACAATCACCCGGATTCTCAGCACTAAAGAGCCTAAAGAGCAGCGTTGTCTGGGATTGATCAGCGTTCGCCCGTCCGCCCTGACAACAATGCTGCACGCCATCCCATGGAACCTTAAGTTAAAACACCACTCGTTCGTTCTCCCTTCTCCCGTCGATGCCCGTGTCCGTTCGGAACCGCTGCGCTGGTAATTATCTCTGCGTTTACTGAAACACGTTAAGGGACTCTCTTACCATTCAGTGTTATCTTCCTGCTCCACCCAAGATTCATGTTTTCCACCCAACGCTTTTGCAATTTCTTCTCTTCAACCCTCTTCTCTTGGCTTCAATGAGCTCCAAAGGAAAAAAGAAACACCAGCCAATCAAACACCAGGACTGGGCGGGTGACTTACCCCTTAGAGGAACTCCACTGGTTCCTGAGCTTAGGGGATCTACGGCCTAATAACCGAGGCGTCTAGGTGTGTCCCTTGTCCCCTACCCATATGCGTTGTTGATCATGAAGAACGTTGAGCCAAGGGTTTGTCGAAAGAATATTCCATTGTGTGTAATTCTCGTCCTTTGCGCGTTGATTAAAAGGCTGGACAATCAACCGGCGATCAATCGTTAGAGCGCCTTCTTAACCAAACCACCAAAGTCAGACACCTCGGCGACTTTGATCAGTTGAGCTTTTTTTTTTTTTTTTTGCTTCAAAAGAGAGCCATGGAAAAGAGGTCGAGCCTAAAAGTCAGGGACAGCTCACTTCCTCGACTCTTCGCAAACACGATCTCGCACCCAAGACAAGGACACTACACGGTGTCCCAATCGTCACTCTTCCACGTTACCAAACCATCGCTTTACGCGACCTCCCTCCCGTTCACAAACTGGATGGCTCAGAGGTTAAGACGGGAACTTTATTCTTCAAAGTGAAAGATAGCGTCGTTTCCATAAGCTTGTTAGTGGAAATCGACATCCGTAAAGAGCCATCATCCTATGCGACCGCTCAGCAAAGGTTTGTCTACCCAAGTCCAGAACTCCAACCCATGTGTGTGTGGGCTTTCTTCAAAGACGCTCTCGGAAACGGCTTTGATCCAAGTCTTGGTTGGTGGTCAACAACTCACCTCAACTGATGACAAGATCTCGGGGACCCCGGTGCTCTCATATTCATTCCAAGACATGCAAAGTGAACACCCGCTCCTCGTACAACTCGGTCGCCTCTCCTCTAGCTGGGATGACGTGCGTTGTGTACGAGTGAGTGTGTGGTACAGCACCGAGTTGCTTGCAGGTGGAGGGCAAACAACGATATGGCGACAGGCCATGACTGGTTACTCTTCAGTTAATCCGGAGTTTTCAGTTTCTCTCAGAGGCTCTTGGATAAATGCTAGAAATCGAGCCGGTCTTTAGTCATGTCAGCGCAAATGCCCGCGAGTTAAAACCAAAGAAGGCTCAACCCAAGTATATAATGCATACGAACAGACCGCTTAACGACTCCAAAAGCTCTCAGTCCATCAACATGGTTCCTAAAATCGCAACTAAGACCTCATGTAGTGGTGCGAGAATAAAAAGGGTGCATTTTGTACAACCCAACCTCGGCGATCTCGGCATTCAGACGAGGGTTGGGCGGAGAGAAGATGCGATACTGGACAGTCAGCGGTGCCGGGCGCAGGGACCTCCACCTCTTCCGTAAAGCCCGGCCGGATGTCGTTTCAAGTCCGCCGAAGGAAATCGGAGCAGCAGTCTGCCATAGAACTTGCTTTAATTCCAACCTCGTGTGCAAGTGTGGAAGGGTGTTGGTTGGATGCACGTTGCGAAAAGTGCCTCCTGATAAAGAGAAAGCAATTCGAATGATGTCAAAGGGAGAAGATGCAGGCCAACAAGGTCCCCAATCCCCGGCTCCACCACTCGGCCGGCAAGCGCCCGATTTCGGCGGCGTCAGTGACTCTACTCCACTCCCGCTACCCGGCGGGGCCAGCTCCAATGCGTTAACGGAGCGGATCCGCTTTCAACGGCATCGGTGGGGCCGACTAGGGTCTTAATTGAACGATGACGCCAAAAGTCGCGTCTTGGGACTGTAGAGAGACGTGGTTTTGCTTTTTTAGCGTTGTTTGCCATCGAGGGACTTCACCTGACAACATCAACAAAACTTGAGAAACAAACGGAGGAAGGAACACTACTTTTTTTTCTTCCAGTTTTTTTTTTTTTTTCAGTTCAGGCCCCTCGAGTTTGAATATCCGTTTTGAATCCGTCATTTCAACAACGAACTCTTTTTCTCACTCCATCAAGTGAGAGTTCAAGACGTCCTCACCTCAAGATCATCTGCAATAGTAATCACGGCTTCAAGGAACCCCACGGCCTCTTTGGGTCATCTTAAAAGTCGCCGTCTTTCAACCCTCTCCTACCACCTCAACCACACCTACAAACCACCACCATCACCACCATCTCCAACATCCAGAACAATGTCCACCCTCAAACGCAAAGCCGGCTCCTCCCAGCCCGGCTCCTCCGACGCCAAAAAGCCCAAACAAAACGGCAACATCATGTCCTTCTTCGGGGCGCCCAAGCCCGGCGGTCCTCTCAATTCCTCTCCCACAACCACAACCCGATCGACGACAACCCGCAGCCAGAGTCAGAGTCAGCTCAGCAACGGCAACAACAACAGCAACAGTAGCGCTAGTACTAGTGCCACCCCAGACCCTGCTACCGTAACGAGCAAGTTCAACAAAGAGAAATGGGTAGCCTCCCTCACTGCCGAGCAACGCGATCTTCTCCAGCTGGAGATCGACACCCTCGACGAGAGCTGGCTAGCCCATCTCAAGTCGGAGATAGTCACCAAGGAATTTTTAGATCTCAAACGGTTCCTGAAGAAAGAATGGGAGAGCGGTAAGACGATATTTCCGCCCAAGGAGGATATTTACAGCTGGTATGTCTTTTTTCTTTCCTTTCCCTTTTCCTTTCCCTTTTCCTTTTCCATCTTTTTTTTTTTTTTTTTTTTTTTTTCAGAAATTTTGTCCGATCCCGATCCCGTCCCGTTCAAATTCAAGCTAACAAACCCCTCCCACAAAACAAGGTCCCGCCACACCCCCCTCCCCACCGTCCGCACCGTCATCCTCGGCCAAGACCCCTACCACAACCACAACCAAGCCCACGGCCTCTCCTTCTCCGTGCGGCCTCCCACGCCCGCCCCTCCCTCCCTGCGCAACATCTTCATCGGTCTCACCCGCGACTACCCCTCCTCTTTTACTCCCCCCCCTGCCAAGGGGGGTTTACTTACCCCCTGGGCCGACCGCGGCGTTTTGCTGCTGAACACTTGTCTGACGGTGCGCGCGCACGAAGCGAATTCGCATTCCAACAAGGGTTGGGAGCGCTTTACCCAACGGGTTATTGATTTGGTTAATGAAAGACAGAAGCGGGGAGTGGTGTTCATGGCGTGGGGAGCACCGGCGGGAAAGAGGGTGAGTAAGGTGGACGAAAAGAGGCATTTGGTGTTGCGGAGTGTGCATCCCAGTCCGTTGAGCGCGCACAGGGGGTTTTTTGAGGCGGGCCATTTTAGGCGGGGGAATGAGTGGTTGGAAAGTAGGTATGGGAGGGCGGGGAGGGTGGATTGGAGTTTGGTGGAGGGGAGGAGTGTGTTTGATGATGAGGTGGTGGAAGAGGAGAAGAAGAAAGAGGTGAAGGGTGGAGAGGAGGAGGAGGATGATGAGTTTGAAGGTGGAGAGATCTTTGATGAGGAGGGGTTGAAGGAGGTTGAGGCTGTTGTTGAGAAGGTTGAGACGGGGGAGGGGAAGGAGGAGGAGATGAAGACGGATTTGTTGGTGAAAAAGAAGGAGAAAGAAAGTGATGAGAATGCTGTTCCTGAAGAGGAGCAGATGGAAAAGATGGAGGAGGAGTGATGACTAGGCGTTTGGATGGGCCATTGGCTTGCACATATTTGTCTGTGAGCGCTGGGTTGCACATGTTGTTTATACCCATGCGGTTCCTGTGTTGCAAGGAGCCAGTTTTTGATTGGACATAGGCGACGTATACTATATGCTTCGGTTCTTCAGGGTCGGTGTTCGGAGTTATGCGTCATTATTGTTCTTGGGTCTAGCTCTGGTGAGTTTACATAGAGCATCAGGGATAAAAAGGCGCTCGTCATAGTTCAATGAAGCAAAGCATGAAAGCAACCTAGGCCACGATGTTGAAACCATGTAAATATGATAAAATTTATATGTATGTACCGGCACCTTTCTAATGCCACCGGATGGTCATAATAGACAACAACCCCCTTATATCACTTTTACTCTAACCCCCTACTACCATCTTCCAGCATATCCTTCTGTTTCTCTATCCCCATTCCTAATCTTCACCATACCCTAAAGAGACATACATTACCACGATCCTACTACCCCTTCCAAGCCAACCACCCAAAAACCCCCACCACCATCCACGCCACCCTCCAAACCGTCGTCCACAACTCCGTCACCACCACCCCCATGGCCGTCTTCGGCTTCGGCTTTTTCCTGCTCTGCTTCGCCCTCCACTTCGAAGAACTCATCGACGACGTCGCCCCACCATAATAAAGATCCTCCTCATTTTCTCCAGGGATCTCAATCCTCGGCTCATGATGATGTCCATGCTTCCCACCCCATGACCATCCTTTAGTAGACTTATTACTATTACTGTAAACACTCGATTTTCTACTTCTTCCACTACTTCCTTTCTCATGGCCGCCATTTCTAGGACTAGTTTTCCTCAGTGAAGAAGAACTGACTGACCCGGTCCTGGTCATCCGTCGTTCTCCCGAAGTGCCTCCTGAGGAGCCGTACTTGGATGAGGAGGCCGAGTACCCGGCCGAGGGGAGGGTGTATTCGTCGTAATCTTCTTGCTTGGCTTTGAAGACGGGGAGGATGGAGATACCACCCGGGTGGCTGCTGTCGCTGTCCAAGTCAAGGGCGAATCTGGGCAGGTTGAGGACGGGCACCAGAAAAGCGCGGATGGCGAGGAGGATCACACAAAAAATGCCGAGGCCGACGTAGTGGAGGTAGGTGCTGATTTGGTTCGGGAGGAGGCAGAGGTGCGTTTGGATGGTTGGTTGGCCGTCACCTGCCAAGGGCTTGCCGGTCACTGGGTCGAGCGGGTTGTATAAGCTGACCATTTGGAAACCGGGGGTGGGGACGCCCATGGCCATGCTGATGGATTTGACGGTGATTTCGCGGACTGAACCTTGGTTGGGCGCGTGCACTACTTCGCAGTAGTCGTGGTCGTCGCCGGAGAAGGCGTGGATGACGTTGCCGATTTTCTCAATCAGGCTTATGGACTGCTTCTCGTCGAGGACGTTCTGGTATTGGTAACCACGGAACACGGAAATAGCGTTGCGGTGGTCGGGGATGACCGGCTCGGTCTGACCCTTTGGCGGAAGTGTAGGGGGCCAGTGCTCGCGCTTCGGGCCGCATGGGGTGCCGGGTGGTCGGTAGAGCGGGACGTGGGTGAGGAGGACGGTCGGGAGGTCGGGGATTTTCTGGTTATTCTCATCGTTGACAAGACGCGGCTGATCCTTGAAGTTGGCCTTGTTGAGCTCTTCGATGCGGTGGTGCAGTTTAACCTCGGGAACTTCTCCCCTCAGATACCGTAGCTCCTTCTCCACAGCCTTTTGCATCGTCCACTTCACCTGGTTGATAAAGTGCTCCGTCGGTTTGTAAATAGGCTGTACATCCTGCCTGGCAACCTCCGACAAGCTAGCAGCGCTCATCGACACCGTATCGACCGAAACAAAGGTATGGTTTCCAACCACATCCACGCGGTTTCCCTCGCCAAAGTAAGCCTCGAACCTGTTCCTCACCGGAAGCTTGATCTCAGCACCAAATCCCAAGTCGTGGTTCCCGGGTAAGCTGGCAATCAGTTTCCTCCTCTTGTGCTCGTTCTCCGGCTTCTGCCCCGCCTCAAGCCACGGACTGAAGAAAATCTCGCCAAACCTCGCGTACTCCTTCAACCAGTAAAACTCGTTGTACTTCTTATTCCAACTCTTTAGGTATTTCTGCTCGTCTTTCGGGTGCGGACCCCATTCCGGGTCTCTAAAGTCTCCACGTGCCGTCTTCCACTCCCGTCCGCCGTCGAATAGGTCGCCTAGGAAGAAGATCGTATCGGGATCAAGTTGTGATTGCATTTGCGTGTAGGATCGGCGGATGTAGTTATCGACAATCGTCATCGTCAACGGGTTCAACGGCCACGGTCGTCCGGGGTACGAATGGGGGTCGATGAGCTGGGGATCGGCCACCAGAACGAGGTGGTGAGGGTTCGCGCCGGCGGGCTGTTTTGTTTAAACCACATCATTAGCTTTTTCCACTTTCTTCCACGCGGTCCACGCAACACAACTTTTACAAAGGTCTTACCCATCTCTCCCACTTCCCCCACTCACACTCCTCCACCGCCGAATGAAACACCCATCTCTCGCCCCAAAGCAAGACGACAATCCAAGCCGCCACCAGCAAGTGCGGGAAGCTGAACAGACGGTTATACGTCAAGTTCATGCGCAGCCGCCGTCCGGCATTGACGATGGCCGCCCAAGCCATGAAGCGACCGCGTTCCCTCCAGAAGCGCCAGGCGGAGCGGGACGAGTGGGCGAGGAAGGCGCGCAGGTCGTCGAGAAACGAAGTCGAGTCGGAGCGGCGGTGTTTGGGTTGGAATGATGAGCTGCTGCTGTAGCCGTAGCCCCCATTGCTACTATACGATGGCGCCATGATAGGGTGTCAGTGTAGCCATTCCCGGTTTGTGTCGGGTTGGGGGGAAATGGTTTTTGTTTATGGGAGGAGGAGATTGGAGTTGGATGTCGAGAAGCCAAATGGAACGAAACGAAACGTGGCAAGGCTTCGGTGTTGTTGATGTGGGCAATTCAGGGGTGTTTTCCCACTGTAGCGGAAGTGGAAACCAATGGAGCTGCCGTTCTAGAGCCGCGGCGGGAGAGTGGAGTTGTGGATTCCCGCGTCTTTGCTGTGGTGGAGTTGCCGCCTTAACGCTTCCTCAGATCAGGGGGTATCAGCACTCCACTATCAATCTGCAATGACGATGTTGGAAGTGGAAAGCAATATCGAATTTCAATGGAATTATCACAACATCAACTCAACAGAGTTGTTGTTGTTGTTGTTGTTATGGAAACATTGACAGTTCAGCCGCCGCCAACGAGGCAAAGTCTCAGTCCCGCCCTCCAGCCTCCAGCCTCTCGGCTTAAGCGGGGCCGCCTGACCACTCAGGAGTCAGGAACAAAGATGCAAGACATGACGCCAAAAAAAACCACCCGAGTCGGGTGTTAAGGCCCTTGCATTTATAGAATGAGAAAAGGGCTTTAAAGCAGCCTCGCTTTAGATACTGCAAGTTTTTGTGGTTGGAAAAGAAAAAAGGAAAAGGATCCGACAAGCAAGGGAGAATTTCGGATCTCGGCATCGATGCATGGGTGTGCTCTGTTAAGAAGTGGGCTGTAATGACGCGGTAACACTAACACTTGCACCAACCAAAGACAAGCGATCGAAGCGACAAGTTGAAACGCTCTTGGATAGCCGAAACACCCACGCACTGGATACCAATCTCTTATTTTCAATTTCAAGGGTCCTGGATATCTTTTGGCGAGTATGTCTTTTTGTCCCATCACATGCAATGCGTAAGGTATGTATACCAGAAATAATTATTGGCAAGCTGCCCAGCCCAGGGGCAGGGTAACGACACCCGGCACCAGCAAATGCAACCAGCGTATTCGGTCCCTTGGAAAGCCGTGCCGGATGGCCGGGAGAATCGTGGGGGCTGTTTTTTCACTTTCTCTCACATTCTCACACACATCTTTCACATTCCGAAATTCCTAGGGTACCCTGTCCAGCTGAAAAGTGAGTTCCAAGCAAGCGGATTTTAGTGCCTAGCACACCGTCACGGAAGGAGACTCCCGAATAACGTGGTCATGGGGTTACCCTGCATTTAGTTGTGGTGTGGTAGGTACTTCTGATCAGGGTATGTACTTTGGGGTAAATAGTGGTGTGGTTATGTTCAGATTTGGTCGAGCTATGTACAGTGTGCTCATTCTAAGCAACTTGAGGGGAAGTATGGACAATGAAAGATGAAGAAGTGACCGAGGCATTCAATCGGGTCTTCACAAAAAAGGTTCAACTTCCACTCAGATCTAAAAGACCCAAGTAAAAGTCTGCTTAACCTCAAACGGCACAGAATACCTACACCAACCATCACATTAGCAATCAAGTCATCATCATCAAAAGAGTCACGAAAGAGCATGATGAAAATGCAGGCAGGGTAAAAAAACTCACTTGATATCCCCCGCCGAACTCCCCACCAAAACCAAAAACCTGCCCTCCTCCGCCACCCACCCCTTCCTCTCCGTATCATAATACCCCACCGCATACTTATCCAGTTCGATCCTCACGTGCTTGGTCTCGCCCCTTTCCAGCGTCACCTTCTCAAACGCGACCAACTCCTTCTCCGGCCTAGGCAGTCTGGACTTTTCATCCCTGACGTACACCTGCACCGTCTCCGCGCCGTCCAGGTCTCCCACGTTGCTGATGGCCACGCACAGCTCGATGACTCCATCATTCTGCGTCAGTACGCGGCTGGATAGAGAGGGGCGGCCGTACTCGAAGGAGGTATAGGAAAGACCGTGGCCGAAGGGGAAGAGCGGCGCGATCTTGGAGCGGTCGTAGTGTCGGTAGCCGATGTAGAGACCTTCGCCGTAGATGACCTCGAGGTTCTCGCCGGGCCAGTTATGGTAGGCTGGTGTATCTTCGAGGCGCTTGGGGAAGGTGCAGGGCAGTTTGCCGCTGGGGTTGCGCAGACCGAAGAGGACGTCCGCGAGGGCGTTACCTGCTTCTTGGCCTTGGTACCATGCTTGTAAGATGGCAGGAACGCGGTCAGCCCAGGGCATGGTGACGGGCGAGCCGGACTGGTTGACGACGACGGTGTTGGGGTTGGCTTTGGCGACGGCTTCGACGAGGCGGTCTTGCGAGCTGTTGTAGGGCAGGTCCATGGTTTGGCGGTCGTAGCCCTCGGATTCCCACTCGGCGTCGAGGCCGACGATAACGATGGCCACGTCGGCAGAGGAGGCGGCGTCGATGGCTTCTTGCAGGTAGTCGACTTGGTCTTCTTCCTTGAAGCCGATGCGGCAGCCGCCGTAGCGGTGGGTCATCCCCATTTGCTTTTGCTTGGTGACGGGCCGGAGCTCGTTGGTCATTTCGACACGGAGTTCGACGGGGCGGTTGGCGTCCATCTCGACGTCGACGAGGTAGTCGACCGAGCCGTCGAACATGGCTTCGCCTTCTTCGGTCCAGTCCCAGAGGTCGAGGGAGAGCTTGCCGTTGATGTAGAGCTTGCCGGGGCCGACGGACATGTAGGAGATGGTGTGCTTGCCCGAGTGCTTGGGGGTGAGGTAGGTGGTTGCGACGGCAGACCATTCGGGGCCAGTCTGTGCGAGAGGTGCGGAGTCCCAGAGGAAGAGATCGGTGTTGGTTCGCCGCTGAATGGTTACGGGCTCGCCCTTGAACTTGTCACCCTTGAACCACTCGATTGTGACACCGGGCTTGCCAGTCTTGTCGGAGCAGTAAGGGGAGGCAACGGGGAGCCACTTGTAGATGTGGCAGCCCTGGGCGTATGTGACGGGCTTCTTGGCAACCTTGCGGATGCTTTCAAGAGGGAGGGTGGTGTAATAGGGGTTCAGGCTGGCACTTCCACCACCTCCAGCGATAGCTCGGTTGGCATTGGGGCCGATGACGGCAACCTTGGTGGTCTTGGGGTTGATTGGAAGAATCGAGCCTTCATTTTTCAGAAGGGTGAGACCCTGAATACCAGCCTCACGGATCAGCTCCCGGGTTTCCTCTCTGTCATCTTCCTTTTCCGCAGCTTCGGGTGTCAGATCGCTTCCTTTTGTGCGTTCGACAAGAGTGAGGACGTTCTCAGCCGCTCTGTCAATGTCAGCCTGGGAGAGTTCGCCCTTGTTCAGGGCCTCCATGACCTTTTCATAACGCCATTTCTTGGAGTGGGGGAACTCGATATCGCAACCAGCTTTGATGGACTCGGCGGTAGAGTTGACACCACCCCAATCGGAGATGACGGCACTGTGTCGGTGTTAGTTGATCTTGTAATTTTCAAGCGGGGTAATGATTGCCACTCACCCATCAAACTTCCACTCATCTCGAAGAACCTCCTTCAAGGTGTGAGTGTTCATGTCAGCGTGAACCCCATTTACGAGGTTATAACAAGACATGACAGCCCATGGCTTGGCCTCGCGGACGGCAATCTCAAACGGCCGTAGGTAAATCTCACGGAGTGGCCTTTCGGCAATCACGGAGTTGACTGTCAACCTGTTCGTTTCTTGCTCATTACCAACAAAGTCTGTCTTATGTCAGCTTTATACCTCTTCGGATCAATAGACAGATGGAACTCACGCTTAATGGTAGCAGCCACACCATTCTCCTGAAGACCCTTGATATACTGAGCGGCAAGCTTGCCAGTAAGAAGAGGATCCTCAGAGAAAGACTCGAAATTTCTTCCTCCCAAGGGATGCCTGTGCATGCAGACCGTGGGCGCAAGGAGAATGTTGGCCTGGCGAGCCTTTGCTTCCTCGGCCAGATGACGGCCTACTTCGCGGAGGAGGGCCTTGTTCCACGTGGCGGCCAATGAAATACCGCAGGGAAATAATGCAGCCTATTTGAGGATTAGCACCAAATCAAAATTGGCCAGCTTGATGGCTCTGAACTCACCTTGGTACCGCCAACAAAGATACCACCTCGGGCACCATTGGGTCCATCACTCGTTTTAACTGCAGGGATATTCTTCTCCGGGATCGACTTTGTCCTCCAGAAGTCCGCGGCAGTTAGGAGGGAAATCTGTATCTGTCAGCTTGCTGCCGGTCCCTCTCGAGAATATGTCGAATGTCGTACCTTCTCCTCCTGTGTCAGGCTTGCCAACTTCTTCTTGGCCAGGAACCTCTTGTTCTTCGGGACGGCCACCTCCTGGAACGGGCTTCCCATGGGCGAGAACTCGGTATCGGGCGTGGTGTTGCTGTCGGTGCTGCTGGAAGGGGAGGCATTGGTATCGATGTCCCGCTCGAATGGGCCTCTCCCAACGGCGATCGAGGAAAGTGAAGTCATGCTGGCTGATGTTGGAGTCCGCGGTTGAGAGCTCGGTATAAGAAGTCTCAACGGATAGAGCGACCAGTGAGTCGTCGAGGGCGGTCTATCGTCAAGCAATCTGGAAATAAGCGTTGTTCCAATACGGAGGGAAGACAAGGGGACAGATAGAACAGGTGAGATTGTTGGTGTACGCTACATGAATTCAAACTGGGAAGAGACGGGTAGTTTATACAACTGCCCGGGACTCTCAACCGGGGAACAGGTGGAGCGACTCTCCATTCTGACTTCCGAGGATTAACCGCTCTTTATGTGAGCATGCCCGGTGAGAGCATGGGAAGGAGTGTCATCAGAGTGCCAGGCTAGCTCGGGATGGTGGGAGTGGGCCGGATGGGAGCTAGGTCTATTGTAGATGGACCGAGAGGTGTTGAGGGCTTGCTTTTGTGACCTTGATGGGCTGTAGATTATTGCCCTCGGGTGGATATAGCCATATCGGTAGGGACGGACCGTATGAGCGGGTGGTATTGGTGAGTATCGGCCCAGGGAGAGGTACTGTCTGTCAGTCTGTCTCCATGGTTATATTGCATAGCTGCATCCTTTGTCTTGTGCCGAAGTGATGGGCATTCAACGGGGTTAAATACCAGCAGGAAAGAGGTTGTAAAAACATAATCTCCACGGTTTCCTAGCGTAGAGCCAAGCCTGGGGTATCCGCATGCTTGTTTGCATCACTTGATGCCAAGAAAGCTCTTGAAGGTTGAGACGGCATCATATTGCTCGATATCTCTCACAGTCGCTTTCGCAATTCTCTTGTCCGTGATGGTCCTTTGGTGGTCAGATCTAATGGTCGGCGACTTGGACGACGTGCATGTGTCTCTCGACCAACAGGTTTCTGGGCTTTGCACATCGCTAAGATTTGGCGTCTGGCGTGGCAATATCTCGGTCTCATTCAACGGCGTTTCCGTTGCCCGTTGCTACAACGTTGGGAGGCGTTGAGTCCTTCCAGTCCTATCGTTAGGTCGTTACAACCCTTGTCCTTTGACTACCTTGTCGATGCGGAGGCAGGGCCGGCTGAGTTGTTGTTGAGAGTTCCATTGCTTCATGATGCATCGTGTGGAAGTGTTCTTGCACTAGCGAGCCGTGATTTATTTCCTATGGTGCAGCGCGGAATCATGCTCGACTTGACCCTTTGTGTGGTCATTTGAGACCTGTAGGTATTCCGATATCGACCGGCTTGATGTTGAAGTTGAATTGGCGATGGATGTTGACGAAGCAACGAAGCCGGACTGAGATTCCACAAGGCGACCAAGTGTGGAGATGGGGTTTTCGATTTGGTGGGGAAATGGGAGAAGGACATGCCAAGAAATGTGACTTTAAGCGGGGAGATGCAAGTAAACAGAACTTAGCAGGTGGCTTATTCCGTGACCTTACATCGGCTTCCCGGGCCGTCTTCCTCCAACACCGCCGTCTTCGACTCCAGAATTTGGGATCCCATTCGACAATGTCGATTCCGGACGCCCTAGCATTACCGGTGTTTTCCCGAGCCACGATTTGACTCGTAACCTCAGACGGCCGTCTCCACGCCGAGGAGTGTCGTCGTTGCCCGTCAATGGAGGAGCAGCGTGGGTTATCGAGCGAGATAATCCATCATGCCATCGGGCCGTTCGCGGTTCTCTTATCCGGCTGCTCGAATACCCGGGCTTTCTGCGTTCGCCGGTCGTGGATACGGGATATACGCAAACTCCATCTTGGACATGTCGAATTTGCAAACATCGAACTGCAGAATGCGGAAATGCAGCCAAGCCCCGACACCTTGGCGGCTCATCCGACTTCCAGGCGTCTGGAGCACGTAACCAGAATCGCTTAGATGCAAGGTGAAGGGTTAAAGGTGTCTGGCAGTCATACATTTGCCTACTTACACCTGCAAAGCGACGGACAAAACTCCCGGCAAGTGTTCAACCCTGCTTCTAAGCCACTCTGAGTTTCCCGAGATTCTTCGGTATACTCGATTTGGTGTATGATCTGGGCTTGTTCCCTGGAAGTTCCCCGATCCGACGACATCGAGCTTTCTTTGTTACATTTGTCGCGGTTGGGGTTCCAGTAGGGGTTACCACTCAGTTGATTGCTGCTGTTGGTCTGTTTCAGGAAATCATGAGGTCGACACTCATGGTTGTTGTTCATTGAGCTGATGCCAAAGAGAGAATATGGTTTGTACGTTTTCGAGTTTGGAAGGATATAAAAAGAAACACCTAAACCGAATCAGATCAAGCGAGTCGGAGAAAACTGCTGATTTCCAACTGAAGTCTTGTTTTCTCCTTCCGTCAACTTTTCTCAGGTCTTTCACTTCCCTTGAAACGCAAAAGTGCGGAGAGGGAATTGATGCAATATCAGCAGGGGCACATTTGATATCAACTGGGGAAGGCGCCAGGGCTTCTCACTTCTCACTCACTCTTTGGGAAAGAACACAAGAAGTTTCTTCGACTTTGAATCTGAAAAGGGAAGGGACACTTTACATGTGTCCAAACTCATCTAACATACACCGCCCATCCAACTTCCTCGAGCCTCATCAACACTGCTACTCTACACCACCGCATCATCATCTCCTTTCGTTCTCTCTTTGCGAGCTTCCCGACATTCCGATCTCAGGCTCCTTTCCAACTTCGCTTCACAACATGGTGTCGATCTTCGCTCAATCCTCACAATCAAGTTACACAATCGAGATCCAAGGACTCCTCGGTATGTGTCGCCGTTGATGGTCTCGAGAGGTCATTTAATGTGGACGTGTCTTTACGTACGTGGCTTGACAACATCGAGATTCCCTTTTCCTTCCCATCGCTTGAAGGCGCGCTTAAAGTCATCGCCTGCAGATTCCCTCAAGCTACCCTCCACTTACACTCCTCCCCATCACGCCGAACCGGTTTCCCATCCATGATCGGAATCATACATCCTCTACATTTGTTTTTTTGTTAATCGCAGAATCCATGTGTATAAAAGCTCGGTATCGGGGAACCACAGTGTTCTAGCCAAAACATGGCCGCTGATTTGGGTCTGACTGGTCATGAAAATGCCACCTCGTTGAGAGTTCTCGACGAGAGCCTCACTCTTGGTCCTCCTCCTTCTCCCAATCACATGGCCGCCAAAACTCCACCAACCAACACCACCAGAAGCTTCACTACTGCAAGAGAAGCTTTCAAAGTCGTATTCGCTGCATAGGGCCAAAGTTGGCTTCGGAAATGTCCCTTCCACCCTCTTGCATGCTCATCACCCGGCCTTAGTTTCCGCATGTCACTATCCCATGCACGCTAATGACGGTGGCATCATGAGGGTCATGATAAGATTTCCCGGGACGTGGGGGTTATCGACCGGTCCGAAACATTTGAAAGGCTTTCTTCCTCCCATTACCCTGTGGCCACTTTGTTTTCTTCTGGCGAATATCTGCCGAGGTTCATCGTTGGTCAGGACTGCGTTGGACATCATTATCAACAGCGAGGCTTTGTCTGGCATCTACAATACCCAGCCCATAAGAAACGGTCGTTCGGGAGATTCTGCCGAGGGCAGCGTGGTAGCGAAGACGCTTTTCCCACCCGGGGGTACTGTGGCATGTTAGGCGCCGTTGGTTCCAAGATATCCTTGTATGTTCAACGTCATAGACCCCCTTCTTTGCAATTACACCGTGATATTGTCGCTCGTCCTGATATCCACTAGGGTCCCCAGCGCCTGTGGCTCCAAAACCCAGCTCCGACTCATAAGTCAGAGTTGTTGATGTTAACGTACCGGACGTCTCATCAAGCACAAAGGGAGACGGAACGACGTCCCGAAGCTGGCCAATCCCTCCAAGTCATTTTACTTCCCTCGAGGTTACCTCTGAGCTGTCGGTTTGATGCCTAGAGGTATCCAGCTGCCTCAAGCATCGACCCTCTTTTGATTGACAGCCAAAATCCAGTCATTTGTTCTCTGGTCCGCTTTTGTCTTCCCCGCAGCCATTCTCTCAGAAGGGGTAACTCAAAGCCACCTACGGAGCTGCCGGCTCTATACCGTTCGCTTCGAAGTCAAGCGAGATATCTGGCGAGGCTAACTGAAGCGGCCACTACCTTTTGTTTTTCCCACGTTACCTCAAGTCGAGGAGCTTCCCCGAGACGCGCTTGTTGGAAGTCGGAAAAGGGAACCGATAAGCGAGCCATTCGCCTTCAACACAGTTGGTATCGCTTCGAAAGCCCACTTTCGGTAATGCGTGTTGAGCGGCCGGTTAAGTACCGATAAAGACACACACATTCTCGCAGACGAACCAGAAAGCGCATCAAGCATGTTCCCAATGTTCTGGATCGGATTCAGTCAAAAAGACTGCGCTTATCAGGCACGACAAACAAAATGAGTTTATCCTTAGGTTTGAGCTGTGCTCATTACGGAGACACTGAGGATGAAGTTACCCAGGGTCAAGGAAATCGGAATGGAGAAACTCAGGACTCATTATCATCATGGGTTGCTGTACCTGATCATGGAGACATTGATGATGAAGATGTGGAGGACGAAGTGGCTGACGACTGGTCATCAACAGCAGTTCCACTCCCTGCTGCAATCCATTATGGCAAGCCCAAGGATACATTGACTTCCATTGTCCGAAGGATGAAACTGGTTGTGGACGACGAAAGTACTTGACCGTTCTAGCTATGAGTGTCAACTCAATAACCTGCAGCGGGTTGGTCGCTTATCCATGAACAGCGACATATATAGAGCAAAGCAAAGCAAAGTAAAGCAAAGATTTGGTGAATTCATCTTGCTTCGGGGTGAAAAAAAGAACTTGGAGATTTCCACTTTCTATCAGTTGTCTGGGATTGGCTTTGGATTGAAAATATTCACAAATCCGAAATATTACATACAATAACGAACGCTTTGCCGAGGCCGGCCGGTAATAGTCTACTTACAACGTATCTATCATTCGTATTATAACCATTATTACACAAAACAAAAGTAAAGAAATATTGAGGGTATAGTTTATTACCCAGTCCCTTCCTTACTTTCAAAACAGCGCTGTCCCCCCCCTCCTTCATTAGTAGCCAACTTTAACACCAGCCAGCTTCACCACTAGCCAGGTAACCAACCCCCTACCGGGCCGTCGTCGGGGAGCAGAATTATCACGGTTGACTTACTTCGGTTGAACGGATCAGAAACGAGGTAAATAACAGAACTGCAAAACCCCGAGCGAGATCTCCAGCCAAAACTGACCTTAGTAATAAGCGTGTAAAACCCGAGAAAAACTTTGATAAAGCTTTACAAAATAAACGCTGTGAGACTTTGCTCGTCTTCTCCGCCGCCACTTTGCTTTGTTTTGTTGCTTTGTTTTGTTGTTTACTGTGTTATATCTGGCTTACATACATCGCTGTTCATGAATGAGGGGAAGAAATCTCGAGTTCTTTATCAGGGATGGTCGGTCGGTCGTGCTTCTTCATCTTCGTTCTTTCTCATCTGAGGACGTGTGTTGTCTTGCGTTTGTACATCTGATTGATCGGTGAATGTTTTGGTGATGGGAGGGAGGGAGGTCGAGAACTCTGGCTTTAACGCCTGTACTGTACTCAAGGACGGATGGATCTGGAAATGGTTGAAATAGGATTTCGCACAAATACATATAAAACTACAGATTAACTTGGCGCCGACTGTCCCACAAGACGTGTGTGTTGGTAACAGAGCCTCTAACATGACAACATCTTCCTTCCTACTTACTCCCTTTTAGCAACGTACACCAGTGACCAATAACAAGCCATTCATACACATCACCGCAACCTCGCACAAATCACCACACCACTTCTAGAGCAACAAGAAGGTCGACAAGGTAAAAGAAAGGTTGTAGGAAAAAAGATCATATGAGATAAGAAGAAATTACTACTTTTTGTCCATTGCCTCGCTCCGTTCCGTCCATGTCTAAGAACTCAAACGCCAAACATGCTGGGAAAGTAGACCGTAGCCACCCTAAAAGTTACAAAAAGAGAAACATGAACTCCCAAGATGCAAGTGTGGAGAGAAGAGGTAATTGGTAGGAACAAACCCTTAGGACAAAAAGGACATGGGAGAAGAGAAGAGAAGAGAAGAACCCCTGAAACCAATCCCCCGACGATTACCACTCTTTCTTTCGAGCAAGCAGACAGATCAACCAAAGCAATGAAGAGCCTCCTCTCAAGTCTCTTTTGAAAACTCCTGTTGCTGTTGCTGCGCGAGCTCCTCCCGCTCCTTCATGGCCGCCCGCTCATTCATCCCCCTAAAGGCCCGCTTTCCGACCTCATAACTGCTAATCATAATGGCACACGCCGGCGCCACCTTGAGCGTACGGGGTATCCACCCCCTGAACAAACCCGCTACTCCTTCTGTGGAGAAGATATGCCACAGCAGTCTTGCCATGTTCCTCTCCTCCGGCCTGGCAGCAGTCTTCTCCATCGTCGCAATAGCAGCCTGTGTTGTGGTGCTGGTGTCGCGGTAGACTTGAGTCCTCGTCTTGCCGACGTCGAAAGGCATGGTGGCCACGCTGGCGAAGGCTCCGGATAACGCGCCGGCGATAAAGCTGTCGGTGAAGGTCTCGGCGTGGTTCTCCCTTGACTGAGACCTCCGACGGGCTCTGTAGTGCTTCTCGGAATCGAGGTCGAGTGTCCTACCACGTCCCCGAGAGCGAGACTCACGCGCATCTGTCAACTTTCCTCGAATTGTCTCGTATCCCCACCAGTACATGCCGGAAAAGGGTACGTCACGCCAGAGGGTGAGCGTCAACCCCCTCCAAAGCGAGCGATACCCGTGGGCGTATACCATGTCCTTGATCCCCCTAAACGTATGAGTGAAATGTGACCCCGTCGTGCTGCCGGGGGAAGCCTGCATGCGAGTGCGGAATAGCTCGATAGGCCCGACGGCTGTAGCGGCGAGGATGCGAGCGCCAGCGCCGGCGACTAGGGCGGCGTACTCTTCCCTGACGGTTTGCTGGATCGGGCTAGAAGTGTTAAAGCGCAGCCACTCGTAGCCGGTGAAGTAGATGATGTTGGCGGGAATGGCCATTAGCAGGGTTGGTGAGAGCCCCCGCCAGAGCGAGGTAAAGCCTTCGTTGCGAGCGATTTTGCGGAGACCGTCGAGGGTAGAGTTGAAGTTTCGTTGCTTTGTCTCCTCAACCGCGCAGGAGATAGCACTGGGAGTGATAGCGCCAGAGCCGAGGCGCGGCCCGGCGGCGACGATGCATCCTTCAGAGTTGTTGGCAAAGAAGACTTCACGGCAGCAGGCGGTTACGCCGAGGTTCGAGGGCCGGAAAGCGGCGTTGGATATTTGTGAGCCGGCTAGCTTGGAGAAGTCGGAAACGGTATGTGCGGTTGGTGACGGCTGGGTAAAGGCTTGGGATTGCCATCGGACTCGCACGACGTCGAGGGGAGTTACGAGGAGGCCGGTGAGTAAACTGCCGGATGTGGCGGAGAGCATCTTTTGGGCGGCCGTGATCTCGACGGGTTCGTTCGGAGCGTTGTCGTCTTGGGCAACGGTGGGGAAGGCACTCGGAATCGGAGACGCGGAAGCGGACGAGGAGTCGTCATGGTGATGGTCTATTATTCTATCGTAGTCGTGACCTGCTGAGGAGTGCGCGCTTTGTAGAAGGGAAGCCATGGTTGGCAGTCGAGAGTAGAGTCTCACAAGGCCCCGCGGCCGGCGTTTTGGAGAGGCGCGCGAGGAGCGCAACGGCAGACAAAGATGCCTCTGGCTGTGAGAGGTGGAGGAAGAAGGACCCGAGGGAAATATTAGGTGGAGCGTATGTCACTGCTGACTGCACGGATGCTGTGTTCTAACAAAGCACGAGCACCAGCAGGAACAGGACCGGAGGGTAGGGTAAGGGAGGTAGGGATACGAGTGACAAACGAACGTCAACAGGTGGAGGATGAGGAGGAGATGGATAAGGGAAGAGACGGGACGGTATGTTGACGAAAAGTTGACGTTGGCCACTCTGGATGACTGCCCCTGGAGATGGAAAAAGTTGAGCGAAGCCGGAGATATCGATCGGGGGTCCGAAAATGCAAGTGACACTTGCACTTTTGCAGCACTTTTGCCTCGGGGGGGGCGTTTGCTGCTCGGCTCCGTCATTGACACACAGAATATTCTGGGTCCCTGTGTCCACTCCTGCAGCGCTAAAACGACTTTTTCTTAGCGCTGAAAAACCCCGCCCCTCTTCTGCTCCGAGTTCTGCAGCCGACATCGTTTCTCCACTTTAACTTTGAATTGACCCGCTCCTTCCCGACCGGCCGAATGCCAAACGGACAGGACCTTGATGTCATCTCTTGGCTGCTGATGTAAGCAGTGGCCATTAAGGTTATTACTCTTATCAGATCTTTTTTTGCTTGATGAGCAAGCATCTGATAAGATAAGCAGCCTGGACTCGCATGGCTCATCCTGTCTCCCTCATCTCCAGTTTGTCCCTGTTCAAGATCATCGGATCTTCCACTCCACTTCATCGTGCAAGTCGATCTTTGCGCGTGTTTTCATTACCCCTCACACCCCTCTCGAGTCACGAAGATCTCCTTTGCGGAGGGTTGCCCCTAACGCACTTAGTGTTCAACGTCTTCGCCATGTTTTGGTCCACATCTCTATACCTATACTTACACGAGCTGGGCCGCTAAAAAGTATGGGTAGGATGTTAGTGCTTTTCGCGGGCGGCCCCCATACAAAACCTCGCTTGCACTACCAAACTCATAACACACAGCCCAACACTGCACTGTTCTCCCGCAAAAGAATTGTTAGACCTAACATCTTAACTTCCATTTCTGTTAGTGCATTTTGCACCTCCATTTACACCTCCATTTGCACATCTATTTCAAATCAAAGGTTTCTCTCTACTTTTTATTTTGGCTACGGTGCAACCCAGTATCCAGCTTCTACACGGGCTATAACCCAGGATCCAGCCTTGCACCCGCTGGGAAGGGATGAGGCCAGCCAGCTGGCCTCGCCCCGAACACTAGCTCGAGACTAGTAGTTTCGAATGTTCCCTTCCATATGTTATGATGACCTTCCACTAACTACAGTACAACCCTTTTCGCGTTACCCAACCAGAAACTCAAAGAATAATGACGCAAGGAAACAGGTATCTGACTAAGCACAACCATACTCACGAGAATGAAAGCCTAACAAAATAGAAGTCGAAATGTTTTTGGACCAACCTTCTCCACTCGCAGACTAACCTCCCCTAATGATACCTCTCCACCAGCGTAACCATAGCCGTATACCCTCTACAACACTCCCTACTCATCTTGTGGCTGCACCACGGACACTTCACCATAGTCATAATCGCCCCTGACACCCCCAACGCCCGATCCTCAATCACCGCATCCGGCTTCGCTATGCACTCGTACACCTTGGACGGCATGTCCAGGAAGAACTGGCAGCTGCAGCATTGGACCAAGATCTTGGCGAACGGTTGAGAAGAGGCACCGCCGGCGGCGGCGCGTCGGGCGGCTGCTTCTTTTTCTTCTGCGCTGGGGCCGTGGGCTAGTGCGAGAGTGGAAGGGCGGGATGCGGGAGGAGGGAGATTAGGGGTGGAGTGGTTGGATTGGTGGAGCATGTGTTTGGGAAGGGCGGAGAGGATGGGCATCGAGATTGGGATGGGGGGCATGGATGGGCGAGGTTGTTTGAGGATGGAGACTGGGGGGGTTGAGGCCGAGCGAGATGCTGTTGAGGCGAAGGAAGTTGTTGCGGGAGGTGGCGATAATGGTGAGGCGAGAGGGGTTGGGCTTCGGGATGTCGATGGTGGACTCGGGGATTGTGACACCATCTGAGGTGAGATGGCAGGCATCTCAGGCCATTCTTCGGTCTGCCTCGATGATGAGCCGGAAAGATCTGGAGAGGAGGCAAAGCCTGCTGCTGAGGTCGTAAACTTCGGTCGACTGGAGCCGCCTGCGGCCGAAGAAGAAGAAGCAGACGAAAAACTGTCGTGCATGGGTGACGGTTCACTTGAGCTGGGATACCGATATCCCGACTGCTGCCGTTCTCCACTCACGACCCGTGGTTGTTGAGATCGTATCTCTCCCGCCTGACTGGACATTCTTGAAGATGTCAATTTTTGCCGTCTCTTGCTCTTGGGTTCCTCCCCAGCCATTTCAAGTCTTTGTTCCGTTCCCAAAACAACTTCAGCCTTTTCCCTAGCTGCCACTTCCGCCATCGATACCGTTTGGTAACCCTCTTCATCTCCTTTCTCCCAGGAGAATGCTTGATGTAGCTTCTGTTCATGACCTATATTTTCAACACCGAAGTATCCAGCAGTTCGAGTCCGCTTAGGAGACCTTGGGGGAACGATTATGGCATCCTCAGTCGATGAAAGGGTGGCGTGAGCGACTATCGGTACACTGGTGGCACGGATGTCCGGATCAGAAAGCGACTTAGACATTCTGAGCTGTGGACGGGCCTCCTCCATTTGCTCCATCTTGGATTGGTGTTGAGTGTTGTCTTTGCCTCTCAACGGTGGTCGACTGGACTCTGTTGGTGAAAGCGAACCTGAGCCAGCAGTTGATCGCTTAATACCGTGGTTGGCCTTAACATCACCATTGACAGCTGTGCTGATCGGTGGTTGCGTATCAAAGTCCAAGTCTATCAAAAGTCCAGTCCTGCTCCACTCCTCGCCCACCGTGAAACCCTTATTGCTATCGCGCACCTCGGAGCCATCGCGAGGTGTGGTGGAAGCCTGTGAGGCCGAGTCGTCCGAACGTTGACGGAGAGTCCGGTCGTCATCTTGCCTTGCATCCAGGATTGTCGGGCTGCTCGTGATATCGTTCGCCACCAATGGCATGTCCTTTGAGGACTGGGGTCTCGATGTATCCGGAGTCGTTGTTGGCGAGGGAAGTGGTGACGCCTCGTCGAATGCGGACGATGACGAGGAGCCCTCCGAAGCACTAACCTGCGGTAACGCCACTTCGGTCGCCTTGACCAGATTGCCTTGTGTCGTATCAGAGCTTTGTTTCGACAAAGCCTCGCTCTCCTGGGGCGTGAGTTGTTGAGGAGAACCAGACACTACATGTTGAACGGCCGGCGGGATCACATTCGGTGTTGAAGCTGAAGGCTGAGAGCTCATTCGAGCTCGGAATCTCAGGTAAGGAGGTGCTTGTGCAGGTGGCCTCACTGCATCCGGAGTTGCTGAATGCCCTGTCGACATACCCAGTGCTGCCCTTGCGGCGTCTTTCAGACTGCGATTCTTCTTAGTGTGGCTACCTGCGTCAGACCCTGCAACAGAAGACCCCTTGAGGCTTGAAGATGCATTTGTCAATGTGACAGATGCCTCTCCAATCGAGCCCTGCGATCTCGGAGGAGTTGGTGCTTCTGGAGCCGGCGTGGGCTTGCCTCCGGTGGCCATTGACGAGAGAATAGCAGCCGAATACGCGTGCTCCATGAAGTTAAAGTAATCAGTCTCCCTGGTTGGCTTCTTATTGGCGTGGCGATCTGGCTTGACGGCGGAGGTTGTTCTTACGCCAACGAGCTTCATGGCCACACTTCTGGCCTCTTGCGAAAGAGATGAGCGTCTCGTTTGGGTGGTCTGAGAACTACTCCTCGATGATGGTCCGATGCTGGAAGTGCTGGGTAGTTGGTCGTCTGCAACCCCAGCCATTGCGCGGCTAGCGCTCTGAACTCTGTTATGACGGACATATCCGTCTCGGGACCGACCTCGTGTATCCTCCTCAAAAATTAGTGGAGAGTCTTGCAACTGAGGGCCAGCGTTGTTGTCTCTGTGTTCGTCCTCTTTCCCCTTGAATAGCCGAGATGCCCCTTGTAGTAGGCTATTGCTTCGGCCGTGACTTGTGGCAGGTCTTGTTGCTCGCAGCATCGGAGTCCTCGAAGATGAAGGCGGGAATGCCTCTCTTCGAGGAGATGGTATCTGGCCTGACGATGGGCTAATGACGCCAAGGCTCTCCGATTGTGTTTGGCGCGGCTGTGGTCGCTGATCAAAGCTCTCGTAGCGAACTGTGTGTTGAGGCAGAAGGTGATCTTGGCGCTCGCTCTGGGTAAGGGAAGCCTTGGGCATCCCTGATGAAGCAAGAGTATGATACGGTCGGCTATGTCGCTGCAAATCATCTGCCGACAGCGATTTGTCGACATTTTGTGCTGGGACGAGGTGGGAACTCGGCAACAGATGCTTACTGGTGAGAAGCGTATCGGACATCGATCGTTCTGGATTGGCGAGTGAGGTGATCCTTGGGTTTTCTTGGGTTGGGGACCGCGGCAACGTGTGAGGAGGAGGCTTGCTCAATCGGGCAGCTAGACGTTTCTTTGCTGCTTTTGCGTCCTTCTCTGCCTGCTCCTTCTCCTTTTTCAGACGCTCCGCATCTTCCTTCTTTTTCTTCTTCCTCTCGCCGTAATTTTCCCAACTAGGAGACTGACAAATCGAAGACTGGTCTGACATCTCAGCCTCTTCCTCTTCTTCCTCGTCCTCGTCTGGTGCAAGGAATTTGACCTGCTTGTGCAAAGGCTCTGCGATCGCTCCTGGCTGAACTTGGCTCTCCTCTTGCCTTTCTGCTTGGTAATCCCTTTCTCTTGTGAATTCGTGTTTGCCTTCGGTCAGCCCTGTGGGGATGGTGATTGATAGTGGTGGTAAGACAAGGCTCCGCCGGACAGCTTTGAGCATCAGGTAATTTTGTTGTGCGGAGAGACGGCGCGCAGCTATAGGTGTAGATGGCTCCTGTTGATCAAGGGAAGAGGGAGAAGAGGGTGTTGGAGGAGAAAGAGAGCCATTGTGGTGGGATTGGTCGATCTGTTGGTGGTGGACGGATAACGGTCAGTGGTTTTACATGATGAGACATCCAGCCGCAAAGCCAGGAAAGCGGTCAAGACGGGTGCCCACATACCTGGTATTTGCTTTCCAGCTCCATCATCCGTTCCAACCCGGTCAAACCACCCCCTTGGAGAGACTTATTATCGGTAAATTGATCCAACTCAGCTGCCATGGTGGATGATGGAGTGGGCCCGGTACCATGGAGAGAGGACTTGGTTTCTGGGATGGCAGAGTAGATACGAAGGAAGGAGGAGAGAAGCAAAATATAACAAAATACTGAAGACGTGCTTCCGAGTTCCGACCGGGGAAATTCTTGGAGCCCAACGATTCGTGGGCTTTGCAGCGGGGAGAAAGTGTAGGCAAAACTCGCGGAATTGAGTGGTGTGGACGATGATGGTAAACGCAGTGTTGCCGTGCTTCCGTCCCCGACGTAATCAAAGACAGCATCTCTCCGTCTACCGGTACATGCTCTATGCTATTGGGCCAGGGTGACCTGTCGAGAGTACAGGAGCAGTTGTCTCTGGCACGACGCTATGTATTGGAGCGCGTAGCCGCAGGCCTGGGTGAATGCGAGATATTGGGGCCACGGCTAAAATGCCTTGTCTCCAGATTTTGATCCGGTGGCAAGCACACCCGCACACAAACTGGCACTTGTAGAGTTGCACTCAATGGCTGACTGGGTGACTGGATGAGCGGGAAAGTGATGAGTGAGATCGGTTGATTGATCAAGGCTGTCTGTCTATGAGGGTTTGTGCTGAGTGCTGATTGTGAAGTCCCACTTGGGGGAGAAGAGGATCCATGGGTTAAAGCTGATGTGTTGTGTACCGTTAATTGTGCCACTTCAGGGGAATCCCACCTGCTTGAGTAGCCTACCTTTGGTTCTGAGTATAGTCCTCTCATTTTCTTTCTCCCCTGTCTTCTTGCTCACCAGTGAGTAGTGGTTGAAAACTGCCAACCTCTTAGCAAGCGGTAGTCGGGTGCAGCTATAATAAGAGACTCTTGTTCGTGAAACCGTACCAAACCAAGTCCAGTCACCTAACCTAACCCGCACTTTGGGACCCGTTACCTCTCTCGGATCATGATCAGATGTCGGGCAAAGTTAGATTAGGTCGGGAAGCCTCTGGTTGTGGAGAGTATGTAGGTAGTGTGCCACTGTGCACGGGATCGAGGGAGGACAAACAACGACGACATGGCTTCCATTGCGGGCCGTCGGGGAAAGATGCACTAGCATCTGGCCTTGGGACCCTTCGTAATCAGCTATACGAGAGGGCCAAGATGGAAGAGAGATATTGAGGCCAGGAACAAAGGCATTAGCAGTCTGCAGACAGAGAACAGCGAGAACAGCATGAGAGAGAATACTCGACCAATTCTAGTGGGCAAAGCCTCCTGGCCGAACCACATTTGGGCGTCCTGCTCCTGGACACGGCATCATGCAGGAGGTGAATACAAACTGTGCCCAGTCGCGTCGTGGTCGACCAGAGAGAGGTTACTCAGGACGGACCTGCTCGGTGCTATTTTCTTCGCTCGCCTGGGTGATGTGCAGAAGGGGTGCAGCTCAGTTGGCACAGGTACCGGGCAGTTCCATGGGGCTTGTCTTGGATCCGGAGCGGTAGGGGGGGTTGAGAATGTGTCACGACATGAAGATCCGGAAAAAGAAGGATGGAGTCATTATTGGCGTCAATTGTGTGTGCGCGTGAACCATAGAACGAGGAGACTGAAAACCGGGCGTGGAAACCCAACGTGGAAACCAGATGGAAGAAATGCGGTTGGAATAAACGATGGCGTGCTGTCGTCTGGAGCCGAAGTCGAAGTGAAGTGGATGAAGACTTTGAGTTGGGATGATTGGGGCAAGAAGTTCCGTCCCATTTTGACTGCAGCGACGGAAGAGGACGTCGTCCAGTAATTGTCGGGTGTTGTTAATGGACTACCAGCAGCAGCCCAATGAGCCAGAACTATCTGTTAGTGATCGACCCCAGTTGCGGTCAATTTTAGCTTTGGGGATCTGTCCAAGTGGGGTCAATTGGATGGGGAAGGCTCCATGATCTGCAAGCCTCAGCGGCTGTCCCCTGCCACTGCCAGGGGCTGTCAGGGCAGGGTCCACAATCCGCCAACCAAATCCGACCACCCACCACACACTTCCACTTCTTCCCCGCGACATTGAGGCTTCTCCAAACTTTCTCCAGCTTCGTCACTTTTCGCGGGTTGACTTCCGAACTTCAATTGGTGGCCACAACAAGACCCTCCAATCTTGACTTCGTCTACAAGCTTTCTGGGCTTGGTCTTGTCCCTTTCTTGTCCTTCTCTTACCCATGGCTCAACGATGTTCTTCCGCTTCCTCGTCGGCTGTCCTACCCACCATGGCGCCCACCACGCAGACAATACACGCGATGCAGCCCGCTAACGCACCACCTCTTCCATTCTCGGACCGCCAGATCGGCAAATGCGCTCACATCTTTGATCATTGCGAATGAGCACGCCCCTACCCAGCTACTGGCTCTACGAACCTACAAGTCCATCCTCAACTTGGAACGGTCGTCCGCCTCCTGCCCGCAGGACGCCATCGTCGTGTCTCTGAACCATGGTCAACAACGTGGTCGACGAGGATTTTCGCGGCCACGTACGACACTCAACGGAGCCTAGAAGCAGTTGGCGAGACATGCTCCCGATGTTTCTGATCCAAATTGCTGATCGAGTAAAATGGCGTGCTCCCCTACAGACCACAGACGCTGACGATACACTGCAGTCGCGCCTCACCCTTTTCTCCGCCCTTGATGGCGCATCCGGACCATCACCAATCCTGCCCCGATGCTGCTCCGTTCCTGGTCATCATGGCCTCTGACTTGTAGCCTTGCCTGCCGGTTACACCTCCGCCGAGAAAACGGCTGACTTCTGGAGCCAGGAAAAGCCAGGAACAGCCAGGAACGGAGAGTGCCACAGCGTACCACAGCGGTTATAGCTTCGCGAAAATTCATAGGCTCTCGACCGACATAACACTGGTGATACCGAGCACAGCAGCTTCAAGTTGCCAGGAACAGCTTCTCATAGCTTGGAGCTACTCCCTCGGCCGAAGCTGTCGTCTGGCTAACTTGGCAAAGGCAGGGCTAGCAGGGGATATAGCTCCTCGAGAGCCTTCCACTTCTTGATGTTCCTGTCTGCACGGGTCATCCTGGCCTTGTCAATTCTGGAACAGGTTGTCGATGCCCATCGCCAAATGAATGTCTTGTCAGGGAGTCACCGGGCCCGAGACGCCCAATTGAGGCTCATCACCAAAACTTGGCCACTACCACTGGTTGATGGTCACCCACAATACGACGCAAAAGCCTCGAACCCAATCTTGCCATTACCCGCTACCGCCAGGATACACTTCGCTCGAATTTCCTGGTTCACCTAGGCCGTCGATATTAACCAGCGTCTTTTACCGGCCCGTCTGCTGCAGAAAGTGTTTATATATTGACATTACGTGTTCCTCGTCAAACCTCACCACATAGTTCCTGCCCCTAGCCAGCTATCCGGCCGTCTGTCTACCGCGCTCCTCACAACCTCTGGCCCGGACATGCTAGAAAAGGACTGTCTTTCATTGGCTCGACTATTCCGCCTATTCTACCCCGTGGGGAATAAAATCGCTTCTATTCTTGTGCGCAGAATAAGCAATCAATTTTCGGCAGGACGGCAACCGGCAAGCATCACTGGGAGGCACCATTTTAACGGCTTCAAAGTTGTCATCTAGCATTAGGTTAAAACCGGTGTTCGGTGAGTGCTGTCTACTTGGAAAGTCATTTTCGGCATACACATTTGTCCGAGCTGACTTTTGTTTTGGTTGTTGTGCTGATATACTCCAATTGTCTGAATGCTAGTCATACTCAACCCCTGGGCATGCAGGCCGGGATACAACTCCAAGGGCACAATCTGATCGCGAAAATCTCCCCGATCCTCACCAAGCTTACTTGGCGACCACATACTCATCCTCAAACATGCTTTCGGTAGATGATGGGTATCATTGGAATCCAGGTACGGCCTTGGCACTTCCCACCGCCATTTCCCCGGCCCCGGTGGAACGCGACAACAAGAAATCCGACCACTACACTATTCTGCCTCTCCGCTTACATTTGGCACTTCCTCCTTGTCTGGACTAATGTGCACCCAAATTTCATTTCCTGCACCCCAGTCTACCAGTCCTGCAAGGGGCTTTCCCCTTCGATCTCTTGGTATATCTGGGCCCGGTTGAATTTTCCTCTTAGCCCAGCTCCGGACGCGTAACTTGAATTCATGGGGAATCTTTAGCCGAGCGGCGACCCATTTCTCGTCAGGCCGGAAATCCAACGAGACCTCGTTCGCCGCGCCCGCTGTCGTCGTCAGCAGCCCCTCCTCGAACGGCCAGGCTTTGCTGAATCTGGCATGATGTTGTTCTGGTAGCGTTATTCTGAAAAATTCAAGTGCCGATTCGACATGGAGCTGGATCGCGCGCTTGGGATTCACAAGAGACTTCATGAGCAGTGACATCCAATTTGGATAAAGGACCGCAAAATCCGCCGCTGCCAGGTGGACCGAGCCCCGGATCGTCGTCATCCAAGAGGGCACGCCCGCCTCCCGGGCCTCGAGACAGAGTTTCTCCACGCGTTCGAAATTGTCCTTCCAGTGCATGAAGGCCTCGCTACCGAGGGCCAATATCGGCTTTTGGATCTTGTGCTCCTCGCTTGAGTCCTCCGGCATCGCTGGACCCCACGCATCGAGTAAGATGCCCTGCGAGATCCACGTGAAGTCTTCGCGCAATCTGAGCACTTGGGCTGCCGTTGCTCCTCCGAACGAGTGACCCATCATCGTCACATCTTGCAGGTATAGTCTCCCCGTCCAATCCTCCCAGTCGATGCCTATGAGCCCCTTTGAGCTCGAGCCTTTATTTCCTTTCTTCCTTAGATTGCGGCGCGCAACCTCTTCTCCTTGCCCGTCGTTTATCATTCCCAAGATGTGAAATGCCTCTTGGATCTCGGCACATCTCATCTCTATTTGCGCCGAACGTAACTCCGTATCTACTCCGGCTGGGTTATTCGGCCGGGTATCTTGCGCGTTGTCCAGCGGAAAGAGGTAGTCCACCATGTAGTATGGCTTCTTCTTGCCGTTCTTCTTCCGTCGTCGTTTCGTGTGGAACATTGAACCATCTTCCTTCTCCCGTTCCGTGTTCGACCTCCGGTCCAGATTTTGGCTGCACAAGTCAGGAGACGACCCTTCCTTATTCACATAGGTCCTCGCTCCGCTTCCATCACGGTGCTCCATAGCGACCACCACAAATCCGTAACTGGCCAGTTCTCCGCAGATGGTGCTATACACCGTCCTCGACCCGCCGAGGCCGTGGCTGAACATGATAACCGGGTACTTCGCCCTCCGTCTCCGTAGTTCCTCCGCATCCGGAACCGGCCTCGGTCCCCAGACAAGCGTCAACTCGCTCGTATCACTGAACCCCCTATTCAGCGCCTCCTCTCCCATCTCCTCCGGCCCAGCCAACGGCGGTCCATCGCTCAGCTTCGCATTCCGCCACGCCGGCAACTTGGTAAACATGCTCGTCGAAGCAACGTAAGTAGCAACCGGCGCGTTCGGCATATTCGCAAAGTTGGCGTACCCCTTGCACGTACTCAATCTCGGCCTCGGCAGCCAAGGCGGCCTCGTCAACACCCTTCCTTTTTCCTTTTTCTCAATCCCCTCATCCTCTTCCCCCCTCCCTGTACTATCCCACCCCTCCCAATTCCCACTCCCCCTACACCGCCTGATCCGATCGCGAGTCATTATCGCTTTCTCCTTCGGCTTCTCCTCCGGTCCTTCGCAGGGGTAGTACACGGCAAACAGCACGGTATCCAACTTGAGCGCAAACTCCCCGTTGCGTTTAATGTGCGAAAAGGTGCGGGGGTCGCGGACGGGCAGCTCGAGTTCCATGAAGCCAACGTTCAAGGGACCGGTGTGTGGAGGCAGGGCGTGGAAGATCTTTTCGCGGAGGGTGGTGGGTGGTCCTGCGGCTCGATGGGGAGGACCAGCTTGATGGGAGGGACGGGAGGGGGCGCCGGTGGCGCCCGCGGTTGAGGTGCGGATTGTTGAGGTGCGGGCGTTGGCGTTGGCATTGCGGGTGGTGGTGGCCTGGGGGGAAGGGGGTTGAGATTGGTCATGTTGGGGTGGTTGGGGTGGTTGAGAGGAGTAAACGGAGGAAGAGGAGTGGCGGGGTGAGGAGGGTTGAGATCGTGCCAATGAAGAGGGGCGTGAAGAGGCAAGTGAGGAATCTTGTGAATAATTTGATGACGAGAGGATTGGAGAGTGTTGAGGTGGTGAGGCTGGTGAAGAATGAGGTGATGTTGAGTAGTGTGAGGTGGATGGTGAAGGGTGTTGAGTTGGTGGCGGCATGGCGAGGGCTTGGGTTGGGTGTTATTGCTTGTGCTGGTTCATGAGTGATTCGACGTTTAGAAGGGAATGCCAATATCGTCGTCGATTCCAATTCTCGGCCCTTCCTTTCTCGGTCCTTCCTTTCTCGGTCCTTCCTTTCTCGGTCCTTCCTTTCTCGGTCTGCTTGTCGCGTTCTTCCCAACGAGCGCAAGTGCCGAAATCGGAAAAAAGAATCAACAACGTCGATCTGATGTTGATGTTTCCTGAAGGCTTGTCCTTGTCCTTGCAGAATGCAGTCGATTACCAAACAATTCGTTGGACCCCGATGCGGTCCGGATTCGATCAGTCGGTAGTTTACTGTAGCGGCGCGGTGTAATGTGGTGTGGTACGATGAAGTGTCATGCGTGATGCGATGCGTGATGCGGATCGGGCGTTCGTCTCGTATGAGGTTTCTCAACTGGATTGAGTTTGGTCCGATGTTGTGTTCGTTTCTGGTTGTCGGCTACGTTTAGGAAGATTGATTGGGGTTGTTCAATGTCGTTCAGCGTTTCGTTCGTGTCTTCGTGCTTTCGTATGCTGCACCCCAAACTTTCGTTCGTCCGAAATGTCTTTGAGATAGATAGGTATACCGAGCTGTGCAGCGCAGTGCGTTAGATTGGCTTGGCTCCTGTGAGGTAGGCGTGGTGCAGATGTATTATTGATGTTGTGTAGATGTCATCCGAATATGATTTCAGTATGGTGGAAGAAAGTAAGGCAGGTATTCGTTGATGTATAAAGGCAAGAGGGAACGTCAAGGGACCAGCTTCAATTCAATCCATGCGGTGTAGCTTGAGCTAAGATACTCAATGGAGGTTGGTAAAGTACGGGGGTATAGAGCGGGTACGGAACGGGTGCGGTGAAGAGACAGACCCCTGTTCTAGACCCTGAGGCGTCCGCGAGTCATGAAAAGGAACTGAAGAATCGGGATTCGTTCGTACAGTCTCGTACCTGCTTTTTGCAATTCCTTGGCGAAGCTCGTGGTGTGGCTTTTTTGCACTGCACTTTTCGATATAGTATCGTGAGGAAACGTGGGCGGCTGGCTGGTGGCTGGTGGCTGGTCTGGTCTGGTCTCAGATTTAAATGTGTGGTCCGAACTGAACGAATGTTTGGGTTTGACGATTTGGTTCGAACGGTTGGTTCCTTTGATGACAAAGTTCCTGTGGTGTTTCGTTTCTCGTTTTTCGGTTTCTTCCGTGACTCGTGAGGCAGTGATCTTGCAAGCTTTTTGCTTCGTGTGCTTTCGTGTGGTATGTAGGTATGGGTTTGTGTCAAGTCGTGCAACGAAGAACGAACTCCGATGAATTACTCCGATACTTTGTAGGGCATATAGCTAGCTGCAAGAAAAATGCCAAACAAAAGGAAAAGGAGAAGAAGAAGAATATTTGCCAAACTTGAATCACTGACAGTGACAAACCCAAAACCCGTGTCATCGATATCAACGAGAATTCTTCACATGGATCGATGTCTCCGAACAACAAACCATACTTATCATCTTAGTAATCCTTTCTAATCCAGTTCATCCCAATGAACATCATCGATTTTCTCTTTTTCGTCCGAATCGAATCGGTGAACATCAACCCCTGCAGGTGCCAAAGGAGACGATGACATCATCCCGACCGTCCCGCTCACCCAAAAACCAAACCGGGGCGGACCCAATTGGCCGGCACCGGGACAGCCATTAACAGGGGACTTGGAGTGGAGCCTGAACGGCGCTTTTCTTAATCGGGTATGGCATCGTGTGGTGATGACCTTGATGACCCCTGATGAGCTTGGTGAACTTGTTAAATGGTGCATTTGGCGATGATGCACACTGGGATTACAGCATGGAACCCCGGTAGATTTGTAAGGCACGGCTACGCTACGCGGGAACAATGGGCTGTGGAGTTGCTAGAATGGCGAACGAATGGGCAATCATGACCACTTGGTTCCCAACAAGGTTTTGTGTTGTGTTCATTTTCTAGGTACCGTTTTCATCAAAAAAAAAAGAGAGTTCGAACGTATGTTCATTTGCAGGCAGTTGAAGGTATCATGAACCTGAAAACGTTCGATAAAGATATCGTGTCGATTGTAGCATAAGAGACATTTACTGATCCTCCAAAAGAAGCCGCCAACTATGTGCTTTGACCTGTTTTTTTCCCTTGAAAACATTGTTTCTAAACCCATAAAACCCATGCCGTAGATTTCCAACTCATATTCATTATGTCTGTTCCTACCAGTCTGACGAGGTGGTCACGCCCCTTGAGCACGCGAAGCATCATTGTGATGTCGCATCTCCTTTGGAAGTTTGACCATCACCATAGACTGTCTGGATTTAGTTGTTTTGGAACCGCTGTCCGAGCGTCTCGTACTTCTGGATAGTAAGATCGAGGGTTTCTTTAAGGTTTTTGGCCTGCAAAGTGAGTTCCGGAGCCGTAGAGGTGCAGAGTGAGATGAGGCTGGTGCTGATAGGCTACAAGTGATAGGATATGTCAGTAAAAAAACTCAGTCATGGCCTGATGGAAGGAATTGTTATAGGCTAGGAACGGAACTCACCTCGTAAACGCCCTTGACTTCTCTGAGCGAAGTCGACATAGGCTTGCCAACGGTCGGCGGGGCGATGTCGAGGAGGCCTGCCTTGGCAATGAGGACGTTGAGGTAGTCCTGGTTGACACGGACAAACTGCTTGAAGGTGCTAGTAATAGTTGTGCAGTCCTCGAACGGCTGTGTGCCATCCAGCTCTGAAATAAATCTCGAGCCCGCCGCGGTGATATCCTTCTGGCCACGGATGATTGTCTAGAAGATATTAGTTCTGGCTTGATGGTCTAGGAATACAGCTTGTGAGAGACTTACAACAAAGGGGCCATAGCCGACAGAATATTCGACAGTATTGACAATATTGATAGTCTGAGCAGGTGCGATAAGGGCATGCGCCCTTTGGGTAAGATCCGTCAGGGCATTAACAGTCTCCTCAGAAGAGAGAGCGCGAGCCACAGGCTGCATTCAGCGATTGCACGGCAATTTTTGAGGCCTACCATACATTTTTCAAGGTCAATCAGGACACCTTGCAGATCCTAATTGGCAAGTCGGGTATCCTCTCGGGCCTGCCATTCCATCCAGCTATGGCGCAGGCCTTCTATTCCCTTGAGGGAGCGTATGATGTAAGCTTAACTAGTTCCTAATGCACAATCCACCGCCATAGAGTGAGTTACTAACATACTTCTCTCATGGCAGTCACTGGTATTCGCCGCTGTTGGCAACTGCCCTCAGGACACGCCTAAGAACAAGGTGAAAGAGGAGTCGTCGAAGCTCAGCGAGGATATTCAGAAGGCCTACCAGGCTTACCAGGCCAATAGAGTGGTTCCCGCCCCGTATGATAGTGCCCTTCCATTGTCGCGATAGATTTTTCGGGTGGGAGAGATCCAGCTAACTGAATTGAAGCTGGAGCGCAGCGCCAGCTATATAGAGCAGGCGATACAAAGAGGAGGAAGGTCTGCAAAGGAGGGAAATCCTGGGACGTGCCAGAACCGCTGTCAAAGGGAGAGATGCAGCTAAATGTAGACGTTGATCGGACAACTTTTGGTTGCCGCATGACGATAGGTAGTTCTTACCAAAGTCTGTAGCGGGCTTCATTCCAAGTACATCAACGCAAATATCAACCAGTATGTGAGAGGACGGACATGGAGGCATGGGAAACCATGCCTCGTCTGACTCCCAGGTCGGACTTGACGGAACGCCTGCCTTGTCAGGCAAGAGCGTACCAATGTTAGGTTTGGTAACGACCTGTGTCAATGTACTTGAGACAGACTTCGGAGAGTCTGTCACCCAGTTAGCTTCTTCTTAAAACCATCAACAAGTTGATCATCATTCATCTTTCCTGTACTTGTCGGTTAGGTTGATGTGGGCCTCGCTTACATTTTTCCAAACATCCTTTCACACATACGTCAACTTCGTGAACTACCGGCCAAAACGCTCTAACTTCGGGGGACCACTGGTCACCGATCACGAAACCACATCGTCAAAATTCGATGGCATACTGGAATTTGCTGCTCAATGCGGCATTCCCTTCCTTTAGGTAATCATTATCCCATGAATGTTTTCTTTCTCTGCTCCGAAGGGTTGACCTCGCACCGACTCACTATTGAGACACTAGGAAGGTAGAAAGCTAGACCCTTAAAATGATGAATTTTCTTAACACCCAGTAGCATGGCGTGCGTAAATCCCCAAAGCAACATATGCGCGAGGACAACCAGCAGGGAAGAGTACGGAAAGTACACCTCCCGCTCCTTACAATCGGCCAGTACACCCTGGTGTGGATCACACCGACCCGACCGGAGTTACTCGACCCCCTAGTCCACCTCCACTCCACGTGGCATCCCAGGGTATCCCAGGGGCATTACAAACCTAATCTAGTCGATCATTCAGCCTCAGCTCCCAAGAGACACCTGGATCAGCGAACTAGTATACGCTATGGACCCTGGCAAACCGCAGATCTCGTTAATTCGAGGTGATGGAGGTGATGAACTGAAGGAGGTGAAGGACATGGCGGTAAGATCGTCGGTGACTGGGATACAAATGGACCCCGATTGAGGATGGTTGAGAGTGGGGGAGGTGAAGAGGTGAAGATGCCCTGGCTCCGTCGCCTGGGAAAGTCAGGATTGAAGGGAGTATATAACATTGACTTCCTCTGTCTTTGGTCAAACTTCCTGTCTCATCATCAGCTTCATCATCAGCTTCAACCTTACCATCATCATCAGCATCTTTCTCATTAGCATCTTTCTCATCAGCTTCAGTCTTAACCCCATCAACCTGCCCAATCCCATCCACCCTTTCAACCCACAAACCATCCATCCAAAATACGTTTCTCACTCATCTCTGCCATCGCTACCCTTGGTAGCGTTGTTATGGCCCAGCCTGTGGCCCAGCTAGAGGCTCGCAACGCCACTGCCCAGCTAGCGGCTCGCACCGTCACTTCCCAAGACACAGTTACAGTCTTGAACGACCTTACGGACAAGGCACATGAATTTGAGAACACGAAAAGGAGCTAGAAGGAGCCAAAGTCCTACTTACATACCACGTAAGTTTACTAAGCCTTTTCTTATGTAGAGGTAGTAGGGGAATGCTAACAGTCTTCTAGTTTGTTCTCCAAGGTTACGAGAACCTTATCAAGAGAACCCACCGCTTTATAGTCGACGCCCAGTCTTCCGGACCCAGTGCACCCTTCAGCGATGAACAATGCGCAGAAATTTCTGGGGCCTACGATACATTTGCCAATGCCAATGAGGCAGCCTTGAAGGTCCTCACAAAGAAGGCGTCTCAGGTCACGCTCTATGGATACCATGTACCTACGCATGAAGCCCTCAAAAACCTTGAGAGCGCGTATGATGTAAGCTTAACCGTTCCTAATATGCAATCCACCGCGATGGAGTTACTAACGTACTTCTCTCATGGCAGGTACTGGCAATCACCGTTATTGGCAACTGCCCTCAGGACACGCCTAAGACGGCTATCAGCGGCGACGCGTCGAACCTCAAGTTTACTCTCGATGCGGCCATCAAGAGATACTCGATCTTCCAAATCTAGACGTTGATCGGACAACTTTTGGTGCCAAAGTGACGATAGGTACTTGGGGGTTGTGGTGCGGTTCGGTGGTGGGACCTTTCCTCAACCCCCTACTCATTAAGTAGCTCTTTCCCCATGTCCATAGCGGGCTTCGTTACCATAATATATAATATATCGACAGAAATACCAAGCCTTACCAATAAGTAATCAGCTAGTAGCTCTGTGGATAAGGTACCGTGTTCTTTGAGAATATTCCGCGGTGGTTTACAGCATAGAAGGCCTCACTTTGCCTTTGGGATTTGCTTCTTCTTCTCCCATCATCAGCATCATCATCATCATCAACAGCTTTCTCATCATCAGCCTCAATTTCAACTCCATCAACCTTCTCATCCACCCTTCATGTTTCAACCCACAAAAACCATCAATCAAAATGCGTTTCTCAGTTCTCACTCATCTCCGCCCTCGCTAAGGTACCCTCTCCAGCCTCGCCATTGCGGCACCCGTCCTCCACCCCGCCACTACTAAGCTCACCACTCGCGACACCACTGTCCAAGAATCCGTCGACACCCTAGGCGTCCTTTCAAAGAAGGTTAAAGCCACTGTGGAGGGCCTGGTACCAGGAGGGGGTCGTTTTAGGAATAAGGTGGTTATTGATTAGGAGGAAAAGCTAACTACAGAAGCCCCAAGATTCCAAGTCTTTATACCTTCCCTACTAAGCGCACAGCGCACCTTCCCAAAGGCACAAGACCTTCAAACTCTAGCAAGGCAGATTACTCTCATCAACAGTCCAGTCCTCTGCTTATCATCGCCTCGGCCAGGGACCTTCCAATTTCCTGTAAGCTCCCACCCACTTACCCCGTATCTGGACTGGCTGAACCCTTCCCCGGGTTTAGTCTAGGTGCTTGTAGATCAGTTGCCTGGTGCGATGACTAAGTAACACCCGTGCCGTGCTAGCAAATCATCTACGGCGGCATCACATCACCGATATCAACCGGACAAGGACGCCGATAACTTCAAGACCACCTAAATACGCGGAAGGCGAGACGAGACGGTCTTCGGCAACACCATTACCTCAACCTACAAGGAGTTTGTCCGTACTGTATCAATCAGTAGTTGCTGAATACCTATCTTATCTTGATTGGCAAGGCGAGTCGTATCTTCCAGACGGTGCCGATTAAGTACCTCTAAGTCTATTGGGCAGCCTGATGTGTATCAGGCCAGCCCAGGGCCTTGAGCAGCTTGGTGGCCTGGCCGCCATAGTGTAAGTTTTGCCCTCCTCAGTTCTTGACCTGGCTTTGATGCGGACTGGTTGCTGCTGACGTATTCTATCAATGAATGGCAGGATCTCGGAAACTTCTTTGTTGGGGGGCGCTGCGAGGGCAAGCTTGATGGAGACACTTTCCGGCTCTCAGCGCAACTGTCACCACGCCACGGCCATTGACGCTTACAAGCGTATCGCCGCTTCCGCTCAGTAAAAATTGGACATATAACGAAGAGTGGGTCAAGAGAAACATGGGGAGACACGGCCGGGGAATGATTGTTAAGGCGCATGGTTGGGGAAGTATGGATTTAGGACATAAAGGATTGGTTAATAGGGTCGAATATTAGAGTTCACGAAGTTCAATCTGCCATTCCCTTGACGTATGATTCGCAAACAAACTTCCCCATCCCTTGTGAGCAACATACTGTTGTAGAACGGCCAAGAAGACATAGGAAGGGAGCCGTGCCGTATTCACCCCTGAATATCCCCTCTTCCATGCTGTGTACCTTCATCAACCTAAACCCAAATCTCCTTCATACTCTCAGCATACTGACGGAAACTCTTCGGCGTGCTCCCAGTCATACTAAGAACTACATCATTCGTCCTATTTTCCGTCCCGTACTTGATTGCCGTATCCAATGAGCTCATCAAGCGCGAGTGCTCTTCTGAACAGCCAAACGACTGATGGCGGTGCTCAAGGGCGTGACTGCTGAGGTCGACATGGACAATCTTGCGACCGAGAACGGAGGAGAGGGTGTTTGCGATCTGTAACGGAGGAGGGTCGTCAGTATTAAGTTTATCGCCAACGCAAAATCCAGGGGATGTTGGGCCGTGGTAAACATGCAAAGGTAACAAGGCAGGAGACTAACAACACGCAAAGATATATCAGGGACAGAAAAAGATTGCAAAGGAAGAGAGCACAAGGATAACGCAGAGCACCCAACAAACGAAAACAACCAAGAGCCAAATGATCAGCATCATCAAAAAAAAGGAGCAAGTAAACAAAAGCACACTCACATCATCATACCCCAACAATTCGGGTCCTAGAATCAAATACTCGGTATTCGGGGCATCCTCCCTCGTCAACGCCTGCACCGCCACAGCCGCGATATCATCCGCCGACACCCATGGAATCTTCCCCCCGCCAGTCGCCGAGTACAACTTACCCTCCTCCTTGATACTCCTGACATGGCACGGCTGCTCAAAGTCCTGCTGGCACCAAGTCGGTCTCAGCACTGCCCACTCGGCCTCTCCCCTTTGGCCCAGCTCCCGCAGGTGCGCGTGCACTCGCCCCAATGAAAAGCCGCCGGGTTCCATAGCGCTAGAGGACTGCAGGACGAAGCGGCGTGTGCCGTGCTTTAGGCGGGCATAGTCCACGAATTGCATGAGGAGGGATGCTTGTTGGGAGGGTGAAGGGGAGGGGGCTCTTTGTTGCTCGTCTGAGGCGGCGAGGGAGGCGGTGCGGGAGGCGTGCGAATGGACGTGGGCGTTGGAAGGGGGGCTGTTGGGAGCTGTGAGGTAGATGGAGTGGATCATGACTGGGGTTCCCTTGGTATGGTGGGCTTGTTTTCTCGAGGTAGATGGGCTGCTTGCGGCGGCGAATTGTTGCAGGGGAGTAGTGGTATCTGCGGCTGTGTCCATCTCTGTAGGTGTTTCGTTCGTGTCTCCTTCCGACCCGCACTTGACCTTCATGCCCTCGCTCTCCATTTCCGAGCCTCTGCCAAATAGCTCCTGAGCACGAACGAAAGGGTTCTCCCAGGTGGTGGGATCGTAAAGGTCGAATTTCACGCCGTTGGGGTCCGTCCCGGGGGTGGAGGCAATCAGCAAGGGGTGCTTGTCGGACGAGGACGAGAAGAAGAGTCGGTGGGCGATGCGGGAGGGGACCACGCCGGTGCCATCGAGGAGGAGGATGGGCGATTTCCTGGGGCGCGTCATGGTCGGTGATTTGGTGTTGTTTGCGCTTGTTTGATTCGAGGTAAAACAAGATGAGGAGGAGTCGAGTTGATGAGGGGCGAAGGTCGTAGAGTGCCGGACAGTGGGAAATGCAGTGCTTTTGTAGGGTTCGTATTAGGGTTCGTATGTCGTGAGTGCAGTGACAGTTGCATCCGTTTGCTGTCGTGGATGTCTTGGCGGGCAATGTGCGTCACGGTGGGAAAAATATGACCTTGGGGTTATTGGAGAGACGCCATGATGAGATAATCATGAGGGCAAGAGCCCAAGTTATGCATCGGTCACGGGCGGCTCAGGGCGGTTGGCCGTGCTTGCCCAACGTCCAAGTGTTGTTGGAGCTGACCAATCAGATGTCGAGCATCTGTCAAGACTTTCCCGATTTGGACATTTTCTGGGAATGGACAAGTGCTTGACTTTGGAGGCGAAAAGAAATCAACCAAAGAACTGCCAGGTGCGGAGGCTATGAATATATACTTACCTTACACATTCATCGTCACCCTCCCTTGCTCACGTTGCACGAGAAGACTTGCCTTTTTCACTTCGGCTTTGGAAAATCTTCTCTTGACTTTTTCGAAACTGAATATTTAACATCCCCATAACTGAACGCAGCTATGAAACAAAACAGCGATAGCACAAAATATCCCTTACTGCCCCTTGGCATCTCTCTGACCACTCATCCTCAAACTTTCCTCAAGCGCCCTTCTAAACTCCTCCTCCTCATCGAAATCCCTATCTTCCATTTGGATGGGTCCATGGTGCGTATCAGTTTGTCCTTGGCCTTCGCTTTGAACTTGCTCCCGACGTTGCTGCGCCTGCGATACTTCCACTGGAGCTTGTACCTGGGTTTGGCCCTGGGTTTGACCCTGTCTCTGACCACCTCCACTTCCACTCCCCTCACCACCTCCAAGCCCCCTTTGACTCGTCCCGCCTCTGAACCGCTCCTCAGCTAAACTCTGCTTTTTCACCCATTCCAACACAATCGCCTCCTCGTTCTTCTCCCTTTCCTCCTGCTCCCTTCTCTCTCTATCCATTCTCTCACTTTCCTCCAGTGCCTTCCTCATCTCTTCCTCCTCCTCGGGATCCTCACCTGTCTCTCCATTGTTGGGCGTGGTTGGTGTGGCAATCGGAGTGAACCCGCTGAACTGACGGGCTGGCAATGGAGGAGGCACGCCAAAGGTGTAGGCAGACTTGGATGCCTCGATCGCCTTCTGGAGTTCCTTCTCTTCTTTGGCGCTCATAGTTGATTGCTGATACATCTGGGCGCGAATACTTCGCTGAACGGCCTCTTCGATTAGAGCTTGGTGCTCCTCGTCTGAAATGCCCGTGAAGTACTCATCAATCATGGCTTGCGCAAGCGACGATTTCTCAGGTGGGGGTTGGTGTTGGTACTCGGCCGAATATGCAGGGGGTGGTGCCCCTGGGGATGCCACATCTGCGGAAGAGGGAGGACCGGATGCTGCTTGTGGCCAAGCACCAGGAGGTGACTTGAGCTCTTCATACCTAGCTGGTACGGATCCATCATACTGCGGCGGCTGCTGGGCTTGCCAAGTCGTTTCATGCTGCATCTGAGCAAGACTGAGTCTGATAGCAGCCTCGATCTGAGCGTCTTCCTCTGCGTCACCCCTGGACGTCTGCTGAATCGAAGCTTGAATAGCCTTTTCCAGTTCGGCATCATTGCTCGCCCCAACAGCAGCAGCCACTCCGCTTCGAGCCTGTCCCTGACTAGAGCCGCTACCCGCTCCTCCAGCCGTCGTGCCAGGTGAGGCGACTCCTTTTCCTTTCCCTAGAACATCTGTTTTCACCCAGTCCCTGAGACCTCCTTTAGCTGGATCTTCCCATCTCTTCTGTTGCCACCTAGCCACCACATCCTTCACCTCCTCTTTGGTCGCATACTCGATCTCCTCTCTTCCTTGCTGCGCCCTGGCGGCAATGATATGGTTCACCCAGCCACCGCCTCTTAGCAAGTTCCTGACCTCCGCATTGAGTCCTTGCATAGCATAGGCTGGAATTGACCAGAACCCAGCAGCGGGCTTCAGCGCAACTCCACCAATACCCTTCGCGAATCCCTTAAGGAGTCCCATGGCACCTTCCTTCTCTGCGCCCCTCATGGGTTGAGTTACTAGACCTGAGATTCCGTCAAACAGGCCAAACCCAAACTCCTTGGTTGCAACTCTTAACCCGGAAGCGAAGTCCGTTACCTTCTCTTGAGGTCGAACCGTGTCGTCGTTATATAAGCGGGGAGCGTTGCGAAAGCCACGGGCAAGACCGAGACACACGTTCATGGGCATCTTCATACCCGTGTCGACAAAGCGACCCACGTTCCTGCCTGCGTCGAGAACCGTCTCATAATTCAACGCCTCTAGGTTCAACTGAGGGCTCGCAGCCCCAAAGATGTTTGCTGTGCCACCTGGTGTTGATGGACGCTGACCTCCGCTTGCAGAACGTTGGTTGGACGAGCCCATGGAAGAGCCTTGCCTGCTATCGGATGCTGAAGGTACGGGCCTCCCCTTGCCCTTGGCACTAGATGACGGCCTGGATGCCTCTTCAAATGTGGGAGGGAAGTAAGAAGACCCTGATTGGCCTTCGGGGCTGAGGGCTCCGCGCGCCTGGGGAGACGAAGCCTCGTGAGCTCCGTCTGCTGGTGTATCCGACCCTGAACCCTGCCCGTTGCCGCCAGCAACGTTGCTAGCTCTTCTACCCTGGTTGGTCTTGAAGATCTGCCTGGGAAAGTCGGCAACCGACATGGCCATGGTTCCAAGGTCCTCTACCAAAGCTGCTGTGACAGCAGAGATGGGATCCCATGGCTGACCATCGGTGACGTGCTCCTTGGCTCGGTACCTGCTCGTCGTTAGTGCTCGCGCAGGCTTTTCTCCAGTATCGATATGCACTTACAGCTTCAGGTCGGAGTACTTCAAGAACCCTTCCCTAACCAACACCTCCGCAGCAAACGAACTCAACCTGACCTTTGTCCTCCTAACTCTCCACGTGGCAACTCTGCTGGGTGACAAGCTGCACCGCATACCATCAACCTCCAAGAACTGATGAAAGCTCTTGCCGCCTTCATCAGCTCCCTTCTCCTCCTTGATCCTATTTCCGAGCTCTTTCGCCCTAGCAAGTGTCTCTGGCTTGAGCGCTTCTTGAATAGCTGCTGCCAAATTGTCTGCTGTGAGCTCCTTGTTCGGAATGGGCTTCGGTCCAGCACCAGCCTTGGCAATCATGGCTCCCCAGAACGGCTGGTCGCCAAAGAAGGGAACCACGACGGTAGGCTTTCCAGCCTTGATGCCTGCTGCGCTGGTACCTGCTCCTCCGTGGTGAACCACGGCTGAGACACGGTTGAACAGCCAGTCGTGTGGACAGTTGCCGAGCATGAAGTATTGATCTGGGCGGGGAGCCCAATCTGCTTGAGTGATGTCTTGGGTGAGGCCGATGCCACCCCATCCCTTTGAAATGAGAGCGCGAACACCAGACTTGGCTACGGCACGGAGGATAAGACGGGTCAAGGCGTCGGGGTCATCGACGACGATGGAACCAAAGCCGATGTATATTGGAGGCGGACCAGCAGCAAGGAATGCGGCAAGATCGGGTTCGGGGGTATAGTTGGTCGCCAGGTCAAGGAAGTAGAAACCGGCTACGCTGATCTCCTGGGCCCAGTCGTTGGGCTTGGGGATCAGAGCTGGAGACCAACAATATGTTGTCGGTATGCGAAGACGGTTGAGTAGTCCTGGTGCCCATAGCAGAGAAAGAGGTTCGAGGTCGAGCACCTTCTCTCTGAACCGGTTGATCACGTCCCCTAGACCCTGCCAGGTCATCATCTCCACTAGGGCGTAGGAGATGTAGTTGGTGATAGCGACGTCAGCGTTCGAGGACTGGATGTTGGCTAGAGGGTGGGCGAAGGCCTTTGTAGGCGACCAGGGCATTCTGTAACATCTCGTTAGCCAACCATCCACATAAAAACAGTAAAACGCCGAACTCACGTAAACATCATATGCAACGGCACCCCCAACTTCTCCGCGCAATGAATATGCGCAAAGCTCGGTGGATTCGCAATGATCGCATCCGCCACAAACGGCTTCCTCCCCATTCCTACTCCTGCATCTCCCGACACCGTCCACCCATCCTCCCCGATAAATGCGCCCTCGGCATTCCTATCCCCCTTCTTCCACTCCTTCGGCGCCGGTCCCGTCCCATCCCCCGCCTCAATACAACTCCTCCAACACCCCATCAACACCTCATAAACCCCCTTCCTCCGCTTCGTAATCTCCCCCGTCTTGATCGCATCAAACCCCGGCATCAAACCAGGGTGCTTAACCATAAAAGCCATCAACTCGGCTGGATCTCCACCAATGCTGAAAAACTCCAATCCGCTCTCCTCCACAAACTCTTTAAACACCGGATGCGTAGCAACCCGCACCCGATGTCCATACGTCTGCTTCAACGTCTGCCCAAGGGAAACAAAAGGCTGCACATCCCCCCTTGATCCCACAATCTGGATCACCACATTCAATCTGGGCGGCGGCGTCTGCCCCGGTTGCCCGCCCAAGCTGGCGGGGATGTAAGGCGGTGGAAGAGGACCGGTGGCGGGAGAGGGAGGTTGCCCGAGGAGTTGGTTGCGTAGGGCGGGAGCGAGAAGTTGCGAGAGCCGGTGGTTCTTTTCGGAGATTTGGATGTTGATGCGGCCGTCTTCGGTAAGAGCTGCGCCGGCTTGGAAACCGGCTTGCGAGAGGTTGAAGTGATCTAGGGAATCGCCGTAGGCTGGGGGAGGGGGTGAGGTTGGGAGGGGAGAGCCGGGTGGGGAGGGGGCCGAGGGGCGGGAGGAGGGCCCGGGTTGCGGTTGTTTTGGTGGTTGGGCCATGATGGTGGATTGAACGAAGGTTGTGATGTGTGTTTTGGTGTTTGAGATTAAGGGTGAATAGTGTTTAGTGACAAGTCCCTTTGGAAGTGAATAGCCTCTGATATGACGAGTTGTTGATGAGTGTCTTTCACACTTCCGTTCACCCGCTTTTAGGAAAGAGTTGTTGAATCTCGATGTCTGAATCAGCAGTGTCGATAAATACTGATGGTAAATGAACCGCAATGAGTTCGCCTCAAATGATCGTGACTCAATCAAAAGTTGAAAGTCGAGGATGCGTCACTCTTCTGCCGCCTTACAATCCAGACGCAAGAAGAGGGGTTGTCGCGTCGTTGTTGAGGAGACAGTTGAATGAGGGGCTCAAGTCTCGTTGCACGAAGCACGTGAGAAAAACGAAAGGAAGTTTTGGTCCGACTGGATATCGGCAGATTCGCAAGCGCCGTGGTGGATTTCAAATAGACTCTTTCTTGAGTCCTGATTGTCGGGTATGTTGTTGTATGTTCGGGTGAAGAAGAAGGAAGAGTGGTTGGATGGATTTAGACGAGCAAGAGATGAAGCACTGAGGATGCCCAATTGGGTAACTGCGATAGAGCGGGTTTGGGGCTTAGACAGGGGCTCGCGTGGCTCCCGTCGCCTGTAATTGGCCGCCCCAGCTCTGATGACGACGAACTTGTGGCGAAGGAGTTTGGGGGAAAAGTTGGAAGGGACAAACTGCACAGCCTTTGTGTCTCCTCATCGCTCCTGGTGCTTGTCTTTCTGCCGCGTAATGGCATACGCGTATTTTCGTTTGAAGCTTCATAATCTATACTTATACCTGTCTCTTAAACCGATGCTGTTGGTTTACTTCAAATCCTATGAAAACGTTGCAATCGCTAATTGTTAACAACTGCCCTCTTGGCATCCTTGTCCCTTCTCAAGATGTATATCCTGGGGGCCATCCTCGGACCAACCCATTTCCCTCCTGTAATTGCCTTCACGCGATTCTTCCATCGCTCAACTGAAACCCCCTGGCCGACTACGGGAACGTCTTCTGGTACCTTGTCCTCCTGCGCATGGCCATTCATGGACACCTCAATCCCACCATATCCCTTGACCACACCAACCGTCTCCCAGTCATCCCCCTTAACCTTCGTAGTATCCTCAGCCAAGACGTAATCGAACCGTTTCCAAAACTCCTCTTGCGCAAGGACAGACTCGTTCTCGGTCTTGTCCAGCGCAAGAACCACACTGTTCCCGGGATTCTTCCTGACAATCTTGCCCTTGCTAGGAACAGCCGATGCATACCCCGTAGCCGTCCCAAACAGCGTGACGCCCGTCATGCAAGACAGGACGTCGGCATGGACAGGCACAACGGCCGAGGATGAACTAGACGCAGCAACCTCTGCCTGTACCGTGTCGCGCAAGTACGCGAGCGCTTCGCCGCCGGGGTAGTTGAGTGACGAGATCACCAACATGCCCGTGCTAGCAACAAATGACACGGCAATCGACCCAAGCAAGACGCTCCAAGTCAAAACGGCAACCGTCTTCCCCGCCTTGATGCTCCTCCTAGCGATCCAATCCGCCCCCAGCGCCGCCGCACCGGTAAGCGAAGGAACCACGTAGAAGATGAACCTCGCTTCCTTATGCGGCTGCAGCGAGTAAATCGCCACAAACAACAGACTCGGCACCAGCAGTCCCTTCACCGCCGGTCTCACCGCAGGCTGCTTCCACGCCACGGGAATCATCAAACCCCAAGTAAGCGGATTCACCAGCAGTCTTGGGATGGCAGAGACAAAGTAGTACCACCACGGAGAGGTGCCCCACTCGCTGGAGTTTCCTTGCACAGCGTTGAAGTAGAAGCCCCAGAGCTCGGGCCAGAGGGGTTTCTGCCAGAAGTAGGAATCGAGAGGGACGGTCATGATGAGGGAGACGATGACGGCGACAATGAAGTGCGGAACTATGCGCTCCAGAGAGGTGGAGGGGACGACAAAGAGGAGCTGGAAGATGGTGGTGAAGAGGAGGAGAGCAACTTCGGAGCGGAAGATGACGCCAGCCATGACGAGGAGGGAGATGGCGGAGCGGTGGCGGCGGTGGATTAGCTCCGGGGGTGCTTGCGGGTTCGGGAGGAGGAGGGCGGCGGCGGTTGTGGCTGGCATATGTCAGTTTCGGATGTTGTTGTTGATATGAGGGAGGGTTACTTACTCAAACCGAAAGCAAACATGTTCGGTAACGTCCTCGACGCGTAAAAGATGACATGGAACTGGCTCGCCTGCAAAAGCAGGTACCATCTGGCTGCCGAACGTCCATAGGCACGTCTGAAGTTCCGCGCAAACAAAAGGAGAGCAGCCGCGTTGGCAAGACCCAGCATGCCTCTCACGATGGTTTGGGCATGATCGAAGCCGATGAGGTTGACGATGGGCTGCCCAAGTCCTGCCAAGACCACGGGGCCAACAAAGGTCCGAGGGACGGCACCGGGAAAGGTGAAATGGTCATAGTTCTGAGATAGCCTGTGGTAGGCATTTTGAAGTGGTGTTCCGTACACGAGGATGTCGTGGGTAGCTTGTATGTTGAAAGACTCTTCAACCTTGGTATAAGGGGCGATAAAGAGGTGAAGGAGGATGAGGGTCGGGATGAGGAGGGAGAGGCCCAGATCTGGCTGGATGGTAAGCCGGATGCGCAAGCAAGTGTGCAAAAAGGATAGGCATCATACCTAAAACCGATAATAACTTCATATTTTCTGGCTCGGGTTTTCACCTCATGTTTGAATGTTGATACCGAGATAAAGAGCTCCCAGATTGGGTTGTTGTTGACAGTTGCAAGGGGGTCGCCGGTGAGGCAAGATGAGTTGGCTATCGTTGACTTGGTACAATAAATATCAATGACGAAGGACAGACATCTGAGAAGATGGTACGGAGATGGTATTATCATCACCTAGAGAGAATTTAAACCATTGACAGACATCCCTATGAGGATGGTGACACGAAAATGGCTTCAGAATACCTAACTGACGAGATCTATTGCGGATTATGGATGCTCATCTTGGTGAATGCTTCCTGACACTCATTATTCTGTACAAAATCATCATCAGATGGAAACAAACAGTGCGACTGGCCGTGCATGAGCCCCTGAAACAGCAACTGAACAACTGGGAACCCCACCACGTTGCCTCCGCACACGCACCGGAGCTCTCAGTGGAGGTTTCATAGCAACCCGACCTGGAACATCCCCGCCAACTCACCAGCTAGGAACCAACACTAGCACCTGCCTCCATCACCCGTCGCGCCGCCATTTCGACCTTCACCGAGTAAACAAAACAAACAACGAGAGTATCAGGAACACCGACCCAGAAAACACCGTCAAGATGGCGACCGCAGACCCCTTTGATTCCGCCCTGTAAGTTCCCAGCGGGCCCTGCTCTGCCCCTCCTCCACTCAGATCTACACCGATCCGCCAACCGCCAACTACATCACCACCAACATCACCACCAACACCACCACCGAGCGCGCGCAACACCGGGGCGAACCCAAGCTAACCGAATGATCCCAACAGCGACCTCCTCCGCCGCCTCAACCCCAAACACACGGCCGAGCACCTCAACAACCTCATCACCCTCGCCCCCGACCTGACCGAAGACCTTCTCTCCTCCGTCGACCAGCCCCTGACCGTCAAGCGCTGCAAGCAAACCGGCCGCGACTACCTGCTATGCGACTACAACCGCGACGGCGACAGCTACCGCTCGCCATGGAGCAACCAGTTTGACCCCCCTCTCGAGGGCGGCAATCAGGGCGGTAGTGGAGGAGATGGTGAAGGTGATGGGGGAGAAGGTGGTGCTGCGGGATCAATCATGCCTGGCGAGAGGGTGAGGAAGATGGAGATCAAGGCCAATGAGGCGTTTGATGTGTACAGGGAGCTGTATTATGAGGGCGGTGTTAGTTCGGTGTATTTCTGGAATTTGGATGATGGGTTTGCGGGGGTGGTGTTGTTGAAGAAGTGTGAGTTTACTCCTACTCCGTCGTTTGTTTTGGGTTGAAACTGCAAGGAATGGATGGATGGGACGGGCCGATGCGCTTGCTTGTTGCGCTGTTGTCGGCCAGTCTACATACACTATTTGGACGTCATGCTAACTCCTACGGTTGAACAGCCTCCCCAACCAACCCCTCCTCCTCCGGCGTCTGGGACTCCATCCACGTCTTCGAAGCCTCGGAGCGCGGCCGCACCTCCAACTACCGCCTCACCTCGACCGTCATCCTCTCGCTGGCCACCAAGGGCAACACGCTCGGCGAGGTCGATCTCTCGGGTAACATGACGCGCCAGGTCGAGCAGGACCTGCCCGTCGAGAACGACGAGAGCCACATTGCCAACATTGGCCGCCTGGTGGAGGACATGGAGCTCAAGATGCGCAACCTGCTGCAGGAGGTCTACTTTGGCAAGGCCAAGGATGTCGTGGGCGATCTGAGGAGTGTCGGATCCCTGAGCGAGGGACAGAGGGATCGCGATGCGCAGATGGAGATTATTGGGAGTATGAGGAAAGCGTAAGCCAGCCACTTGAGGTGGCTGCGGTGACAAGGGGAAATGGTGGCAAAGCGAGCGGAATGCTATTGCAGTGCGATTAGCAGGCGTATTTGAAACGTATTTTTGAGAGAGGACGGCGAACATGTTTCTGCTAGGTATACTCATATCTCTCTAAGCAAATTCTAGTAATAATTCATCACAAAGTTGTCCACATAGGTCTCACCGACCAGCCCAGCCCCCGCAGACCGATTTCCCTCAAGCTCAACAGACTCAACAGATTAGAGACACCCAAATACCCCCGAGTAATGCAACACACCCAACGCCATATCTTTCAAAACGGGATTTCGCATGACCATCGATTCCCGATGCTGCGCACACCTCGAACTCCCACCAAGACATTCATTCACTTGGAATTGCTCCTGATGGGCCCAATTACCGACTTTATGAGATTTGGTGGTGAGACTTGCTTTGGTACCACCACCATTTGATTCAGTTCACTGCTCTGCCTGCCGAACTGAAGGGGATGTTGAAAGAGTTTCAAGGGTTCGTCTCGTTTATGGAAATTGTCCGCGCGATAGTACCGTACGTTCGTTCACCGCTAGAGCGCCTCGCCTCCGGATTTACGATAAGGCTTTTCGTACCACACCACACCACCCCAAGACCGACAACAACAAAAGTGACTCGAGGGTGAGTGACCGGGGAGTAGCGAAATCGGGATTCGGCAGGATCGATGTTCGGTTCTGCTCTGCCGGGGTGTACTAGTCTATCTAGTAAGGGCTTTGATGGCCTTTGGTTTTAAGATGGTAAGATGGGAGGACAGACAGGGGTGACGACGGCCATGAATGACTGACTTGCGGACAAAATACCTACTCAAACTCAACTCAACTCAATTTGGAGTTTTGCTATCATCCTTCGCCAGGAGCTATCTCCGGCAGGAGCTATCTCCGCCATCGGCACCGGATCTACGCTCGCGAAAGCACGAGATGAATATCCCCCCCAAGGGCCCAAGGTTCATCATCGACTTGACGAGGGTCTATTCTAATCGAAGAGAAATAGCCCAGGGGTATGTACGAGCCGGACTCCGGAGCTGCGTCCGCCTCCGTCATTCTTACTGTCCAATACTGGTTTGTTTGTTAGCTCGAGACCTCTGGTCAACTTCCCTAGGCTTTTTTATATTTAATCTATTCGTTTCGTTCCATAATCAAAGACGTGATCTTACCTTGAACATACCATTTCCGAAATTCAAATATGTCATATTGAATCTTATTAACGCCTTTCCGATCCGTACCTAGCCATTCAATTTATACTTATAAGGTTTAGGACAATTCGGAATAGATCTCGTCCAATATACACTACCAAGAGTACCAAGCTAACAAACCAACCAGCATTACATGATACACCACATTCATCTACATACTACGATCGACAACCCCCATACCCCTACATATATCTGATACTACAGAGTAATGGGCATGTGGAGTACGTAATGGGGTACATACACTACTTATGGGATCGATCGAGGGAGAAGCGAGGCTGAAGATGATCATTATCGCTAAGAAAAGCATCGATGCCCATCCATACAGCTAGCTAGCTGTCCAGCTGTCCAGCTTTCGTCATAGCTGAAAAACGAAGGGTGTGAATTATCCACCCGAGCCACGCGAGCCTAGCTGAGGCTTAATGAGGATCGACGTAATGCTGTTCCGAAATACCGGGACCCTGGAACCCCCGGCCCTCCACTTCCCGGTGGGCAAGTGGGCAAGTGGGCGGGCGGTGAGGATACATAGTCATCGACGAAATGCTTTGAGGTTTATCATTCAGCTCGCGAGTGGGATCGACGAGATCACGTTAGCAAGATATGTACCACGGTACGCTCCTAGCTGAGTAGGTCCCAAGCTGGGATCCAGAAGTTTGGTAAATACCGAGTCTACGAGCTAGATCAACTTTCGGTGAAAACAAAACCCCCTTGGAAGCATGAATGGAAACATGGCTTCAAGTATGTATCATTGAATACTGACTGACTGGATCCCGACCGAGGAGCTGGAACCTGCCTGCCTGCCCGTGTAAATCACTTCCTATGTATATCGCTATATGCGATGATGCCCGGGAATAGCTGATATCCGGGGTTTATCTAGGTACTCTTTAGCTCCGGAATTCGGATTTGGGAAGCTGAGGACAGCAAGCAAGCCTCTCAAAGGAGGAAGTGCAAGCGAGCGATAAGAAAGGTGAAGCATGAAGTATGTATGGGACGGGGGACGTGAGATGGATGTACAATACCGTGGATCATCATCCACAACTCGGCCTCAGGGCCCGGCTGGGCACACGGGTCACATGGGACGGGATGAGGGAACATCGCGCGGTTGATTAGGTAGTCTGATGATGGTGAAACCAAGGGTGCCACGTTTTTTTCTCTTTGATTCATCTCTTCTCTTCTCTTCTCCCACACGACTCCGTTGGGTTCATGTGATGGATGCTACGCCATTTGATGATGATGAGGTAAAGAGTGTCAACAATTGGCAAGTATACGACGGACCTGACTGGATTGGACTGGGATAGATCGACAACATCGAATCTCAAGCTCTTTCAACCGGCGGAATGTCCGAGAGCTCGCTACTTCTGCCTACACTGGGAAGTTTAAGCTGGTTCGCAAGACGGGCTAATTTGGCCCGAAAGGGACTGAAGCCTTGTCTCCCGTCCCCAGCCGCAACTTTCGATTGAGACAGACAGGATTCCAAATGGGGAAAGCAACATCATACCACTCTGCTATAAACTCTGCCGATTTTGGAACGTCAAGATGGGTCTTTGTTCGAGCCCTCCTCCTCCCTTGGACCCTTACATCATCCCGCTTGCCCGCCCGTATACGGGCCGTACGAGTGTGAGACATACTTTGTGTCACCCGAGCGGTAGCGGTAGGGTATGCATGCGGCAAAATCGGAGTTCGACTTTCGACAGACAGCAAATCTGAGCGGTTATTATCGGGGCGGAGCTCACTCCGGTCTGTTCAGTCGGCGCTGGGTGGGTCCGGTGTGCTCGTGGTAAAACGTGTAAGTAGAGATGGAGGAGAAAATGAGAGATGACGCGTACGAACGACTCGACCGGACCTGTCGCCGTGAGACTGAACCGTTTCTTCGGTATCAGTCATCAGTGACTACAGTAAGACGGCGCTGACCCCGGTAGGACCCCGGCAGGACCCTTCGTAAAGGAGCGTGTTAAAAGGAAGAGCTAGACAAATACGCGTGGGGCTTCCAAACATCGGAGCTACCGCCGTTAGACCGACCCGACTCTTTGGTACCGAGATATCACCGTCTGGGCTTGCGAGGGTTTGGCTTGGCTTGGTGTTGCCATCTTATTTCACGGCTCGTTTATGAGAGCCTTGTCTGGCTTCTTCCGGAAACGCGCCCAGCAAGCTTGCCTGCTAGGCTTTAAATGGGAGGAGGAGCGAAGTGGGCTGTCCCCTTGACTTTTTGAAGAGCTCGAGGGTAGTCGATGTGGGATGTATGCAGTAGTGTTCTGTAGCTAGACTTCGAGACCGTTAACGGCGTCAAGACCAGCGGGGAAGACTGGGAGACTGAGAGACGGGTCTGGACCCCCCGACTAAGACCCTTTCAGTTTTCGATGACCACATTTTGGACCCAACAAGCAGACTTGCTTGCGCACGTGCATTAGTGAGGCTAGATAGACGAGAGAAAAGATGATGGGAGATATTTATAATTGACCGAACGGCTGAATGTGGGAGAAGAGGGAAATGAGATGATGGAAACTTCCTCAGGTCAAGCAAGCCCTTCGGCAGTTGTTGCCGCTGTGTACGATGTTTGCTCATGACGACCCCCGTTCGATGCTGACCGATGCTGACGTTGTCGTGCTTGTCTGTCTGTGCTAACGCGCTGGTGGTCCAACTTGGGCGCCTTGACCGAAGCCCACACGCCCTGTCCTTCAGCTGAAAGGTACATGCCTCCTTGTAAAGTCGTATTTGAGATTTTGAGGCACTTGCCTTGGCCGAGATGGGTTTGGATTTTGGTACTTTGGGAGCAAGCGAGGCCATGTGAGACGAGGCGAGTAAGGGACAAACGGGTTGAGCATCAGCGTTGTCCAGCTCGCGTAAATGCGCTATGCAGCAGGGAAATTAAGCTGTGTAGTCGTTGGTTGAATCCCGAGATAACTGGAGAGAAGAGGAAGATTGAGACACGGGTTGGGAGCAAACAACATCCATTGCATCGATCTCACGTCGGCGATCGCCCTTGGAGGCTGGCACGCACGCGGCTAGCATGCTGCGGTACCCGCCATCCGTTCGTTCGATGTTCGCTCTCGCTTGTTTCTCGTGTCCCGTTCGGTCCAGTCTGAAGCCGTCTCGTCTCGTCTCGTTTCGTCTCATCCGTTTCCCACGTTCCCCGTCGAGGGATGCGCGAGTTGTGATTCGAAGGGTCAAGGGACAAGTGTTCATGCGTCAAGCTCTGTTTCGGTTTCGTCCTTTGAACCCCCCGACCCCCGACTCCAGGAAGATGCATGCATGCGCAAAGCGGAATCGACGGGTTCCCACTCCGGACGGACTGGCCGGGAGCCATTCAATTTCTGGAAATGTTGAAGAAGACTTCTGGAAGGCTGCGTGGTGGGCGGTAATTGGACGTTCTGTGGGATAATGGAAGGGTGACAGTGAGTGAGTGGGTGTGTGAAAGGATGATGGTGGCGAATTTGCGATGGTTTTTTTTCTGTTGTCCTTAGTGCTTACCCCTGAAGCAACGGCAGCACCGAACAATTGGCACCGGAGCGGGTTGGCGGGAGCGACATCGCGGCTCGGCTGGAGGAGGAGGAAGACGGAGAAGGTTGCTGGAAGTGGAAAAAAAGGAAGGAAAAAAAAAGCCGCCGCCGTTTATCAAACCCCTGAATATCCGCATCCGCACCGCACTCCGCAGTCTCTAGCAGTTTAACACACCAATGGCCGATGACGGCATTGACACCGACTAGCTCAGTCCTTGACATTTTAGCCTTTTCCCGTCTCGTTTAATGTCTTTGTTTTGGAGTGGCAGATCATTGTTGAGTGGGAGAGAATCGGGAGAATCATTGCTCCCGGACAAGTCGTTTGAGAGTCGGGAAAAGGGGAACGGCCGAGGGATGGAAGGTTGAGGCTATCATGATGCTACCCACCACGCGACCATCTTGCAGACGTAGCTGCATATCGAAGCTGTACGTTAAATGAGATGCTCACAAGTTCGCTGCAGCCAACCATTAGCTTCCATTGGTCCATCCATTGCCTCTTGCTCTTTATTGTCTTGTCTCTCATCTCATTGTCTCTCAACACGATTCCCTCTTGTCCGACGTGGGCGCCGAGTGTGCAGAATCTGGTTTAGCACATTCCTTATCCGAGGCTCTGTCGGTCTTGGTATCGTTCGCTTCTCTGGGTCCTCTAGTGTGGCTGCTTTAAACCTAGACGACGACGGGTTGCAGTGTGTCTCGGCAGCAGAGACCGGCCTGCGTCGGAGTATGGTGCTGAGATTTTAATGCGATTTTTAACGACCTCAACTCCAATATTGTGGCTGTATCGTTTCTCACAAATATCATGATGCCAAGACCGTCTTATGACTCCGACTCCTCCCAACAAAGTAAGCACTGGCTAACGGCCAACCGTCCCTGCTGCCATTGCCATGGTTCGGTCCAAGAGGACAAGGACTCCGGAGTCGTTTTCCAGGATCGTGTCGTTGTGCTGATGCGAGTCCGGCCGAAGCGAGAGACACAAAAAGCCCTCTCTCAACGGGGGGAAACGGAGGGGGTCGTCCTTTTAGAGCCCTGGACAGTGAAGCCCTGGACAGTGAAGCCCTGGATGTATGATAGCGAGTGATGGCCATGTGAACATGTTTGAGGCTGTCCATTCCATGATGCTTCATGCTGACCAAGGTTGATGTTGATGGACAGTTGCGAAACGTCCTCATTTCATTGTGCATTTTGCCCACTTGTACAACTCTTTTCTGGAATGCGGGACGGATGGATTGGCATAAAGATCCCACTTAAAGCCGAGAAAGTGGTGCTCCGCCGCGGTGCCTGGTCGTTCCTGGTTCAAGCTTCGGTTCCTGGCGAGAAAAAAAGCAGTCGCTGCTGGGTCGCTGGGTCACCGGGTCACTGGTCACTTCGTTGCGGGCGTTCATCCCGTCCTTCTTTCGTCTTGTCTTTCTTCTAGGTTTCCGTCCGTGCCTCGATCCACCTCCGTTTTGTGCACTTTGGATCTTCTTGGCATCGGTGATCTCTGATCTTTGACATCAAGATAGTCAACAACACCAAGGCATACATGAAAAGGCGAAATTAGCACAGACATCCAACCCTTGCAACACACACACACAAACAGTCTGTCGGAAGGTGACAAGCCATTTGCAATCGAGTGGAGGAGTGAGGACGGAGGAGCCCGTCGTAGATCTCCATCCACCGATCCAGTTGCCTGAACACTAACTGGGCCGTCCACTGGCACGCCACCACTACTGCTGAGCTAATCCATCTTCCGGTGCTAGCTGCAGAGCCGATCGACTGGATAATTTGCCCAACTTCACTTTTTTCGTCTTTTTTTTCCTCCACCACCCACCGTCCACGTCCACGGCTCCAGTCCCGTCCCCAGTCCCCGGTTTCCAATTCCCTATTTTATGGAATCCCTCTACCCTTAAGTTTTTTTGTGCTCACTTCACACCTCAACAACAGGGACCGGCACTCTTTGCTTTTTGCTCTCGATATCTGTCTCCATCTTCCCATCTCCAGTTGTCGTCTATTTATCTGCCCCGGAGATTCATTTTCATCTTACAAGCGGATATCTGACCCATCCTCCACCCCAACCAAAAAAGCAAAAGAGACCCATCGCCCAACCGAGAGCCGCACTACTCTATCTCTACTCCAGCAGTTCCAGTTTCGCTCCTCTCTCTCCCAGGTTCTCCCGACTTTCTCCTCCTCGTCAGGACCCTCCCCCTCACTCTCGGCTGTCACTTGGAAACTCTGTTTGTGCGGTTCGCCAATCGTTCCCAAGACACATCCTTCCCAGCAGGGGTTTCCCGACAAGCAATCTCAGGGGAACGAACCACCAATTCGACCCTCCTCCTCTCTCTGCACACGCCTTATCGCGTCCTTGCTCGCAATCTATATACGTCGGGACATTGCGCGCCGTGAAAGGAGATAATATCAATTTCTTCTCCAGTAGCAAAAACACACGGCGCTGCCAGCGAGCGAAGCGTCCAGCAAACTTACACCGGCACTGCGGCAATCGAAGCCCATTTTTTCGACCCCGCGCATTGAAGTGGCCCCCCTCATTTTAGGAGCCAACAAGAACCAACCGACGAGAAGCGAAGGATCTCCACGACAACACACCACACATCTTCGCAAGCAAGGAGCAAACACACACCCAAACACCCACGTAAACAAGACGACAAGATGGCCGAAAAACCGTCGGTCCTCATCATCGGTGGTCTCGGCTACATTGGCCGTTTCCTCGCCCTTCACATTCACAAGAACAACCTCGCTTCCGAAGTGCGCGTTGTCGACAAGGTCCTGCCCCAGCTTGCCTGGCTAGCGCCCGAGTTTGAGGAAGCGTGCGCGGGATCCAAGTTCATGCAGGCGGATGCGAGCAGAGAGCGTACGTGTTGTCCAACCCCGACTCCGACTCATTGGGATTCACCATCCCTGTTCCCGCGTTGCGTATTGTCCACATCGGATGAAATTGACTAACGCGCGCGCCCACAGAGTCTCTCCAACGGATATTTGACCGACCCAACGGAAAGCAATGGGACTATGTCTTCAACTGCGGCGGTGAGACGCGCTACTCACAGGAGGACGAGGTGTACAAGCTGCGCTCGCTCGAGCTGTCGCTAGCCGTGGGAAGGGAAGCCGCCAAGCGGGGTGTCAAGTGCTTTATCGAGCTGAGCACGGGAATGGTCTATAAGCCGGACTCATCGCCAAGCAAGGAGCAGGACAAGCTGAAGCCATGGAGCAAGATTGCCATCTTTAAGCTGCAGGCCGAGGAGGAGCTGGCCAAGATTCCAGGGTACGTTTTGACTTGACTCACCTGCTGACCACCAGTCCGTGTATGCGCATATCGCTGACATCCTTTCCTTCCATCCAGACTCAACCTCGTCATCGTCCGTCTCTCCCACGTGTACGGCCCGTACGCGTCGCAATGGGTCGCGACCGCCCTCTGCATGGCGCGCGTCTACCAAGCCCTCGGGTCCGAGATGAAGTGGCTGTGGAACAAGCACCTCTGCACCAACACGGTGCACATCCACGACGTGACGCGCGCCCTCTGGCAGGTGGCCGAATGGCACTCAGCCGGCAAGGCCAAGTGGGACTCGGCCAAGATGGGCCCCACGCCGACCTTCAATGTGGTCGACAAGGGTCACACGACGCAGGGGACCATGGCGGACCTGATCGGCGACGTGTTCGGCATCAAGACGGGCTTCCAGGGCACCATCATCTCCCAATTTGCCAAGATCCACCTGCACGACGTGGTGGAGGACGTTAACGACGAGTTGCTAGGCCCTTGGGCCGGCCTGCTCGAGGACGCGGGGATAACGAAGCCCGGGCCACTGACGCCCTTCATGGAGGAGGAGCTGATCAAGGATACAGACTTAAGCATGGACGGGTCGCGGCTGGAGGAGCTGGTCGGGTTCAAGTATGAGAAACCCCAGATCAACAAGGAGCTGTTGCAGGAGGTTATCGAGAGCTATAAGCGCATGAAGTGGTGGCCTTAAACATCATGACGAAGAAAGGGTTATCGATGACGGAAGGGGTACAAACACAAATGGAACATTTCAAAAAATCTGCCGGAGTTTATCATGTCTTTTTTTTTTTTTGGTCGTTTTCGGTTGGTCTCGGTAGTTCGGGGGTCTGTCTGGTTTCGGGTCGCGATGCGTTATGAAGCCTTTTGGTTGGGTTGTCGGTTGGTTGGTCGGAGAATAGGATCTAGCATGGAGGGATGTCATGGAAGGGAAAGGGAAGAGGGGAGTTGAAAGTGAAATCATCGTCGTCGTCATCATCATATATCTAGGGCAAAGGCTGAAGCCTCCCAGGAAGAAGTTGTTGCGAGTTGCTGGACTGGAGCGAAGATGGTATGGTATGATATGGTACGGGTTAATGTACTATTAGGATATCCGTTTTAATTAGAGTCAGTTGTTGTTGTCATTGCTGAGGTACCGGGTCTTCGTCTCTATGAGTCGGTGGTCGGTGGTCGGTGGTCAGTGATGGGAGGTAGGTGCTGGGGACTCGGGACTCGGGACTCGGGTCTGAGTGTGGGAGGGAGAGGGGGTTTATATAGTTGAAAGGTCCAATACACGAGGAATTTGATGACAATGAATCTGACTGTTGGACTTGTTGACGCCGATGTTGGTGACTCGACTGTTGGTGGTCGCTCGGTGGTGGTTGGTGTTGCATCATGTCGGTTGGTGGTGGTCATCCATCTCCAACACGAAAACCCCCACAACAATGAATTTGGTGTTGAAGACCAACACCAACATACTCAACCGGAAACAAAGAAACTATTCCGACCTTCCCAACGCCAAAGGTTGCTCCAACTTGCGCCCACTCCTGGTCTTGTGGTCTTGAGAGCTCTTGCGGTATCCAACTCGTCAACCCTACCCTAAAAGCTAATGACAACGTCCCCTCGGTGATGGTGTCGTCTTAAGTCTTGACTCTTGGCTACCTTGGTATATCCCTTGGTGGAAAGGTCGAAGGTGGTGAACGCGAATCGTTCTCAAGCGACTGTGTTCTGGTCTGGGGCGACTGTGTGGGGCCATACAAATCTCAAGTCCACACGGACCACAACTCTAACCACTAACCCTAACCCGGGTGAACGAATTCACATGTCACGAGAAAGACACCTCGGAGAGTGATGACTCGGGAGTGGCTTGGGGGTCAAGGGTAAGCCATGGGGGAGGGGGTCTAATTACCCCGCATCTGCCTTTTGTCAGCGCGACTGTTGGATTTTGTTCTATTCCAGTTGAACGAATTCCGACATGAAATGTTGTAAATATCAGACGTTTCTGAAGCAAAACTAAACGCTTTTTTCTTTTCTGGTGATATGTACATACGTAAGTTCGTGCAGTGCGCCCTGCCTTTGCCCAAATTCTCGGGGCAAGTCACGCATATCATGTCAGGTCAGCATGTCATCGCAACAACGGGCGGCGCGCGCGCATCGCAGACGCATTGCATGAACGCAGCGCATCCGCCATCCCACCTCTTGTCTTCAGGGCATAGAAGGCGAGTCAATCGGTGGGAGAGACACCTCTTTGGGAAACGAGTGACCGGTATTGACTCCAGATGGAGATAAATCATAGATGATTGAATTTTTCCAGCCTACGATTTCCACCGAGTCGTGGTCTTGTGGCTCACTGGACTATCGAGACCTGCGAGATGGTTGTGAGATTGTCTGTGAACCGAAACCGCCGAGAGACCCCCCCTTGAGTCCGTTAAACCCCCTGAGCTATGAAAGGGATTCCCCGCACGCTTGACAAAGCAGCATCCCAAAAAGTGCGCGACGTCACTGTTTCTGCTTGCTGGGATGATGCTGTGAGGATGACCAGACGATGGAGCTCTTTTCAGCACTCCTCAGCAGTGCCATTTCCCCTGCCTACCTTATTTGCGCTAAAATCTTGTCAGACTGCCCATTGGGATTGTGAAGGTACTTAGAAAAGTTGAGGCGATTTTTTGCATTTGCGCTTGCGACAAGTCGGATGAGTTCCGCATCTGTCACTGTTGTACCGTCTGTTGGAGGCTGCTTGTGTGCGACGGACAGGACAGGACGGGAAGAACAGACGACAGGGGCAGACATGATGGGATGGAACGAACTGAAGATTGGCAGATTGGGGGCAGCACAGCAGCATGTGTGTGGTCAAGCCAGCCGTTTACTGTACCTCGGTCGGGACCAATCCGAAGTGTCGAGTTTTCTAGCCCGTGAAGTCGCGGTACCGCAATGGGCAAAATATGGGCGCTCAGGTACCGCCGAGAGGCTTGGAGCGGTTCCTGTCAGATTCAAGGGTGGTTTTAGCCATACTATATAGAGGTTAGCGCTCCAGCCACCTAATATTGCCTGATTTCTAGGCATATCTGGGTTACTTCAGCACCCCCCATACCTTCTAGGCGAGTTAGATATATATACTCTTCAATTAATTAATTCTATACTATTACATCTAACAATTAACAGTCTAATTTGCATATTTATGTTTAACGCTATAATTATCGATTATAAGTAATATCTCTACGAAATTAATAACGTTAGCTATATCTTTATTAAAAAAATCTACCGACAAGGCTATTATAATCATCTTTAATACCCCTACCGACTGGCCCAATTAATATAAAGCTCTCAAAAGTCTCGCTAATAATAATTAGGATATTAGTAATTAGCTACTTAAGGGAGAACTTATAATTTAAAAGGTTTTACCCCCGAAGCCGGAAGACTTCTTCCTTACTAAGTAAGTAAAAGACCGCTTTCTAGCAGCAAAAAAAGAATTCGTTAAATTCAATAAAGGAATTTAGGTTAAAAAGGTCGTAATTATAACCGTAATAATTACTATTATTATAATTACTAATACGAATAGTATTATTACCGAAACCACTACTATTACTTAATTTCAAAAAAAGCCGCTGCTAGCGCTAATAAAAATAATAAAGAAGGAAATTTAGGAAAAGAAGATAAGGAAGAGGAGGATAATAAATACTATACCGAATACGATATTAGGGAAAATATAATTATTAACCCTTCTACCAACTTAATAGCTACCGGGAAAGTAGCGTACGATTAAATTAATAATATATATAATATTCACTATAAATATTAGAAAATTTTTAATAATACTAATACCCGAATTTGTAATTAGATGAGCACTTATATCGCCCCCTACTATATTGATACTTTAGTTAAATAGGATAAATCTACCCGCGATTGATTTAGAGAAATTAAAAATTAAATTAATTATTAACTTATCGATTAAATTTCTAAAGCTCGTTAAAATTATTAAATTCTTATTAAAGAAACAATAACGAAGTAACCTAAGGGTTTCGAAAAATAACTATTTAATTAGGAAATCCTTATTGTAAATAGGAAGAGATTCGGAATTAATAAAATAATTTCCCCTATCTTATAATTTATTAATTTTATTAATATAATCTATAAATATAAACCTATCTAAGCTAATAACTCTTAGAAATTTAATAACGAATTCGAAGAAATATTTTTTAAAATATAAAGACGTATTCGCTAATTTTAAAAGGGTTAATATATTCGAACGTACCGTACTATTAATTATTTTTAAAAAGAAATATAATTTGTAACGCTTAGAGTATTAGCTACTTTAGTTCGTAAAAGTTCGCATTTAATAAGGAAAATACTCCTAATTCTAATTATAAAAAGAAATAGAAAGTAAATGTAAGGAAGAAATATAGTATGGATAAAAATATAAAAGATTCTTTATAGCCGAAAAAAAGAGGAGGCGCTATACCGCTTTATAAAGTTTACGAACGAAGCCTTTACTTAATAACGTACTATTAATATTTAATATTTAAAATTAAGGATAATCCTAAATAGAAGCTAAACAACCCTATTTAGAAATTTATTAATAAGAATTTCGAAAAATATCCTAAAATTCATAAAGAGGTTAAGAAGGCTAAGAACTAAATATAGGACTATTTTATTACCTTTGCGTAAATTATTATTTGAAAAAATTAAAAGAGATGAAAAATTAATACTTATAATTTAATATTTCTTATTAAATAAAGTATTTTCAACGCGAATAGCAGTAAAGGTAATATTTACTTACTTAAGAATTTTGTAATCTTTAATTCTGGGGCTTCTATTTATATTTTTAACGAGATTAATTGTTTCTCTTCGTTTCGAGCAATATCCTTAAAGGACTACGTTTAGGCTAGTGAATTTTAAATACTTATTAAGGGTTTTAGGATTATTAACGTAAAAGTATAAAGAGAGAGGGAAATTTTAAAATTATAGTTAAAAGAAGTAGCCTTTTACCCTAACTTTACTATAAATCTTATATTATTATGCCTATTTCGAAAGTAAAATTTTTATTAGAATTATAAACCCCTTAGCAACTACTTCCGTTAGCTAAACGGTTCATTCTTTTATTTCCTTTAAAAAATTTATTACTAGACGGTCCTCGAATACTTACCCTTTCCTTCAACCGCGCTACCTTTTTTATTCGTCGAAATCGCTTCAATTCCTTTACTGGTTATTATATATATAAAATACCTACCAAATTTAATATAAGCGATTCAGTTATTATAATCTTTGAATCTTCAAACACCTTTATAATATCGAAGGCGCTAAATTTAAAGGGCCCGCCACTTATTAATACGACGCGTACAATATTTTAAAAATTAAATAATAAATTAAACGGAAACTATAAAATAAGGGATTTAGCCTAGGAAAACGTTTCGCTATTGATTTCTTCGAATATAAAGTAGGGAAAAGTAACTTTAAATATATTATATTTATTACCTATCGATGAATTAGATTCATTTAAGATATTTATATAGCAAACCAAATAATTAAGGCTATTGTTAAAGGATTCCTGTCGGTTATCGACACAATTAATTACTAGTATAATGTTAAAGTTAAATATATTAAATATAATAATAAACTCAATAGTTAATACGTCAGGAATAAATTAATTATACGCTGTATTATTTTCGAACCCTTAGTATTTAATACTCAAATTTAAAACGGTAGTATTAAGCATTTAAGGAGTATAATTAAATAAAAAGCGCATATAATAATAAATAATATTAAACTCCTTTATAACCTCTAGCGTCAAATCGTTTTAACTTTAATTTATTTTATTAACTAATTACTTAAATATTTCTATAACTAGAAATTACTATACGAATAATTTTATACCTTCGTAGCCTACCATAAAGGGGTATAAACTAAGCTCCGCAAACTTAACTTCAATTATTTATATATCTATAGTTATAAAGTATATATAATAATAGGTACTATATCGAAGAAAAGAAAATAGCGTAAAAAACTTTAATTAAAGGTTTAAATCGAATTCTTTATTGGCTATGCTACCTTTTCCATTTATTAAATTTAGCACCTATAAATTAATTATATTGTTTATACCTATAATATACTCTTTAATAAAGATTTAATTTATTTAAGGAACCTTAATAATTTTAAAGAAGGATTAAAATTAATTAGTAACGAGATTGCCGATTTACTTAACTAAATTAATTAATTACATTAATTATCTATATAATATTTCGAACCCTTCAATGTAACTAAAAATATAGAAAATAATAGTCTTAACCCTCTCCTACTACTACTCTTCGATAATAAATTTTAAAAAAATAATAACCAAACTATTTCAAAATTAATAAAACCTACCGCTTAGAGTAAAATATCTATCGGCTTTATATTTAATTACCCTACCCTATTAAATATATTACTAACTATTCTTATTACCGGCCTTATAATAAATTTACTAGAGCCTATCTCCTTCCCAACTTTCGAATTATAAGAAATTGTATTTAATACTAGGAAATTTATTTAATTAATTAGATAGTAATAAGGCAAAATGATTATAAAAGTAGAAATTAACTGTTTAATTTCTAAAAGTAGTAAATTAAATTCTATTAAACGTTAAAACCTCAGTCCAATCCTAAAGATTTACTGTAATTTCGAATATTATAATTTAAGTAATCTCTTTAAGCAAGCAAAAGAAATATATTTCGATAATTATAAAGAAATAAGGTTATAAATTGAAATCCATAAAAATTTTCTTCGTACTAAAAGTTCTTAAATCTTCGATTATAAATAAATATACGTATATAAATTTAATAACTATAGTCGGTTATTGAAAGTAAAGGTTCGCCTCGTAATTAAAGGAGACTAGTAGTATAATTATAGTAAAGAAATGTATACTTTTACGTTAATTAATCGTTTATTTTGGTTAATCATCGCCTACGCCGCCAAATTCAATCTCGAACTCATTTAATACAATATAATAAATGCCTTCGTTAACACTTACTTTAATAAGAAGATCTATATACATATACTTCCTAATTACTAAAAGTATAGTACTATCTTTAAAGTCCTTAAGGCCCTCTATAGTCTCCAACGAACTTCTTTACTATAATAACGAGAATTTAATAGGACTTTCGAAAGCCTAGGGTTCAAACCGTTACTCAAAGACCTATATATTTTCAAACGTAATAGAATCTTAATTTTCTACTACGATAAGAATATTATTTTCGCCTTCAATCAATTATAATATAATAAAATTACTTAGGTTACAAAGAAATTAGAGGAGAAATATAAATTTATTACTAGTAATAACTTTTAATAATTTCCAAGTATCGAAATCATTCGAAACTAAGAGGCAAACTATATTTAATTATCCCAACGGGAACATATTTATAAAATTACCAAATTAATTAATAATTCTTATACCTTCGCCTTTATCCCAATAAATAACGAAGAATTTATACCTTATAATAGCGTAACCTCTTTTAATAAAATCCGGGAATATTAAATCGTTATTAGCTTTATAATATACGCCGCCGTAATTACTCGGCCTAATATTACTTTCGCCGCCAATCGATTAATTCGCTACAATTATAATCCTGGTTCTTAATATTATAAAATTACTAATAAATTTTTATACTACCTTTAATACTACTTTAATTTCTCCTTCTATTACAGTAAATTAACAAAATTCGAAATCGTCTTAAATATATCGTACGCTGATAATTTTCTAAATCGAAAAAGTTCGTATAAATTTACCTTTAAACTCTTTAATAATTCAATTTATTAAAGTATAACTAAATAAAAGATAGTATTTACCTTAATAATAAAAGTAGAATTATTATCGATTTCAAACGTCATTAAAGAAACTATTACTATTATACATTTATATAAGGAAATTAATATTCCCCTTAATAAGGATATACCCGTAATCGGTTATTATAATATATATATAATCCGTATATTAATTATTAAGGTAGCTAAGCTAATAATTAAATTGAAGTACGTCGATATTTATTATTATTCATTAAAATAAAAGATTATAGAAGGAAGGATTAAAATTAAATATTTAAAGACGAAGAAAATATTAGCCAATAAATTAATAAAGGTTTTAAAATAATTAGATTATAAAAATTTCCAGGAATTAATAGGAATAACAAATATACTAGTTCGTAAGGAAATAAGAATAAATAAGGAAATTCCAGATAATATTCTAGAGAATATTTATAATTTAACTAGAGAAATTAATATACTAAAAAAAGATTCTATACATAGCTTTACTTTTACTTTATTTAGAAGGTCTATAAATAAAGGAGTATATTAGATTCAAGGGTGGTTTTAGCTATACTATATAGAGGTTAGCGCTCTAGCTACTTAATATTACCTAATTTCTAGGCATATTTAGGTTACCCCAGCACCCCCCATACCTTCTAAGCGAGTTAAACATATATACTCTTTAATTAATTAATTCTGTACCATTATATTTGATAGTTCCTTGTAATAGTCTAAGGATGGGGAGGGTACGGTGGCCTAAGTGTTAGCTATAATCAATTGAAAAAGTTTGGTCAGAAAATAGCCCGTGCCAATTGTAAGCACCAGATTTATGCTAAAGAGTAGCTTCTATAATCTAATATAATACCCTCTATTGAACTAATGAAGTAAAGTATTGGAGTAAAGCAATGAAGTAAAATATTGGAGCAAAATAATGAAGTAATAAAGTAATAAAGCAATAACTAGAGGTAACAAAAAGACCAAAGGCAATAAAAGTCAACTAAAATTAATAGAAGTTAATTAAAGTTAAAGGGATGTAATGAGTTGAGACTTTGAGAGTTAATGAGATTTGGGAGCCTCGAGGTTTGCCAAGATTTAGGGTAGTAGTGTAAATAGGTTCCCCGGTTCTCCAAATTTTGGTCAGAGAGTGAATGAGAGCCTTAAAGTTTACTAAGACTTTCTTAAGGTAGTAGTACCAGTTGTTCTCTAAATGTTGGACTTTAGGGTAGGGTATTAATATAAATAGATCCCCCTGCCCTCTTGCTCTCCTCGGATAATGGGAATTTATCGGAATTGGGAGTTAATGGTTAATGGGAGTTAATGGGAATGAATGAGAGTTAATAGGAATAAATAGGATTTGATGAGAGGTGTAGGAGTTAATAGGAGTTAATGAAAATTGTAATAAGTAATATAATACCTTTGGATAGGTATAAGTCTTTAAGTATATAAGTGATATAGAAGCATTAATATAAAAGGGCTGGCAACTACCTACAATTGAGAGCTCGGACCAACTTTCAATTGATCATAGCTAACACTTGGGCCACCGTAGGAGGGATCCATTGTCCTGCCACGTCCATGTCCATGTCCGATGTCAAGCATGCTCGCTGCTGCAAGCTGATGAATGCACCCCACTTCGGCCGTGATGGGACGCGGGATTCCTGTACAGGTACCAACATAGAAATGTGAGGTTATAAGATCGAGTGACGACCCTGGTTTTTCTTCCTCGAAGCTTTCCTTCGTGTTTCTCTTTTTTACACTTTCCTCTCAAGTTGTCAAGTTCTGAACCAACTACCCGCATACAAGTATATACCCATCTGTGAGTACTTACCACTATACCGTTGGTTCCGGTGCTTCGTGTTGGAGACGGGAGCGAAACCGCGCCAGCTGTGCCGTGTCTACAAGCCTGCTACGGTATCCCCCAAAACCCCGAAGTTGAAGTATATAAAGGAAGCCTCGTCGCTAACTGCCATCTATCCTCTTCAACAGCTCATCTTTCCCCAAACAACCAAACAAAACCGTCAAAATGGCCGCTCCCGCGAACAAGACCATCGGAGACCTCTCCGGCAAGTGGATCATGGTACGTTCTTTCCTCGCTGTCTGCCCGCTCTCTCACAACATTCGCCAGTCTGCCTGTAAACGCCACTCACTAACCACACCTCTCCCACCCCCTCTAACAGAACAAGTCCCTCTCCTCCAACGTCGACCCCGGCCTCAAGCTCCAAAACATGAGCTACCTCACCCGCAAGCTCGTCACCTCCGTCACCCTCACCCTGGACATCAAGCAATTCTCCGCCCCGCCCTCCCCTCCCGCCGAAGCCTCGGCGCCCGCAGTCATCCACATCGAGATCGAGCAGACCGGCACCGGCGGCATGAAGGGCACTTCGGAAAAGCGGTGCCTGGACAACGTCTTCCGCGACCACAAGGACTGGCTGTTTGGACACGTCAAGGGGCAGACGCGCTGGGCCAATGCCGAGGACGTGGAGGAGGATGCCTTTTTGAAGAGCGGCTGGCTCGAGGGCGAGGAGGAGAAGAAGGGTCCTAATGGCGAGAGTCATGTTTTGTCTTATGTGGAGAGCTATGATGATGGATGGACGGCTACGCAGGTGTGGGGGTTCAAGACGATTGAGGGTGAGAGGAGGCATGTGCGGAATGTGGTGATTGCGAAGGGGAGCGAGAGGGTGGAGTTGCAGTTGGTTTATGATTACCTTTCTTAAGTGCCCCGAGAGGGTAATGGTGGTGGTCATTTTGAGGTGTGTATTGATACCTAGCTATGCGATTTGCAATTTTACGGATTTGAAAGTAGTGCATACTGAGCTTTGAGCACTAAGCGTTGAGTTGTGAGTTTTGGGGTGATCAATGGTGATGGCTCATGGCGATCGGCGTGAAGCAAAAATCCGGGGGAACTTGGCGGAGTGGAACATCTTCATGAACCTGGTCCAGAAAAGGCAGGTCTCTTTCGGCTCACTATCAATGCCAAGGCATTTGAAGCGAAGAAATAAACTCTGGGCAAAGGTCTTTCGGCACGTGTCATCGTGGTAAGTTGCGTTTTTGTGTTCATCTTGGTGCGTTGAAATATCGCCAATGCTTACATGTCAGAGCTTAGGTGATGCCCAATATCCATGATATTTGTGTTTCAAGTATTGCCGCCGCCCTTGGTATCTCTGAGTTGATCGCTTCTTCTTCAGTTTGAAGGTCCGAGGGGAATCTGAGCGCCAACAGTATCTCTCCCATGACAGCATTTGCCAGTAAATACCCTTTTGCCGGTTCCATGCTGAATGCTCCTGTTCCCGCCCCCTTCCTTTGTAGCGATATGAAAACCAACCATCTAAGCCTGAACGCCATTGATAACGTAAATGAAGTCTTTCCTTTAGGTTATCGGGGAACTAACGGCCCCTCAAGAGAGCCGCAACTGCACAATTCCCCTGTCCTCCGGAGCCGTCGAGCCCGTATCTGAGCGGCTATCTGGGACCGTCTGATCCATGACTCTTCCGCTCTTCATTTTTCGGTATCTCTCACCCGATATCCATAATCCCTCTCCAGCACCCCCTTACGCAGGCCTCCTCTTAACAAACTCCTCCAGATCCGCCACCGTCGCCACGCCCAGGACGAACCGCCTATTCTCATCCGTGATGACAGCAAAGTCCTGCTTCTGGCCTGCCGTGGCAACGCCGGCGAAGAACGCCTCGAGCTCCTCCAGCGGCGTCTCCATGGTGATGACCTGGTACTTTGCGCCGCCCCTGCGACGGAAGCGCATCATGGCAGTGCGCACCTCGTCCTCGGGCTTGACCTCGCCGCGCTCGAGGCGGGCCTGTAGCTGCGGGATGGAGATGTAGCCGAGCAGGGCGCGGGTCTGCGAGTCGATGATGGTCAGGTGGGTGTATTCGCGCTCAAAGGCGGAGAGGAGGGCGAGCGAGATGGGGTCCGAGGGGTTGAGGGAGAGGGCGGCGGGGGGGTCGAGGTCTTCTACTGTGGCCTGGGAAAGGGGTCAGTTTTTGAGAGGGGTCAATTTCGAGTGACGCGGTGGGTTCAACACCAAGTGGCACGTTGACGATGGAGACAGGATGCTTACCCCGCGATATCTGGAAGCCCATTTCGAGACAAAGGGCTGCTGAAGCTCGGGGACCGAGGGCGATCCTTCTGTAGCTATGGGCTGCGCCATGATATCAGTCATTGTGGTGGGATCGTGTTTAGGTCGGCAGTATAGGTCGGCAGTATTAGTCGGAAGAGTCGGCAGTGCTACGTGTTGTCCGAGAAGTTTTCCGTTGTGATCGATCGTTGCTCAATTGCTAAGTCCCGTTTCGAAGTTGAACCAAAAGGGTGCCCTGAAGAAGGCAGTTAGAAACACTTTTCTGACCAATCAGGTATCACCATGAGAGTTAGTCAGGGCGTTTGGGTCCACCAGGGCCACTCGCTACAGGGCTATTGTGGGCGGTGACAAACAGTGGGTGCACTTTCCGTGGGCTCCGGGTCGTGGTGGAGCATGCTTCAGTTTGGTCCCTTTTTCCAGTTCTGTCAAGAAAATGACTTCTCTCCCCGCTCTGCACTTTAAAGAGAGCATATGTCTCTACGACCGCCTTCTCATGTCTTGGGAGCAATGATCTGGATATTCAATATGTCTATTCAAACCCTCTTTAAACTCAAGCACCTGTTGTATGGCATTAGACTGCAAGAGCTAGGTACCTAGCCCGCTGGACCAGCACGATAAGGCCCGCGATAAGACAAGATAAAGAAACTCCAGGTGGGCCTTCGACTGGCTGTGATGTCACACCAACGACGTCACCAAAACAATCCGGCCTGCCTCCATTCAGAGATACCTTAACCATGTACCCGTCTCACACCTCCAACGCTGCCGCATTACTGGTCAGCTTCTTTCAAAATGGATCGCGATTGCCCGGTTTTGGACCTTGATGGCTGCCATGACGGGCAGGACACCGGCCTACCCGGACTCACGGAGAATAACATGCACTCTCCAGCTTGAAGGGAAAAGAGTTTCATGTTCGCATCTTTTGCTATTTAACTGATTCACATCCGAATCTTCTAGGAGACTCAGCACCTTACTATCTTTCTTTCTTACCATACCCTAAAAGTTCAACCTCCTAGAACTTCCAACTGGCACCACGTCGCAAACTAATACATTCAAGAATTGCTAAGTTTTGCTTTTGCTTCAGTTCGGAAACTCGGGTCGGTCATTTCCCGTGTGTTGTGTCACAATGCTACCGTTGGGCTGTTCCTGTCAGCACTTGCGAATCCTTCTCGGAACCAGCCCCTCACTTGCCTCGCGAACCTTTCCGAGCTGTCCTCATTTAGCTTTTCTGGCCCCTTGTCTAACATCTCTCCAGAAATATCACCACCCGGACAATTCGTCAGAAATACCTAGAGCACATCTGTCACCATGCCGAGCGTTTACCCAGGACTCGATATCCTCCAGAACACCTTTGGTAGTTCATACCAGCCCAAGACCAATGGCACAACTCCTCTCCAGGCTCGCACCGATCTTTATCCCGCATACTCGATAGTCAACGATGCGAAGAGCAAGGCGAAGAAGCTGAGCGCTGAAGCCGCTCACGAGTTTGACGTTGCCAGCCAGAAGGCCCAGGCCAAGACAGGACACATTCAGTTGTACTCCTCCCAATACTATGCCGCATGCACATTTGGCGGCTTGATGGCCTGTGTAAGTCTATGATAGTGCCGCGTGTTGAAGAAAACGACAAGACTAACTCTTCTCTAGGGCATCACTCACACTGCAGTAACGCCCTTGGATCTCGTCAAGACGAGACGCCAAATCGACTCGAAGCTGTACAAGGGCAACTTCCAAGCTTGGGGTCACATCCTCAGGCACGAAGGTGTTCGCGGCGTCTTCACCGGTTGGAGTCCGACCTTCTTCGGTTACTCGGCCCAGGGTGCGTTCAAGTATGGCTGGTATGAGTTTTTCAAGAAGAAGTATTCGGACCTCGCTGGTCCGGAGAACGCGCACAAGTACAAGACAGCACTATACCTTAGCGCGTCCGCCTCGGCAGAATTCTTGGCCGATCTCGCGCTCTGCCCCTTGGAGGCCATCAAGGTTCGCATGCAGGGTACCATTCCGTCGCAGTACAAGGGCACCTTTGATGGCTTCAGCCAGATCACGGCCAAGGAAGGTTGGGGCGGTCTCTACAAGGGCCTCTACCCTCTCTGGGGTCGCCAGATCCCTTACACCATGATGAAGTTCGCTTCGTTCGAGACCATTGTTGAGATGATCTACGACCGTCTGCCCGGTTCCAAGAGCGACTACAGCAAGGCTGCCCAGACCGGAGTCTCCTTCGTTGGTGGTTATGCTGCCGGTATTCTCTGCGCCATCGTTTCTCACCCCGCCGATGTCATGGTCAGCAAGCTCAACGCCTACCGTCAGCCCGGTGAGGGAATGGGTGCCGTCACTTCGAGAATCTACAAGGATATTGGCTTCAAGGGTCTCTGGAACGGTCTGCCTGTCAGAATTGTCATGATTGGTACCCTTACCGGTCTTCAGTGGATGATTTATGACTACTTCAAGGTCTTTATGGGTTTCCCTACCACTGGTGGTGCCGCACCCCCCGCGGAGAAGCCTGCCCAGCATTCTTGAGCTGCCAGATAGAATGAGTGATAATGGTGGAACGAATCAGGGCATCTTTAATGTCGGAGTTTAGCCTGGAGTTACAGATGCGTCTTTGTGTTTTATATCCTAGCAGTTGGTTAATGCATTCCGAACACCATGTTGCCCTTCATTTAGTCAAGAGTGTTTGATGTGCCTTCTTTGTCCGTATTGGTTGCTGTTTTTGAAACTGGAAGGAACGCACATAGAGCTTAGAGGTACCTTCCACTTATCGATCCCCGGCAAACTGAAACCCAGGGCAACTACTTAACAAGTCAGGGAAGGAACCAGACAGTCCAACGTCCATGCCGCCTGTTGACAACCATAAGGTAACGCCGCAACACCCAACTTCCACTGAGGATAGAGGGTCTCGTCTGATCTTCCTCCCGTCCTCTCGTTCTCTTGGACTCAATCAATCACACCACGCCTTGCGACCACGTCCAGAAGCCCAGCTCCAGAACACCAGCTCATAAGTCTGAATTGAACATCGTGGGTGAGAGTAACCTGAAGTATATAACTCAAGCAAAGCTAATATTGGTTGTTCCCCCAGTTGTGTGAATACCAGAGACAAACTTCGACCCCGAGATGCTGCCATTAAACTGCACCCCGCCGACACTAGAGGTACCGCCTGTTCCTCCTCCAGCCGGCTGATTGATCTGGCCACCGCCCGGGCCTGTATTCAAAGACTGCGAAGAGTCCGAAACCCTAGCAGCGGCGACATACCTCTCCATAACCGCCTTTGCTACCGACGCCGCAGTTGCCGCAGCATAGTTCTGCCATCCTTTGTTTTTGTGTATACATGGCATCTCATCCCATACGCCTGCTCCTTCCATCTTATGCCTGGTTTGTTCAGTTATCGGATCGCAAAAGTCCACAATGCCGAGCACAGTTTATAACGGTCCCATTAGCGGACAAAACTTCGTGGCCGGAGCGCTGGCGACTCACGGCGGTGTTATGAACATCCACTTGGCCGACAAAACAAGTCCCATCACCGCGAGCAGGAAGCCTTTTTCAGATCTCCCCTATTCTTCTGGTCCCGACTACATCGACCGGCCGATTATTTTGGATTTGCTCCAGGAAAAGCTCAATCAATCTCCCAGTCGGGCTGCGCTTGTCGGACTTGGGGGTATTAGGTTGTACACTGTTATCACCGTATCGTAGATATTGACATACTGACTAGAAATGTGCAGGAAGTCGAAGCTCGCCATACGCTACGCCGAAAAGCTACACGAAGAGTCTCCGGAAACATACATTTTCTGGGTTAATTCAGCCACCAAGAACACATTTGTCCAAGGCTTCCGCCGCATTGCCGAAAAACTTGGCCTTCCCAAAGCTTATGAAGCAAACACCAATATGCTCAGCCAGGTGTTCAACTGGCTACGTGATGAAGAGAAGCATTGGGTTCTGATTCTTGATAACGCCAATGATCTCTTCGTATTCAGGGATCAAAGAACCACTAGCGACGTCCCTCCAGCAATTGACTCGGAGGTGCTAGATTCATTCCTGCCACAGACAGGTAACGGCAGAATCCTGATCACGACACGCAGTCAAGCTACGGCCAGGATCCTGGCACTCGGCCCGGAAAATGTCGTGCTGGTCGATGAGATGGACGAGCATCAAGCGAGACTGCTTTTCATGAAAAAGCTTGGTCCATCGGGCGAAAGCAGCGAGATCTCACGGGAGCTTGTTCTCGCCCTAAACTGCATCCCTCTTGCTGTGTCTCAGGCGGCAGCATACATCCGCAAGCTAAGGCCTCGGGTGACGTGTGCTAAATTCTTGGAGAACTTCAATGACAGAAACTTCATTGTTGTTGGCAGTCGTGTCAGCCAGGTGCGGCACAATCCTGATGCAAAAAATAAGGAAGTTGAGATAAAGACCTGGCAAATCACTTTCGATCAAATACGACATGAGCGGCGGTCCGCAGCTGAACTGTGTCCTTGATAAGCTTCTTTCAGCCCCAGGAAATCCCGGACTGGGTACTTCAGAAGTACTATAGCGAGAAGGACGAGAGCAGCAGCATTGATGTCAGCCACGATAACGAGGATGAATTTGAGGATGATCTCGCCCTGTTACGCGACTACTCCCTTGTGACGGTGGCTCAAGACGGAAAATCGCTCCAGATGCACAGCCTTGTACAATCTTGTACCAGAAGCTGGTTGGAAGCTTCGCACGAGGAACACAAATGGAGGCGCTGCTTTTATCGATTGATGATCAAAAATTATCCCGAAGCTGAGCCGGAAAACTGGGGTGTTTGTGAGTTAACGCCACATGTTGAGCCCTTGGTGACTACAACTGCAGCTCAGCTGGAGGGGTTCAACGAAGCAAGTGACTTTATCAACCTACTCCGCAGAACCGGTGATTACAATAATGCGATGGGTAACTTGGAGGCGGCATTGAAGTTGATGAGGAAAGCAGAGGAACTGGCTGTACAAAAGCTAGGTCAGCACCATGAACAGGTTTATATTGTTTCAGCCCACAAGGCGAAGGTATTGCTTGACTGCGGTTCCGAGCAGTTCAATACTGAGGCGGAAGAAGCTGCCCTTGGAGCATACCGAGGCTTGACTAGCCTTCTCGGCTTGGACAATCCGAATACCCGTTATGCAGGAGAGATATATGCTATATCCCTGGAGAGGACAGGAAAACTAGACGAAGCGCAAGCCATATATGTGGAAGTGCTGGAGTCCCAGAAGCGTGTCACAAGTCCTGAGTTTATGGGGTCAAGTTTTACCCTTAGGGGGCTTGGGAATATTGCTTACAGAAACGGCGATTATAAAGAAGCGGAGAGATTCTACCATCTGGCACACCAGTCTTCCAGTAGTACAGACGGCTTGACATCTCCGTCTACACTCGTCAATCTGTATAGAGTTGCACTTGTTTTAGTGGCACAAAAAAAAGGGGAAGAGGCGGAGCCTATCATCGATGAAGTGGTGGAGCGAAATAATGAGATGTTTGGTCCAGAGCATCCGAATACACTTTTGGCTTGTAACCTTCAAGCTGCCAATTTGGTCTGTAAAAAGCGGTTTAAGGAGGCCGAAGACATACGCTATAGAATATTGGAGGCCCAGAAGAAAGTACTCGGTCTTGAGCACCCTTCAACAATCTGGACTCTCAGGGGGTATAGAGATGTCTTGCTGCTTCAGGGTAAATGGGACGCGGCGGAGGAAATCTGTCGGCAAGTTTGGGAAACGCAAAGGAGAATTCTAGGTCCTGAGCACCCTGATACACTCGGGTCTCTCTACAAGCTTGGAATTATAACGCACCAGGGTGGTCAAAGTACAGAAGCCGCGGTTATCCTTCGTCAGGTATCGGAGTTACAGAAGCGGGTACTAGGCCCGGAGCACCCTGATACACTTGACAGCTTGAAATGGTTGGCGTGGTTGGATACCTGATTGTGGAGCTTGGCCAATTGGAGGAAGCAGACGATATTCTTCATGAAGTGTTGGAACTACAGAAGCGAGTACTAGGTCCTGAGCACCCTAAAATCCTTAACACCCTGGGTCGCCTTGGATTTGTGCGCAGCCATCTACGGCGGTATGAATAGGCAGAGAGTATCTTTCGTGAACGCTGCCAGCTGGAGCAGCGAATCCGGGGCCCTACGCATCCTGACACGCTCATGAACCTCGAGAAATTTGGCGCTTGGTATGAGAATCTCGCTCGGTATCAGGAGGCGGAGGAGATCTTTCGTCAAGTCATTGAGTTGGAAAAACAACTATTGCCATCCAGACACGGAGATATGCTGAGGGTCGCTGCTGGAATTTTCTTCCTGCCCTCTCCTCCCCTCACCCCAACACCCACTCAGCTTCCATCACTGCAGCCAAAACACACACACGAACCTTCAACAACCCAAAGCCAGTCCACCATACCACGCCATCTATTTACATCTACATCCCTCACTCCCGTTCCCAACATCAGCAGTTAACATCATCAAACCTAACAATCACGCTCCACTGATCCTTCATGTAAACTGCCCCCTTCAGATACCCGCCATTATTGTTAACATTCGCCGGCGTCCCAGTGGACTGCCCTCCATAATGACATTTTTTCTGGACCTCCTGGGCCGCCCAGGCGATCTCGCCGTAGGAGTTGAGTTCTTTGTCGACGCGGAGTGCCTGTTTTTCGTGTAGCGTTGTAAGGTGGATATCATGGTTAGTCTCTGTACCTGCCTGGTAATAACAAGTGCAGTCATAACTAACTGAAGTGCAGTGGTACAGGTAGGTAGGTGATGATGTCCATGTCGGCCAAATGGGAGAATATCAAGTAGTGGGAAGAAAGATGGAAAGAAAAACATATGAAGAAAAGAAGGAAGCAAGGAAAAAAAAATGGGGGGACAACAGAACATACATCATTACACCAATAAATCGCCGCCCCCCAACTACAGCTCACCCGTCCACAGTTCTGCGGCCCCGGTCCGTTTTTCGGCTTCCCCGACACCCCATTAAGATGTTTGACGCCCTCTGCGACAGCCTTGGCTGACGCGTACCCCCACTTGCTGCTGCCGCCGTTGGACACGTTGTCGCAGTCGACGCGGAGAATTTCCCGACCGTTCATCATGCGGGCTTCGAGGATGGGATTGGGGGCTGTGCCGGTTATGTTGAGGGGAGGAGGACCGTCTTGGATGCCGTCGTAGCCGGGGATTGGGGAGTTGGAGATGGAGTTAGAGTTGCCATCGTCAGGGGTGGGAAAGGCGAGGGTGGTGGGGAGGGCCTAGGTTATTTTGTAAGTGATGGTCGCCTTGGATTGGTGTAGCTGTGTAGATAGATAGGGATTTCATACCTGGAACATAGCCAAAACCGCTCCGGAGAGAATGAGTGACGAGAACATCATGGTAATGAGTGTGCGAGTCGGACTCCTTTAGAGTGACTGATCAGGCCAGGATCAGGATAAGTGATGAGTCGGTGAAGATAGCCTCTCGATAATAAGAGTAGGGAACCTCTCCCTTCATCTTCCCCTTGGTCTTATATCACTTTGAAGACAGCGTTAATTTTTTTGGAAGTTCTTTCACAGCTCCCTTTTGCCGCCCGCAGACATGGATCCTCGCCGTCGTCAACCAGGAAACAGGGAGTCATGTCACCAATATTTACAAAGGCGCGGTAGGAATTCAAAGCGATTGCGCAGCGTTCCGCGTTTGCATCAAAGAACCCAGGAATTCCAGCGCAATAGCTTCATCAACCTCTCAGGGATACCCATGAGCGTGCCGTATTCCGCTTCAAAAAGCTTCCGTACAATCTTCGCTATCGGTTAACATATCGATAACTTATATGGCACGCTCATAGCGCGGGGTCCAGAGTCCTCTCCGATTGTCGTCGAGTGTCTGGGGACTTGGCCTTTGTTGTTGGGCTTGGCACCGGGTAGAAGCGAATAAGATCTGTGCTTAGCGTGATTCCTGCAAGTTTTGGTGCAATAGTGATAGTGCAGTATCTGACTGGTATCCCTTTTCATTACCCTTGCCACATACGGACAGGCAAGGCCCTCGGCCTTCCGCGCCACTGTAAAGCAAGGTCATAAAAGGGAACTCGTGGGTATCATGGCATGTTGAGGGTTTATTGAATATAAAAGAAACAATGGAAGGAACGTCAACAACCTGTTTCTAGACAACTGAAAGCAGCTCAAGTGCGGCTCGGCAGCCTATGCGGAGAACACCAGCTGACGTCTCGATAGCAAACACGGGACGTACTGGGTGATGCTCTCATCGTAGGGTACAGGTAGTACAGGCTATTTGCAAGGGAGACCATAAGATAAACACACTGGCAACAGAAACGCTAACACCATCTTTCCTCTGGTTCGCGCCACTTGACCCCAAGGATCTCAAAGATTTTTCTCTCATCTCTGCCCTCAACCAACTCTCCCTCCGTGACCTTCACCCTATCACGTCCCCTCATCACCTCCTTGTACAAACCCCTCTGGTTCAACCGCATCCCCTTCTTCGATGCAAGGAGGCGCATACTCCGGTTGAAGATATCGTTACCAGTGAAGTAGATCAAGGCGGCGCCGTACTCGGTTTCAGGAACAAGCAGAAAGTCTACTCTGCGCCATATTGGTTGCGGAGCGTTAGACGAAGCTGACTTGGCTGATCTCCTGGTTGTCACCTTGTCGCTTGTGGGTTCGTGTTCTCGCGGAAGCACACAGCAGCCAAGCCATTTACTGCCTGGTCCATCCTTCCCTCTCCGGTTCGCATGTAGTGCTGATAGAGTAGCAACCACACAACCCTTGTCCGTGAGTACCTTGAGCAGCCGCTCAAAGAAGGGGACGAGGTCGGCTGATGAGTTAGTATTTTTCTTGGTAACGATGAAATCCACATCCCTCGAGCTCTCAGCTCCACGCCGATAGCTCCCACCTATGAGCAACTCGACCGCTGGATCAATCTGTGCTGCTTCTTTCTTGATGTAGTCGCCTAGGGCAGTTACCTGGCTTCTCGGAATACGCGTGTTCAGATCGTCGTAGTGATCGATACCAATCCTTTGGTTGGGCGTCAAATCCGCTTTCTGCTTCAAGTCATCCAACGTCCTGAAGCCCTGAGAAATCCACTTGTTGGCTCGGCCTGTCCCTACATCGTAGATCTTGAGGAACATTGCGAGAACGCGGTCTAGAGGGGAGTCTTGGGCGTACTCCAGGCGTCGAAGGGAATCAGTTGTGACGATTTCTTCGATCTTCTCTGCCAGTCTCTTCCCAACGTTGGGGAGACGATATGCTTCCTCAGCTGTGGTAATCTTGGTGGTCTGACGTTTGAGAGTAGCGATAGCTTTCCGATAGGCGGTGGTGCGCCACTGATCAGAAATCCGGTTGTAGTAGTCACACATTGATTGGAGAACCTCGATTGTCCTGGCATTGGGGTTTTGAGCTTCAGTGGCTTTGTCCTTAGTCCCGCCCTTGTTACAGGCAAACCGATCTTCAAATGCGATTTTTTTCTGAGTGGGCCGGCGTGTTCTTTGTGAGCGACGCTTATGGGTGTGTTCATCTGCGGAACCTCCCTCTCTTTCGGATTCAGAAATAGTCTCCTCCTGGTGAGAGATGACCGATTGAGCATCATCTTCTAGAGGATCGTCCAAGGGGAGGTCTTTGTACTGTTGTAGGAGGTCAATATACCCGGAAAGCTCGTCTTTAGGATCATCTTTCGGAGCACTGTTTTGACGACGAGATGATATTTTCGGGAGACTACTCTTTGAGCCATGGCTTTGAGCGAGTAGGCTTGGAAGAATGGGTGGCCTCGGTTCTGGTATGAAATCATCGTCCTCCAAGTTTGCATCTGTGTGATTCTTGACCACAGGCTTATCGTGCTTCTCTTGTACGTCAGCGGACTCAGCTTGGGGGACTGACTCCTCACTCTGTGATTGTGTTTTCTCTTGTGAGCTAGGCATCTGTTTCCTCCTTTTTGCCGTCGAGACCTTGACCTGTAGCGACCGGTTGGAGATTTGGGATACTGCATGGGTATCTGTTGTCTGCACGATTGTTGTCGATGAAGCTGGAGGAGGACGACCTGGGATATTGTAGCGAGCCTGGTCCGGATTGAGGATAGTGCGGAACTGAATGCAATCTATGGGATACTCTTCGTTAACAACGACTGGAGCAGATGTCGTATCTAGCATATTCTGGATATCCTGGTAGGCCAGGCGCTTGTCGACAATGACATGAGTAGCTTCTTTCAGAGAGCGAACCCACTTGGCCCCATATTCCTGGGCTCTGGTGATGCGCAGTCGTCGGGCGGGGGCAACGTTGTCATTGGGAATGTAGAAGAACGAGAGAGTGCGGAATATCTGGTCTGCTTCGGGTACAGCTTTTGTCTCGGCTTGGCGCTTTCGTTTCCTCGTGGAAGATGTGCCTGACGAAGATTGCTGAGCAAGAGATGACGGTGTGGGCAACGTCGCACTTCTCTGCAGCGACGGAGGAACCGGCCGAGCTGAGCTTGTGCTTGGTTGTGGTGTTTCTATTACAACAAAGGAAGTATCCGAGACATTGGTAGTGTCTCTTGTGTTTTTGATAGCAGTTCTCCGGAGATTCTGTGTTCCGGGGGTGGCTTTGATGATGTCGAGTCGCGATGTTTTAGAGAGTGGAGTCGAAGTTGTCGCTGCCGGCTGTGTCTGAGGAATCGTCGGGGTCTTTGGCTTCACCTTGGAACTGAAGAAAGCCTTGCTTCTTGCGCGATGTTCTTGCTCCTTGGTATCGAATTCCTCGTCATCACTGTTGGTCTCGCTGAGGGCGTCCAGCACCTCGAAAAAGGCGACCTTTTCTTGGAGTGTTTGGAAGCTCATCTTGGTCGGTCAATTGCGTGCGTTGTTCGGTTGCGAAAAGTGTAAGCCGCTTAGAATTACGACGGATAATGTCGGTTGATCATGTCATCGCTTCAGGTTTCCATTCTTTGTCCGACTCTGCAAAACGGCTGCGGTTGCCTGGATTGGTTGACGGAACCAGCCGACTCGTCCGAACTCGGACCTGAGAACATACAGTCGTTTACACAAGATGGAAGGTACGTCCGTAGTGTTGAAGTCGCTCCGTAGAGGTAACTCCGCGCAATGTCAAGCGGCAGCGGCGACCTCGGAGAGGAAGGAGAGGTTGCCCCGTGGTTGCCTGGAATCGATTGAAGTTGTAGTCGCAGTCGGGATGTTGTTTGGATCGCGCTGACCCCTTGTAGCTGATGTGGGGCAGAAAGCTCTTTGGCCGGGAAACAGGCGCGAAAGTCGAGCGGTAGCACGTGGTTGCGCCCGGTCCCGCTACCAATTTCTTGGCTTTCAGGGGCACGTTGGGGCCACTGGAGGCGACCTCCAATTCGCTGGCCAGTCGTCACAGCTTCCTCCTTCCCCCTTTTCGTTACAATTTACACAACAAGGACATCATCGAGACTCACGACTCAAGTCCACTTTGCTTCTCCCATAATTGACCCGGCAGAGAAACTCCACCTGGCGACAAGCTGCCCGTCATTTCTCTTGTCCAGCGACCCATCTTCATCACTACCTCTACCACGCAGTCCACGCTAGCGTACTATTTGCTGCTAATTCGAGAGCATCCTCAACGTTCAATTGACTACCTACAATACGCCTGCTACACTACACAACAAGCCCGGCCCTTATTGCTCCGTCGAGCCCCGTCTTCTCAGTCCGACATCCCATCGCTCCTTGTTTCAATCACCAACCAAGTTCCGATCCCGTGTAAGCCGGTATCATGTCGAACCTCTTTTCTGGAATGTAGGTACCCGTTCTTTATATGTCTCTCTGTCATTTCACATGTTCGTTTTGACGGACACTTTCTCTCCACAGTTGGCCTAGTGGGCTTTACTTGTGAGAGGCTGCGATTGGATGGTCATCGCTCATATGTCTCGGTTCTGCTTTCTCATATTGTCAGCCATCTCATGTCATCAAGTTACCGTGATGGGTATGACGGTCCCCTCTTGCACGGTCTTAAGCCGCCTCGAGTCGCATAGTCTTTTCAGGGTCACCCAGACACAACGGCCGGGCAGCACACACAATACATATACTATCATATAGTGTCCTGTCACGACAACACTGCCGTTACCGTTGAACCTTCTTTGTCCTTCTGAATACAAAGCATGTCTTGGATTTGTCGACAGATGCTGACCCAACCAGAAATGCCCGCCTGAGAGGCACGGCAAACAAAACCACGTCAAACAAAACCCCCCAATCACCCCGCCCCACCGACGATGTTCACCATCATATGCCTTCACCCAGCAACCATTCGGTCTCCAGCCAGAGCTCAGCCAACCTGTCATCCAAGCTGCCGCCACTTCCTGCCTCACCCTCACTATCTCAGTCGATCGGTATGATGGGCACTGGTGAAGAGGCACTCAACGCTTATCACCTTCCGAGGCCACTACCACTGTGGCTGAACCCTACTGCCGCGAAGCACATCGTCAAGGGAAACTTCATGACACTTAGCGCTAGGCCTAAGACGGTGGAGCAGGGCGAGTGGATTGCCCATCAAGGTAATTCATCGTGTCAGTGACCGTTACACGTGTGTCTGCTGACATAATCATCTAGTGGTTGAGCATTATCGCAACTTGTGGAACTTTGTCAGAGTTATATACGAAAAGGAAGAGGACGGGAAGTCGATTTGCAACTCGGCTACCTGCCCCAGGATGTCCGCTGGAACGTAAGATGCCCATGTTGAAGCACCTCAAGTACATGTCTGACAGGAACGGCACAGGAACCACTCGTACACGTGGCTAAACAGCCGCTTTGAGCCCATTGAGCTCCCAGCATACGAGTATATCACTCTTATGCAGCGGTGGATTTCGGGCAAGATTGACGATACCAACATCTTCCCCACCGAGGCGTCGGGGGTCTCGTTTGCGCACAACCCTCAGATTACTACGACGGCACTTTTGACGGGTCCTGACGACTGGATCGGCAAGCGCAGCGGATTTCCCAAGGAGTTTTTCAACATTTGCCAGACCATCTTCCTCCAGATGTTCCGCGTCTACGCTCACCTTTACTGGGCCCACTTTACGGAGCCCTTCTATCATTTGAATTTGGAGAAGCAACTCAACAGCTGTTTCAGCCACTTTGTGCTGACGGCTACCGCCCTCGATATGCTCAAGCCGGCCGAGCTTGAGCCAATGCAGCCTTTGATTGATCTCTGGGCCGCCAACGGCACCTTCCCACCGGAATCGAAGGCTTACGAGTACGCCAACCTGAAGGTCGGCACCCGCCTGATGCAGATGGCAGGCCTGGCCTAATGATGGAAGCATCAATACACGGGCATGTAATGAGAAAAGAGGGCATGTCATGACGAGGATTAATAACATGTGGAGTTTCTTGATCTATCCAGGTTTTGTTGGGTTACACTAGAGGATAGATAGTGGCCATGTGTGCATTGAACCGGAGTCAGATATTGCAGCAAGAAAAGCGATATCGGGATGGGGAGACTAATACCAAGAGAAAAGTATTACTTTCTAAAAGGGTTCGCTGAAGAAAATGACTTGTCCTTGCGGGGATGTTGACTCGAGAGGGCAAGGAGGCAGTCTTGGTAAACCTTTGGTCCCTGTACAGAAAGAAGACTGAGAAGAACGTATGTCGTATGAAGTGAAGGCTCCGTCTAGGTACCCTGGATCTAGAGGGCGTTGAGAGCAAACTAAAGAATATGTATCATAGTATACCATCCCCGAGAGTGAACCAACTTCCAAAACCTACTACACTCAACAATAGTAATACTTCACGATATCCAAACGATGTGGTTACACCTGATGTCAACGGTTCTCGATGTCGACATGGGAGCACAGACTAGCGCCAAAGTGGCAAGCACCAGGGGCCAGGGGCCAGTGGAGTGCTCCAAAAAGGGTCCAAAAGGCCCATCAACGGCCAGACTGCCAAGACAGAGCTAGACACGCTAGATCAAAAGGGGACAAGCCTGAAGATTGGACGGCGTCGCGGGGCAAGAGATCGGATAATGCGATAAAGCGGATGCAGTCATGCAGCCCCATGTTCGGGCGCGCTGTCGTGCCAGGCGTGCCTGCCCCTGTGCCTGTCAGTGCCTGTGTCGGACTTGTTGCGGGCAGGCGGGAAAGGACCCCACCACCCAGGAACTGAAGCCGGGCCAGCACAAGAAGTGGGGTATGGATCAGATTTGGCAACCCAATTTCTTACGGCCAGGCAAAAAAGTTGAGGCAAGGCAAGGCCAATCTGGACCCCAATTGCCATTGCGGCAGCACGAAGAAAACTTCACAACCTGGAAGCATCAGGCTCCCCTTCGACCTGCCTCTCCATCCTCCTTCCCACTTTTTATCTCCATCGCTGAGCTGCCCTGCAAATTTTCCAGCTTTGCACTTTCCTCTTCTTTGACTCTTCCTTTCTGTTTTTACACCAATTCATCTTCAATTCTTGTCTGTATTCCCCCATACAACAACAGCAACATCAACAACAACAGTCAAGATGGCGGCCAACGATCAGATGGACATTGAGGTTGCCGAGCAGAAGCTCAAGAGCATGGATCACGCCGAGCAGCACTACTTCAACAGGTACGCTTTTGATTGATGTTATCTAGTAGACAAGACAGAAGCTAACATTACTGCGTCCTCTAGCTACAACCACCATGGCATCCACGAGGAGATGCTGAAGGACGAGGTTAGAACCAAGTCGTACATGCACTCTATCGTCCAGAACAAGCACCTCTTCAAGGACAAGATCGTTCTCGATGTCGGCTGCGGTACTGGTATCCTCTCCATGTATGTCCCCATCTCCTGCGCCACGCAGACCTGCAGCTCTGGCACTCCTGGAATGCGCCAAACACTGCAATCCAATGCTAACCGTTTTCTCTTCTCACAGGTTTGCCGCTAAGGCCGGCGCCAAGCACGTTATCGGTGTTGACATGTCCACCATCATCTTCAAGGCCCGCGAGATCGTCAAGGTCAACGGCCTCTCCGACAAGATCACCCTGATCCAGGGCAAGATGGAGGAGATCGAGCTTCCCTTCCCCAAGGTTGATATCATCATTTCTGAGTGGATGGGTTACTTCCTTCTCTACGAGTCCATGTTGGACACTGTCCTCTATGCTCGTGACCGTTACCTGGCTCCCGGCGGTCTTATCTTCCCCGACAAGGCTACCATCTTCATTGCCGGTATCGAGGACGGTGACTACAAGGATGAGAAGATCGGCTGTATGTGCCCTGCCCCCCTCTTTGTTCTTTGACATTGTGGAAAAACTCGTGCTGACACCGTTTTACCAGTCTGGGATAACGTCTACGGATTCGATTACAGCCCTCTCAAGGAGACTGCTCTCTCCGAGCCCCTTGTCGACACTGTTGACGTCAAGACTGTCGTCACTGACCCCGTCAACATCTTGACTCTCGACCTTTACACTTGCACCACTGCCGATCTGGCTTTCAAGTCCAACTTCGAGCTCGTCGCCAGGCGCGATGACTTCATCCACGCCCTTGTCGCCTGGTTCGACATTGACTTCACCGCCTGCCACAAGCCCATCCGCTTCTCGACCGGCCCCCACACCCAGTACACTCACTGGAAGCAGACCGTCTTCTACCTCAAGGACGTCCTCACCGTCCAGCAGGGTGAGAAGGTTCAGTGCTCGCTCCACAACCGCCCCAACCAGAAGAACAAGCGCGATCTCGATATCACCATCGACTACAAGTTCGAGAACCAAGACCCCACGAGGCAGGCTGAGGGCAGGTGCTTGTACAAGATGTGCTAGTGGATCACGTATTTGATTGAGGATATGCTAGACAAAAGTGTCAAATCGACGAGTCAAATGGACAACGCGAGCTGAGAAGCCGCCCCTTGTCCATGAGAATGTCGAAGAGATGTGGTTGAGCTCACAGTATTCACGAAAGCTTTTGGGGGTATTGGGAATTGCACGGCGTCTTAAAAGAGCAGGGGTTGCTTTTTAACCTGGGTTTTGTGTTTTCATATATTTTGCTTTTTACGAACTCTCTAGCGGGACCAGGGGTTTTCTTAGATATCCAGCAGCGGAAAGGAAGCGCGCGCGGAAGAAAGAAGAGACATACAATACAAGGGAACTCTCTTACTCTGTATACACACAGAGAACATGAGTCAATGCTTAACTGAAGTACGATACTACAACGCGATACGTTAGGCCAGTTGGGTTTGGGTGCGCGACTGCAAAAGCATCCGGAAGAAAAAAAATCAATGGGATGTTTATGATTGATCACGACAAGATACTATGAGATGATGATGAGCTTGAACAGTTGGTGTAATACCCAACGAGGAAAGGGTTGTGACTTAACCTCGACATGTACCAAAACAAGGCATGAGCTTTGGATGTTCAAACGACGTTGGATTAAGCATGCGCACTTGATGTTGAAATAAGCTACCGCAACGTTATACGGCCGACGTCAAAATAAACTTGTTGAGCTTGTTGGTAGTAAGTGCCGATTGAATGAAGAATGCTCCCTGGCTTTGTTGGTGAAGTCAAGGAAGTGGCGGCGGCAAGGGATGAAGACGAACGTCGAAATAAGCTTGTTTGGCTTGTTGGTAGTAAACGCAGGCTGAACCAAGAATGACGGACGTCGAAATAAACTTGCTGAGCTTGTTGGTAGAAAGCGCCCCCGGAACAAACCATGATGGACGTCGAAATAAACTCGTTGTACCTGTTGGTAGTCTTGTTGGTGGTAACCGCCGACTAAACAAAGCTTGACGGATGTCGAAATAACCTTGTTGAGCCTGGTGGTAGAGCTTGTTGGTAGGGCTTGTTGGTAGTTAGCGTTGAGTGAATAAAGGAAGAATGGCTTTGTTTGCTCTGTTGGTGAAGGTAGAGAAGTGGCGGCGGCAAGGGATGAAACAAACAAAGGGATAAGAAGCAGTATTTATCTGGGCGGTTATCTCAATATCTAATTCTGGTATGACCTGCACCGAAGCCTGTTAAGTATCCATCGACACCGGTAGCAACACCAACAAAGCCACTCTTTCTTCTTTCTCTCAGCGCTTGCTAGCAACAAGCTCAATAAGTTTATTTCGACGTCGACTCCCAAGCGGAAAAAGAATGTTCTTCATAATGCTCGGGCAGATGGAAGGTAAACGATCGAGAGCAGTCACTGTGTGCAGAGAGGGGAGGTGTAGAGAGGAGAGGTGTGATTGACTATCTGGTTTACGTACGTTCTACATTATTTGTTTACAGGTTTGTTTGGAGGAACAGGAGGTTCTTGAAAACCCATATGTGGTTCAGCTCCTTTGATGCTCTGCTTTTCTTTGCTTTGCTGCTTTGCTATTGAGAATAGCCTCTTCTTCTTCTTCTTCCATACGAATTTTTTCAACCTTTCCCTTCCTTATCGTCGTTTTGTTTGGTTATATTCAAGTACATCGTATACTACATTATGAGACAACCATACAAGAAGAAGCAAGATGAGCAAACCTGAAGTGGGTATACCTAGAAGTGCCAGGTGAACGAGATGCTAAAAAACCGCTGGCTGAACTTTTGACTCGAAATCGGAAATCATTCCTGTGCTTTTTCTCTCGCTAGGTAGGAAACCAGAATTCCACCGTTCGGCCAAAGATCCGCCTGACTCAAATCCTCTATATCCACGCAAATTCATCACCAATTTTCGCTTTTTTCGCTTTTCGTTTTTCCCAAACCAGGACAGGAGGATAAAAACCAACATCCCTACCAACCAACCAACCAACCACATAATCAACCAACCAACCAGTGAAAGCGCTGTCATGAAGCAAAAGAAAACATAGACCGCTCGCTACTCCGCTAAACTCGCCCTCCCGAAATCAAGAACCAAGGCAAGGAAGGAGACTGACTGGCGCACACACACGATCAACGACGTCCGCCGCGTCCGGGTGGTCCCCGTCCATACCGATAAGGATCCCTCGGATCAAAATGCTTGCCCATGAACATAGGCTGAAAGGGCGGCTCCGACCTCGCCATGCCGTCCCACTCGGGTTCCCGCTCGGGAAGGACATCCTCGGGGGGAGTGTTGGGGAAAGTCTCCTCTGGACCGGCGTTGACTGGTGCCAACAAAATCGGCCGCTGCTGCGGCCCTGTTGTTGTTGTTGTTTCGGTGGGTGGTTTGAGACATCCCGCGCCTTCGTCGTCGCTTGACTTGAGGATTGAGTCGGTGGGTGACTGAGAGCAGGCGGTTGATGATGATGATGAAGAGGAGTCCTAGTCCGTCTTCTTCGTCTTCGTCTTTGTCTTTGTCTTCGTCTCCGATGCAGAAGGTAGGGTCGGTTCTTCCGGTTGGTCTTGGTCATAGTCGACGTAAGTGTGGTTGTCGTCGTCGTCGTCGTCGGAGAAGTAGCTGTTGTTCTTGCCCCACTTAAACGGTGGTTCCCAGGGGAAATCCTCGGCGACGACGCCCAGGCCTTCCCGAGGGTGCGGACGCCGGATGTAAGAGCTAGAACTAGTTCCTTCGGTTGGCACAGTCGCGCTCCGACGGGCTCTGGTGCGCAAGGTTGGGTATCTGTAAGGACCCTCATTACCAACACCATCTCCATCAATGGGGTCGGATACTGTCTCCGACAGCCGCGAGTGACTGGGACGGTTAGGATCATACGTGTGACCGAATTCTTGATTACCGCGGCTGTCAGTACTAGGAGAAGTATCATTATGTTGAGAAAAAGATCTAGAAGACGACAGAGTAGTGAACGGCGCATCAGGATGAGGATGCCAATGAACATCCTCATAAGGCCTCTGCCCGGGAATCGTCCGCCGCCGCTCCCGAAACTCGCGCCTCTCCCGTTCCTCCTCGCGTTTTTCCATCCGCCGCCGCTCCTGCCACTCATTGGCTGTCTCAACACGTTCGCCATTTTCGCCTTGCTTGCCTCGCTTTAAATATGAATCAACATCTTGCCCGCTCCAAGGTACCCACAAACGCCGTATATGATATTCCGCAAAATCACTATCTGAGTTCGTACTAAAACCATACCCGCTCTACTGGCTGTTTCCGCCGAATCGCTCAATAATCTGCGCAACCTGCTTGGCGAGCTCCGTGGCCTCACTGTTGGTGGCCGCCTCGGCGTACACGCGGCAGGCGTTCTCGGTGCCACTGGCGCGGGCAAAGGCGCGGGCATCCTTGTACTTCTTGACGGCGGCGTCGATCTGCTCCTGAGCACCTTCGGGGTGGGAAAGGCGGCGCTCGGCATCGGTAGTCTGGAAGAGATCCTTGTTGCCGACGACGACGCGGACGAGCCTGTTGGGAAGATCGTTGTAGGTCATGGCCCAGTCACGGAGGGACCAGTTCTTGTGCGCCAGGATGACCTCAACGAGGAGCATGTCGGAGATGGCGTCACCGACGGTCTGGTTGATCAGGTCGCTGAGGGCGGCAAGGGTGGTGAGAGCATCTTGCTGGGCGGGAGATTGCGGCTCGGTAGTCTTGAAGGCTCTCAGGGCGTCGGGAGAGAAGAGAACGGTGCCGTGGCCGTTGGCCTCGAAGTAGACACCGATATCGAAGCTCTGGGCGACGTGGTGAAGGTGCTTAACGCCAGTGGGAGTGCACATGACGGGCAGCTTAAGGTGGGAGCGGATGTAGTTGGTGCTGGCGCCGTTGGCATAGGCGGTCTGGACAACACCAATGCGGAGCTCATCCTGCAGACCGGCGCTCTGGACGAGGTCACCGATGAAGGAGGCAGCAAGGGAGGAGATGCGGTCACCGTCGAGCATGAAGAAGCCGGTATCGGGGTCGATCCAGTAGTAGATCAGGCGGTCGGCATCGCCATCGAGAGAGCAAGCCCTTACGCCGGGCTGGGGCGCGGGCTTGGGGGGAGCGCGTTGCTTGGTCTTGACGAAATCGGCACCGGACTAAGAGAAGGAAAACAGAAGTTAGGATCAAAGATCACCATACTCGAATACAGACTTGAGCTACTTACGTCGAGGTTGAGGACCTCGGGGCGCAGAACGTCGTCATTGACGATCTTGACCTCCCAGTTGACCTTGTCCTTGGGAATATGCTTGAGGAACTCGGCGAGCTTGGGACCTCCGACACCGTTGGCGCAATCGACGACCAAAGGGCCGTTGATTCTCCTGCCCTTCAAGGCGCGAACAAAAGCATCGGCCATCTTCTTGTAGTATCCGACTTCGCTGACCTCACCGTAGGAGGTGGGGGTGCCTTCGGTGTTGGTAGCGCGGACCAAGTAGTGCAGCTGAGGGGTAGTCAAGATCTTGTAGTCGACATGCTCGGTTTCTGTAGCGTCCAAAGCGGCGGCAAGGGCGGTGACGAGAGTGTGACCGGACGGTCTCGTATCGCGTCCATAGATCACCTTGGCAGGGGCACTCAAGTCGATCTTGAGCTCGGTCGCAATTTGGTTGTAGTACTGGACAAGGGCTTCGGGGCTAGGAGCATTGACGAGGTTGGTCGCGAGGCGCTCCCAGTCCTGCTCGAGCATCTCGCCCATAGGGTCGACGATCTTGACACCATTGTCGATGGCGGGGTTGTGACTGGCGGTGATCATAACACCGATGGTTTGCGAGTTGAGCTTGCGGCTGCGCAGAGACGCCAGCAAGCCGACGCGGAAGGTGACGCCCTCGAGCAGATCAGCCTTCATGCGGAAGCCCGCAGTGCCGTACTTGTAAAGCTGCCCCTTCTCCAAAGGAACAATGGCATGCTTCTGGGAAGCAGCCAGGATGTGTTCGTCGTGTTGCGCCATGGGTTAGTAGAAGGAGGGGTAGTTGTCTGTTTCTGCTCAGCTGGTCTTGCGATTCGGAGCTGGATTAAGAGAAGAAGAGCAGAAGGGGAGTAGGAGGGGGGTTAGAGCTTTGCAAGAGTCAGCAATGATATACAAGTAGCGGGGTGGGATACGAAGGGCGGTGGAAGGCTGAGGAAGCCGGCCAGATGTAGTATGTGGAAGGGGGGAAACAGAAAGGGGTTAGTTAGCCCGTCAAGTTAAGTTAGGTCTGGATGCAGATACGATGGGGATGTGGAATGCCAATGGGGTGCACGATGGAGATGGATTGGATTGTCTTGCTTGGATTTTGCCGGCTGGCAACGTGAACGAATCCACCGTCCACTCTACCCGTAACCGGGGAGTGGATGTGCAGTAACAAACGCATGAGCTGGTCTCATCCTCTCCATCCATTTTATGTGACAATTCTTTCCATTCTTACCGTTTTGATGAGTTGTACTCTGGGCCGCTGCAAAGGTCTGGCAGGTTCCACAGTTTCACTGAGCTGTTCTGGCTTCTTCACCGCAGCCAGGTGACCGCAACGATTTGTTGAGTGTGTACAGTTCCAAAGGATTCCAACGTGAGCTGAGTTGCCCGATATTAAGAACCAAAGAATGAACCATGAAAGTTTGAAGCCTCGTGTAAGGAAAAAGGAACTCCAAAGTGGGACTGGATGCTTACAAAAAGAATTAATATCGAACGCCACAACCTGAAGAACAAGCGAGCTCTCAGAGCTTTCTGCGGTCTCGAGGCACTGTTTTAAGGTGAGCTGATGAGGGGCTGCAAGGTGACGGATGGGGAAATAGTGGGAGCCGCTAGTGCAAATCACCCCGAGTCCCCACTTGTACGTCATGCACAGCTTCGGTTTGCTAACGCACCCCAGCATTCAAAATTGTTAGTGCATGTTAGCGTCGCCTGAATGGTCCACCGTTCGCCGCCGTTGCTCGGTCAACTTTCTCTCTGTCCCGAAATCAATTAACACGACAGACGCGTTGTCGATCGCAGAGACGCGTCTCACCAGCAACCTTCACTGTTGCCTGTACTTTCGACAAACACATTCTGGATCCGGGGTCGATGATGACTTGCTGAAGCTGCTTTGCTCTTCTTTTGGCGCCTTTTTGGAATCCCGCATTTCTCGCACATTCCTACCATCGTCCATCTTCGAGTCATCATCTTGTTTCATCCCGCTAGAACATTGTTGCTCTTTGTTCTTGGTTTCTTGGGGATTGGTCTTTTCCATACAGTTTCCCTTTGGGGACGTTCATTATTGGAGCATTTTGTTTTATTTCTTCTCAATCTTTGGCCTTCATCATGGCTGACGAGAATTGCGCCAACTCACTGCTTCTCGGCTGGGTCAAGGAGTGGTGGGATACCGCTCGGGAACGCAACACCAAAGGCGCTCCCACCTACAAGAAGGCATACAATTCGCTCAAATCATGCCCACTAACTTTCCAACACCCTTCAGAACTCAAGGTACTCAAAGGTTTTGGCGATGGAATCACCTCAAGACTTACCGACAAGCTAAAACAATACTGCGAGGAGAATGGCCTTCCCATGCCCAAACATCCCAAGAGGAAGCGAACATTGGAGTTAGAAACAGCCCTCGCGGAAGCGGGTGCCGGGCAAGATGAACAACCATCACCTCCCAAGAGAGCCAGGAAAGCCAGACCTTATGTTCCAAAGCTGAACAGCGGCGCATATGCTCTGCTCATGGCTCTTTCAGATCCTGGACCATCGGGCTACATGGACAAGACCGCGCTTATCGCCAAAGCCCAACCTTATTCTGAACACTCCTTCACCGTTCCTTCCATGGCAAACAAATCGTATACGGCTTGGGACTCCATGAAGACCCTCGACGACAAAGAACTTGTCTATATACGTGGTCGACCTACCAAAAAGTACTCGTTGACGGATGAGGGCTGGGAAGTGGTCAAGCGGATGAAGGAAGCACGGAACCTCGTGGATGGAGTAGGTGGGAGCGCAATTACGTCTGGGAACGCCATCGCTAGTGGCAGCGGTACTTCGAATGCCAACCGCAGTGAGAATGTCAACCCTAATCGCCCAGACAGCGGAGTCAAGAGGGAAAGTCGATATACGCCACTTGACTTGAAGCCGTTTGTCTCGGCTACAACAACCCAGGAAAGACCACCACAGCCAAAACCTCGCACGGCAATCTCAGAATCTTATGTCCTCATCGATAGTGACGACGAAGACTTCAAGTATGATGAAGAGGACCGGAAACCAATTATCCGGGAGACGACAAACCACGAGTACATCGACCTAGTAGCAGACGGCGATTCCGTACCTGACGAGTCCAGTCTCCCCCACTTTGTGCCCATCAGACTAGCCCCCGGCTCCTTCACGGTCGAACTAGTCCTCGACACCCGCGAAGTCCAAGCCAAGAACAACCGGGACCACATCCAGGAAGAGCTCTCCAAGCTCGGGGTCCGGCCCATCATGCGGAGTCTCGAGCTCGGTGACGTCCTCTGGATAGCCAAGTGCAAGCAGCCGGGCTGGCTTAACAGGCTAGGCGCCGAAGGTGACGAGGTAGTCCTGGATTACATCGTTGAGCGCAAACGCCTTGATGACCTTATTGGGAGTATCAAGGACGGTCGCTTCCGCGAGCAGAAATACCGGCTGAGGCGGTCCGGCATGAAGAACGTCATCTACGTCATCGAGAACTTCAACATCGACCAGGACAACCGGACCAAGTACCAGGACGCGATGGACACGGCCATGGCGTCGATCCAGGTCGTCAACGGCTACTTTCTGAAGAAGACGGACGCGATTGCCGAGTCGATCAAGTACTTGGCGGCGGTGACGTATATGCTGAAGGAGATATACGAGAGCAAGCCCTTGTTCGTCATTCCGACCAATGTTCTGACGGCCAAGAATTACTTGCCGCTCGTGAAGCACCTGAGGGAGAAAGAGCCATCCAAGGGCTACTATATCAGCTACCCGGCGTTTGCATCGCTGGTTTCCAAGTCGGAGATGATGACGCTGAGGGATGTGTTCCTCAAGATGTTGATGTGTATCCGGAGGCTGTCGGGAGAGAAGGCGATTGAGATCCAGAAGGTGTGGAAGACGCCGTATCAGCTTGTCAAGGCGTTTGAGGAGTGTGGGACTGATGAGAACGGGAAAAAGAAACAGAGGGCTTTGGTGGCGAGTATGCTTTCGCGCCTTGTTGATCGGAGGAGTGTTGATAAGGGATTGAGTGAGAAGATTGCTGACGTCTGGGGTTTCTTGTAATACTCGTTCAGGACTAGAAGAGGCCGAGGAGCCTTGTTGGAGTAGATGTCTTGTATATGAAAGCCTGGGCACGACCAGAATACATGTTACGAATTGTATCATAATCATCTTCGTAAGCCTTCATTAATGATACGGCGAAAACCTCGCTCATTCGGTCCAACACTCGCTCACCCTCACTCTCGCCAATCAATCCCTCAAGAAAACCCCTGCTTAACAATCCCCTCCACAATCTTCTCCAACAACCCCCTCCCCTTCCTCGCGCCCTCCTGCCCCTCCCCCTCCGCTCCCTCAGAAGCAGACCCCAACAACCCCTCCAAATACCCCCTCAAGCTCTTCTCCACATACTTGGCCGTCATATCCACCTCCACATTCACCGTCTCGCCCACCTTCTTCCCCGCCACCACCACCCTTTCCTGGGTATACGCAATCAACATGACCTCCCACCACCCCCCGCCCTCTTTCTCGTCGCCATCATCAACAGCCGTAACCGTCAAACTGGTGCCATCCAGCGCAATAAACCCCTTATAAACCACGTACCGCAACACCTCTTTATTCTTCGGTCTGAATCTAAACGTCAACGCCTCCCCGTCGGGCGTGATCTTGATGATCTCCGCCACCGTGTCGACATGGCCCTGCACAAAGTGGCCGCCCATGCGGGTGTCGGCGCGCACGGCCCGCTCCAGGTTCACGCGTGATCCCGGGCGAAGGGAGCCGAGGTTGGTGAGCCGGAGGGTCTCGGGGGCGATGCCGACGGTGAAGGAGGCGGCGGGGGTGAGGGTGAAGGAGGTCACGGTGAGGCAGACGCCGTTGACGGCGATGGAGTCGCCTAGGTGGCAGTCGGAGAGCAAGGAGGAGGAGGAGGTGGAGGTGGAGGTGGAGGTGGAGGGGAGGGTGATGGTGAGGGTTGTGCCGTTTTTGGAGAGGGGGTCGTTGGGGGTGTAGGTTGTCACCTCTGTTTGTTTTGGGATGGGGGGGGTTAGTGAGAGGTAATGGGGAAAGGGGGAGGGGGATGGGGGAGGGGGAACGGACCTCCGATTTCTTCGACTATGCCGGTGAACATGTTGACGGTTTTCTGGGGGTTATGATAGTTGAAGTTGTTTGTGGCTTGAGCTTGGCTTTGAATTGGGATATCGAGTGAGGTGAGTTGATGAGATGAGTCGGAGGTTGTGGTGTGTGATGCGTGAGAATGCGCCGTGCCCGTTACGCGGGGTTATCGATGACAGATGATGTGACGGACCCCCTCCGCGGATGGACCGGCCTCGGCACTGCTAGCGGCCAATAGTGGAGCTTGCTGTGCGGGCTTATTGCAGCTAAGCCGGAGCCGAGGCCGGAGGAAGTGATGACGGACACGGAGATGCAATACATTGTAAACCCTTCTTAGTTTGCAGGCTTCCTGGTATCATTCCGACAACTTCCCGGTGCCAAACGTTGCGAGAAACAGAACAACATGCTTTCCAAGGATTGGCCAAGGGTATTCTTCTATCCTTCGTGTCAGGGTTATGTATGGGAGGGTGTCCAGGGTTGTGTAGAGGCGAGCTGATCACCTAAAATTCCCCTGAAGTGGAAGACCCCGACAATGGCCCCGAGTTCCAGAAACATGCCGTCCTTCCTCGCCGTGTTCGACAGCAACAACTTCCATCACTTCTCAAACACACAGACTCCGGCTTTCCAAATACGGCTTTTACGTTTCAAGATAAACATACGACCCCGATCTGAACAGCCATGCCGGTCGGGTCCGCCACCCAATAAAAAGCATGGATGCCACTACCGATCCGAAATTGCAGCCGCGTAACCCCGTTCTACCCCCACACCCAAATTGAACCGCTTTGCATGTGCCGCAACGTGCGGCCGCGTAACCCCGTCTGCCCGTTCTACCGGCTTCGCTACAGTTTTATACGAGGTTTGAAACAGATCGGCCAGGAGAAAACAGCGACTTGGCTGCCGGAACCAAGCTCGGAACCAAGCTTTGGGCGGCTTGGGGCCCCTGGAAAGCTTTGGGCTTTTGCCAATCTCCCCACAATAACACACATCGATCTGCATTTCAAACTTTCAGGTGACAAGTCATCAGATGCACCCTTTGAAGAAGAAAGGATGGCAAGAATAGCACATACAACGCCAGAATATGACAAAGGGGCGTCTTTGCCGAGATGAAGCTTGATCGGAATCGCAACGCTTGTTGTCAGAAAGTTCTGATGTCGTTCGATGGAACAGGTGCTGCACCTTCTCTAGGTCTCGATTCCATGATATGCGTCCTTATCGGCAACGGTCCTTGGTTGCAGGGCGACCAACCAGGGAATGATACCCTTTCAGCTGCTGGTACATGTGTTGAAAGGGGCCGCCAGGAACCGGGCAACCACCAAGGTAAAACCCATGTGTGGGGGAGGATACCCGTTGCCTGGGGTCACCTAGTTAGTTGGAGATCGTCAGGGTGTAAAGCTTCCACGTATGGAACTTCGACGTCACTCTCGTCTGTGCTCTTTCCTTCTCTCTTCGTTTGTTCATGATTCCTTCGTTCAAATCTCTCCATCTCAACTCTCACCTCACTCCAACCAAAGCCTGGTAGCGAAACCCTTTCTCCTCATTCATTCTTCACATTCGTTTCTTTACCATTACCGGGCACTACCAAACTACCGCACCATGCTCCTCCAACCCATCACCAACCCCGGCAAATGTGCCCGATCTCTCGCCGTCCTCCTCAGCATATGGGCCTTCATCTACCTCTTCTCCCCCTTCAACCTCCGCCTCGACAAAAACGAAATCAGCTACAACGACGAAGCAATCTGGGGCAACCGGCACGACATCTGCCGCGCCTACGGGTGGAAACCCTACCAACCCCGCCAATCCTCGGACCCTCCCCGCAAGCTCTACGACTTGGTCCTCGTCACCACAGAACTCGATCTCCTAGAAGTCCGCTTCAACACCACCTGGGACGCAGTAGACTACTACGTTCTTGTGGAGAGTGCCAAGACTTTTACGGGGCGAAACAAACCTCTGCTGCTCAAACAGGCTCTGGATGAAACCCCTTCCCGGTTTGAGACGTATAAATCCAAGATTATCTACCACCAGGTCCAATACCCCGAGGATTTCAGCCCACCGCCCACGCCGCCGAGAGGATCCGGCTCTGGATCTGGATCAGCATCAGTATCACCATGGGAAGACTTCCACCTAAACGCCATGTTCGATCAAGTCTTTCCCCTACTCGAAGCCGAAACTAAATCCCCCATGACCAACCCCAATGTGAACTCGGACCTTCAATCCAGTTACCCCCTCTCTTTATCAAATTCCTCCTCCTCCTCCTCCAAATCCTCCTCCCCACGGCGTCCCCACACCAACGACATCCTCCTCCTCTCCCTCGCCCCGGAGATCCCCCGCCCGCACATCCTCGGTCTCCTCCGCGAATGCTTCTTCCCCGAGCGCTTAACTCTCTCCTCCAAAATGCATTACTACTCGTTCCAATTCGTCCGTCGCCCGTCGTGGTTTTCTCGCACTCAAGATTACGGCCCGGGGTATATAGATCGAGAGTCTCGAGAAGTGGAGTGGTCACATCCGCAGGCCACCGTTTATCGGGGGACAGGGACAAGAGGAAAAACGGTGAAGATGGGGGGCTCGGCGGGGTTGAGGTATGGTTCTCGTTCTGGTGTTATTGCCGGGATTGGAGGTGGGAAGTGGTGGAACGGGTGGATGGGAAAGGGAACCTGGGCTGAGAACTGGTTGGCCAGATGGGAAGGGAGAGAAACTTTGCGAAGCGCAAGTTGGACTTGTGAAGCCTGTTTCCCCACCCTCGCACAATTCCTCCTTAAAGACGACGAGGTATACGGACCCGGTCATCGCCTCGACTCGCTTACGAACAGCGACACGGAGAAAGAGAGGATAGTCCGCTACGTGCGCGAGGGAAAAGATCTGTGGTCTGATCTCCATGAGCGTGAGGAGGGGGGAAAGTGGGTGTTTGAGGAGGTGGTTAATAACACGGACGTTCCTAGTTTGTTGCTTGGATCGGAAGGCAAGGAGGGGCGGAGGTTGGGGTTTTTGATGGAGAGGGGAGGGAGGAGTGGTGGGTTTAGGGACTATAAGGTGCCGAGGGTGGGGGTGGTGGAAGATACAGAAAACGTGAAAGAAGGGGAGGAGAGGGTGGTGGCGATCGGGAAGCAGGGATGATGATTTTGATGTTTTCCAGATGGGAAAAGGGGGTTGGTTGGTATTAAATACGGGATGATGGGATGATGGGATGAAGGTCAGATGTGTGTGTGTGATGTTGCGAATTGTTCGCAGTGATGGATGGGTGCGGTACCAGCCAGTACAGCCGTGATGATCGTGATTGGTGGTATCGACGATCGGACTGATACGAAGCTCTAGAAGGAGAAAGACAGAATTGGCAGATGGCTGACATGAATGGGCTGGCATGAAGGATTTCATTGGGATGGCGTCTGCATAGATGGGTCTGAAAGGATGGTATCGGGTATGGATTTTGGGTCTCGGGATTGGCGTTACGGTACGTGGTCGGGCTACATGTTACTACTGGGGTTTATTTGTCTTTAGATCTTTGCTACAACATACTCTGTTTACTTCTACGAGTGTCAATGACCTATTCAACATGTTGAGAAGGGCACCATTCAGTAAGACACTAAGTAGATGAGGCGGTACCTTCAGGTGAGTCTACTGTGTATGTTTTGGAAGGACCATTGCCTTGAAATTGCAGGGTCAGTTGGATGACAGTCGGACCGCTTTCAATTGGTCAATTTCAACGTGGCACACAAGGCAAGTCAAAGCAAGTAAGGGGTTATTACTTGCCTTGCCTTGTCAAAAGAATGCTTTACTTAAACCTGTTACTTGCCTTGCCTTGTTTACTTGCATTGAACCGGTAATTTCTAAAACATCCTCTCAACGCAGCAGCAAACTGTCACGGAATATGAACTTTTAGTCAGATAGACGTTAATGAGAGCGATACGACACCTAACGCTAGTATTCACACCCGTATTTCTTTTAACCCAAACGTACACTAAATATATATAATAAGTATATTTAGGAGGGAAAAAAAAAGGAGGGTATAAAACATAATAAGTAAATAAGGCAAGCAAACCCCCTTACTTGCCTTGCCTTGCTATTACTTGCCTTGTGTGCTACTCTGGTCAATTCCCTTTCCATTCACCACTCACCCCTTTTCCATGCATTCACTACTGTTAAGTGACACAGGGCGCGAGCAGACTCAATCGGCCCTGACACACAGTTCAGTCACTCATTCATGAAATATTACAATCGTTATGATAAGTACCGTAACAAAACTGGTCAAACTCGTATATCCGTTCTGTGCTTCTAAGGTTTAGTCATGTTCATATGTACAACTACATGCATGTATGGGTGCGCCAAAACAATACAATGAATCATTCGGAGTCAACAAATGGACTTCTACATGTTTTGCTGCATTTTCCCGAGCAGTTTACAGCATCTGCGAACGTGTTTCAAGCTGTCCTATTCCAGGGCAGCGTGGTAGAAACAGATATACGAGTTTGACAAGTTTAAGGGGTAGATAGATGTTGGGTGCAAAAAATTAGACAATAGTATATAATTCAGCTATCCTTGATGTCTATCCTGTTCATATCCTCGACGGACGACGACAAGAATTAGAACCATCAAAATGTCATGTCATAGTGTAATCAACCCCTGCCTGCAATGGGTTATTTGCCCGTCCTCGCTGCTCAGTTTCTCATTCGACAAGACCAAGATCAGACATCTCAAACCCCGTCTTCTTGGGGGGGAAAATGAGTATGATCTCCATCATGACGTAACCTGAGCGGGACTTCTGCGTGCAATGGGTATCGGCTTTGAGAAGTGAAAAGTTGGAATTAGGTTGTTGTTGTTTGGTACACAGGTAGGTATCCTTGGGTATCGTCGGAGTCGGAGTCGGAGTTCGGAGTCGGAGGCGGAGGCGTCGATTCGCTTGCTGCTGCTCAGTGTACTGTCGTGATTTGATTTGTTTGTGTTTGATGCTCATTCCCCATTTCTCCATACTCGTTTACTTTCGTTCATCCATCCCTGATCGGTAACGTACAGCCCGTTCCGCAGTTTTTTTTTTTTTCCTCCAGTGATTCCCAGACTTAGAGAATGGCAAAAGCAACGGCAATGCCGGCGCCGAGACCGATCTGGGCAGAGCGGCCGGCACCGGCAGTTACGACAGGGGGAGTGGCACCAGTCGACGAGGCAGCGGGCACCTCGGAAGCGGTGGGGACAGTTTCGATTGTTGTCGGGGCAGGCTGGGCAGGAACGGTTCCGATGACAGTGCCTGTAGGAGCCACGACAGTACCGGAGACGGTCTGAGGTGAGTTGGCGGGGAGAGCACAGGCGCAGACTAGAGATACATGGTTAGCACATTATGCTATAGGTCATATTACCAGGGGCTTGGTTCATATGAGAAAATCAACATGAGCAGTCATGAACATTTCACTTACCCTCAGCAGCACCGTCGATGACGTTCTGGAACTGAGATGGCTCGCAGGAGTCGCGAACGCAGGACTCAATAGCAGCGAAGAAAGAAGCTTGCTTCTCGCATTGGCAAGCAAAGTCGAAGCCATCACAGCCGATAGAGGGAGCGTTGTCGATGAAGCATGTCTGGGCGCAGGAAGGGATGACCTTGACAGCAACGGCGGTGCAGCCGGAGAGCTGAGCGTTCACTCCGGCGAGGAAGAGGGCCCCAGCAACAGGAATCGTTGAGAACTTCATGGTGGATAGTAGCGAGCGACTGTGGTCGAACCTATGTGTGAAGTGGTATGATCCGTTGGAGGGTGCTGAGGAAAAGGGTGAGTGAGTGAGAGAACAAGGCGAAGGACGGGGAGAACCAGAGTAAAAGCTGGAGAGCGTGGTAGGATAGAGTCAACTCCGGGGTGGAGAACCGGGAGACTATCATGACCCAGAATTGGTAAGGGTTGCGGAAAAGCTTGAGGAGCACCTTGCACGAGCAGGGTCTTTTCACATGGGGAGGTGTCCATCTCGGCGGATATTTGGGCAGGTCCTTTGTGATATCTCGGTCTCCTTGCTGCTCTGGGAATGGCGACGGTGGGGGATTCGCCTGGGGAGAGAATCTTTACCTCACGCGCTCTACATAGTAGTATGCCTGAGCAGGAAGGATGTGGGTGAACATTGCATTGCAATTTCGCAAATTTGAAGCTGTCAACCTATCAGCATCCGGCTTTTACACGGAGCGGACTACTGTCGTGGTTGACGTTGAAGGATGATGATAGCTCCGGGCGCTTCCTTGATGGCATCGTGTTCGCAGCCAGCAAGCTACCACTCCACGAGTGTGTTTCCTGACGCTTCCTCTCGAGCAACTCGAGATTCGAGATCACTCTCGTAGGCTAGACTCGGCAATCAAGAATTAAACTCGTGTTGAGGGCGACCTCAGATCGACGCATCTCATACCCGATTCTGACTAGGTGATAGCCAAGAGATGCAGTCGGTCGTCCCCCGCAGTTGCATGTGGACCTCCAAACTTGTTCCTGAGGTTCCTGAGCCACAGCAACGACGATTGGCTGGTTGTCGCCTCGCCGAGGCAGCTTGCGGGCGATTTCTCTTTTGGCATATGATCCGGTGCCGTCCCAATCTGTTCTGAACAACTTGTATTTGTTGACCTTTGCACCACCAACATGTCTTGATGTCGTTTTCGTTTGCAGACACCGGGCTTGACTGGGCTGACTCGAGGACTAAGCGACCTTGGCAAGACGAAGTCGAAATGACTTTCAAAGCGGAGATATCGTCGACAGACTCCACGACTTCAACGGACGGGGTGGCCCGGTCTTAGTCTTACCCCGGATTTCCCCCGCAAAACCGGAGATTGGATGGGGCCTCTCAGATCCGTCATCTCCGCCCGTCTCGGGGATCTCTGGAAGAAAACACTATGTTTGTGTTTTATAGCTTGGAGCGCTCGATTCAGCGGTTGATGTGTTCGCGACTGTGGAGTGACGAACTGACGGCCAACCACGAAGCCGGCTCTGACGTCAGCTTTCACCCCGGCAGCCATCGTTGGTTTAGGGTTGGGACTATGCTTAAAACAATTAGGAAAACTGCTGTTGGTGGCGGACCGCAAATTGATGGGAGGAAAGACGTTGATATTGAGTTGTTTGTTAAGAAGTCTATTGGTTGTTGGTTGTTGGATGCCGAACGGGTGGATGCGACCCGTACCTAGAACAGACCGCTGCCAAGCCGGCGTCTGGCAGTCACGCCCGCAGCCGGCAACGGTGCCTTCCTTCGGTCGTAACAAGACCGTTGAGACGGGCTAGCAAAGAAAGGGAAGGAGCGATCCGGCCGGTCAGTGACTCAACCGGCCCGGTTCCGAACTAAGCTTAAAGTCTCCGTCGGCGATCAACTTCACCCGGCTGCCTAGCCAAGACGGCCCGGGTCGTACAAGAAATAAGCATAAGCTAACCACAACACAGCGGATAAGAATCTTGTTTTCTGTACAACACCGAACGGCCAAGATGCAGTGAACAGACAAGACACTCGGACCGGCTTTGTGCATCTCAGCTTGCACTGTGCCATTCAACTGGACGATTGAACCGCTTTGTAGCGCCATGTCACCCAAGCGATGGAATGCAATGCTGAGGTGTGATTCGATTGTTCCCCTCATCTGAATCCCGAACTCCGTCCTGTCAGTCTGTCACTTTGTCAATCCGTTTTAGGGAAGTCGGCTCCCCCGCACATGAAGCGCTGGTGATGCTATGCTCTCCACTTACCTGATCTATTGATGATAGTTCGATGCCTTTTTCCCAGCAGTTCGTCCAAGTCACTTATAATTCATTGATCGTACCCTTCCTGCAATATCGCTTCACTTACATAGTTTTCCATCTCCGACTGTGCTGACGACCATAACCTCCCCCCCGTCCCGTCCCCCACTTCCGCGACATAACCACCACCACCATCAACAACCATGGGCTCTAACAACGCCTACGGTGGCGAAGAAGAGATCAATGTCTTGATCACCGGCTTCGGTGTAAGTCATCAATCAAATCAACCACCTCTCGCTTCACCTATTAATAACCCAACTAACCACCACCACCACCACGCACCACAACCAACAGCCCTTCAAACAAGAATACCCCCTCAACCCCTCCTGGGAAATCGCCTCCCGCCTGCCCGCCGTCCTCCCTCCCCTGCGCGCCAAACAACCCTCCACCCAAAAACCGCCCTTGATCCCTCGCGTCAACCTGCACGTCCACCCGGAACCGATCCACGTCTCGTACAAAACCGTCCGCGAACTCGTCCCCAAGCTTTGGGCGCCTAATTTCGCCGACTCCTCTTCTACCTCCTCATCCTCATCCAACCCCCTGCCGCCCACGCCCACGCCCACGGCCGCCGAAGCAACAACATCCTCGGAAGCCCCCTTCTCCGAACAAGACGCCGCCGCCGCCGCCGCAAATGAGGAACCCGAAAAAAAACCCAAATACGACTTCGCCATCCACATCGGCATGGCCGGCCCGCAACCCCGCTGGGCAATCGAGCGCCTCGCGCACCGCGACGGGTACGCCTTGCGGGACGTAGACGGCGAGTTTTTGCGAGATAGGGAGAACCAGCTGCGGGACGGGGACGATTGGGTGTGGAAGGGGTGTCCGGCGGAACTGCGGACGGATCTGGATTTGGATGTGATTTTGGAAAAGTGGAGGGGATATTGTGCGCCGCCTGGTGGGCTTGTTGTGGCTTCTGGATCTGGATCTGGATCCGAAGGTGGTGTAGAGGAGGGTCACGGTGGGAAGGATGGTGGGAAGGATGGGAAGGATGGTGGGGAGGGTGGTAAGAAAGAGGGAGGAGGGAAAGGTGGGAAGGACAGGGACGGTGGAAAAGGTGGGAAGGGTGGGTTTGGGGGTAGAGATGGGAATGGTAATGGCAATGGAGGGGGCAATGCTGCGGGAGCAAAGTTATGGTATGGAAATGACATCAAGGGGGGGGCCAAGGGAGAAAAGTTGGTGATCAGTGAAGATCCGGGGAGGTATCTTTGCGATTTCATTTACTATAGCAGCTTGGCCGAGTTGCATAAGCGCAAGGCGGAGAAGAGGGTGGTGTTCTTGCATGTGCCGTGCAAGTTGGGTAAGGACGGGGAGTATGTGAGGATTGGACAGGAGCTGATGTTGGGGTTGGTGAGGAGTGTGGTGGAGTGGTTGGTTGATGAGAAGAAGAGGAAGGGGGATTTGAGGTGATACCTCCAAGTGATGATAGGAGACAGGGGTGAGGTATTACCGGTGGCTTGATATTTTGAAGACTGCGAAAGGGAGATGGTGCGATACACAGCGTTCATGGATGATGATTTACGAGATACATATACGAATCAGACGATTATATACCTTCCGCTTATTTACTGATCTCCTTTCCATTTTTGCACCCAAAGTGGTCTCAAGTCCCATTTAACCTAGCGGCAAAGGTGCTTCCAGAGATTACTTCACGATGTTGAAACAACTGGATCTAAAATGCTTCATATAAAGTGGTATCTATGTCTAGCGCTCTTTCTAAACTCTATCCAAAGCTGAAAACGTCACCCCTTTCTATTCCCTTTTGACTTTCCATCTAAGGGACGGTAGTCAACTTCTTGGTCCTCTTGCTAAGGGGACCACGGAGGTATTGTACGGGAGCCTTGACATCAACACCCAACTCATCCGCAACAGTGAGGACGAACTCGGGCTCCTTCAAGAACTGCCTGGCAACAAGGACCATATCGGCCCTGGTCTTGGCGCCGTTCTCGCGCGTGATGGTAACCTTTCCATCGGCCTTCTCCTGGACGGTCTCCTTGGCGATCTCGGCAGAGGTGACCAAGCCGACGGCGCCGACGAGCAGCTTCTTGCCGGCCGCATGCACGGCCGCGCGGATCTCCTCGGCCATGTCGATCTGGTAGTAGGTGTGGACGTTGATCTTCTGGTCCTTGTTGTTGCCGCCCGAGGAGACGTCGAGGAGGTCGACGCCGAGGTCGGGGAGGATCTTGGCGAGCTCGATGGTCTGCTGGAGATCCCACGAGGGCTGGCCGGTGTACTCCATCCACTCGGTGGCGGAGACACGGACGAACAGGGGCATGTCCTTGGGGATGACGGAGCGGATGGCCTTGGTGATCTCGACGAGGATGCGGGTGCGGTTCTCGAAGGAGCCACCGTACTGGTCGGTACGCTGGTTAGAGATAGGGCTCAAGAACTCGGAAATGAGGTATCCGTGAGCGGCGTGGATCTCAATGAGATCGAAGCCAGCCTTAAGGGCGCGCTGGGCAGCGGCCTTCCAGGCCTCGACGAGCTCCTGGATCTGCTCGACGGTCATCTCCTTGGGCTGGGGGAAGGTCTCCTCGTTGTAGCAGATGGCGCTAGGGGCCCAGACGTTCTCGGGCCAGCCACCCTCCTCGGGGCCGGCAAGCTCGCTCTTGCCCCTCTGGTAGTGCCAGGGCGCCTTGGTGCTAGCCTTGCGGCCGGCGTGGGCCAGCTGGATACCGGCCTTCTGGCCCTGGGTGTGGATGTAGTCGACGATGCGCTTGAGGGGCGCAATCTGGGAGTCCTGCCAGAGACCAGAGCACTCGGGGGTGATACGGCCGTTGGGAAGGACACCGGTGGCCTCGAAGATGGTGAGGGGAACACCGCGGAGGGCGAAGGAGCCAAGGTGGACCATGTGCCAGTCGGTCATGTGGCCATCGTCGGCAGAGTAGGTGCACATGGGCGCAACGGCGAAGCGGTTCTGAAGCTCAACACCACGGATCTTGAGAGGGGTGAAGAGGGTGGGAACCTCGCCGGGAGTGGAATCGAGGGGGGTGCCGGCGGCGGGGACCTGGGCCGGGGTGTAGAAGGCAGCACCCGGGGCCGCAGGGGAGGCGGTCTTCTTCTGCTGAATGGCGTCGACGGTCATTTTGGTGATGATGTTGTTGGTGTTGAGGTATACAGATGGATAGACTGATGGAAAATAGGAACGGGAAAGGGCAATGAGGGAAGAAGGGCGTTTATAAGACATTTATATTCCCCGTTCTGGGAGGCCAAAAGCCATATGAAAACGCATCGTTATTGCCGTCAAGGTGATAATGGAGCACTGAGTGGGGACCTCACCGTGTTGATTACAAACCACCCTTCAACGACTATCATCGGTTTCCCCTTGCCCAGCAGCGGTATCCCTTGAGATCTCGAAATGCCCGTTTCATCCCTCAAAGAAAAAAGTTCTTGTCGAATGCGCGTTGATGATGGCGCAATTTCCATTGGCCAATTCCTTTCTGCGGCTCACCGCATGCTGGGCAGTTGAAGATTCGCCCCCGCTGAATCATCAATTGGTGTTGAGTGAGAGACGGTTATGGAAATCTTCAGACGGTCTTCGATCGCAAATGTGGGGTTGACACCTTTGTCCCAAGAACGGTAGCAAGCAAGGGAGAATGGGATGAATAATTCCCGAGATTCCCCGTGGTAGTCAAGCGGACGGTTACTCGTCAGGTCTTCAAACCCGACTGTCTGACTAGTGGTTTTACATTGATTCGTATACGACCATTGATTCGTACCGCGGGAGCGACTTTCACTGGCTAGCAAAAGCCCTTGGCGCCAAAGTTGTCCACGCTAAGCTGGTTAGCGGGCGTATCTGCATATCTACCTGGCTTAGCTGCATTCTACCCCTCCGAGCTGAATATCCAATGCATGCAAGCCATATAACGTCTCGGTACAGGAATCCGGTACAAATCAATAGTCAAATACGAATCAATGTCCCTGACTAGTGGGCTGGCCAACTAGTCAGAGGTCGGTTTTGAAGACCTGACGAGAACATACCGCCGTCGTACCATCGCAAGTTTCGCAACGGTCGCAGACATTTGGATTGGAAATCGGAATCCAACCAAACCCACCACGTCGCAGCTTTGTCAAACGCGGTGAGAGCCGATCGCAAAGTCTAGATGAACTGCGTTACTAATCACGCATCAACGGGTGAGATCGGATCTCGTCCACTGCGACCGAGTCGTTTAAAGCGACTGTGTTCTGGTCTGGGGCGACTATGTGGGGCTAAGGTATAAGTCACTTCCGGCAACTCAAATTAGTGGTTAGGGTTAGTGGTTAAGGTTAGGTATCAGGGTTAATTCCGGGGGTTCAGGGGGTCAGTGAGAGGTCCCCGCATGTGAATGAGAGTTTGGCGCTTCGAAAAAGATAGTTTTGAGCATTCGTTATCGTGGTTCAAAGTGATAACTTTCGAAGATGGTGGATCGTGACTTTGGCTGCGCGAACTTGATGCAAAGCTTTGGACTTGCGGTCCGTGCAGTCTTGCGATTTGTATGGCCCCACACAGTTGCCCCAGACCAGAACACAGTCGCTCTAGACACGGGTATTAGTAATCCGCCTCCCGCATGAAAGCCGAGAAAAGAGCGCACGGAAATACCGGGAATCCGGTGCTTGGGGCCCCGGCTGTGCCGATTCCGGAGCAAACTCCGTTGTGACCGCCTTCAGTTCCCACACCGGTCCGTTCAGGCTGGAGACGGGAACAGCATGGAACAGCACTCAACTCCACTGGTTGACGGTTGTCTGTCCGACGCCGAACCCCTGATAAACATCTTTCCTAAATAGTCCGAGACAACAGAATGGTAAACAATAGAGGTGGATATCATCGTCTATTTTGCAGATCTAACAGGCATAAAAATCGTCTCTGAATGAAAACCAAGCAGCTGCTGCGTCGCAAAATCCATACCCGCCAAAGACACAGCACAACGCCTTTCACCGACCGACCAACCAACCGACCCACCAACCCCTTACACCCAATGGATATCTAGCGTCTTCCTCTTTCTTTACCTCAAAGGAAGCTCCTTAGTCTCACCAGCGGCGGGCTGAGCGTCACCACCAGCAGCGGCGGCCTCCTTGGCAGCCTGCTCCTTGGCCAGCCTCTCCTTCTCCTTCTTGGCCTTCTTCTTCTCCTTCTCCTTCTCCCTCTGCAGCTTCTTGGCAGCGGCCTTCTCGGCCTCGATCTCCTTCTGCTTGCGGAGCTCCTCACCACCGTAGGCCTCGCGCCACTCCTCCAGCTTGGCAGCGGGGATCTGGGAGAACAGAAGCTCAGGGGTGCCGATGGGCTCACCAGCCTTGAGGGCGTTGGCGGTCCACGTGTCGGGGATAACAACGGGGATGTCAGACTCACCCTCAGCAGCCTTGAGACCAATCTGTCTGAGGATAGACTGGGCGGTGCCGGGCATATAAGGGGTCAACACACCAGCAATGAGGTGGAGAAGGTTGAGGGCAAGGTTGATGACAGCGTTGCAGCGCTCGGGCTCCTCGGTAAGAAGCTGGTTGCTGAGCTTGTTGTCCTGAAGCAACTTGTTACCGACGGCAGAGATGCTGAGGACGGTAGCAAGACCGGCGCGGAGCTTGGTACCCTTGACCTGCTCGTTGTACTCCTTGAGGAGCTTGTTGATCTCCTCCTTGTACTCATCAAGAGACGCGATGGGAGTCTTGGGGTACTCAGGGACCTTGGCGTCGAGCTTGGCCTGGCAGAACTTGACGACACGCTGGCACAGGTTACCGAGGTTCTTGAGGAGATCGTTGTTATTGGAGTCAATGAACTCCTCCCACTTGAACTCGGAGTCACCAGACTCGGGACGTCTGGAGAGGAGGTAGTATCTCCAGACATCGGGGTCAATACCGGTATCCCTGGCGTTGTTTCCGAACACACCGACGCCCTTGGACTTGCTGAACTTGCCACCCTCGTAGTTGAGGTACTCGGTCGTGGACAGGTGGTTAACCTGGGTCCACTTCTCCTTTGTACCCAACTGCGTGCCGGGGAAGATGATGGTATGGAAACTGATAGACCGTGTTAGTCAAGACCATTGTTACTTGAAGAGTAGCGCTTGGTGCACATACGGAACGTTGTCCTTGCCCATGAACTGGTACAAGGTGACATTATCGGGGTTCTTCCACCACTTCTCCCAATTCCTGCCCTCCAGGTTACCCTCATCGGTGTAGCACTTGGTAATGGAAGCATAGCCGATGCAGGCATCGAACCAGACGTAGAAGACCTTGTTGGCATACTCTTCCTCGGAGAGGCCCTCGAGGCCCTTGGGGACTGTGAAACAGCGTGTTAGCTATGGCCGTAAAGGAACGCAACAGGGACACAGCGTAAAGACGTACTGGGTACACCCCACTTGAGATCTCTTGTGATACCACGGGGCTTCAGGCCGTTGTTAATCCAAGAACGAGTAATGGCAACGCAGTTGGCGCTCCAGCCGTTCTCAACCTTGTCGAGCCAGGCAGTAATCTCCTTGTTGAGTTCGTCCAATCGGATGTAAAGGTGCTTGGTCTTGCGCCTCTCGGGGGTAGAGCCGTCAAGCTTGCAGCGGGGGTTGATGAGCCAGCCGGTACCCTTGCTCTCGTCTTCGCCGGCAGCGTTCTTGTCGGGCTGAATGGGGTCGAGAAGGTTGCCGCAAGCGTCGCACTGGTCACCACGGGCGCCGAGGTCGTGGCAGATGCTGCATTCACCCTCAACGTAGCGATCGGCCAAGAAGGTGTTGTGCTCGGGGACGGCGCAGAAGGCCTGAGTGGTTTCGCGCTCCTCGATGAAGCCATTCTTCCAGAGCTGGGCGAAGATCTCCTGGGTAATGCCGGTGTGCTCGTCGGTGGGAGTGCGGCCGAACTTGTCGAAGCTGATACGGAACCAGTCGTAGACATCCTTATGGAGGGCGTGGTACTTTGCGCAAAGAGTCGCGGGGTCTACGCCCTCGGAAAGGGCCTTGGTCTCGGTGGCGGTGCCATACTCGTCGGAACCGCAGATGTAGAGGGTGGGCAGGCCACGGGCGCGGCAGAAACGGGCGAAGACATCGGCAGACTGGAGAGAGTTGGGTCAGCGAAAGATAAACAGGGCGGGGCATATGCGCGGAGCAGGACAAGGAGAGAAGTGCAGAGCAGCGCATGTGGAAGGGCGCAGGGTTGGCTGCAGACAGAGAAGCGAGAGAAACCCATCAACAACATACCAGAACACTACCAATGATGTTGCCCAGATGGGGGACGTTGTTGACGTAGGGCAGGGCGCTGGTAATGAGGATGTTCTCCTTGCCCGGCTGGGGCAGGACTGGTCCGTTTTTGCTGGCCATTTTTGCTGTGGTGTGGTTGATGTCCTGCTGTCGCTGGGCTGCAGTGGGCAGTTGGGACTCGGCGACAAAAGATGAACTCGGAGCCGCAAACAGACGAAACTCAATCGCGACATGAAGTGGGGTGAGTCAGAAAATGAGGGGCACGGCTGACCCTAACCCTTGGAGATGTCGTCTGAATAAGGTCCGATGCCGCCGGCCTCTCTGGTCCCTTCTCCCTTGCCGTCCCATCTTTGTTCATCCCTTGCCGCCACCACTTTTTTGATTTCACCAACAAGACCATTCCTTACCAACAAACTCAACAAGCTTGTTTCGACGTCTATCGTACAGAGCAGCGGTAGCTTAATTCAACATCATCAAGTGCGGATGCTTAATCCAACCTCGTCTGAACATCCAAAGGTCGTGCCTTCGTGCCCTTCTAGGCCGAACTGGCCGAAAACCGGACGGACAGTGGACTCTGAGCCTAGAACAGGGGCAGCTAGGGGGGATCGTTTCAGGGGTCACCTCCCCAGGACATGCTCTGACGTCTTGGGGTGGATCCAGCCCAAAATGCGGGGGTCTCGGTTGGTGCCGACAGGGTCGGGGCTCCGTCTTTGGCGTGAATGGCGTCCCCTTCAGAGCATTTCTTCCCATTTCAGGAACCTCGGCTGTCCAGCAACATGAAACGAAACATCCAAAATCAACATGGAACGCGACCATGGCAATGTAACCATACTTCGTCAAGATCTTGAACCATGAATTCTTAATCAACCTGGCACTGCCTCTTTCACGTTTCTTTTCCCGTTCCCAGTCAATAGCTGGATCTCCAACGTGGCTTAACCAATGTTTCGAAACATGGAACGCCGGATCGCGGCTCCGTGAGTGTCATGGAGGACTGCCATGATCTTCGAGTAGGAGTTCTGTATACATACTCAGCTCTCCGGTAATCATCATGTCTTCTGGCGACCATCATTCAGCCAAAAGCCACCATGTTTCCCAAAATGAAGCAAAGCGCCAGAAACACAAGGGGATCCTCCAGGTCGTAAGTTGCCGGCCTAACAATTTGTCTTAAGACATGACCGTTTTCTAACTTCAACAGGCGTCTGGGATCTGAAATGGTCCATGTGCTCGTTGGCAAAGAACAACGCGACTTTCAAATGCACAAGAAACTTCTCTGCACAACCAGCATCTTCTTCCGCGACCACATCGAAGCCGCCCAAAAAGAAAGCAACGGGACCGACTCCGAACCCGAAGACTCGGTCCTCTGGCTCCCTGAAGAGTCCCCCGAAGTATTCGAACTATTCATCGTCTGGCTCTACGACCGCCGCGCCTTTCAAGCATACGTCGACAGCGCCATAGAAAAGGCCGCGAGAGATCGAGTTTCCCCCACCTCCTCCCCCAGCCGAATATCTCCTGCGCGACAATCGCCGTCCCGAGTTGGAACTACCCGACACGCCGAAACAAGCGACAGTGGCCGGCGCACCCTCCGTTGGAACCTTGTTCGTCTGCATCTCTTCGCCGAGGTAATAGACCTCCCCGCCCTACAAGACGCCTCGATGGACGCCCTACAAGATATGTACCTCCTCTGCGACTGGGACATGTCGCCGGGGTTCATATCCTTTCTATACGGGGACTGTTCGCTCGAGAATGCAGTCAGGCTGCGCAAATGGGCCGTGGCAATGCTGGCGTGGACGCTGCACGGCGGGGATGGCACGTCAAGTCAGTTTGAGAAGCTGTTTGCTGTCTTCCCGAAACTCAAAGCGGATTACGGCATTCACTTTAACAAGATGGCGGCGAGCAAGGCCGACATAAGGATCAAAAACCCGCAGTTGAGGCTACCCATGAATAATCTAAGGAGCGAGGAGCGCTTCTTTGGGTTTAGGCAATGCTCGTTTCATAGCCATCGGTCGACGGTTGGGGAAGGGGTTTGTCCCCATTTGATTACGGGGCTGGAAGGGATAGATGATATGGAGACTAGGTCGACCATGATGGGCGAGGATATTATTTCAGAGGAGGATGAAGAGGAGCTGGAGGGCGAGGGGGAGAGTTCGGATAACGAGGAGATTATTACGCCTGTGTGCGATATGGAAACTTCTTTCCTGGACCTTTCATAGCTTGAGCCGGTGTCTTTTGTTTTTCCGGAGTTCAGGTCAAAAAAGGGTGGCTGCTGGAGCAACATACTAATACAACTAATACATTCTGTTTGACAGCCGATCCAAGCATATGTGTCAGAACCACCTACTTCGAAAACACTAACGTCATCCTTGATTACACTCAGTCATCTTCATCCCCTATTCTTTGTTGATCCTACCCCGCCATCAACATCGGGTAACCGTCGCAGTCGGGTTCGAAGGCTGAACGAGAAAAAGAGGTCGAGTTAGTTCATACACTAAGCGAAACCGAAACCAATGAAACCCAAAACAAAGACACAAAAGAAACGTAAACACGAGCACAGAAGGCTTTTTGGAGTTCCGTCTGTGAGACTCAATCAATAACCTCATTGATTTGCTCCAGTTTCGAAACCACTTGCGACTAAAACAACACTTGAACTAGAGTCAAAGATGAATGTTGTCATCGTTGAACTGGAACTTTGATCGTCGAAAACGTCTCTTTGGCAGGCATCCGACTGGGTCAATGGATTTCGTCCATTGACCCAGTCGGATGCATTGAAATGGGTCTATTTGTCTATGGATTTCGGTCAATGGAGGTTTGTCGAGGTCAGGATGTAAAACAAGTCAAATCCATACAAATCAAATCCAAGCAAGTCGCCCACCAGACTTGGCCAAATCGGGGTCGAAATTTGACTCACAAATCCAAATCTAAACCCAGATTTGACTTGGAGATTTGCAAGTCAGTGGTGTTGGTTGAGAGATAGGTTTTTTTGCCCAGTGAGTTCGAAAAATAGTGGGGCCGGGACCCGAAATTCTAGGTACTTAGGTACTTCCTAGTGGACTAGGGATCCGTTATCTCTAGTTAAACCCTAACCCTGACTGGATTTGACCCGGATTTGAGTCTTCAAATCAAGTCCGGATTTCCCCACTTTTCAAACAAATCTATAAATTTTACCTCGAAGTGTTTCTTTTTTTTTTTTTATTTTTTTTTTTTTATTTTTTTTTTTTTTTAATTTTTTTTTTTGGGTCCGTGTTTGACTTGTCTTGCATGAGTGTGTTTTGTGTGCAAACCTGGCTAACCTTTTGGGGTGTTCTTTTTTCCCCTTCGACAAAAATATAGTACTCAAAGAAGGTTGGTGATATATGCTGGACTTGCTGCAAGACTATCGAGAATGATGGTGTTGACTTGTGAGATTGTCTCACTGGGGTGAGGGCAGGACTTATTTGTCTGCTATCTGTGAACTGGGTGACAGTGCTTGCTAGGGAGAATGGGAGAGTAGTCAGTAGTGCTGCACTGGGGCAATGGGGTTTTGTAGTGCGACAAGTGTGGCAGGGCGATAGGAGATGGCGTGGTGTGACGCGTTCTTTGTTGTGGAGATGCGGTGGTGAAGGTGATGTTTGGATATTCGTTGGGGACTGGATGAGCAGCAGGAGTTTGGAGGTGATGAGGTCTAGGTGTAGAGGTAGTTAGGGTAGTGGCCGATATGAATTATGATGTGGGACGGGAGAGGTGATACAAGATGCCTTCGGCTTCTGAGTGGGTTGTCTGTACGACCGTCGTCCGTGAATTGTCGTACTTCCTGAGTGCGTGGACGAGCCAGAGCTAGAAAGAAGAAGAAGAAGACTTGGAAAGTTTCTGTTTTGATATGAGTCAGGTTGCAGTGGTTGTTTTGTTGTCGGGGCGCGGGTCTTCTCACGTGATTGTGGGCTTGTCATTTGTGCCTTCTATTCCCAGTTATTCCTGCCTTTTAAGTTTAAACAATTGATAAATTCAAGTCTTTTACCTTTGGGATAATCGATTATTGAACTTTTCAGGCTTATACACGTGCGGGTTCGCGAACCATTTCCGAGTGTCCGGTCTATGTTTTGAGATTGTCGAAACTTTTTAGCAATGCATCCAGCAACGTTCGGTTTGCCTGCACCTCAACACCCAAGCCTTCGCCTCGATTTTGTACTTCCCGCGACTCGACGTTGTAATCGCCTGACGTACGACCAGGTATTCCTCTGGTGATTGGTTGAGATATCAACGAAGCTAGTAGACAGGGGGTGGTGGTGACATCGACTATGAAACTCCAAACTTTTTGAATGGCGCTAACCGCCACCACCACTGTCTTATTCCGACTACATCCCGTCACTGATATCTATCCTCACCTCTACAGCCATCAAAACCTGATGCTATTATCCTCTTCTTGGGCGGAGCAAATTCTCTTTGCTCTTTGAGCGCCTCTCAGCCAGTTACCCACATGTTTTGCCAGCGAATTGAACAAGCGTCGACGATGGATTCCCCGCGGTTGCGCCAACAAGAATCAGACCAAGACGACCTGGCTTACGGCAAGGAAGAAGCTGCCACAATATTACCCACAGAGAAAATAGCCGCGAATAACTACGACCTGAAAGGTAACGGCCAGGTATGGGACAAAGATATAAGACCATGGAGCCAGAGTTACGACATTCCTCATTCCTGCCGCCACTGCGGCCGAATCAAAGTAGTCACAGACGCGAAGCAGATTTCTGGTACCCCCGTTGCCATCGGAATCTGTATAAGCCAAGGAATTCCTTTCATTCGTCTCTGCATAGCCGACAAAATTGCTGATCTAAGGAAGGCGCTGGATGACAAATGCCTCCTGTTTGAGTTTTGGTTTGAGGAGTACAGGGACATGAAGGACTCAGAGCTGCTCGAACTACTTGATGTCGATGGCTCAGGAACTGTGCAGGCATTATTTCAAAAAATAGATGAAACAGAGAAAGACAGCAAGACAGAGGCGTATGGGTATTGGGATCTTAGCCTTCTCTTACAAGAGGGACAATATAAAACGCGGGCCAATTCACCAAGAGCCATTATTCAGCCGGGTAAGTTGCCTACCTTCATAATGCTTCGTCGAGATTTCCAACCCTTTCTACAAGCTTCCTCCAAGTATTTTGCTAACAACTACCAGATGGGCCAAGAGAGACCTTGACTTGCGACCCAGGCGCTCCGGATTCGTTCGAGATTTGTCGAGGTTTGATGTCCAAATGCCTCTTATCTCACCCCCTTTGCCGCATGCCACCTTCCTCTTTTCTTCCCACCAGGCTTTTGGATGTCAAAGAACATGACGTGAGGCTTGTGGAGACATCTGAAATGGATAAGAGTGAACAGTGCAAATGGTGTGCTTTAAGTTACGTCTGGGGCGGCGATGTGCCCTTGAAGACTACCAAAGCAACGCAGTTGGCTCATAAGGAACGTATCCCCCTCGACACTCTTCCTCAAACCATGAAAGACGCGGTTTATGTTTGCCGAGGCTTAGGGATCCGGTACCTATGGATCGATGCCCTCTGCATTATCCAAGACGATCAAGAGGATCTCCGCGAAGAGGTCAACCACATGCCTGAGGTTTATCAGTACGCGACACTCACAATATGCGCCGCGTCATCCACGAGCATTTACGACGGGTTCTTATACCGACGTGGATATTGGACCCACGGTTGCCACGCTATGAATGTTCGGATTGCGATCGACTGCAGTGAGAGTATCGTGTTGTTTGTCTGTGGATCTGGCGTCGGCCGCGTTTGTCCGCCGCAAAGATCCCATTTTTAAGCGAGCGTGGACGTATCAGGAGTATATGCTCTCACCACACATTTTGAGTTATCGGACTCACCATTTGGAGTGGAAGTGCAGGACGCATACTGAGCTTGTTGGCACCCCAGGATTTGATTTACCCCTAGCCAAGACGTCCGTGACAAGTGGAAAGATTGATCGGTGTGAAAAGGGACAACAGGAAATGTTGATGACCAACTGTAGCACATACAGGTTGTCGTGCTCAACGTCATGGTACGACGTGGTTCACGAATATACCACAAGAGCAGCATCCTTAGCCTCAGACAAATTGCGCGCGCTTTCCGCCGTCGCCCGGGTCTATCACCTTGAGACAGGGAAGGAATACCTAGCCGGCCTGTGGAAAGAAGACATCCCAACTGCGCTTTGTTGGGGTAATGGTCCAAAAGTAAGACGTGGGTCTGGGCCTTTTCTCACTTCTCAACGGCCTAGAGAGTACCGAGCGCCCTCTTGGTCATGGGCATCAATCGACACGCCAGTGCGCTACTGGCATGAAGACCGCGGCGCGCTGCTGAAGATGCGTAAATTACAGGTCTTGAGTGCTAGTATCACACCAACATATCCAGACGGCGAATTTGACTCGATTGCCTCAGCCTTTCTGGTTCTCCACGGCTCGGTTCGGGCTGTGCCCCTAACGACACCTATTGAATTACAAGAATTCAGGACCGAGGATCCCACGTATAGATTCTCATGCATTTGGGTTGCTGGAGTCCGCGCTCGCGTCTACCCGGACGCCTTTGAAGATCAACACGAGACTTTGGATACGTTACGGTTTTTGCTACTGACTGAGTACAACCACAGTCATCACCCAAATATAAGATTCAAAGGACGCTATATGACCTATCGCGGATTGGTTCTCAAATCCGTCCAAGCGCAATCTGATACTTTCAGCCGGATCGGACACTTTGAAACTGAAATAGATGAACCCGACAGTCGCTTGCCGGATTACTTGAAAGCCTGGACTCATGCCAAGTTTTTCGATTCTTTCGAGGATCGAACTATTACCCTCATTTGATAGCATCCCCAGACTGTTGATGGAGAGCCATATACACTTTGTACTGGGAGGAAAAGGATTGGGCCGGCGGCTCCTGGATACCTAGGTATAGAGACAGTTACTGATACAACCAGGTGATGACAAGAATGGTACCGGCTTCACATAGTGTAGGTGTTTGTAAACTGATTTATCACGCGAACAACTTGTAACACTAGTGTTCGGGGAGGCAGCATAGCTGCCTTCCCTTCCCCGGGCGATGAGAGGCTGGATCCTGGGTTGTGGCCCGTGTAGATGCTGGATACTGGGTTGCACCGAAGGTTGGATCCTGGGTTGTAGCCCGTATAGATGCTGGATATTAGGTTGTACTGTAGGTGAAATACAAAGTAGGGAGAAACCTTGGCTTTAAAATCGATGTGTAAATGGAGGTGTAAATGGAGGTGCAAATAGAGGTGCAAATGGAGGTGCAAATTGGGAGGTGCAAAATGCACTAACAGAAATGGAAGTTAAGATGTTAGGTCTAACAATTCTTTTGCGAGATGAAAGTGTAGTTTTTGGGCCGTGCGTTATGAGCTTGATAGTTCAAGCGGGGTTCTGTATCGGGGCCGCCCGCGGAAAGCACTAACACCCTAACCGGATTTACATGATAATAGTATATGCAGTATGTAGAACTTCTAACCACGGTAACTTACAGATACCGTCGCTTGGCCCGCAACTAGTCAGACGGTCGGTTTTGAAGACCTGACGAGTAGGATGACGTTGTGCAAGTTAAGCTGTGTTTTCACTGTTGTGTGTAAGTACAACTCTTATCGCATTGTTTTTTATCAAACTTTCTACTTATCTTATCGTAGCATATCCCGTCTTCCTATCACACTCTTTCTTATCGCCTCCTATCTTATCAGTGGGCTCACCCTGAAAGATAGAGCACGTGATCCTCCCTTGTGAACACAGAGCGAATGAATGATGACGTACTTTCCAATGAGCCCCCACACAAACCAACAAACCAATCACAGTTCAGTCACACCGACATGCGTGATAAGGACCCACAAAGCACATAGGGGTGAAAGGAACCAGGTTGTAGTCTGTTAGTACGGTAATATAGGCATGGCACTCTCTATCGCTACTTGTACAAAATACTTTCGGAAACCCATGCAAAACTGGCCCAAATATGTACGGCGCTAATGGTGAGATAACGGGTCTTATCACCATTGAGGTCCACGCCAGCAGGGTTAAGATCCGTATTCGAAGCCGAATTTGACGACCTCTTGTAATGAAGGGTGTGACCAAGCCGAGCGGACAATCTGTGGGCAGATGTCGTCGTCCTCAGGATATGGTTTTACCTGGGACGTACGTCAATCTGGGTGCATCATGGTGCGTGGAGGGAGGGTGGTTCCAAGCAGAGGGGCTTTGAGCGCGTCCTATGGCCCAGTACTTGTGCTCCCTTCAAGCTGTTGGTTGCCATTTCGGCTCTTGTTGGTTACAGATTCGGACACAAACGTCCTGAGGGGTCGGAGCGCTGCGTCCGGATTTCTCACCACAAAGCTGCTTGCCCCAGTGACCTTAATCATTCACGCCGAATGCAAGAACCAAACGTACTGAGAACCGACTAGCTCGTGAATCAGAAACTGCACCATCATCTGAGACGGCTCTCTGGTTTCCGGTCATTGTAAAGATATCTAGAGGTGTGAAGCATAGGAAGCAAACAAACACGTAGTTTGATGAAAGATGGAGCAGTCCACAAGCGTTCGATTCACCTCCTGAAGATGTTCAACGCCCTATACACATGAGTCATTGGGTCATGGATAGGTGCCACTTCTGGAAGTTGTAACAAAAGGAGAGCACTGGAAGTCGTCGGATAATATTGCAATACCTAGATCGATAGGTGGAGTGAGGTCTCCTTTGATCAGGTGCTGGAATGTGATCAAGTTACCAACAGCACCCACAATCAAGGGAGACGGGAGCAACGGACATGGCGGCAAAGGTCTTTGAATCCGAATCACACAGCGCAAAGACTGCCTGCACTGACCGTAAAGGCCGTCGATCTCAAGTTTTGAGAGTGACACTTCAGATTTGGAAACCACTGACGATGGCGCAATCCCCTTATTGGTTTCCACCTAGTTTGAGACCCTTCCTTATCCTGATAAATCCTCACTTTGGTGAATAGCTGCACTTTTCGGATGGCAGATGTCTACGATGGAAACGCTCGGTTCATCATCCATTGTTGACCCAACAGCGCGACTGCTGACCCAAGGTCAGCGTTGTTGTTGTTGGCGCTCAATTCCCGCCTTTGTTCTTTGTATTCGATCACTGCCCTCTGCCCCTCCCGCAGCGAGTCGAATCCCCGAGAACTCTCATCACTTGAGCAATCGAAGCAATGAGTCGCCCACAATGTCTCCATGTCTTCTTGGATTCTTTGAAGAAGAAGCGCTGGTCGCGCGCTTGTACGCAACAAACAGAACAAGAATCACCACGGTTCCGATCATTTCCTTGACGCCTTCGAATGCTTCATTGTTGCTGGCTGATGTTTGAATGACGGCGGTCGCGAGCGCTTCAACTGCCCTCCACTTCGCCATAAGAGCCATCGAAAATACGCTCGAGATCCCAAAATGCTTACCTGGAGTTTCACCGGCGCTCCTCTACACTACTTACTTAGCAGTCCGAGCAAGCAACGAATTACCTACCACTTATTCCTTTCCCGTTCGGTCACGGAACATAGACTGCTTTGGGAGTGTTCTAGCTCAAGATGGGTGCTGGTAACCAGGATCAGAGTCTAGAGGTACTCGAGATCAAGGGATTATTAGACGTCGTGATTGGAGGTATTCGAGGTGGACTCCGCTATCTCATTGTTACGGAATTCGACAGCAAGATTCCTTGGGAAGATAACAAAAACTTTTCAAGCGCATATAAGGACAAACTACGCGAGTTTGGTAGGCATACCCCTCTTGATGAATTGAAGTTGACAGCTACGGGTGTACTAACCAACGGAACGCTTCCTCAGTCTCCGAGATCATCAGAAACCCATACGGTGTCACGCTAGAAAGACTAAGAGCGATGATCGAACAGCTTGAAGAACTGAAACAAAACCGCTGACCCGGTCGGCGATCCTTCCTGCTCGTTTCCGAAAAGCAGCCAAGGCCTCGCCTCTCACGAATGGCAAGACCCCGTTCCCTTTCCACCTCAAGATTCGACCCTCCGTACTTCCATCGATCGTACCAGACCCGTAATTTCCAGCTACCTACCTGCAGGACAGGCGCACGACAAACTGGACAACAGTTCATCTTCGATCAACACCAGCGGGCAGTTACTCGCAAGCGCAACGCTTCCTCGTTTCCGCCCCTCTTTTGTTTTCACCTCAGACCTTTTTGAACCGAAGGCGGGCCTTCGCTTCAACAACTTAGCGACATTTTAATAGGGTGGCGGTAGCACTTTCACACGGTGGTTGATGCTTGGGAAAGAGTAGGGATTCAGGGGGGAAAAAACAGAAGGCAAGAGATACCTGATCAAGGGAAGGAGAAATAAGGATCGAAGAACCCCACTGTCCAAGGAAACATATCCAGCAAGCATGGCTTGCTCTTGGAATAGCAGGGGAAGACTGTCATTCTCAGGGAGTACATATGGTTCAATTGGTGGCAGAAAGGACCGAAATGAATGTTCGACTTTTGCTAGGTAGGTGCACTATCTGGGGATTGAGGCTCTACAGAAACTAACGGCATTTACAGGACAAGGATGATACCCATTTGAGCTTTACTAAAGGAAATACAAGTTGCACTACCCAATAAAGCACTTCATACACATACGAATAAGCTTCGTGGTTCGGAATCGCAGAGTGACCTCAAGCGAATGTTAGGCACCGCATCGCGGGTCTGTCAACGAGATGTGTTGCTATCGAAATCGCCGCTAATCTTGCCGTACCAGAAATAGTGCACTAACATCTGCAAGCTCGCGGTCGACTTCCCTGTTTGGAAAAGGAGGTGCGCCCAGGGGCAGCCCCACCCGCCGCCACCCGCCGCCACCCGCATACCCCGGGAGCCCGGTCATGGAATGTTGAAGGAAGCTTGAAAGCCACTGTGGTGCAGATGGCCAAGGAGGGGGTCGTTTTGGGAATAAGGTGGTGGTTGATTAGGAGGAAAAGCTAACTACAGAAGCCCCAAGATTCCAAGTCTTTATACCTTCCCTGCTAAGCGCACAGCGCACCTTCCCAAGCTCAAGAAGCTGATCTCTGTTTTCTTCCTTCCATGTTTTGTTTTCCGGCCCATTTGACCGGGCTGCGGCGTATGTGACCGGGGAACTGCTTCAGCTCCTCCGAAGTAGGAGGCTGTTGCTTGGTTAAAAAAGCAGTGAACATTGGTTCGACGGTGATGGCTGCGGAGTACTGGTCCCAATCAGAACGACAAGAAAGATAGCCCTGGATGACTGGGTGAGCTTTCGATCTTGCGTTCTCGAAATGGATCCAAGCCTCGGACAAAATGTCCCCTTGTTCATAGTAAACATCGTCGTCTTCGCCACTGAACAAAGAACAATGGAACTGATTGCAAACTGTGCCAGCCATACAACCGGTCGCTAAGTAGAAATAGTTTGCCAGGAAACCGAAATTTAACTGACGCGTGCGAATATCAGCAGAACGACTCCATGCACCTCGATGGCACACACAAATGTGTCTGTGACAGAAGCAAATGTTTTAATGACAGCCGCGTGAACGCGTCAATACTGGTTGAGAATCTGTCGCCAAACCCGAACTCAGACAACGATTACTGCAAGAATGTGCGCAAGTTCGTGCAGGCAGTTCGTAAATTCGTGAGGCAAAGGGCGAAACCGCGAAATACTTTATTGACACTCTTTGCTAACAAAAGATTCGGCTCAGGTTCCTTATGAACAGGCACTGGGGTTGTTCTATACATACTAATTCTAGGGAGCGTACACTCGAACACATCAACCCAACATATTAACCATCATCGCCACCAGGCTGAGCCCACCCAGTGTTGGAACAAGAACCTTGAGCCCAGAGGCTCCGGATTGAACGGCCCCTGACGGAGACGGAGAGGCCCCAGACGGAGAGGCCAAGTCTCAGACATCTTAGCCCGACCCACTTTTCAGACAACAACATCTTCACAATCACTCACAACGGCCACTCCTGATTTCTAACCAAAACTGCATGATGAGAAGGTCAATTACCTGCTGAAACACTTAGAAGATGATTGAAGAATTTTGTGAGAGGAACTACCACATACAATCCCTGGAACTCAGTATGTTACCGACGAAGGTTCAATGCAATGTCGACTCATCCTCTAGGCTTAGGCGAACCCGCGTCCTTGATCCGTTGCTCCCCTGACGGTAGGTAAGCTCCCAATAAGCAAATGAGGACGAGGCTGCGCGTCCCTGACTGTTGCCATTCTGCTTGTATCTGATATCGACGCCGGCTAGTCCCATCTCTCCGGTTCACTCTCCAAAGTAAGAGCACAAGCAATACGCACGCGGAAGGGTTGAGCATGTCTTCCAAGCCTCCAGCGCAACTCTGGGCTCCACTTGGCCTTCATCACATACCTGAGAGGTCTTTTTGCGGCGATGTGGACTGACGGGGCCAGGGATCGTTCCCTTTGCTAAATAGTCATCGAGGGAGGGTCTTGTTCTCATAACGCAAAACTCATCCAGAACTCAGCGCCAGATTTGATGATGTTGAGTTAAGCTACCGCTGCCCTGTACGACCGACGTCACAATAAGCTTGTTGAGCTTGTTGGTGGTATGCGCCGTCAGAGTAAAGAATAGGTTGGTTGGTGAAGTCAAAGAAGTGGCGGCGGTAAGGGATGAACAAAGGGATGGGAAGTTGCGGCAAGGGAGGCATGGCAGGGATCAAAGGCAAAGAGGCTGCATCGGACACAGAAACGGCTTGGAACACCTTATTCAGACGACACAACCTAGGTTATTTCCGAGACCGAGCAAAGTTCCTGTGAAAACAGCCCGTGGTAAATGAGAGAACAAGCAAGGCGGTGAGAGCAAGAATTTCAGCAAAGGTAGGTAAGGTACGGAATGTATTTGCCATGATTGACACAAGTGAACATAGAAAGACATGTAAGCCAACAAAACAAACCGTTTGTACGCCGTCAAATCGGGAAACACTGCGCGGAACAAGAAGACAAGCCGTGGAAACCTTCAGCGCGGAGCACCCTAACTAGTACTCTTGCCTATATATGTACTCACCGTCATCCGAGTCGGTACTGCTTGACGAATCACTGGAAGAGTCCGACGACCCATCACGCGAATCTTTTGACTCCTCTTTGAACTCAGTGCCCTCGGTGATGAACTCGTGATCTGGTGGGTGAAGGATTTTTGAGTGACGCTGACACTTGAAGCAGAGGTCAAAAGCGTCACTGCAACTTTTGCACCGGTATACGAGTCCTTGTATAACCTGCCGGTAATTAGGTTAGCACAAAGGTATTATAGAACCCAGCTAAGCAGCAAAGAAATGGTACATGTGATAGGGTCTTCCGAGCTTCACGACACAGGAAGGTGACCATGTTGAAGGCTCGGACAATATACGAAAAACAGGTAGATTGGTGACCGGAACTTACCCAGAGACAAAAATGGCACCAAGGTTCTGACGCTTGTGCTTCTGACCTTGGGAACGCTTCTGACCTTGGGAACAAGCGTTTACCACCAATTGTTGTCTTTTCGGCATTTTTCTAGTCTGACACCTTGCTGGTTTCCCGTTCGAGCAGTTGCGTGACTTTGTCGGGTGCGCCGCACAGTTTCGCTATTGCAAGAGGGTCACAACTCTCTCCAGCAATAGGGACACGGATGGATCTGTCAGCATCATGACTGAGGAGCATCTCAATCGTCACGAACTGGTCCACCCCATCCGGCTCAGGGGGTTTAAAATATTGAGACAAGATTTTGGGAGCCAGAGCAGCCGAGCACAATGGTGTCCAGCCATCGACGTCACGGACATTGATCAAATGAGGCGAAAGCTGGAGGACACGCTCAACCACCCTCGCGCAGCCTGCCTGGGCTGCCCAATGTAGCGGCGTTCGACCCGGGTTATCACGTACATCAACGCGACCCCCAGCGTCTAATATCTGTTGGAAGTTGCCCATTCCACCGAATGCCGCATAGTGGATTGGCAGGCAGCCCCACGAGCTTTTGGCATCTACTTCCGCCCCATGGTCGAGAAGGAGCTGGATGAATCTTGCTGGTCTATTCAGAGACGCAGCGTGAATGGGGGAACCAAAGTATCCTCCTTGAACGTTTGGATCGGAGCCGTGTTTGAGGAGCAAACGAACAGCGGCCTCAGCCCGATCATGGTTGAGAATATCATCGCGGGCAAACCCAAACATTACCGCTATCAAAGGTGTCCCGCTGACGCCGTTCAATGTAGAATTGCTGTCGGCACCATGCTCTAGCAGAAGCTCCATCATTCTGATGTCAATAGAATCTGCTGCTAGAATCAAAGGCATGCCGTTACTAGTGAAAGGATTGGGCTTGATGTTTGGATCAGCTCCTTTTCGAAGCAAGTAGTCCGCCTTATCCAGTAAGCCTCTATAAACAACCTGGCAAAGGGGCGTATATCCCATATTGTCTTGGACGTTTATCGTCGCGCCCATATTGACGAGACGTTTGACATGGTTCAAGCTGATGCGGTGCGCAAGATGCAACACCGTCGCTCCGGTAGAATCAACCATGTTTAGGTCGAGCCTGGGAAGGTATGATGAAAGTAAGGCCAGGTGTGTGTCGGTGATCGTAGGGACAAGGAATAGTCCGCAGCCATCGGCATCTTTACGTCTAAGATCTGCTCCATGCTCAGCGAGCAACATAGCTTTTTCTGTATCATTTAATTGGACGGCAAAAAATATGGCTGTCGTGCCACGATTCGAGTTACGCCCAGTCGGTGTGTAATATTCCTCGTCAACCTTGGCGCCGTGTTCCAAAAGAAGAGCCGTAATTTCTGGATCCTACGACAAATTGTAACCATCAATGGCGCCCCAGATTGCTTAACCGGCCTAAGGTTCGGATCCGCTCCCCGCCGCAGAAGCAACCGAGCCACATATGTAAGTCGTTTACCGCCACTGGGTGACATGATCAGAGCATAGTATAAAGGGGTGTCGCCAGCGACAGCTCTTTGGTTGACTTTTGCCCCGTTGTCCAGAAGAACTTGAGCGACGTCAACGTTGCCGTGCGCAGCTGCAAAGTGAAGAGGTGATAATCCTTTATCGTTGACAAGGTTCAAGTCGGCACCGTTTTCAAGGAGGATCCGGCACAGGTCTGCACCGTTCAAGCGCTGCGCCACATGGGAAAGAATAGACAACCCTGAGCAGTCACGGGCATTTGCGTTTGCTCCATTTTGCAGAAACAAACTGAACAAAGCGCTAACAGTGGCGTCACCGCCGCGTGAACAATCTTCGGCATTAAGTAATGATATGAGGATTGGGGACGTGAGAAGGGGATTATTTGGGTCAGCCTCATGTTGGAGGAGCAAGCGGCAGGTCTCGATATGCCCATTTAAAGCTGCGTTTTCAAGAGGCGGTTTTTGGCCGCCCATGTTTGGGTTGGCTCCATGTTGCAGAAGAAGCTGAACACATTTAGTGTTGCCTAGGCTAGAGGGGATTGTGATCGGTGTTGCGGTGAGCGTTGTAGATGAGGTAGAGATACCCGCTGTGGGATCTGCCCCGAGTTCAAGCAATACTTTCACGGCTCGATGCTGTTCAAGCTCACATGCACAACAGAGGGGCGTGCCAGCTATGTCACCAAGAACTAGCTCCTCAGCCTTGTACTCTATGTCAAGCCCAGCAACATTAGCCAGAAACAGTATTGCTTTTTCGTCGCCGTGTCGTGCAGCAATATGGAGCAATCTAGGATCATACCGCGAAGCGTCCCCCGACAACTCAGTCTGTAATGATCGTCTGGTAAGGACCTCCAGAGTCTCCGCATGACGGTTGCGTGTGGCGTGTAGGAAATCCAAGCTGGTTGTTCGTGGTGTCGAGACTTTGAGTTCGGGGGGCGGTACACCAATCTCGAGTAGCTTTTCTGCAAGGGTTGGGTAGCCAAGTTCTGCCGCTATCGTCATAAGGCGCGCTGGCCAAGGTATATGAGCCGGGCTTTTACTTTGAAGAATAATTTTCTCAGTCATGTAAAGGAGAAATTTCTCGTTTCCGGAGATTGTTGCTGATAAAAGACCTTCCAGGAGCGTCGGCTCGCCATAGGTGTTTATGAGCAGAGACCTCACCGTCCGCTCCAAACCTCTCGACGCTGCTTCCACCATTCCTTGTGAAGCATCTTCCGCATCTCGGGGTTCAATCAGGTTGACCAAGCCGAGCCCAGCGAATACCGAGTATATTGTCTTGGGGCGAGATTCACTCCTCACTATCTGATTTGACAGCGCCCAGTACCCGCCTGCCAACTGTGTCATAAGGCGCTCCTGCGGTTTGACAAAAACCTCAAATAAATCCGCCTGCTGGATACTCGAAGCCTGAGCGAAGTGATAAGGCCATTCCTGCAACGCGTAGGAACATAAGTTTGTGCGATCCTGCGCAATAAGCATCCCTGGCCTGCTCCCCTTCTGTATGACGTTTTGGATATCGTTATCATTGTCGAGCTCAAGTAAGAATTGGAGACAAGTGCGTGCAATCTCATGATGCGCGATTCGCGGTATATCGTCCCAGATATGCTGTAACTCACTTGGGGAATGACGTGGGCTGGATTGGTTGGGGACCAAGATCTTCCTAAGCCGCTGATCGATAGTGACCTCGTTGTTTTGAATCTTGATGATACCCGCTAAGAGGTCTTGCATGTAAAAAACGTGTCTCATTGGGTCTTGATCGTCATGAACTGAAGTTGTCCGGCCATGGGCGGGGGCTATCTGGAGCGCTTCTCCCAACTCCCATATCGATATGGGCCGTGTGGTGTAAAGCAGCAGACTCAGGAGTCGTTTGAGCATCGTTTGGTCTGGGACGCGTCGAAACGATGAGTCCAGTAAGAAGGTGAGAGCCATGTCTTCATCTAAACCGGGGATAGTGTGCACCATCGGGCTGAATTCAGCGCCGAGTGAGTATATATCAGGCCATTCAAGGCGACTCCTTGCCTGTTCAAGGACAAGTTGCCTTGTGACGGGGGAAAACCCTTTGACCTTGTCAATCTCTTGTTGGATATACCTGGATTGCAGGCGTAGTCTCGGTCGACACTGAATGAGGCGCTTCCATTCATTTTCGAAAGTGGCATCCAAACTATCAGTTGAAAAGCCCTTTAGTTTAGCGAGTTCCAGGGTGTTGTAAGATGTTGCAGAAAGTTTCTCCAGCATCGTGATTGGCGTGCCGGCTGTCAATACCACTTTCCATTTGAGAACATCCTGAAATTGAAGAAGCCACTGGAGGAAGGCCAGCTGAGATCCCTCTGTGCAGTGGTCGAACTGATCCAATACAAGCGTAATTTGTCGACAACGGGTGAGGAATGGGTAGCCGTCCTCACTGTAGCCAGACCGCAACAGACAATGCAAAAGATGGCGTTCGGTCCAGCCATGCTTGAAGCCAAGGAGAATAGTGCGCAGATCTTGGCTATCGCTGCAAATGCTATATATTTGGGCGCAAATAGTGCATACCAAATTCGTAATGGATTGACGGCGAGCATCCCATTGATCGAACGAGAAATACAGCACTTGGTAATTTTGACCAAGTTGCCGCATTCCTCGAAAGTGGTCAATAGCTGCGAAGTATATCTGCTCCGCTGCCTGTTCGGAACCACATATGCCATGGACATATAATATGGGTGGCCCTTCGGGCCCTAGCCAGGTTTGGAACTCGTCGGTTTGTTGGATGGGTAAATCAGGTTGCGGTTTGGTGCATAATCGAAAGATGGGCGAAGCGAGCGATATGAGGATGCGCTCGCACTCCAAGCGCGCCGGGCTTAGTGTTACATGCTCAACTGTAAAGGATTTGTTAGTGTCTGCCTGCACAATTTTGTCATCTGCCGGCAAAAGAAAAACAGCGGGGATATGAATATGATAATTTTCATAGTCTCAATCATAGTGTAAGAACCGACAGGAGAGCAAATCCCGGTGTCTGTTCAGACGAAATCCCATTGTAGTATAATACAATAGAGAGGGAGCTAGAGAGCGGGGGCGTGAGTAATGAAAATAGTGGGCTCAACGGACAATTCTTAATACAGAATTTCACTTCTTGGACAAGGCCTGGGGAACGGCGCGTTGTTTCTTCCTCAACCGGCATCTCTGGGGGAATCCCGGACAATGCGCTGAAGCTATCAAAGACCTATTGATTGTTTATTAGCATGATGAAGCCTGTAAGCCAGGTCACAAGTTCACCCACCTCATGAATGCCACCTGCAGCCGGGTTTGCAAACACACTGAGCAGTCTACTGCGTAGCGGGACTTTGGATTCGACGAACAAGCCGTTGATCTCAGTAACGGCATCAGCAAGCGCCATCACTGATGATATGGAAAGACAGTCCTTCACTTGTGGGGAACTTTTTAATTCGTAGAAAAAGCGATTCAGCCGATCTTGCATATCGAGATCGTCGAAACTCCGATGAGGGAAGCCATAAAAAACCTGGAAAATATGGAATGAGCAGATATACAACCCTGAGCACTACTGGGAAGGGTGCTATAAATTCATACCAATATGCGACTCATGTCCAGAATGTGATGCCACGAAGAGAGGTCATAAGTTGCCGCAACCAAGGCCTTGAGGTTCATGAGTGTCGTGTCCATTGCGCAGAACAATCTGGGGTTAGGGAAAGGGGCAGCGACTGACATCTTTGACGAAGACCCCGCCAAGGTCATCTGAAACGAACATAATTTTGCGGCCCTGTGAACAACATAAGCAAGTTGCGCACCGAGTTTTGAAACCCTATAACTCACTTTTGAGGCAACATCATGCCGGAAGTTTGAAAGATCACGCAACAGCTTCAATTTGCAGTTACGGATGTAATCTCTACTTTTCAATCCCAAGAGAATGTTCTGCAGCTCATGGTGGTAGAAGAAAAGTCTTGAGCTTGGAGAAAGCCAAGTGAACAAATCCAAAAGCCAACCTCGGACCAGAACCGTATCTTGGTCATTCGTATGGTAAGATTCTAGCTTGAAGCCGGGTACCATGACAACACTAACCCGTAATTGTGAGAAAATTATGGCTTGAAATAAATAACGAGTAGATTGAGAATGAGGGTCACTCACTCAAATGATCGGGGGTCGGTATCAGCCTCCTTTGGGATGGATGATGCAGATTGGTCTCCTTCCCGATAGCAGCGCAGCGAGCCAAAATCGAGTGTGGGATCGAGTGTGGGATCGAGTGTGGGATCGAGTGTGGGATCGAGTGTGGGATCGAGTTGCGTTGGGTCTGTATCCGGACCTTGAGACTTGTTGTCGGCCTGGTCATTGTTACCTGTACTCTTTGTTGACTGCGGCAGAAGCGCATCGGCGTCTGATGATGGCTGTACGGAGGACGGGGAACGGGGCGAGGAAGAAGACGGCGTCGACGCAACTGATCCGGAGCTTTGAATCCTCTCGGCTTGGTGAGCATACCGATACTTTGGGGTGCAGCTGGACGGTGTTGAAGAGGAGAGTGCAAGCCGGATGGAAGCAACAGATTCTCAACCGGTTTTAGTCCCCACAAGAATTGAAGATGGGAGCGATGTTTCCGTTCCAAGAGCGAAAGGACAGAAGGCTGAGGACCTACAATTCCAGAGATTGGCTGGGCGTCGCACTGTGGGCGATGTCAAAAGGGTTGCACTGCGTCTGATCTTCTTCCCAGGGCGGTTGTAGTCGTGCTTTGATTCGCTATGTGACCGAGTGACTAACGGGCCAATGAGCCGAGAGATGGTCGAGTGTGCGTACGTACGAGGTATGGCGCTGGGTACATACGTGATACGCATAGAGATGTTGAATATTTCTGGGTATCCTGTCTCTTCTGCACGTCCCGCCTTTCAATTCTCGAATATCTCAAAGCCCCTCGGGTATCGGTAACAAGATGAACGCGACCTACAGCAGCAATAGCGATAACGAGAGCGAAGATGGGTGGAAGCTGGCCATTGCTCGAAATATGGACCTTGGGAGCCGAAGTGAATACGAGGACGACGAGGACGCCTACGACGTGGCAATCCAGTTAGGAAAGGCTGGTGAAAAGGGCAGCGGATACCACACCAAAAACGATCCCTCTGCGCCGTATCAACGTCAGACGGTGATAGAGCGTCGTGGCATCATGGAGATCCGATGTAGGTCGCTTGCGGTCATACACGGAGGGCTACAACCTGGGTCAGACAAACAGGCCACACTGCTGGTCTACGATGTCAGCCTCGATACAGTGAGGAAGTCACGACGAATCACCTGGGTCCAGATCGAGTTTAAGTTTGCGAGCAGCGAGGGCGGCCGGTCGCCCGAGGTGTTCTCGATAGCACCAGCGGGGCGCGTGGGCCTCTTGCCTTCCAGTCAAGACGAGTCGGTACGGAAGCTGGGCAGCGTGACGGCCGGGGCATCGGAGCTGTTTGGTAACGTCGGGGCAACACTTGAGTGGGAGAAAACAGTCAGCCGAACAAGCAGTGACTCTGCACGGGTGGTGGGCAACACGCTATGTGACGACCTTGGCCGGCAGGTGGGAGCCAGCTGGATCCTTGAGGAGAACAAGGCCATCAAGTCGGGAGTGCCGAGTCTCCTTCGGTGCGCCATGGTCGTCAGCCGGACCAACAACGGGCAGTTCGAGTGCGATGTGACCATCCGGGCCAAGGCTGACTGGAAGACCGAGCTGGGGCGTCTGGTGGCCTTGAAGACGCCGGGCGATGATCCGATTCTGTTTGACCCCGACGCGGCCCCGACCAACCGGCTGAGCAGAGAAAGCTTCTACGATGTCAATAACCTTGCGTCCACTGACGTGAATGACCTCGTGGATATCCGGTATCAGACGTTGTTCAGCCCGTGACAACAGAATGGCTAGACGGGAGACTGTGAATGCAGCGTGGGCCGGTAATCGGAGGAACGGTAAATGAGTCTTGTACAATCATGTCCACTGGATGAAGGGGAAGAGGAGAAGTTGGAGATTCCGATTCTCGTTGCATTGGGGGCGGTACACACTGCAAAATGTTAGGTAGGTTACGAAGAGAAATTCATGGGTGAGAAATGAGTCAACAGAAGACTCGGGTGGGTAACGGCTTTCCAACGATAAACAAACGGCATCAGGAGGGTGAAGGGGGGAAGGATTCGGCCGGGTATTGGATGGATGATAGTTGGCTCCTGTGCAGGGCAGACAGTGGGCTTACTATTTACCAACACTGTATAGAGAAGTACCTACCTCTTGTGGGTAGAATCTTCCCCTCCTGCCTCAGTTACTTCCTCGTCCAACTGCAGCGGCAACAACGAATCCTCCCGGTGTTGTCATGGCGTCCAATGGCAGCCAGGGCATGGTCACCCCTCGCCGCCCACAGAGGCTGAGATGGGCCTCGACTGGAGAGACACGCCTCGCTCTCAGCCTCTTTGTCTCTGTGTTAATCATCTTTGTACATGCTCGTATTCTCCCTTGTACTAGCCTGCCAGATACACCTCAGAAACCATGGAGTCCGACTACCCAGACTCTGAGCCCACCGGTCTGCACCGAGCGCAGACATACAACACCAGCAGCGACGACTCTGGATCTGAGGATGAGCGCGAGCTACTACCTGATCTACTCAAGGGTATTCTCCGCGATATCGATCATGCCACCATTCGTTTCCCGCTTGACGACTTCACCCAGCAACGGTGCGACGAACTCGCCTCCCATGGCACTGGCAAAGGGGCCTCTTCCAATGCCTTGCATCTCCTTGTCTTCGATCTAACCTTGCCCAAAATGGTCACCACCAGTGCTCTCAAGGAGCTTATTACTTTCCTGGTCCAGCATCCAAACAAGCTCATGGAGAGAAAAGACCATCAAGGCTATACGCCGCTTATGCGCGCCATCGAAGCAAAGAAAATGGACGACATGGTCGGCTGGATGTGTGACGCACACCCCAACATCGACGCTGTCCTGGCCATTTGCAAAGACAAACGCGAGAATTGTCTCCATGTAGCCGTCCAGAAACGACACGCTTGCCTCAGTAAACTCATCGAGAAAGCCAGCCCTAAAACCGTCGCCGCCAGAGACTCCAAAGGCAATACCCCTCTTCACTGGGCTGCCGAATACAAAAGGTGTCGAAACGACACTTGGCTCTCTGTGGTAAAACAGCTCGTGGCCAAAGGCGACGACATCGTGAAGAACAGTGTTGAAGGTGACCTAAACAACGCCGGATTGTCGCCATACCTTCGCCACATAGAGTCTCGCATGCACGATGAGGCTCGCAGGGAAATTGACACATCTCAAGATATGGTCCGCACCAAGGACATGCTGGAAGGGAGGCTTCCCTTCAGGCAGCTTTCACGCGAATCAGGGGAAGAGAGTGCTGCTTTTGAGTCATTGTCTGCCTCGCGACCGGCTAATCCTGAAAAGACATCGAGGTATAATCGTTCTACGGCGGCATACCGTGATACGCGGATGGAGTCAAGGTCACCCCTTCACCTGGCACTGCGCGGAGGTTTGCGGTTTATACCACCGGAAGGGCTAGAAGAGAAACAAGCGCGCAAGCTGAAGGCCCAAGATGAAAGATCAGTCAATCACAAGAAATCCAGGGTCGATAAAAAGGTTGCCGAGAGCGTACAACAGTTTCTCAAGTTACATTACTTGCGATCCCGCAGCGAGAACGATTGTAGAGACATACTATATCACTCTGATTTCACCCCAGGTAAGTACATCAAGAACAACCTACATGTTCACAAACAAGAGGCACAAAGTGAGTCCCCAGCGGGACCAGACTACATCAGCCAGAAAAATGGTGAACGTAATGCTTACCACCTTCAATCTGCATCCTACAGGCTTCCAAGATCTGGTTCTGAATCTTGACCTTTCCGGACGGACGGGCATGACCGAGGAAGCATTTAGCAAACTCATCTCACAACTAAAGTTCGAAACGGTCCTGCAATATGTTGCCGTTCCCAAAATTATCATTGAGAACACAAGATCTTCCAACGTCAATCCAACACAGAACGACGAATCTACGGGCAGGCATGATCTATCTCGAGTTTTTGAGAGCCTTCGGTCAAAGAATGTCTGCAAGATACTCAAGGTCGTTGTTGACGACACGCTGACGCCGCCACATAGTGACAAGGTCATCGAAGACTCTCTAAGACCAATGATGGTAGAAGTGTGGGATTGGAAGAGGATTGATCTTTGCTCCGAGGTCATTTACAATGCCGTACCTACAGCTCGAGAGGTTTACCTTTACTCCAGCGGCAACAATGCTGTTCTCCGCAGCTGGAGTGAGGAGGGTGGCCTGAAAAAACTCAAGTCTCTAGAGACTGTTCATCTTCACGTGGAAACTGTACGTGCAGGCGCTTCTTGTCCTCATACTGACCATGTTGCCAGTTCTAGCTTAACCATTACCAGGAATGCTAACGCTGGAATAACCAGGGAATCGAGACCAAAGGGCGCATGAAACTATATCTCGACGAATTCACCGAAAGAATGAAAAAGACTTGCCCAAATGTTACAGTCCACATCGACAGTCCCGCAGTTCGCAGGGCGAGGAAGGCAAATGTCGGTGTAGCAAGAGCTAATGGCAGAATTAGCGAACCAACAACCAAAAACGACTGGATGATATGTATGAAAGAGTTTCGAAGGTTGCTGATGAACGCCGAAAACAACCACAAGACTGAGAGCGGGATGAAAGTTTGGCAAAGTATTGAGACGCCCATCACAGTTGCTCTCATTGACGACGGCGTCGACATAACACAGTTGGAGCTTGATGCTGCCCCCTTAATTAGCGGGCGGACTTTCTGCACAAGAGACGAGGTCAAACATCTCAGTCATCCGCATTACGCTTCAAGTACCGGGCACGGAACTCACATGGCGCAGAGCATACACGCCATCTGCCCGAGAGCCCAGTTCTTTATCCTAAGGCTTGAGGATTACCCATCCGAGGATGGTAGCTCACGGCATATTACTGCTAAAAGCGCAGCTCAAGTACGTTACTGGCTCCTCAATGCCACTTCTTTACCCCGTCACCTAACCACTCACCCGATTCCTCTTTCCCCCGTCAACAAAAAAAAAAGAAAAAAAAAGAAAAAAAACCGAACAAGGAGCAAACATTCGCTAACCACCCTCCCCAGGCCGTCCGCGCAGCCGTCAAACAAAACGTCCACATCATCTCCATGTCCTGGACAGTCGACATCCAAGAAGACGAAGCCGCCGGCCAGGAGCTCGAAAGCGCCATCAAGTCCGCCAGCGACAGAGGCATCCTGATGTTCTGCTCCGCCAGCGACAACGGCGCCAACTTCCGGGACACTTTCCCTGCCAAAGCCACGCAAAGCATCTTCAAGATCGGGGCAGCCAAAGACTCCGGCGCCGTAGACGAGTGGGTCGGCGATCTGAACCGGATCGACTTTACTTTTCCCGGCAACAAGGTCGACCTCGAGGGGAGACAAGTATCCGGCTCGTCGGTCGCCACGGCCCACGCTGCGGGACTCGCTGCGCTTATTCTGTACTGTGTCCAGGTGCGGCTGTTTTTGGCGACGGATAAGGCGGAAAAGGCGCAGGCTAAGGAGGACTTTGAGGCGATGAGGAAACATGCGAAGATGTACAAGACGTTTAATGAGACGATTGGCACGACGGCGGAGAGTAAGCACAAGTTTGTGAAAGTGTGGGAGACGTTTGGGGCGCCGTGTCAGAAGCAGGATAAGCAGCCGGATCGACTGCTGGAGCTGGTTGCTGAGGTGGGGACTAAGCTTTGTATGAAGCTGTGAACCCAGCGGCGCGTTCCTCGTTTTATTATTCACGCTCATGCCACATAGAGTCGCAGGGTGTTTTCGTCTTCCGGGAGACCTCCCCTTTTTCTTAGGGATGAGGATTGGTTCAAGTAAGGTACCCTTCCCTGCTTGCTTTCAGTCCGCGAGCAATGCTCTAGTCGCAGGACAGGAACTTGGCGGGGGGGATATTGGTAAGTGGATTCTGGCCCAGCATCTCATCCCCTTCTACGGTTATGCCAGCTCTTTGTCTCGTACAAGTTTCGCGAGGGCCATGTAGTGAGCAAATTTCTCATTACAGTCAACCTCTATGAGGGAGAGCAAGCTTGTCAAAGTCTGGGATGGGCTTGGGAGGCCTTGGGAGGCTGTTATTCGTGGTCGCTGATCTGGAAGCCATGCAAAACCTGGTTGGGCATACAAACCAAAGCCCAACTGGGTGGTTCTTGCGGCAACGACATAGTTATCCGCCTTTACACAGGGGCAGTTGAACGGTTCGACTTGTGCCAGGCCGGCCGGAGGAAAAATTTCGCCGTGTCTCTCTAGGCGTTTTTTTTGTCAACTTCTTCCGCGGATGCCTTTCTTTGGTGGACACTGGATATCAACGTCAGACACATACCCTCTGTCAGCCAAGTCCTCTTTCCCCCCATAACATATATTCTCTCAACGCGCCTTCCTATCCAGATGTAGTGAAAATGGAGGCAGGACCGACCAATTCGATTCAAAACCAAAAAAATACAAGATGATACCTTCTGTTAAAATAGTCCTCTTTCCTCATTTGACGAACATCCTCAACGTGCCTTCCTCATTAGCGAAAAAGGAGGCGGCACCTACCCCAAGCAAAAAAAAAACAGACATACAACACCAGGTTATTCGCCGGTCGTCACCGATCCGACTACTAGTCTGGCGGTCACCGGCTTATCTAGGGGAGAGCGGACGGGATCCCGAGTTTTTGCCCTGGTGCCTATGGTCGTATGTGTTTTGTTGCTGCTTGTTGCTGGATGTGGGAGGAGGGAGTGGGGAGGTTGGTTATATACCTGATGTATTGCCAGATTAAAAGAACCAAAACAAAACACAACTTTCGAATAGCCTCTTTTCAATCATCACTTGGGTTCTTTGAGGGCATACTGCGTGCCAGATTCCCTCATTCATTGGTTCCGGCCTCCTCGGCTGTACGATGACAGAAATGTCTGCAGGCGGACATGCTGATGCATAGAATGGGTAATGTTAGCCCCTCGCCAAACTTTAACTGCATGATTAGATAAAATGGAGAATCACAAATGCAAATTGCATCCAGAAGTGTTGATGTACAAAATAGAGGACACCCAGATGATGTGGATATTATCGGCTGCATGTTTACCTGCATCCTCCTCCAGTTGTTGCCGAGCCACTGTTCTCGAGACGTCCTGAACACTCGAAACCAGAACACCAATCTTGGTTCTCTACGACAAACCCCATATTGGGAATGACTATTTCGATCCTTATCTTGGCCACGAACATCATCCGTTTGCTTCGAACCCTTAGCGTAAAACATCGTTCTTGGATCTGTAAGTGCCCGCAGCCTTCGGATAGTCACAAACACCAGACAAGAAACTGACCAACAAGAAACCGAGCACGCACCACCAAGATATCACATAGCGTGCTTCTCCTCGCGTTTGCGCCAACTATGACCTCTCTCCCAGCTTCCAAAAGCGGTAGCGTTAGTGGTGCCAACGGCGATAAACGTTTCCAAGTCAACAACAACAACAATGACCATGGCTTGCAACCACCGCGTGGTCTGGGTCTATCCGAACCGCCCATCTCACCGGCTGTGACAACTGGGACAGCCTCGTCTGGAAACTTTACCGACATCCATATGCGGCAGCTTATCAGACCGAAAAAGTTCCGAACACTCTCGAACGCCTCGAGCATCCTCAGCGACATCTTTAACCATCCCGATGCCAATGAGGACGAGCTAAAGAACAAGATTAAAGAGGCAAATGACCGCGATCGTGAAGCCCTTTACAACATGAATGAGTCTCTCCGGAGCACGCCGCCCCCTCCTCCCGAGCCCATGCCCACCCCTGACGAGGATAAGAAGCATCGCAGTGGGTTGTGGGGATTCTTCAAGAGAAAGTCCTTCAAATCAGCAAAGAAAAGGGTCAAGTCGGCTCCGCCCAAGATCGTGGTTCCGGAGCCTCCGGGCGTAGGGAGAGCCACCACAACCACACATACCACGGAGGACGGCCATCGTCAAACTGTGATATCCATTCCCGCCCAGCGCACGTTCAACTTGGGACCAGTCCCTAGGTCGCCTGGCTTTGGCCTGTCACCCAAATCACCCATCACTGGAACCCCCATCAGACCGCCGAGGCCCAGCATCGGTCTAGAGACTCTGGTAGAGCAGCAGGAGTCAAACGAGCGACACGTCCAGGTCCCGGCCAGCGCACCTGTGATACCTCCGATTAACGACGGGCTGGGCATCTCACCTCTACTTCCCAAGGAGGACTTTTCCCGTCTCCACAGGGTTTCCGGATCCGTAGTCCCGCCGGCCGAGTCACCGCCAGAACTTCCTCAGGCCCAGGAAGCTTCGGTTGGTGTTGATGGTGAGCTTGGTAGTTCAAACTCGTCGAAAGTGACATCCTGTCAAGACCATACCCTACCCGAGTTCGTCTCGCCGGCCAGTCCTCTCCATCTAAGCGTCTGCCTGTCGACGGCGCAGTCCAGCCTCGATCGCCGGTCTAAGATGAGCTCTGGATTGAAACTCCCTGATCACACAGACCATACCGAACGACCCCTGGATGGAGAAGTTGAGGAAGTCTCTGAGCCATCGTCGTCGAATGCCTCTCATCACGCGAGAGACCATGCTAGATCAGTGGATGTAAGCTCCTTGTCGTCGGTGGCTTCTTCTGACAAACTACGTTTCACCTCGGTGATGACCGTAGCTGATCTCAAGCCTTTGTCGTGCAAGAGCAGCAGCAATTTTGGACCGTCGCAACCAGAGGGGCGAAAGCGACAGAATGACGAGCCTGGACTGACGAACAGTGTTAGCTCATCCGAGCCTCTGTCCGGAGTCCCATCGACAGAATCTTTTGTCGACTCGTCAACCCCACAGGCGACTCCTCTGTCAGCTCCTTCCAACAATCTAAGAAGGACCAACGGAATCATCTGTCCGCCCTTGCGACTCTCCTCCGACAGTGTCCCACGCTCCGGCTCTCACATCGATCTCCTGCAGCTCCGTCACTCTAAGGAAAAAGAGCTCGACACACTGCGCGCCCGGCTTCGCCAGCTGGAGAACAGAAACAGTTGGCTGCTGACGGCCGTGACGAAGCATCTTCCTGACGGGTACTACGCCTATCAAGACGACAAATATGATGATGATATGGAAGAGAGAGGTCGCCCACACTCGCGAAGCACCGTCTCCAGCAGCCCAATTCTGTCCGGTTTCCGAATGCCGATTGACGGCAATGACGATGACGACGGCATACTAACCCCGCGAGGAACGCATTTCAACCTTACGGACCTTACAGACAACGACCCAAGCAGCGAGCGCTGGTCGCTCACCTCTCAACACACCTTCGGCAGCACCACCATCGACGACAGCGTCGCCGGCACCGGCTTCAGCAGCAGTAACCTGACGATAGGTTCCCGGCTGACACCGCCCGCGCAGCACACGCAACATGCTCGCTACAACCCAAGTCCTGTTACCACCCACAATTCCAGCAGCAGCGGCAGTGGTAACAGAAGCAGCGCCTCCTTGTCAGCGCGACCGACGACGACGACACCAATCCCGATCCCGATACCGCATTCGAAGCCGACACTCGTCACTCGCTCCTACAATATTCCTGTGTTTTGGAGTGGTAGTGTCGGTAGCAGCCGCGGGCAGCCATTCGGGTCGATGACGACGACGACAGCAACAGCAGCAACAGCAGCAACGAGTCACGACGTCGCAAACACCTCCAATAGAACTCTACCGATCCAAACACGTCCTGTCCTCCCCGCCGGTCGCGAACGAAGTCTACCCCGCGATCCCCGACTGGCATCGTTTTCTTCCCGATCCCGAAGTACCTCCCGAGCCCCCGCCCAGACTCTCCCTCCCTCCCTAACTTACAACGGCCTTCTCCCCGACACGGCAGCGCAAAGAAGAGAAGAGAGGGAATACAGGAAGAAACAAGAAGAAATCATGCGGCGGCTCGCCGATACCCCCCGCGGAGTTCAGCAGTCCAACACTCTACACCCTAACTCTTCCTCGGCATCTGTAGGCTCGGTACGACAACTTCAGGGGGAACAGTCAGTTGCCGCCTCCGCTTCAACGTCGGCGAGGTCAACAGCATTGTATAACGGGTATTCATCATCTGGTTACGAAAGTGACCAGGGATACGGAGGAAACAATAATGGAAACAATGGATACCACGACGGCCGCAATCCGTTGACGAGGCTACGGCACCTGAGGGAGAATGTGGGAAGGGCTATTAGTGGAATTGGAATTGGGGTGGCGGTTACTAGTGATGAGGATGGGTATGTTTATGATGGGTATGATGGTGATACTTACCAGTATCACGAACAGAGTGATGCCGGTTATGATAGTTATGGACACCATGACTATGGTGGTTATAGCAGCTACGATGGCGATGGCGATGGCTATGGGACGGCTTCTGCTGGTCATGGGCTAGGACGGGAGCAAGAAAAAGGGGAGGATCACGAAGGCCGGCAAGAAGGGGAAGAACAACAAAAGGGACGAGACGCAGCAGAAGGAGAAGGAGAATACACCCTCTCAACCTTTTCCCACCTCTCCAGGCACCCGAACCGCGACCGATACCAACGCAACGACTCCCCGCCGCCGTTCTCATTGCCTTCGTGGCCATCACTGCCATCACTCCCATCGTTGCCCTCTTTGGCTGGTCCGAGTCACTCCAGCTTAGAAACAGAAGAATGGTTCCCTTCCCTCTATCGATCTCATACGCAACAAACACAACAGACAGAGAACGACAGTCATGATACTCCTCCCAACCATCATCAATCAACGGCTAACAACAACAACAACAACAACAACAACAACAACAACAACAACAACAACAACAACAACAACAACAACAACAACAACAACAACAACAACAACAACAACAACAACAACAACAACAACAACAACAACAACAACAACAACAACAACAACAACAACCCAACAAGTAACAAGACGAACAAACGAACCCTCAGGAGGAAAACGACAATTGCCGCAATGAACGGTAACCGATCCAGCACAAGTACCAACAGAAACGGAAGCGAATGGGATACCCTCGAGCCGTTGATGCGCGAGCTAATCGGTAACGGAGCCAACGGAGCCAACGGAGCCAACGGAGCCAACGGAGCCAGCGAAACCGGTAGTGGTGCAAGTGGTATCGACGACCAGCAAAGCATCAGTCGTAACGGGCATGGGGAGGAGAATACGCCGCCACTGGTGGACAAAGTATTTGGATTAGGTCCGATGGACGAGAAGGATTTGGAAGAGGAGGCATTGGAGGGTTCGGTTAATCTTTTGCAGTGATTACATATGTGGAGGATATGGCGGATAGATAGATGTGTATTCGTGAAGGGAAGGATGTGGCTTCGATACAAATAGTCGTGGATGGGCATTTATGATGTTGCGAACTTGGGTAGGTAAATACACTGATGAGTGATGGGGCATAACGAAGCGATGGGCACATACAAAGGAGAAGGAGTAATGACGATAGATACATACCCGATGCTATAGATCTAATTGTTTTCATAAGCTCAGATCAAAGCATGAATAAAAAAAGCAACGGACTTCTTCACAACGACCCCCTCACCCTCTCCTCTCTCAACCACCTCCCACTTCCCATCCCCTCAGCTATTCCCTCCACCTCCCCCTCAAGGAAAAACCTCCTCCCCCTTCCAATCCCAAATCCGCCCCCTCTGCTGCTCCCCCAAAGCCTCAATAACCCCCGCCATATGCCCCGCCGCCTCCTCCGGCTCCCAAATCTTATCATTCCGCACGCTCTCCCAAAACCCCTTACTTAAATCCGTCCTGACCGTTCCCGGGTGATACCCGATACACATTGCCTTTTTTCCACTTCTACTCTGCAACTGGTGATCGAAAGATTTGGTCAAGCTGTTGACAGCCGCTTTGGAGGACCGGTAAGAATACCATCCGCCGGATTTGTTGTCTGACACGGACCCGACGCGCGCGGACATGTTGATCCATGTTGCGTGCGGCGGTAGCAGCAGCATTCGTTCCAGTGGGTGGTGGTGGTGGCCTTCCAGCTCTTCTTCGTTGATCCCCGAACTAGTTCTAGAGCCAAGGCCAACGGGATGCCAACTTAAACTTAAATCCATCTCCGTCCCCCGTCTCGGCAGGAAGCCACCGAAATGCTTCATCAGCATCAACGGGCCCAGACAATTCACTCTGTACGTATCCAGGGCTAAGTCGTAATCAACCTGCTGCGGCGATTTTTCCGGGTGCAAGATCCCCGGTAAGGCAAATGCCAGGTGCAGGTGATGGGTCTCAGGCGGGAAAAGGGAGGAGGCCTGTTGGGCGCAGGAGAGGATGGAGTCCTCGTGGCAGACGTCGAGGGGGAGCAGATGCAAGCGGGAGGAGGCGGAGGGAAGACGGGGGTCTTCTTTTGGGGTGGATTTAGGGGGGTCGGAGAGGGAGGATCGTGTTGATCTGGATGCAGCTGACGAAGAGGCAGAATGACCGGAAAATTGGTCAGGAGAAGAGTCTGGTGTCGCAGAAGTCGACGACTCCCCTGAGTCGGCAGAAGTACTGCTGAATTCTGACGGGGAGGGGTAAGGGTAGGTATCGCTTGACGAAGAATCGCTGAATTTGCTGGAGGCTGCTACGCCCGGGCCTGTAGCGGAAGCGGCGGAAGCCCGGTCGGAAGCTGAGGAAGAGGAATCGGTGAGCGGGGAAGATTGTTGGCCATAAGGGAACAAATCCTTGAGCAAGGCGGCTTTGGTCTCTTCCGGGTCGCGGGTGCGGGTGGTGGCGAGGATCGGGAGAGTGGTGGTTCGGAGGAGGTGTCGGGTTAAGGCGTGGCCGATGCCTCGGGAGGAAGGGCAGAGGAGGATCCAGGGTTTGGACATTTTGGGTGTTGAAAAGGGGGTACGTTGGGGTTGTGGTGGTGTCGTGTTTCTAAATGGTGATTGTGGATGAGGTTATGCTGCTCTTGGAGGAAGTTGTTTCTTTTGAGAACCTAATCTTTCAGAATATCGTTGTGAGATTGTATAGAAGAGAAAGTCAACCGTGAAGCTGGTTGAGGAGTGGAAATATTGAGTTGATGAGGGGAGGACAGTGTTGATATTGAGAACGGTCCCGACGGTCTCTCGCGGACTGACAACTACGAAGTAATGTCATCATCAACGGAGTCCTCGCCCATCCTCCAAGACACTCCAATCGCACTCGATATCAAAGACATATGGCCATTTGTTGACATTGTTGTTAGTGTATCGCCGTGTGTAAGTCATAAAGTCACTGATCGACGTCACCAACACGGATGCGGCTCATGCCGTCCCCAGGGTTCCCAGGGATCTGGCATCCATTGGAGGACCATGTGCGATTCAGGGGTGCCAAGACAAAACAGAGATCTGAGAGTAGGATCTGGAAGGTTGGAGAGTTCGGGTGGGGTTATGGGTAGAAACTATGAGAGGGAACAGATGGAACAAAGAAGTGATATGGGTTGGGGAGACTAGAAACGGGATATGGCTATGAAAAAGTGTTAGCACTGGAACTGCAAGATCTAAGGATGAAGTAAGGTGTATTAACTGTATCAATCGTGATCCGTCATCAAAGTTCTATCCTCCGCCAAGAAGTAGACTAGCCCAGCCAGACTCGCGCTTCCTTGCCCTCAAAGCTGTGACAGCCCTCGCGTAGACCGCAATATTAATCGTACATGGGCGTTTCTAACCCTCTGTCCGTTATCTTTGTTCCTTTCTTCTCTCGTTCCAACCCTTCAGCTGTCATAGGGCAACATCCTGGAACGACGCTCCATCAGGTGATTTTCCTCCCTTGGGGTTAAGACTGTCGTCCTTGTTGTCGTCCTCGTCCTCGTCCTCTTTGCTCTCCTCGGCGTCTTCCACCGTAGAAGCAGGTCGTACTGCCAGACCCTGTTCCTCCTTTTCATGGGCAAGCACCTTTTGCTCGTCGTCTTGTTTGACCTTGTCTTCTGGTTCAGACGCTACGTCACTCTCGTCGCCTCCTTTCTCGGACCCAGTATCATCTTCCTGCTGCACTTCTGTTGTTGTCGCCTCCACACTAGGCTCAAGTGCCACCGGCTGTAAATCCTCCTCTTGCTTCTGCTCCGGCACCGGCACCGGCACCGGCACCGGCTCTGGCTCTGGCTCGGCAGGCGGTGGTGGTGTAGGCTTGTTCACATCAGGACTGCGTACCCCATTCGTAGGCGGTGGGCTCGTCTGTTGCTGCTGCGGCACTGGCGGCGATGGCTGCGGCGGCAACTCCTTCTGTGAAAACGCAGCAGACACACTCCTATTGTGCTGCATCGGTGGGCTTCCTCCCATATCCGCCGCCGACGGTCCCATTCCAACCCGTACAGCATCCAGGTAGAACTTGGTGACACCCAGGATCCTGCCGTTCCTCTCACAAGCCTCCACCCACTCGGGCCTGACCACGGGAATGTTGAGCTCGTTCGCCTTCTCCCATTGCACGCCCCGGCCCTCGGTGGTGACAAAGTGTGTCGTATCGATTCTAACGGTGTCGACAAGCTTGGCGCCAATCCGGTCCACGGAGCGCGCCAGAGACTCCCTGACCGCGGGAGGAAGGATGCCCGTGGTGATGGTGATGCCGCTGAGGTCGGTCATCTTGTGTGTGCGGACCACGACCTTCTCGCTAGCCAGGGTGCCGGCCGTTGTGCGCAGCACCAGGTGGAACGTGTACTCGGTGTCGACGGCTAAACCAGAAATCTTGGTCGAGTGCATGGCGGTTGGTTTGGGGATGTTGCCGGCCTTTTGGCCGTTGCGGTAGAGGGCCAGGCTGATCAGGTCGGCGGTCGCGAGATCGATAGGGTCCCACTCGAGGACCACGCTGGTCTGGGTGGCATTGCGACAGCGGAGGTTGGGGGCCTTGGGTTCGGCGGCACCGAGGGCGTTGAAGATCTTGTCTTGGAGGGCGCGGAAGGCGCGTTCGGCTTCGTCTTCTGAGGCAACGTTGCGGGCGACGGTGACGTCGACAATGGAGCCCGAGGAGATGTCGGGTGGGAGAAGAATAGACGGGAATTCGATCTGGGGGATGATGTGATTAGCAGCAGTTCCTTGACTTGATCACTACTGCATTCAAACATACTAGTCGCTTGTCAGGAGTCAGGAGAACGGTGACGCCGGCGTCGACCTTGCCGACGGTCAGGGAGACGAGCATGATGGTTCGCGATGGGGATGTGGACGGATTGTTGGTAGGTTGTCGAGCTTCGGGAGATATGCAGCTATAGCTTCGACCCTGGATTTCAAGTGCCGTGTCCTCTTTGGAAAGCTGCAGATAAGCTGCCCTGTTGGTAGAAATGTGCAGACAGCAGCTAGCGCAGGACGATTCTCGAGTGGTGACCTGGTTGGTTGTCTTTGTGATACTCGGGCAAGGAGCAAGCAATCAAGCTGTCGCCAAATCTCACGGACACTTCATGGCCTAAACTGGACCTCAATTGGAGCTGCCCTAACTGCCAGCGACCGTCCAGTGGTTGACCTCCCCCGGAGCAGCTCCCTTGAGGCAGGGGCATCGCTCACCGAGAAATGTGGGGGCTTTGGCCGGAAACGCACACCTTGAGAGCCTCTGCTTGGCGCCAAGACTTTGATGCTTCCCCTGGGTGGCTCCACTTTAAAAGGTACGTACCTTTTCGACTTCTGGTGGTGTTTGAAACTCGGGTTTGAGAGTTGTTGTGAGAGGCTGCTTGCTTGAGTAAGGGTATCTTACTTGTACTGATTACTCCCGGTGTGCTGTACAGGCCTTTAACGGTACTGTTACTCTATATGCCGTGGGAGTAGACAGCTGGCTACATAGAGGTCCCTCTAAGGAGTCAACGCTCAACTCGCGTTTGCTCCCATGAGTCTACCAAGAGCCGCCTTCATCCTGTCCCAAAGTCCTAGTTCGATCCTGGATTTTGATGACGAGTTCGGAACCGTTCGGCAAGCTGTTGTACACGGGATCGGGACTCATCGCCTTGAATGATTCCATCCTCTGCGCTTGGCTTCGGAATCCGGTTGCCAGCACGAATGTCGGTTGGTGTCTCTCTGGTGTTTCTATAACCGCCAGCACTCGGCTGCCCTGATCCACGCTGTTGCGATTGGTTGCTGTATCCTCTGTTTTGAGGTGATCCACTGGATCCTCTGTTTGGAGGTGACTGCTCGCCAACACGAGCCCGCCTACACTGAGCCTGTATCGGCCATTGTGGTGTTTGGAGCTGTTTGATGATATGCTTCTTCATCAGTTTGTCAAGCATGTCATGGATCTCCTGGTCGCTCATCTGGAGGAACTCCTTGCCGTGTGAGATGCGAACGTGAATGGTGCCGTGAAGCACCGATGTGTCGTCGAATCCCGGCAATCGATCCCCCCAATGGCCGTATCCGTTCGCCTTGAGAGCCTTGAGAACGGCCTCCCTCAACCTTTTCACGCACACAGTCTTCACTACGGGACGAAGGTCGGCGTCACCGTTGTAGACGAACAACCATAATGGTCGGTGCTTCTTAGAGGTGTAATGGTGGAGAAACATATCCGTCAAAGGATGTTCTCCTAAACCAAAGTATTTCATGACCGACTGTCTTGTATAGCAATGTCTCGTGCTCGTCGAGACCATGAACGGAGCATTGGCAGGATCCTGCCCTTTGACTGCCCTGACGTCGTAATAAGTTCCGATGTTAAGCGCGTCGGACAGAGCCTTGACTCTTTTCGACAGTACCGGCTCGCTATAGGGACTCCAATTCATCTGAGTGTAGCCGTATCCTTGCGCCGCATCTTCCGGAATGTTGGCCCTCATGCCTTTGCCTCGCCGTTGATCACAGCCTCTGAGTACCAGAGGTCGTAGGGGTCGCCATCTAGTCTTGATAGTCGACGCCAAGTCAACAAGGCCAGCTGACCTGGCACACTTCAGGAAAGAAGGCAAGGACATGGAAGATGACCAGTCGGCTGTGCTCAACTAGTGACGTGAAAGTTGTTGCTGACGGGTGAAATATCGAACATGTTGATGGTGGTGGAAGACGCCGGCATGAGTGAGAATCAGACGTGCGGTTGCCGTTGTCGTAAAGTATTTTACCAGCATTCACCATACCGTACCGAACAATTCAAGCGAATTTGGTCCAGATCAGCCACCCACATTCACGGGGTTTGAAAACGCCAAGCCGCGCCTCGGCGGCCGCCATGACTTTTTGCCTGCGCTATGGACAATATGATTCGTCAGGACGAGGTCCGAGCCACCCCTTTTCGCCCATTTTGCCCTACCAAAAGCCCACCTTCCATGAAATGCCCCTCGCTCTTTGAGTTTCCATCCAGTTGTGGCCTCCCACTCTCCCAGTCCGTATCAAAGATTCTCCACCACCAACAATACCAAAACGCCTTCCATTCAGTACGAACCAGAACAGGGCCCAGGCGTGTGAAAAAGGTAACCAGAAGCCGCCGTTGCTCCAGTGCTCCAGCAGTTCTTGACCCCAACCAAGTCCGTCATCCACTCCACGCAGCCGTTGCTGGATTTTTGCCTTCCCTTCTCGCATCAACACCCAATTTACACACCGCAACCACACCGGACAGCCGACACCCGTAGTCGTCGACAACAACAGCCAACATGCCTAAGAACAAGGGAAAGGGTGGTAAGAACAGGAGAAGGGGAAAGAACGAGAACGAGTAAGGATTTTCCCCAGATTTTTTGTCTGGTGTTGCCCGCCCGCCGACGACGACCGAGATCCATCGCGCCGCCCCGCATCGCCGCCGCTACCAAGCATCATGGGGATGCGCGCGCACTAGCTCGTCGTCGACGGAGTCGCATACCATAGTCTTTGCTTCTTCATATGGCTAACCATCTCGAACAGCAATGAGAAGCGCGAGTTGACCTTCAAGGAGGAGGGTCAAGGTACGTGAACACGCCGGTGTGGCGAGCGAGCGAAACGCACACACAGCAAAACCTGCGACGTCGACGCTCGTCCATGCCTCCCGACAACAGCAAACGAACAACAAGCTCACACATGTCTTCCTCTACAGAGTACGCTCAGGTCATCAAGATGCTGGGTAACGGCAGACTCGAGGCTATGGTATGTCCTTTCCGCCCCTCGCCAAACTACCAACAAGCAAACAAATATTCTGACTTTTTCCCCGCTTTCAGTGCTTCGACGGTGTCAAGCGCCTCGGTCTCATCCGTGGCAAGCTTCGCAAGAAGATCTGGATCAACAACGGTGACATCATTCTTGTCTCCCTCCGTGAGTACCAGGACGAGAAGGGTGATGTTATCCTCAAGTACTCTGCAGACGAGGCCCGTTCTCTGTACGTTTTTCTTCTCCCCCCTCCCCCTCCTCCCTGTCAGCAACAGCTTACTAACCATTTGTTCCCCCATCAACAGGAAGGCCTACGGCGAGCTCCCCGACACCGCCAAGATCAACGAGACCGATACCTTCGGCCCCAACGAGGACGGCGACTGCGGCTTCGAGTTCGACGAGGACCGTGACTCCGAGGACGAGGAGGGCGCCGAGGCCGGCGGCAAGACTGTTGATATCGATGACATCTAAACGTGTCGTCGCCTTTTCAACACCATATCGTCGCCTCATCCTTCTCGGCACTTAAAGAAGAACGAGGCAACAAACCCCAAAAGTTACCGAAACATGCGAAATAACGCCACCCTTTCCCAACTTCCCTTTCTTCCTCCCCCTTTCCACCTTCCTTTCGTCAAAGTCAGTCATCCCAAGGATCCGGTCAGGAAGCAAGGGGTCGTCCAGGAAAGTCCAAAAAGCTGTCTTCTCTCTCAAACCACTCTGGCCTCTGTTCTGTTTCTCGGTCGGCCGTACGCAAGCCAACCCAGCCCACAACAACAACAAAACAACCAGTTTTGGTTCCCCGACAGTTAGGTGTGCCTGTTATTTCTTTGTTTTTCGGCAACAAGACAAGACAAGACAAATTTACAAACAAATCAGAAGGAGCAGAGAGACCGGATCCAGGTACAATGGTGGGAGGGACGTCATTTACCTGGATCTGGTCGGAGTCAAGGGTCCTATGAAGAGGACGACGGAAGGAAGAGGAGCGAAAAAAAGGGGGACATAGAGAGCATCCATTCGCAGCGAAAAGGGTACGTACTATGGGATATTAAAAGGGGTTAGGCTGTTTTTTGATAGGATGGCTTTATCATCGTCTTTTTATGTTCTTTTAGGGGCTCTCATGTCTGGTTTCTTTTACTTTTCTCGAGCTAGGCAATGGATTTTTGGTATGAACACTCTGATGACCCTGCCGTGTTCTGTTGTGATATCATGAGTGAAGAGTAGATATGCACGAATCCTACGTAGAACTGACTATAACTGCTCACCTTCTCTCTACACCAAACAAAACTTCGCGCCGTGCTTCAGCATACACGAAACAAGTGCACCTACTTGACCATGAGTAGGTTGTAAAAGTTAACATCTAATAGAATTCTTGTGAACACCAGTAGTGAAGCGAATATTTCCAAATACGGTGAAGCTATATATGCAACGATACTGTATCCCTTCCAACCCTGTCTCACCTTTCATCATCCCCATACTCTTTCTCACGCCATTCCCAGGCCTCGTTCCTCCTGTTTTCTCCTTGTCTCGTTTTGATCGTTCCATGATCATTTACCCACTAGATCTCACCTGTAGCGGACGCCGGACCAAACGGGTAAACCACTGGCAATCGGCGTCGCTTCATTCTTCCTTTCCATTCCTTCTGGACTCTTCGCGTACTTGGAGACTGTCATAGTGCTCTTCACCATGTTATCAAGGGCATCGGACACTTAATCCCAATCATCACCATCATCCTCGTCATCTGTTCAACACCAGTTAGCATCATCTTCCCACAATCCACAAACACTTCTCGGGTTAAGTGAAACTTACCACTCCTGCTAACCTTCTCCTTCCTCTTCTGCAACGCCAACGCCAACGCATCCGCCATCCCACCACCGCCACCCGGCGCAACTCCAGCGGGCGGCAATCCACTACCTGCGGGCCCAGTATCGGAGCCGCCACCAGGAACAGCAGCCGCGGAACGATCACGGACCAGGCTTCTATCGACCTTCTTCAACGCCCTAATACCTCCCGCACCCTTGATGCTGTCCAACACGGCCGAGCGAGTGCCGTCAACAGGCGGCAAGGCAGCAGCGGGCGGTGGAGGCATACCACCTGGAGGAGGGGGAGGAGGAGGTGGGGGGACGCCGCCCATGCCGCCCGGGGGAGGGGGAGGAGGCGGAGGCGGGGGTGGTGCGCCGCCTGACGGTGCGGGCATGGGAGGCATAGGAGGAGGCGGCGGGGGAGCATGTGCTGCGGGAAGAGGGGGCGCCGGGGGTGCTGGCGGTGCCGGTGGTGGCGGAGGAGGCGCGCTCGTTGCGGGAAGGGGAGGTGGTGGAGGCGCCTGGGTGGCCGGTAGAGGCGGCGGAGGCGGCGCGTTTGAGGTCGGGAGAGGTGGTGCCTGCGGCGGTGCCGGGCTTCTAGTCGGCAACATCGGCGGCGGCCGTGAGCTCGCGGGCGGCAGGGGAGGTGCTGGTCCCGGTGCCCTGGGAGGCATAGGAGGTGGCGCAGCTGAATTTCTCGGGGGCGGTGGCGGAGGAACAGAGCCACGGCTAGGAGGCGGCGGGGGCACACTTCGTTGGCCTGTGAATGGCGGAGGAACGCCAAACCTATGGCCCGGGTCCGAATCTTCGAGTGGTGTCTTGGGCGGCCGAGGAGGTGGTGGAGGTCCAGGCGCAGAGGGCGTGTGTCGCGGAGGATCAGAGTGAGCAAACTTGCCAGCATCGGCAATGGGAGGAGGAACAGAAAATCTTGGCCTTGGAGGTGAGTCTCGCGTAGGGGTCGGTTCCTGGTGGTTTTCGGTGTCGAGCTTGCCGGATCTTCTTGCTGGAGGAGGAGGCGGGGGTGCTGGCCCTCTCCTAGACGTCGACGGAGTTACCGACTCGGAGACAGGGCGCGGAGCACCAGGAGGAGGTGGTGGGGGAGCTCTCATTGCGGGACCACCAGGAGGAGCAGATGGCGGCGGCGGCGGAGGAGTGCTCGTGTGTGTGCCCTGCTTCGCTTGCTCCTGTTTCAAGAACTCAATGATGAAGTCCTGGTTTTCGCGGATGAAGTCGTCGTCGAGGCCTTGGGCCTTTAGGTCGTCACCAAAGTGTTCCCTCCACAAGGGATCGAAAGCATCCAAAGTGGCAAACTCGGAAGGAGGCTTGTATCCGTTCATTCCACTCATACGGCTTGCCGGTGCAGCGGTGCGCGGCGACTCGGGCGGGGTGGCTGTCGGAGACGAGTGCTTATGTCCTCCAAACAGACCTCCGAAAAGACCGTGCTTGTGGTGGTGTGCCTGGGAAGCGCCTCCGAAAGGTGTCTTGCTGGTAGCCTTGCTGGCGTTCTTTTCCCTGTCGTTCATCTTCTTGAGGAACTGCTTGGCTTCCTTCTCGTCCACGAAGGACAAGCCGGCCACGCATTCCTCAAGCTCGAAGGTATGGAAGAAGACACGGTCCTGGTTGTAGCTCCAAGTGTCGAAGATCTCCTGGTCCCATATGACTCCCCTGTTTCCGGGCTGTCCGATGTCAGCCAAATTTCAACTCTTTTCGTTCTTTGTAGCACTTACCGAAATATCAACCAGCTTGATCCAATATGTGTTGCCCACGAGATCGTTTGCCAGCACGACGGCACCCTGGAGGCCGGTATAGGTCCATTTGGACGGGTTGGGGTAGGCTACATAGAGCCTGGCGACGGCGACGGCATGGATCTTGTTGGTCTGCTTGGGTACGCAGCGCTTGACCGTCTCCTTGTCGTCGTCGCTAAGGATGGACGGCATGGCGAAGAGATATGAGGGGTGGAAGCGCGGAAGTGGTGGGTGGTGGGTTGCGGCCTGGCGTCCCCTTTAGATGGTCCAGGGGGAGCAAAGCATGGATAGACTGGGAGTCGGTATGCGAGGTTCGGTGGAAGGCCTCGTTCGGCGGGCGCAGCGCCGAGAGGTGATGTTCTGAAGCTTGGTCGCCGTTCCTTGAATCGGTCGGCGGGTCGGTCGGCGAGGGGGGTAACGTCGAGCGAAGGGTGAGAGTGGAAGTGGGATGTTGTATTAAGCTTTTTCGGGCTGTTGGTGCTTCTTATCGAGAGCCGAGTGTCTTGTTGGTATAAGATAAAGCAAAGCTCCGTGCTGCCGTGGCCGTGTCGCGTGTAATTAAGAACACTTGACGGAAGCCTAGATGGGACAATGGAAGTTGCCGGTTAGCTACTTAGGTAACCGATGTCCAATGACTGAAAGGAGCAGAGAGAGAGAGAGAGGAATGGAGGGCGTCAGGCTGGGAATCACGTACCTCGGACAATAAGCTTAGGATCTGCCGTGGAGAAGCAATGTATTAAAGCTGTACAGATTGCGAGATGGTGTATTGCGAGAATAAGTTGAATTGCGGGTGTACCTGGCAGGAGGTTAGGCTTGGAGTTGCATCACCACGGCGGAGCGACGGTCAGCTTCAGCGGCAGGGCAGCGACTTGACTTGACGAGACCGGGAATCATTTCAATCCAATGACCAATTTCCGAGCGGGAAGCGACCACTGGACACGGACCAGATAGTGTCGAGATAGCGTGCCGGGGGTGGATAGGGCGTCAATTGGCGTGTCCACTAACAGTGCCCCTGGGTAACCCTCGTGGGAAACCCCTCCACTAGAGGTATCCGCTCCCTTGCACAGCCGACCTTCCGCTTGCCTGAGGTGATGTTCAACGAGATGGAACCTCCGAGAACTGTTTGACTTGTACATGTTGAAACGGGCAATGACAACAACTCCCATGTGCATTTGGTAGTTATAGCTTAGGTTGATATGGGATGGAAGTACCAATATGGGATGACATGGAAGTAGCTTCACAGGTTCACATGTTGCCGTTCGAGACAAGTCTTACAAGTCTCCAAGTCCCCTCTCATTTTGGGCGCAATTACACACAAGTCACTTCAGCCCAACAAGACTCCATCAAACTTGTCAAAACAGTTCAATTATGTATGTATCATTCAGTCGTTATCATCATTCCAGCCATTCCGTTGTTTGTCCATTCCCAGATCCAGCCAGTCCTTTACTTGTTGAGCTGCTCAGCCTTGGCCCTGCGTTCCTCCTTGGTGCCCTCCTCGCCGCCAATGTTCTGGGAGATGGCGGGACCGGGCATGGCCTTTGACGCCTGCTCGAAGGTGGCCTTGGCGCCGTCAGCGAGCTTGTTGAGGGGGTTGTTGGGGTTCTTCTGTTTGTTTGGTCAAAGAGTCAGTTTCTGTTCTCTGTGATTCACAAGACACTAGGTTAGGAAGGGATAACATACTTGCTCGTCCTTCTGGGTGTCGTGGGGAAGGATGTTGACTTCCTTCTTGCTGAGATCGTCGCCGCCGGCCATTGTGATGGTGTTGATGTTTTGAGTTATCGCTCTTGAAGAGTGGGTGGCAGAGAGACAACTGAGAGTCTTGGATAACTTTTTGGATATCGTCTTGCAGGATGATGGGTAAGGTGTAAAGGAGAATATTGTAACAGTCGAGAAGGGTCTCTTTTATAAAAGAAAAGAAGAGCAGAAGAAGGGAATAAAAGAAACCTGTAGTCGTCGTACCACGTACAAGGGCCCAAGAAAGGTGTAAGACAATGACGTCGCTTGTGGTCACGCGTCTCCATGCCCACAGCGAATGTTTATGCGGCGGCAGGCACACCCTCTGTTGCTGGCAGCTGCTATAGGCGCACCTCAGCGCATTGGATGAACCTCCCACGAACAGCGCATCAAACAGCATCTCGACTCCCGCTGGAAAGAACCACTCAGGGACCGCCATTGTACAACACATGATACCGACCGGAGTATCATCCTAGCTTTTCTCCATCATGATACTCGACTGATCGAGAACACTGCCCCGCATGTCGGCCTCCAGTGCCCCGCAACCCGTGAAGCTTTCACTTCCTCTTGTGCGTCCATGGATCATTGTGTAGTGTTGATTGTTTTCATCTAGACTAATACTAATACCCCAAACAGGTCTACCAACAGAAACTGTTTGAAGAGCTTCGCAAAGAAGATGAGCTCGTCATTCTCGCCCGAGGCCTCGGCCTCATGCGCCTCATCACCAACCTGCTTCACTCATACGATGCCGCAGGAAACAACCTGATTGTGGTCGTCAACGCTGAAGACAGAGAGAATGCCTGGATTGGTGAAGCCCTGGCCGAGCATGCCGCCATCAGCATGTCTCCTAAGGCCAGGGGCTTGACAGTCGTCAATACGGACTTTACCAGTGTCGGAACAAGAGAGAAGATGTATGCCCATGGTGGCATTTTTAGCATCACCTCACGTATTTTGGTAGTCGACCTGTTGACCAACCTCCTGAACCCGGAGACCATCACAGGCATGATTGTCCTCCATGCGGATCGCATAGTTGCTACTTCCCTAGAGGCCTTCATCCTGAGGATATATCGCCAGAAGAACAAGGCCGGCTTTCTCAAAGCCTTCTCAGATAACCCGGATCCATTCACAATAGGCTTTTCACCACTTGCTACCATGATGAGAAATATGTTTCTCCGAAAGGCTTCACTCTGGCCTCGCTTTCATGTCCAGGTTGCTCAATCCCTGGAGGGAAAGAAGAAGGCAGAAGTCATCGAGTTGGAAGTCCCCATGACCGACTCCATGAGGGAGATCCAAACTGCCATCATGGAGTGTGTGGAGATTAGCATCCATGAGCTCAAGAAAGAAAACACTGGGCTGGAAATGGAAGACTGGAATCTGGACAGTGCTCTGACCAGGAACTTTGATCTTATGGTACGGAGACAGCTAGAGCCAAACTGGCATAGGGTCAGCTGGAAAACCAAGCAGATTGCTGGCGATCTGACCGTCCTCCGTGGTATGCTCCAGTCTGTCCTCGCCCTCGACGCTGTGTCATTTCTGCAACAACTGGACACCATTCATGCGGCACATAAGCCCGCTCCTGGGACCACCAGGCAAACAGAGTCTCCTTGGCTGTTCTCGGATGCGGCCCAGACCATCTTCGAGACTGCAAGACAAAGAGTCTACTCTAGCAAGCAGAAGGCGGGTCCAAACTCAACCATCGAGTCACTAAAGCCCGTCCTGGAAGAACAGCCAAAGTGGGCTGTTCTTGCTGACGTCCTGGAGGAGATTGACAGAGACCTCTACTTCGAACCAGCTGTTCGGGATGACTCCAACGGCACCATCTTGATCATGTGCGCAGACACAGACACATGTCGCCAACTACGCGACTACCTACAAACAATGCACATCCGGCCTCGAACGGCAAAGAAGGTAGAAGAGGTCTACGATCCCGAAGAGGACAAACCATCGGGCGCCTTTCTAATGAGGCGCAAGTTACGCAACTACCTCAACTGGAAACGGGAATTCGCCCAAGTAAACGCCACCCTCTTCTCCGAGAACCAGAAAGCCCTCAGCGGCGCCGTTGACCCGCGACTACCCCAGGCTAGAGGCCGAGGAGGAGCGCCAGCAAACAAACGGCGCCGAGTCCGCGGCGGTGGTGGCGTCGGAAGCAACCCCAGCCGCCATGAGAACGGCAGTATCGTCCAACACTTTGAAAAGCCCAACGAGGTAGCCGACCTGATGTCCGAGATCCAAATCACCGAAGACGACGCAGGCGGCCAAGCCGCCGAAGAAATCATCACCTTCGCCACCGCCGACCCGCTCGAGGACATGGACGACTACTACCAGCTCTACGACATGCAAGACCTAGTCGTCATCCACGCCTACGAAGGGGACCAAGACGAGCACGTCCTCGAAGAAGTCAAACCCAAATACATCATCATGTACGAGCCCGACGCCTCCTTCATCCGGCGCGTCGAAGTCTACCGCTCCTCGCACAACGACCGCAACGTGCGCGTCTACTTCTTGTACTACGGCGGCTCCGTCGAAGAGCAGCGATACCTCTCCTCCGTGCGGCGCGAGAAGGACGCCTTCACGAAACTCATCAAAGAGCGAGCCTCCATGTCCATCGTCATGACGACCGACTCGCACGGGGTCGAAGACCCCGAGTCCGCCTTTCTGCGAACAATCAACACCCGCATCGCCGGCGGCGGCAAGCTCGCAGCCAAAGCCACTGCCCAACCACCCCGCGTCGTCGTCGACGTGCGCGAGTTCCGCTCCTCCTTACCGTCCCTCTTACACGGCCGCTCAATGGTCATAGTCCCCTGCATGCTCACCGTCGGCGACTACATCCTGTCTCCCACCATCTGCGTCGAGCGCAAGTCCGTCTCCGATCTCATCTCCTCCTTCAAAGACGGCCGGCTGTACGCCCAGTGCGAGACCATGTTCCAGCACTACAAGAACCCGATGCTGCTGATCGAGTTCGACCAGAACAAACAATCGTTTACGCTCGAACCCTTCGCCGATTTGTCGGGTAGTTTGCGCAGCGTCAACCCCGAAAACGCCGGCGCCAACGATTTGCAGTCCAAAATCGTGCTGCTCACCCTGGCGTTCCCCAAGCTGCGCATAATCTGGTCTTCCTCCCCCTATGAAACGGCAGAAATCTTTGAGCGGCTGAAAGCTCTCGAAGAAGAACCCGATCCCATCGCTGCGGTAAGGGCGGGACTGGGGGAGGGAGAAAGTCCCGATGAGGATGGGGGGGTGAATGAGGGCAAGGGAGGAGCGGTGAATGTGAATGGGGGGAGTATGTTCAATATGGAGGCGCAGGAGATGTTGGGGAAGGTGCCGGGCGTGACGCCGAAGAATATCAAGAATATTATCGTGGAGGCGGAGAATGTGCGGGAGGTTGCGAATATGGAGGTGGAGGAGTTGGGGAGGTTGGTGGGGAGGGAGGCGGCGGGGAGGATTGTGGAGTTTTTTGAGAAGGATGTGTTGGAGGATTATGGGGGTTAGACTTGATATTGAGACTTCTTCATCTTTTTGAAGTACGACGAGTGAATGTTGTGTCAATGTGGCTGTTAATTTGCGATAGACGATCGACCGGTATGAAGTTGGTAAGAGTTCAGGCGATAGTGTTTTCACATGTCGCAAATTAAATCTAAGGTAAAGTAGATCAGAAGTGATGTTCAATGTGAATCCGATACATTCCTAATACTACCAATCTCCATCCATCTTCAACGCAAAAACGGAACGCAAAAGTTAGAAGAAGGGTATAGGGTATCTCTTCGTCATGCTATCATATAACCTCCCATCGTTCCTCCATAGCTCATTATCGCATTATGCTTGCTCTTCTCCAAGTGGTAAAAAGCCAAAGACAAAGGAAAAATTAAGAAGCGCATGCTCCACTGGGTATCTTTCAACTTCCACCACCGTCCATCCCCCCCTTATGCTCTCCTACCACGACTCAAGATCCTTAGATCGCCGCAGTAGTACCAGCATGTCTCCTCCGTCCCATGCCACCGCTCCTCCTCCTCATGCGACCGCGACGGCTGCCGCAGTAGTTGCACGTCAAAAAGCCGACGATCACGTCGATGACGCCGATGACGCCGTTGATGATGGCCATGAGGATCGAGCCGATGCCGTTCACGACGCCCATGATGGCGCGGCCGATGGTGCGGAAGACGCTTTGGATCTGTTTGGTTGGAAAGGGGGATGTTAGTATGTGGTGGCCTTGATGGGGGAGATGGGAGATGGGGGAGGTAGGGGTGCGAAGGTAGGAGGTTAGAGGGGGAGGTTAGGAAGGGGAGGAACGTACGCAAGAAACGACGGCGCCCATTTTGAGATTATTGTTTTGATGTTCTTAGGTGGTTTGTTTGTCTTAGGTGGATGTTGTAGTTGATAGCAGTTATTGTTGTTGCTGAGATACTTCGTAGATGGTCCAAGTCTTTCTTGAAGATGTTTGTTGTTGATTTGATGATGAGGAGGATATAGAAAGGATGAATCACAGTTCAGAAGAAGGGAAGGCAGGTGGTGTGATATATATGTGCAATTGTTCAGTTCGTCTGGTCTGGTCTTGCAAGGCATCCAGCCAGTCATTCAGTCATTTCGCAGCACATTCGTCACTTCTTGGTTCCTCCCTCCCTTGGAACCCTTGGAACCCTTGGAACCCTTGGAACTGGAAATTCTTGTTCATGGTTCATCATCCCGTTGTCCATTCACTTCATTCTTTCAGCCCACTTTGCCTACCTAGCTTACCCGCCCGCTTGTCTAGGTACGCAATATACATGCAAGGCATGCTTTCTGTGTGTCACAAGCGTGCAAACGTGTGTGTGCAGTTCATTTGCTGTGTAAGTGCCAGTGACGTCACAGGGCGGCTGTTAGGTACCGGTACCTTACCTTTTGTTCTCTTTTTTTTTTTGTTCTCGGCACCTGCCATCCAACGCGTGCGTCTTGGCTCCTATCCACATTCCAGGCAACGACCCCCGACCAACAACGACGCAACGAGCGCCCGGAACCTACCCCGAAGCTAGCCTTGTGTGTGCCTTGAATCTTGTCGCCAAAAAAGTTTTACGCCGAGAATCCAAACGCGGGTTGATGTCGTTAGCCAGCCTGGCGGGAAGAGAGGACCAGCTCTTTCGAGAAAGAGATCGACTCCCATCCTGGCCCATTCTGTGCGTGGCCGACCTTCGGAAGCACAAAGTTGGCCAACCATAGCGCTTGATTAGGCCACGGCACCTTTTTGGCCGTCACGCGACGAGGTGGTGATACTTTTGATACCCGTGGAGATAGGGTGGAAGAGAGTGGGGATGGGTGAAAAAGGCCACCCTACTTGGTATGATGGGTAAGTTTAATTAGGTGGGGTAAGTACAAACGCTTATTGTCCGTGCAGAAAAGTACCTGACAGGGGGGTTTTTACTTTCGCTCCAAACCACAGTATCTCCACGGGTAAGTACATTCGAGATAATTATGGCTGGCTGGTGTATCCGGGTAAGTGGCTGAGCAAGGTTGCTTGCGAGGAGAAGTGAGGAGAAGTGAGGAGAAGTGGCTACGTAGTGGCTTGCCTCTTTCCATATTGTATGCCATCATACCTCTAATGAAGATGGACGATGTCGAAGATTTAATGCCACATGTGGCTTGACGTCTTTTCCCTCTCTTCCTCCCTCCAAAGAACCTGATAAGCATCGTCGGGTCAATACTGGAGGCGAAACTCGGCAACCCCCCCCCCCCCCCCCCCCCCCCCCCCCCCCCGGACGCCGCGGCAACTCATCATTCATCAATGCTGTGGCTTTCCTTTTCCTTTCCCCCTTCTCTCCCTCCTCTCACCTAATAGCCTCACCTCCATAACCTCGTATCCCGTCACACCTGAAACTTCTTCTCATCAAAAATTCAATTTGTTCAGTTCCTTGGCACATTCGTCAGCCATCAGCCGAAGAAAAAAAAATGGTCATCCCGCGTGCCACCCGCGAAAGAACTTGAAAGGAAAAAGAAAGGTCGCTTCCGTCCTGCAAAGTTGTCGAAAGTGGATTAACCCCTACGTCATAGCCGGTCCCCACTTGCGCTGTGCGCATGGGTCGCATGCACGACGACGACGAACGGGCTGCACATGGCTTGTGGATCCCGCGCTTGGCGATCTTTCTCTCCCATCCATGTTGTTGACGTTCGTTCGTCTTCTCTTCAGCATAATTGATCCCTACCTATAATCTCCGAGGAAACGGAAATAACGAGAGTTCAATATAGCTTTTTCTGATTGTTCAATATCCCGTAGGATCACAGCGGCAGTACAAGCGATGCGATGCCTCATCCACCTGGAGACGAACCAACGACAGACACCAGGTACGCCTCCATGGAAGGTGGAAGGCTCGAGGGAAGGGTACCGCAAAATCTCACTTATAACGGAGATGCTCTGTGGATAATGCAAGGTTTATAAGCCAATCCAGTTGGCAAGATGCTGCATATGCAGCTAAGAGCAAGCTCAAAACGCCCGCATAAGGTGTGGCCTTCCCCGAAAGAGCATCTCCGTTATGAGTGGGATTTTGCGGTATAACTATTGGGGCTTGCACAGTAGAAAAGACATCCCGAGAACCTTCATCATCCCGCATAGCCAAGAGTCTCTTTTCTCCGGGAATAAACAAGGTTTAAACTGGAGACAGACTTCCGGACGTTGTTGGAGACATCTCGGCCTCGCTGGAGACGTTAGGCCTTAAGAGCGGACCCCTTGTACCTGATTTCTTTTCTTCTTGTTGTGACATGCTTGTGCCATGCAAACCAGGTAGCCATGTGATGTCAAGGGTCTTGTCATTCTGAAACTGACACCATCGTGGCAGTCTGGATCCAGCAGAATTCAGGGTCCAGGACCATGGATTCGAACGATCACATCATACTGACAACGTTATTCTTGGCAGCAGAAGCCATTGCGGAAGAGGCTGTCTTATGAATTAGGTATTATTTACTACTACTGTATCCCCTTCTCTTGTCTACGCCTATTCCCGAAAACCAGCGTAAGATCTACGGTATATACCGGGCCGTTAACCCGCTGTCCGTTGTCCCACGGAATATCTAAGTATAGCATCATCGACGTAGACCCTTCCTCTCAGGGCCTCTAACTATTCCTCAAAATCCCAACAACCCCACCCACCTTCCTCCCCAGTCCCATCCCATACCCAACCTCCACCACGCCCCTCGCAAACATCCAGCTCCGCTCCTGATCGGGGACCGGATACTGCATCGGCCTGGGTATCGCCGTCCTAACACCAAGCCAACCAAACCGATCCTCACAAACCGCCTTCAAATTACACAGACCCCTCAATCCCTCCTCACCCGCAAACCTTCCATACCCCGAGCCCGCAACGCCTCCAAAGGGAAGCTGAACAGCATACGTAGCGCCAAAGTCGTTGACGGCTACCATACCCGCTTTCAACCCCCTGACGACCTCGTGCAAAGTGGAATCCCATTCCGATCCGAACACGGAGCTGCCCAAGCCAAAGTCGGGCGCGTTGGCTACGGCGAGGATGTCCTCCGCTGAGGAGGAGGCGGCGCGCATGACCACCATGATGGGGCCGAAACACTCTTCTTGCGCGATGGCCATGTCGGGGGTGACGTCCACGAGCAAAGTGGGGACAAAGTAATGGCCGCTTGGGTATTCAGGGTGTGTGTACCGTGTGCCGCCGGCGAGGAGTCTAGCGCCCGCCTTGACGGCATCAACGACGAGGTTTTCAAGACGGGCGAAAGCGTTGTCGGAGATCATGGCGCCCACGTCGGCTGTTGGGCCCAGACGCAGGGCGCGCACGCGGGGTGTGAGCATGGAGAGGAGGGTGTCGTAGTGTTCGGGGGCGGCGACGATGCGCTCGATGCCGATGCAGTTTTGCCCGGAGGCTTGGAAGGTGCCGCGCATGAGGGTGTTGACGATGCGAGGGAGGTCGGACTTGGGGGCCGAGGCGAGGATGATGGAGGCGTCTTTGCCGCCGAGCTCGGCGAGGACGGGGATCAGGGCCTTGGAGGCGGATTCGGCGACTTTCTTGCAGACGGGCTGGGAGCCAATGAAGGTGATGTGGCTGATCTTGGGGTGCGAGGTGATGTGGTTGGCGGTTTGGGGCCAGCAGACTACGGTTTCTGTGAGGATGAGGTTTGGTTAGTAAAGGCGAAAGGTAAGTTCTAGACACAAGAGAAGAGGGATACGTACGAACAAGCGCGGGATTATGGCCATGCGCAACCAACGCGCCTCTAATCACACTCGTAAACCACTGCGAGCTCCAAGCCGTCTGTTCGGAGACCTTAACCACAATACCGTTGCCCGCAAACAGCGCGCTAATCACCGGTCCGATCAAGTTGTGGAACGGATAGTTCCAGCTCACCAGCGCAGCAACCACGCCCAACGGCTCGTAGTGCACAGTATTCCGCTTATACGCCATCAACAGGTTCGTAGGCCTCGACTCCGGGCGCAGCGCCTTCTCGCCGTGCTTGATAGTCCACTGCAGCTTCTCAGCCGTGACCAGGATCTCGCCCAACTGGGCGTCCACCATGGTCTTGCCGCTGTCGAGACAAGCCACCCTGCAGATCTCCTCCTGGTTGTCGAGCACGTATTGGAGCAGGGAGCGGAGGACGGCGCGGCGCTGGCGGAAGGTGGTCTTGGCCCATTCGGTCTGAGCAGCATGGGCTTGGTCGATGGCGCGGTCGATGCCCTCGGGGGTAGAAGGGTTGACGAAGCCTAGGAACTGGCCGGTAGCGGGGGCGTAGCATTGGATCGCGGAGGTGCCGGAGACTTTGATCGAGGGTTTCTCAAGGATGTTCTCCTCTTTGGGGAAGTTGGCGGGAGAAATCGTGTAGCGGATCGGACGGTCTTCGCGGCTCGCGATGTACCAGACAGCCAGCGCGGCGAGGGCTGACCAGACAAGGGCCCATGATGACTCGGGGATGTAGCCTCCTACTCTGTTGTGCCGTGCTTTTCAGTAAAGCTTCGAGGGTAGAAGGTGTAAGAAAAGGCAGAGTGTCTGCACGTACGGTGTATCCTCCAGAGCTGTCCGGAGCTGCACAAGCAGACTCCTCGGTATCTCCGCCGCCATTCTTGCGTTGAGTGAGCTTGTAGAGGCCAATGGCAGACCAACTCAGCTCTTGAAAGCAGGACTATGCCTTGGCAAGTCTCACCTAGAACGAAGACTTGTAGGTAATTGTCGAGGAGAAGCTCGAAAGTCGCAAAAGAAAACTTCCAGGGGCAAGCCAGCGCATTGGGAAGCTGTTTCCAGGCGCGCGTGTTCGTGAGCTGTTCAGCACCAGTGATTGGTCGAGATGCAGGTACACCCCACATATGGTGCCACCGGCAGGCAAATGCTTGTTAGTGCGAGCCGCAAGGGTTCCCGTCTCCCCGACCCCTTTCTCGACGTCGTTTGGACGGGATGCCAGATAGGACAAGTAAAAGTAAACAATACAAGGATTGAAGCTATTCATGTGCTTGACGTAAAATGATCCGAAGGACCGCTTTCTCGTACTACGGGGATCATGTGTTTAGGTTGCTCAAGTCCCGAACATCGAAATAGCTGTCAACTCTGTAATTCCTTTCTCGTTTATCTTCGTCAGTTCGCATTGTGCCATAGATTCACTTTAGTTCACGGTAGACTTCCTGGAAAACCGCTAGCAACCTTTTCATCCTCTGGTAATACGCCGTATTCACTGAAACCTATAAACATGAAGAGCAAGCTGACTCCGCCAAACCAATGGACCTATCTAAGGTGTGTGAATCCATGCATTGAACATCAAACAACCATCTCATGTTGTCTTTTTTCCTTTCGCTGTCAACGGAGCTGGTGATCAACCAAAAGACGAGGAAAGAGTGATAATCAGAGCGCGGGGTATATATGAATAATTAATAATATACACTTTTTGCTTTTGCGGATTGTAGTACTTCACTTTGCTTGCTCTTATATCTTGTTGTGGCACTCTTCTTTCCTCTCCATTCCTTTCCCTTTCCCTTGTTCTCCTCCCCTCCATGCTACCTCTCTCTCTCTCTCCGCTCGCTCGCTTCCTTGCTTGCTTCACCCTCTCTTGTACTCCCGCTTCAACTCAACTCGACTCGACCTCTTCTAGTAGTGTGGTGATATGTGACAAGAAAAACAAAGCAGCCATAATAACCAAAAAACCCAAACAACAAGTAGTGTAGATTTGTTGACTAGACGGCCGGGAAACAAAAAGGACCAAAAAAAGCAGTACATACTATCGCAGCAGCAGGTATAAGAACGCAGCAGCAACAGCAGCAGCAAAAGCCCCAAAGACCCTGTGGAAAAACAAGACGGAAAATAGATAAAAACCCCTTTCCTCCCCAAGGCTATGTGAACCCTCGCACACAGCATGCAGCTACAACAACGACAACATCACCAACCAACCAAAAAGTCATGTGTGTGGGCCATGAAATCATGTCCTTCCTTCCCTTCCCTTCCCTATTCCTCCCGTTCCCTTCGCTTCGAACTTCATCCCATCTGTTATCTCAACTTCGTGGCCATGCATGCACTTCGTTCCTTTGTACTTTATCTCTTCAACTCACAATTCACTGTTCCTCCCTCTTAGCGTCATTGCTGACTTTCCCGTCTTTTGTCCCCCTCCTCTACATCCTCTATCCCAGGATGCGGAACCTCATCTTCACTCTGCTTGCTAAACACCGACAACCCCCTCTTACGCACCGTCGTCAGGTTAAACCTCCTTTGCGCCCCGGGCGTCGGCAGATTCTGCGCCGAGTGCGTCGACTCGATCCGACTGAGCCTGGCAGCCGACGTAAAATCGTTAGACTGCTCCAGACTCTGCCTGACACGCTCGCGGCTCGCATCCATCGACCGACGCAAGCGATCGTACGAAGGCCTGGCGCGGTCAATGGACGGGCGTCCACCACCGATTGGCGGCTCGTCCTCGAGCTGGTTGGTGTCGGTGGTGTCGAGCGCCTCGAGCTGGTTGGTGTCGAGCGAGTGCCGCGTGTAGTTGGTCCCGTCGCTGCCGTTCTGAGCACGCGTGTTGTGCGTGGTGACGGACGGCGGATAGATAGGCCGGCGGTCCTCGTCGACGCTGGCGTAGTGCGTGTGCTTGGAGTGCTTGGACGACTTGGACTTGGCGCGGCGGCTGGAAGATTCCGAGGAGCCGGAGGAGGTGCCCTTGAGGGCGTCGTCCTCGGCGGGAGCGACGACGGGCGCTTCAATGGCCTTGTATTCGCCAGTGGAGATGCGCTCGCGGATAATGTCGACGTCGTAGGGGAACATCTGCTTCTGGATGCACTTGGTGACAAGGCGGGGCAGCAGGCAGATGGTGGGCGTGACAATAAAGGCCATCCAGAAGGTGAACTCGGCGTAGACCTGGGGAGCGGCCTGGTAGAATTGGGCCGAGTAGCTGGTGGCCGTGTAGATGCCGGTCCAGAAGAAGATGAAGATGTCACTGAGGAAGACAACCAGGAGCATCACCCAATCCCACCTGTAAGTGTTCATCAAAATGTACATGTTGATGGTCATCACGGCAGGATGGGCAATGTAGGCACCCAGTCTTGTCCTTTCCTGAACGTCAAGGCCATTTCCAGAGGCGGCAGGGGTGAGGATACAGAATATGAACGGGATGAAGAAGCTCATTACAGATTGATAGATACCATCAGCCATGTAAGCCCTGGGAAATTGTTAGTGACACCTTCAAACCATACTAGAGGCGCGAATGACTTACCAGAACTTGGTCTGTGTCCACTCAAGCCGTTCGATACCGCGGCGGTAAAGTTGAGGAACGGCCAGGGACACAGTGTCGCTGACATCCTGATCCAAGACACCCATGAGGATGACTGGAATGGAAGTGAAGAACAGGTTGAACATGAGAATGTAGGTATAGTCGAAAATATACGAGATGTCGAAGTCGCAGAAGACCTGGAACCAGAAGATGGCCCATGTCCACACCATGTTCTTGTAGAAGAAGTTGCTAATTGTCTCTGCCAAGCGTCGGTAGGACCAGCGACCGTGAACGAGCACCAAGCGTGTCAGGAACCTGAACTGGCCGATGGCGTAATCAGAAGACATGACAGCCTGGCGACCTTCCTCACCAGCAATACCAACACCGACATCCGCCTCCTGAATCATGGCAACATCGTTGGCACCATCACCGATAGAGAGGGTCATGACGTCCAAGCCGTTCTTGACCATGGAAACGACAGCAGCCTTCTGAGCGGGACTGACACGGCAGCAGAGCACGGACTTGCACTGCTTGCACAGCAGCAGGAACTTCTGCTTGAGCGTGTCACTGAGAACCCACCGAAGGGTAAATCCGTCAATAACAAGGCCGTGAGTAGGTGCTGGCGCTTCGTGGTCCTTCTTGGCCTGCTTGAGCTCCTCATCGCTGCCGGTCATGCCAAACTTGGCCAAACCCCTGTCGAGTTCTTCTTCGGCAAGGCGTAGGTACTCAGCTTCCAGCTGGACACCAGCCTCGTCCTCGGTAACCTGCAAGCGCACAAGATCCATGTCGTTGTTGAGGAGATTGCAAGAGAAACCAATGTTGATAGCGGTCTCGACCTTGTCACCGGTAAGAACCCAGAGCTTGATACCGGCGTTGCCGAGGAGCTCAATGGCATCGGGCACACCATCCTGGAGACGATCCTCAATGGCGGTACCTCCGAGCAAAGTGAGATCCTGTTCGATTTTGTCGGCAATTTCCTCGAGCTTCTCTTCGCGGTTCTCCAGGGCAGTAGCGGCAATGTCGTGCTCCTTCTTCCATTCGTAGTATTCCTGCTCTGTCAGCTCCTTCTCCGCAATACAGAGAGTACGGAGACCTTCGACGGCGAACATTTCGAGGTGTTCAGCGGTTTCCTTGCGCAGCTCCTTTTGCTCGCCGCGCTTCAGACGGGAGTAGATGATACTGTCGGCACCCTTGCAGAAGAGGATGATCTTGCCGTCAGGCATTCTGACGATCGCGCTCATTCTCTTTCTGCTGGAGTTGAATTCGATGATGTTGAGAACGGGGTAGTGCATGTCCTTGCCCATGACGTTGACATTGACGCCTCCATCGGACATACCGAGGACGGTGAAGCCCATGTCACGAGCGGTAGCAACCAGAGCGGCTTCGTCCGGAGATTGCGCCTTGAAGATCATTTTGGGAGAATCACCAGGCTGCTTCTCCGCAACGACAGTGTGGCAGAGAGCAAGGGCCAACATGAAGTGCTCGTTGGCCTTTTGCTGCTCGGGGCCGTGCTTACCAGCAAGGTCATCAACAAAGTCGGGAGCAACGAACGTAAGGTCTTCATCGTGGAGATAGGGGTTGTTGTGAATCTCACGGAGACCCATGAGAGCGCGTGCCTTGGCCTGCTCAATCTCGTTCTTGATCTTGGCGATCTCAGAATCGATGTCCACGCCACCATTCCGCTTGCTCATACCAATCTGCGCTTCGGTATAGGCTTCTCCGTAGGGCTGTCCGTTGATCGTGGCCTTCTTGAACTCCATCACATTCTGCGTGAGGGTACCAGTCTTGTCGGAGAAAATGTACTCAATCTGACCAACATCATCGGAGATGTTCCAGGACTTGGGGATACAAGGCGCATCGATCGGCTCGTAATACATGTGAATATCGCTGTAGATGAAATAGGCCTGCAGCGTCCGAACGATTTCAAGCGAGATGTAAAGCGAGATGGGCACCAAGTTCTGGAAGACAACAACCGCAGCCCAAAAGGTGATAAATCCCGTGAGACCCGCAGTCCCGCCGATAGAGCCCCATTCGAACCAGTAAGAGGAGGCATCAGTCTTTGCCCAAGCAACACCGTTAGCGATAGCGGCGATAAGACACATGATCATCAGAATGCAGAAGTTGTAGACGACGTTAACGTTGAGCTCACGGGCAATCCGAGCCCGCTTGCTGGGAGTAACTCCTGCATTCATCATGATCTTGGTATCGTGACCGGTGAAGACAACCACGCCAAGCGCCCATTCGGTGTTTCTAAGATTGCAGCCACGCAGAAGCATGTTGTCGATGCTAATGGGCTCCGACATCTCGATCGGGTCGCCATCCTCGTCGTTGGGAAGTTCCTGGAGCCACTTGACCGCACCGTTGTACTTGTAAAGATTGGGCTGAGGGGGCTCGCTTTCGATGATGAACTGCGCACGTTCACAATCACGGGCATGCTTCATTCCACGGCCGCACCGGAGCGCAGAGCGAACCTTTAGGTTGGTTTCACCGTCCAAGTTCTTGGTCTCGACGTAGCAGGCGCCATCCGGATCTGAAGTTGCCAGAATAATGATATCCGCCGGAATTTCGTCATCGTTGTAGATACGAACAAAATCCCCCACGACCAAACTCTTCCAGGCGTCCTTGGCGAATCTGGCCTTGCCAGAAATTGGAAGGTTGCGGTTGACCAAGTCACCCTTGATTTCCTGCAGAGCGTATTGGCCGTCGATCTGGCGGCTTGATCCTTCACCGGGGAAGTCCATTTCATTCGGCTGGCGCGGAAGTGGCGAGGGAACTGGCGTCATTTCAACATCGTCTCGTTGAACATTGAGGGACCGTCTATCAGTTCTCGACTCCATCGACATGCGCGGATCCGGTTCATCGTGCGAGGCCGTGTGGTTCTTTAGGATCGGATTGTCGTCCTCCTTTTTCCATAGCCCCTCGGTCTTGTGCCACAGAGCACCAAAGATTCGCGAGTTTGCCTTTTTAAACCTGCGCCATAGAGATACGTTATCCGCCTCGACATTGACATTGGGAATGCCATGCAATTTGTGGACGGGCGCATTGTTAAGAACATTATCCAAGATGGTTCTTCGGTAGTCTTCGACCGCATCCTTGATAGCGGTGACGCAAATAATAACAATTAGAGGGACGGCGTTGAGTCCGGGGTTAACACCACCAAATATGGGGAAAATCTAGAAGGACGTTCACGCATCAGCATCAACAACACTAGAGGCTCAGAAGGCATCGCTAGCTCTGGGTCCCGACCAGGGGCGGGATCGGCAGGGGGCAAGGGGTTCCAGAGGGAGAGCGGATACAGCGGTGCAGCGGTGGAGGAGATGGCTACTCACAACTAAAATAACAAGGAAAAGGAAGAAAATGTTGGCAATGTTGTGGAATTGAAACCACAAGTTCTTGGGGACGAAGGAGAGCGGCGTGTATTTTGCTGTTCGGATCTTGTTTCGCGGATACTGCTGCGTTGGATGGCCTTCGTCATCCTTGAACTCGTCGGCTAATGGCAGACCACAGAAGATGGTCCTTGGTTCTGAATGTTCTCCGTCCGCGTCATCCTTTCCTGCGTCACCACCGGCGGTGGACGGCGGCGCCTCGGACTGCCCTGCCGTCGAGTCGGATTTCCCCGAGTGCTTCGAGGCCCTCTTCTTCTCGGCGCCCAAAGCGTTTCCATTGTTGTTCCTATTCTTCAACGAGAGGCGCTTTAGCCCACTGCTCTTGACGGTGAGTTTCCGTGTGGCCCATCGTGATCGTTGCGTCGAGTTTATTGGTGTCGGTTCAATGCCCCCTTCGTCTTCGTCTGCTGGTCTGGGAGTCATGATGAGGGAATCGCGGGCCGAGCCCGATCAACCCGAGCTGTGCGCCAGGATGGCCAAGTAGGCCTTTGTTGCTGTCGAGGTCGCCACTGCAAGTTGAAGACAGAGGTTTGCGTCAATGGTCGGCGATGCGATTGATGGCCCGGTGGCAGCACGGTAGAGGACCTAGTTCGATATCGTAAGGTAGGTAGGTGATGGAACTCGAAATGCTAAAGTGTCGTCGGTTTCCGGTGGAGGCGGGTCCCGAGAAAGCAAAACTTGGAGGATGTAGTGGTTTTCCGGATATAGCGTCAGGTCGTTGAATACTAGTCGATTCGGACGGAAGATCACGAAAAGAGCGTCGGAGTCGTAACCAGGAGCAATCTGAGAGTTCAGGCGCGGCTGGCACGTCCTCGAAGGGGGGAAAAGAGAGAGTTTTGGCGCCCTTGTCTTGGACGGTTGGAAGAGAAGGGCGGCGGTTTATTGGATGGCAGCCCGTCACAGCACTCAACGAGATGGGATGCGGTTTGTGCGTCGGGTGTGAGAGTGAGTGCGAAGTGCAAGCGACGGGAGGGGAGAATCAGTGCTGACGGGAGTGAGGCAGCAGCAGTAGAGGTACAGGGCAGCACGCAGCAGCAGTGACAGCGGGTGGCAGTGAGTGGCCTCAAGGAAGGCGGGCACTGAGTGGTCAGGGCAGCAAGGCCACTGGCTGGGCACGCACGGAGACTGGACTCCTTCTAGGGCCCGGGAAAGCCGGGGTTGACTTTTCTGGGGCCAACAAAGCCAAGAGAAAAATGGACATGGCAAGTGGATCCGGCAACGAACCGGACTTGTAACAAGTGCGAGCAACTGTAACCACTGGTACGAGTCGATACGCCTTCAAACCGGTCACGAAAGGGAGTCCCGGCTTGAATCTTACGGCCCAATGTAGGTACCGCGTACAGGTGGGCTTACAAATGGAGTCTCGTGCTTGTAAAATCTCCATCCAGGCCGTTGATCAGTGCATTGTTGCTGCAGGAAGATGGAACTCGAAGGTCCTCATCCAATTGGACTGCATTTCAGCCGGATGAAGTCACTGCATGGCAGAAAAGACAAAAATGGCATTTCCAACATCGGGCACATCAGAGAAGGGGGAACGCAGGCCGAAAGGGTCAAAAACCGTAAAGACTGAAACCCACGATACGATCCCGTCTCTTGGCAAGGGAGCCTTTTCCAATTTCCACTTCTAACTTTTTCTTTTGAGAACACTTTGCCAGGCACAGTTCAAGTGGCTTCAAGATGCCAAGGGATCTGGAATACCACATTCCCCAATAATGGAATTCAATCCATGTGGACGGCCCGATGGACGAGCCGATGGACGATTGTAAAGGCCGACAAACACAACAGACCTTGACAGTCAGATACAACCTCGGACCCTGGAATTGGTAATCAACGAAATTGAACCCATCGCCAGCCAACCAGGGACGCCGGCCCTCCTCCTTCACACGATTTCCACTCTTTTTGCCCACCGCCAAAGTGCAACGAAGAAGAAGGCTAGGAAAGCCCAGGAGACTCCTCTCTCCAGTTCAATTTCACGGCGTCGCGGCACGAGAAGGTGGGGCATCTGGCCTTCTTCCTTCGTTGTTCCTCCACTCCCGCTTGTTCACCACCACGGCCAACCCCAATAGTCGGGGTCAACTCAAAGTCGAACTGAGACTTTTTGTTCGGACTTTGTAGGGTGGCCGGCGGTGGTGACTTTGCTGACCGGCCCGGCTATGGAATCGGTGGATGGAGTCCGCCCAGCCATGGTTATGCTTTTCACTGCCCGGCACATGCCTCAACCGGCCACCTCCAACTCATATCTTTATTCCTCTGCCTCTTTCTCTGTGTAATGGAATGGTTACACATGAAACATTACCACAGCAAACACCACTCAACCTCAACTATGAGTCTATGACACCTCGTTCCAAAAAGACCACAGTGGCATCCGGGAGGCTCGGCCCCTCGCTGTCAGCTCCGAGAGAGGCTTGACGCCTTTGTCTCCCTGTAGAGCCTGTGTGTTACACGTGTGGGCCAAGAAAACATGGAAGCCCGTCGTCGATCTTGCTGGTTCTTGCAGAGATCGCAGGTGGAAAGGTGGGAAGGAGTGGGGGGGAAGAGCCATAGGGATTCCGAACAATTGCCTCTATCAACCACTCAATTAATTACCCTCCCCTCCTTGCGATGCACCCGATGCACCTCCTCATTTTATCTGACTGCCAGTTTTACCTTTTTACCTTTTTATAGTTGTTAAAGAGGTCTATCTCTCTCCGCTCTCGGTACGTACGGTTATTGTTCCCTTGAACATGATACATCTATACATAACATCGTGGAGATCAGAAAGGCACTCTGCAAAAGGAAGAAGCAACGGATCATCAACCACCATCACAAAATGCAAACTCCCCTGGTCCCTTTTCTTGTTTCTCTCTCGGGGTTTACCCAAAACCCGGGTCCCGAAGCGCCCGCGTTGTATAAAAGTCCACCGTGGTCCAGCTTCGGGACCATTCCTCTTTCTGTCTTCTGAGCCCAAGGCGGCGACGAATAGTATGGAGGCGCCTGCCCAATCAGGTATAAGGTCTCTTCATCCGCAAAATTGAAGTGTTGCAGCACCTCGTTAGCTTGACGGGCTTGGCTCACAGTTCAATATGCTCGGCTTTCTCAAATGGGAGGGCTTGGAGAGAATGTAACTGAAAAGGATGTGCATTGCGAAACAACTTCCAGATTCGCGAGTCTTTCACAAAAAGAACAGCAGAAAAGACCGAGGCGCGGGCGCGCGCTTCTAGAGATCCTCGCACTTTGATGAAGGACGGACTAAAAGATCTGCTCCATCATCGTGGGGAAGACCTCCCACCCTACCCAACTAACGAAAGAAAAAAATAGGGGCTATCACGGCAGCCATGGGGGGCAGTTGGTATCTTGAAATCTTCCGTCAGCTCACAGTGGACGACGACTGGACGTTCTCGGGAATACGATCTCTCTTTCTGGTGATCCAATGCCACAAGCCCATCCCTCCGCCGCCTCATAATGACTTGCAGCGCCACCAGACCAGGTACCCCAGTTCCCAATGCAGCCAGCCAGCCTTAACCGCGGTTTATACACACGATTTCATTTTATTAAAACGTGAATGACCAGAGATTCATTCATGCTCACACCGACACGCAGCGCGTCTACGCGTCCCTATCCCCGTCGTCGATGAGGATCCGGCCTAGTTCTAGGCGGCCCTGGCAACTTAAAGCAAGACGGAACCCGACCGATGACCGACTGACTGACTGCCCACCGCCGACCCGGCGACCCGGCGACCCAGCGACCCCTATTTCACAGCCTCGATGGGATCCTCTTCGAGAAAGATAGGGATGGGATCCCAACAGCGACACTCCCAACCTCAAGTCCTAACCCTTTTCAAGAGCCTTGCCAGCAAGCCCTTCAAGGTTCTTTTTGCTCTTCTGGAGCGAAGTCGCTCAGTCGCCAGTCCGAGATCCGAAGGGCACATCTTTCATGTTTCTCTCTGTAGTAGGCTCTGTGTGTGTCTGGCTCAGCCCGGCCCGCTCGCTCGCTGCCAGCCCAGTGCGGCGCCCCCGGCGTACGCCGTTACCGTAGTAGGCAGGGCACAGGGCACAGGGCATAGGGAAACAATCCCGTGACGCACGCCCAACGTCGACCGCCTCTTGAATGAATGATGACCCTTTTCAGTAAACAATCTCCTCCCCTCAGACCTCAATTAAGTCTGAAGTATCAAGTGTGAGGTAGTATGTGGGTTTAGTGCCCGGTAGGTATGGTTACCTATGTTACTTTGTGTTCGTGTAACACGCCAATTTTACCTGTGACGGTGTTTCAGTGACATTTTTGTTCATCTGTCATCATCCAAACAAAACCAACGCAGGATTTCTTGGGTTTGGTTTCCAGTTTTGGGGTTTGGTTTCTCTGGTATACCATACTAGGTATCCTCTAAGCCTCTTTTCGTGATACGGTGAGTATATAGTAGGTATACAGGATTTCACGACGGTTTTGGGAGTTGGAGTTTGCCCTTTCACTGCTTCTGAACCTCTAGATAGAAAGAGACGAACACCGTGCAAAGCCAAGAGGAATACCACGAAATGACTGACTCGTCCTTATGACATACCCAACTCGGACTCATAAGCTTGTGATGATGAATCATCATGAGTCCTCATGACGCTTCGTTATAGAGAAGAATGATACCATGATGTTTACAACCAAACCGTAGTCGATAGCAAGCTAGAGATAGGTACTACCGGTAGGTAGCGGTAACATGACACAACCACACAAACAAACAAACACCCGTTAAAACTCCCAGTACGTTTCGTTATACGGAGCACATCCATCACATCCCGCAACACATTGTACACCAATAACTCCGGATAGTATAGTAGACGTACTGCGTAGGGCAATTTTCAAACCACTTTTAAACTTCCGGGAAAGAAAGAAAGAAAGAAAGAAAGAAAGAAAGACAAAAGTCGACGATGAAACTTACGTCTACGTCTGTGCAACTGTGCGTGCGCCGCCGCTACCCCCGGTGTCCCGACTCCCGACGGAGGGATGGATAGATGAGACCAGGTCGGCCCTTCCCTTCTTTCCAAATTACATACATACCCGTATGTTACCAATGTAATGACAACCTAGTTCTAGAGGTAACTGACGAACAATCCTCGGAACCGTTCATTGGGTCAGTCAGTCAGCATTACATCGAGTTTTCATGCAAATGGGCTCAGCTTTGTATTGGATCGGGTATGTTGGATGTCAGCGTAACCTTTAGACTTTCCCTTCCGCTGACAAAGAATAAAGAATCGACGGAGTTAAAAAGCCGAACCCACTCAGCAAAAACTCAATTCCTCCTCAAATCCGGACCGGACCTTCTGAACTCTGAAGGGACCAAATGAGAACAAAGACTTTTCTTTGTTCTCATGATTCCGAAAGACCTTAGGTTCCAGAGCACGGCACGCAGAGCACGGACTGAACGGATCGTAGGTCCCCTATTAACTGAACTGAATGGTAGACAGGGATCACCCTAGCCAAAGCGGTAGAGCCCTGAGAGCGTACCTGACGTCCAAGCGTTCGAGCGCCAAAGAGGCGATTTTAGCGAAGAGTTGAAATTACCATGTTGGTTGCTAGTAAACGTTAACAATTTCTCGCAGTTTGGTCTTGGACGCACGGTCTTGGATCTGATAAAACAGGCGAAGGAAGGGCTCTCAAGAACGTGTGAACATGTGAAGGTGTGAATGAATTGAGGCTGTGAATACTTGGCTTGGACTTGGCCCTTTTTAGGTAGTTTGAACTGTGAGATTGTGAGACACTGGCTTGTGAGCCCTGAGAAGGGAAAGGTGAAAGTTGAAACCTAAAGACATCGACATGGCTTCAATGGCTCCACGGATTGGCGATGTTGAGGTCCTGGGTTCATTTTAAACGATGCTATAAAAGGAAGGGAATTCGGGATGGCATCATCGCCCGACGTTGTCTTGGAAGAAACCCTGATGTTTTCTTGACCCTTGAGATTTTGTCCTGGAAAAAATGGAAGTCTTCACCTGCCTGAAAACTTACAGATATCACAAGGACTTCCCCATCCTCCCTCATTTCCATCACTGAGCTCATGACAAACCCAAGAACAATCCAAGAAGAAGCGAACAGAACCTCAAGCCCAAATGGTCGAACTTGGGTCACCCCTCCAACTGGAAACGGGAACATCTCTGCCCGGTACCAAAGCTCCGACACAATGGTCAATGCAGGGGTTGCCAAAAGCACCAAAAATTCCGGCCCTGTGGTTTGACGTTTCGGACCTCCGAAATGTCTTTCGCTTTTCGGCCTACCTTGTTTGGGTATGCGCTGTTGTCTCGTTCGTAGATACCTAACACTTTTGGCTGTGCCGCTTCGAATCTCTCTCCAAGCCATAGGCTTTCATCTCTCGCCGCTGAGTTCGCTGACAGTTGATGAAATGGCCAAGCATCATGTGCTGTCATGAAAGATTGAGTGAGATCGAGTGAGCAACTGAACCAATTGCTCGGAATGTCATGTTGCTCGTACGGGAGTGTTGCTGAGCTGAGCCACTATGCTTCCGTCGTTTGTCATGATAATGAATGGTTATGTCCGTGACAAAGGCAGAAAGAAAAGGCTCGCACCGATGCGCAGCGGTATCGTTTGGTAAGCATCTTTCAACGACAGGTTGTTCATTGTTCAGTTGATGGTTGTTTCTTTCATCATCTCAATCCGTTGAATTTCCCCTGTCTAACCCTAACCCGAGCCACTGGAGACAAACACTTTTTTGCGGGGTCGTTGGCGGGGATGAATGCACTGTAAATTGATGCGGGCCGCTGCGACGCGGGTCAAGCTGCAGCGACGCGTCTCTCGAGACAATCAAGGACCTCGATGAACAGCGACTTTTTCCTGGTAGACACCATGCATTTTCCCAGTTCATTGTTTTAGGGTGCAAGCGCTGACCATTGCCCACATCGTTTCTGAGGTGCAACATCGCATCGTCAAGTCGTCGACAACACATCTTCTGCCTTTACCAGCACTTCGATCCGAAAAGCACCGCCGCAATGTCCAAGAACGCTGCCATCACCAGCTTCTTCAAGCCGGCCCCGCGGGACTCGCAGGACTCCCAGGGAAGCTCCCAGGCACCCCAATCTTCAATCCCCCGATCGCCCATCAGAGCAGCAATGTCGCCCTTCAAAATGCCCGGAACGCCAGGAACGGGATTCAAATCATCACTACCGATCAGGTCCCCTGTACCACCGCCATACTCGCCGTTGACACTTCTCTCATCACCGCTGAAGCCTCGATCCGCCGTAAAGCCGGTACGAGATCGAAATGCCGTCATCGGAGCATCCGACGAAGAAGACGACGGCAGCGACTTCATATCATCGGACGACGACCTGCCCGATCTCTTCGCCGAGCCCAAGACCGAAGTACCTGTGTCGATCCGAGCAAATGGAAGCCCGACGAAAGGGCCAGTGTCAAAACGGGTGGCATCAACCAAAATTGTCGTGTCTCCCATCAACTTCAACAAGAAGCACAAGTTCGACATGAAGGCCATCTTAAAGCATACCGAGGCAGAGAAGAAGATAGCAGAGAGCGAAAAGCGGGTTGAGCAGCTCATGGCTGAGGATGAAGAGGACAAACGAGCCGAGCCACTTGCTGTCAAGAAGGAGGGCACCACCCTCCATGATGACATGTTGGACATGTTGTCCGAGGCGGAGGACAGTCAAGAGGAGACTAAAAAAGAGAAGCTACTCAGGGCCGTTAAGAGGACAGAAGCCACTTCGCAGCGGAAACAATGGTACTTCTTTGACGAAGATCATGGGCACAAAGTGGTCGACGACCTGTCAATAGGCTTCCGGAACAAATTCCCCCAGCACGCGGCCACCGGTGTTTGGAAAATCCTGGCGACACAAAAGGGGAGAATGGATCTCATCGAGCGTGGAGTCCCTTACCATCTCCAGTCCAAGCTACGGAACATGCCCGACGAGATCTTTATCTGGATTGTAGACGAGCTACCGTTCATCAAGACAAGGAGGTTACGAGAATCCAACCTCAGACTTCTAAAAATCTGTCCCGAGCAAGCAGGCCGACTACTCACACCCGACCGCATCACCCAGTTATTCCGCACCATCGGCACACCCAAGCGATGTCTCGAGACGCCGTCATCATCAGAAGACAACACCGATCAAAAGAAACCCGACCCCGGCCGTCCCTACAACATCGACCGAGACTGGACCCCCCTCCGCACCGTCCTGCGCATCCTCTCCGAGACCGCCCGCGGGCTCTCCACCGACTCCCTCACCCGCTCCACGACCCTCCTCCTCCGTCTGGGCATGGACGCCCTCATCCGTCGCAACCCGGACCTACACTCCACCTTCCGACACACCCTCATCCACCTGATCGAAGCCGTGCCCTCCTCCTCCTTCGACGGCTTCTGCCTCTCCTGCTGTTCTAGTCTCTACTCCCTAACCACGGACTCCTCCCTCCTCTCCGACGCTCTTAGGTCTCTGCCGTACCAAACCCCCAAACTGGTCAACCTCCGCCGCAGGCTTGCCTTGGCCTTCCTCTTCGCCTCCGCTTCCACCTCCCTTTTGCCCTCCCCCTCCCCCTCTTTTGACACAGTCGTCCCCTCGCCCATCCAAGAATTCTCCCTCCACGATCCCAGCCAGACTTTCTCCCTCCCTTTGCTGCTGGCCTACCTCGATATCTCCCCGCATTTCCAAACCACCCGCTCTTCGTCGTCCGCTGATTACTTTGTCCTCTCCGCCCAAACCGACCTGTTACGCATAGCCATAGGCGACGGCGATCCCCCTTCTTCTTCCCCTTCTTCCCCTTCTTCCCCTTCTTCCCCCCATCCTCCCGTTTCCTCCTCCCTTCTTCCATCTCTCCCATTTTCCACCTCAACCTCAACCTCAACCTCCTCAGAAATCAAATCCCACAACCGCCAAATCGACCACCTCACCCGCCGCATCCGCACCCTCTGGTCCAACATCCACGACCAATCCGGGTCGACAGCCGAGATTTCTCGGTTGGAAGCCAAAGTCAAGCTTAAAGACTTGGAGCGGAAACTGGAGTGGGCGGTCAGGACGAAACCGGTTAGTAGGGCGAATATCTTTGGTATCAAAGGAGGAGGGGGAGGAGGGGCGGGGATTTTGGGGGGTGGGTATGGGTATGGAGAGGGGGATGGGGATGGGGATGAGGATGTGGATAGTGAGGAGGAGAGGGAGAGGGAACAGAAAAGGGAGAGGGAGGGGGTGGAGCAGAAGATGTTTATGAGGAGGTTTTTGGGGAAGGGGACGAGGGTCGAGGGTTGAGGGTTGAGGGGGTTGTCTGAGTGGTTAGTTGTGTGGGTTGTTTTGGTGTTATTGTGGGTATAGTGGTCTTGTCTATGGATGAGTGTTTGGGTGTTTGGGTGGTATGTTGACGGTTTGTATAACGACGCTCTGGACTTGGGAGGTTACCCCGAATATGGCGTATTGGCGGTTTATGTATGTTTGTCTGTTTATACGTATAGTCTTGAGGATATATGTCTTGAGAATATGGGTCTGGGGAAGAGCGGAACACACGAATATAGGAGCGTCAAGATATAGGTAATACCCATTGCTGTTAATGCATATGAGGAGGGATGGTTAGCCTTATCAAGAGATGTAGAGTTCTCAAAGATTGGCAAAGTCTGGAGGAACTCGGAAGAAGCACACAAGCTCGTCAACCCAACAGCATGGAACAACAGTTGCTTTGCGATAAACAAGGGAACAGCGAAAACAACTGTATCATACAAAAACTCTTAACATGATAACCCATGCATGCATTCGTCGTCCATCCATAACCACCTACTCCCTCGCCAACCTTTTCTTGGCTTAACTTGTCTTGTCATTGAACATCATCAAACAACGAGAAGCACCCAATGCTCTGGTGTGGACCTTCGGCTTTGTCTCCCTCTTGAGATTCGTCCACAGGACTCCTTCTCCCTTCCCTGAACATTAGGTGCCGTAACTTGTTATAGGAAAACCGTACCCTTCTCCGTATTCACAGTAGCCTTCCGAAGAAGCGGTGCACTTAGTCGAAGAACTTGCGGTTGGGGTTGTCGCCGAAAAGAGCCTTGCGCATCGCCGGGAGAGCGCTGTCCTTAAGCAGGTTCAACCTGGCCTCGAAGGTGTTGTCGATATCGATCTTGCCGTTTCCGCCGACGATGATGACGCCACCAGCGCTGTTGTTGTCTTCCGTTAGCATATCTTCCTGCTAGCAACTTGGGCCTGAGTGTAACCTACCTCCCCTCAGCAACGGGATTCTCCTCATCAATCGTCGCCTTGACATCCTTATCCGTCTTCTCCTTGTACTCCTCGCTCGCCGCCTCCGCCGCCTGCCTAACCACGTCATAATCCGCCTTGCGCGCGCGGATCGCCAGCTCAGGCTCGTTCATGGCGTAGAAGCCCTCCAAGAGCAAGCCCTTGAGGATGTCCTTGTAGCGGCCCTCGTCCTTGGTAGCATCGGCCAGCTGGGCGCTGGCGGCCTCAAAGATGTCATCCAGAAGCTCCTGGCGCGCGCCCAGGACCTTGAGCCGCGTCTTGTTGGCCACGGTCGACCGCGTGATCTGCTGCGACATCTGCGCCTGCTTGAACTTCTTGGCGTAGGCCGAGTCGATGGCGTCCGTCTCCTGGCGGACCAGCTTGGACTTTTCGATGGCGAATTCCTCGTTGGCTTTGATCTCGATCTCGCGCGCTTTTTCCTCGGCTTCTTGCTTGATGAAAGCCGTCATCTTGCGGAGCTCTTGTCCGACCTGCGACGTGTACGTACACGCATTGTTAGTATTGGCGCTTATCTGGGAAACAACACCAGAGCAGCAATGGGATTGAACGCACCTGATCGTCGGACAAGGCGTGAACTTGTGACATTTTGGCTGGTGTTTACCAAGGAAACTCTAGGGAACAGGTGTTTGTTGTTGTGGTTCGGTATAGGACCGGGTCGCCGAGGACGGTTATCGAGGATGTGATGTCGTCGTCCTTGGGAGGGGAAGCTCACGGGCAGAGCTAACTTGGTTCGATATCGGGTATAGAGCGAAGAAGCGAAGTTAGGACGCTAAGGTGATTGCAATCTATCAAAAGTCGAAAACAGGGCTGAAAGGGTATCGCAGTTGCTGGTATTCCGTTGTTTAAACGACGTCAGCTTGTTTGGGGGGGGGGGGGGGGGGGGGGTGATGTTGGCTTGGCATTGGACTGGAGCCAGGAAGGCTGGCAACAGCAACCCCGGCCCTGGGCGGCCTGGTGGTGGTCATCATCGCTGTGCAGAGCTTCGAAACGAACCTGAAGAACAGCACTGCACCACTGCTGCACCAAGCATTAACTGCGGCAGGCACTAGCCACAGCAAACCCCACCTTCCACTTAGAAGCAAGTGAAGACATCAGCCTCCTACCTTAGAGGTATCCATCGGTATCAAATGCCTGCCGCTGAGGTTGAATCGGGGGGCCCATGTCAGCTGATTGGACCCACCAGCCACTCACCGCGGTCGGTCACTCTCAATCACTCACAGCGAGTCTTCCCCTTTTACCTAGCGTTCCAGCGCATTGACATGTGCTGCAAACACACTGCACTGCGCGTGAGAGCGTCGCGCTAGACCACCTCCAGTCCGTTTCGGTGACCCATGGCCGTTCTCTGCAGGAAAGAGAGTCCAGGTTCGACGCCCGGTGGTTTGTTCCTTCATGCGTCAAGGCCCGATCCATGGTTGCCCTGTCTTTTCGAAGTGTTTAATGTTTCGTCTCTCGAATACAATTTCCCCCCTTCCACTACTTCAACCACTCCTTTCGTGATACCAGTGCCGTGAACCATCCGAGATTTGCACTCAGTTGCAAGAGGCCGATAGCTATTTCACCTGCCCTGCGGCCGCATATTACTGCCCTGAGACATCAGGGAGAAACACCCTAAAACCGTCCACTGTCCAGCGAGGTTCCCAAACCTTATCGACCTTTATCTACCTCGTTACCTTATACCTACGACCGGACTTGACCGTTTGCGACACACCTAGACTACACTACCGAATTGAAACGGACGACGACTCCCGCCTCTTCACCGATTGTGCACCTGACTTGGTCTTCGTGCGCTCGAATTACGTCGATACCATACCCAACAATTCTCTTTGTCGTTGTACAAATCCTCCCGTCGATCCAACACTTGCCCGGACAACCTCAGCGACCGAGCGGCATCTCCGTCACGATATTCCCCCATGCAAACATAGTATAATAGCCGCCACCTCGCCCTCTGGCTGTCTGGGTGAAAGATAGCCTCAAACCACAGGCGCGATGGGGCTCATTGGCGGCATCTCTCCTGGAGGGAGCATTGCTGTAAGCTATCTAAATACTCGACATACTTTGACGTCAACGACTTCTAATCTTAAGCGCAACTACAGCTCGGAATAATAGTCGGCTTGATATCCACGAGCGTCCAAAGTCTCGGCCTGACGCTACAACGAAAGTCACACATACTCGAAGATGAAAAGGGGCCCTACGATGTTCGACGACCGCCATATCGAAGAAGGAGGTGGCAGGTAGGAATGGGCATGTTCATCATCTCCAACGTCGTCGGGAGCTCGGTTCAGATATCGGTCCTCCCTTTACCGGTCCTCTCGACACTCCAAGCGTCCGGCTTGGTATTCAACTCGATTTGCGCCACCCTCATTCTCGGAGAACCGTTCACGAGGTGGTCACTATGGGGAACCTTGCTGGTCTGCAGCGGCGCAGTCTTGATCGCCATCTTCGGAGCTATTCCCTCGCCGGCGCATAAATTGAGCGAGCTGCTGGAATTATTGGGAAGGGGTCCCTTCGTGGCATGGATGGTGTTTCAGGGCATCCTGGTGCTGGGCATTGCGATCGCGACAGATGTGATAGGCAACTTCACAAAGCTGATGCAGCATTCCCGGTTCCGCCTTGCTCGGGGTTTTGCTTACGGCTGCATAAGTGGCATCCTGTCTGCTCACTCCCTGCTGGTGGCCAAGTCAGCCGTCGAACTGCTCGTCAAGACTCTTGTGGACGGCGATAACCAGTTTGTCCACTGGCAGTCCTGGGCCATTCTCCTGGCCCTTGTCACGCTCGCTCTCAGCCAACTCTACTACCTACACCGCGGCCTGAAACTGGTTTCGACCTCGGTTCTATACCCACTAATATTTTGCATCTATAACATCATCGCCATTCTAGATGGCCTAATCTACTTTGATCAGACCGAACTGATCAGCCCGCTCCAGGCGTGCCTAATCACCCTTGGCACCGTCATCCTTCTCACCGGTGTCCTGGCACTATCATGGCGTCTACACGACGAACAACACACCCCCGGCGTTGGCCAGTCAACTCTTGCCCCAGGACTGGGCCTAGTCGAAGATACAGAAGACGAAGACGACGAAGAAGCCCTCCTACTCCGCTCCGACATCGAAGACGAGGAGGAACGCATCGGCGTTCCCTCTCCACGCTTGTACAGCTACAGCACCTTCAGCACCAGCCAATCCCGACTACCGGGCGACGGCACCTCTCAAGGCGGCGGGCCCGTCCTGGTGATAGCACCACCCAAGCGCCAGCGTTCCCTAGCCGGCCAATCGATCCGCACCCTACCTTCCAACCGATGGACCGAACGTGCCGAAATCTGGGACGAGCTCGAAGACCGTGACACGCCACCCGACCACTCCTCCCTCTCCTCCCCAGCCTTTCTCTCCAGCAGCAGGCGCCGCTCCACCACTTTACCCGTTTCAAATCCAGGCGAGGGTACCTCCCTCCTCCACCCGCGCCGGAGGGAAGTAAGCGATAGCTACCAGTTCGCTCCGCCGCGAGCCGCCACCGATCTCGCCTCGCCCCGACCACGAAATTCCCGGAGACGCAGAAAGTCCACTGGTTTCCCGGGTTTCATTCCCCGCAAACCGTCAGCGGCAACGACAGCACCACGAAAGCCGTCGTCAGGTGGTGGTTTGCAAGATGTAGTCAGTGGATTCCTGAGAGCAAGGTGGTGGAAGAATAAACCAAAGACTACACTGGGGGTGCCAGGACTGAGGGAGGAGGCGATAGTTGCTGCGAGGAATAGGATACATGAAGAAGAGGAAGGGGAGGGGTTGTTGGAGGATTATCATCAAGGGCAGGGTCAGGGTCAGGGTCAGGGTCAGGCGCAAGCGTCGGGGTCGGGGTCGGGGTCAAGTAGTGAGCGAGTGTCCCCAAAGAATGGGAACGGGAGGACAGAAGAGGCGTTATCACTAGATGGCGCCCCCCAAGGGGAAGGGCCGTCGACAACAACAGGAGGGATAAGGAATAATGGGAGGCGCAAGGTTGATGATTCACCGGTATAGTACTAGACCATGTGTTTGGTCTTGGGTTGGCGCTTGGGTTCTGGCTTTTTTATCATTTTCTTCTATAGGTAGCAATGGGGGCTCGGGGGGGTGGATATCAATAAATATACCAGCAATAGACAGACGTATGTCGTGTTTCAGTCAGGTGCCGTCGTTCAATCTAGCCTTGCTTGATTAAGGACCTCTACTCTTCGTGTTGTATATGTTGTACCTTGGTATCGAAGCTTTTGCGTTCATAAGCAGACAGACACTCAACGAGTTCTTTTCGGTCGAAAGCGGAAACTGACTAGACCCACCCTGATTGAAACTGGTCCCAGCGGGACACTTCCACAGTTCATAGTCAGTTGGGAACTCTCAATCTTAACAGATGATTCAATCGTTGGCATCATCGCCATAGAGCCATTCAAAGCATTTTTATAGCAAGGAACGTTGTTATTGTGTGGAGAAGGGCCCTCAAGAGAAAGAAGTGATGGATTGAAACGCCGAAAGCACTTTACTCGCTACTGGATATCGCTATCTTATTCTAAAATTGTCGTGTGAACGAAAGAAACAAACAGACAAGCCCCGAGAGTCTAGTCTACCATGTACGCTGCGCAGATTATCCGGTATTCCTGAACCCAACAAAGCCCAGTCAATCTGGTGTTTATTGACCGTCGGTACTCCCAGCAACGGGTATTGCCATTGACGTTGCCGTTCACATCATCGTTCCCTCTCCCGGTAATGCTGAGAACACTCATGTCAAGAGAATCGACCATCACCATTGCGGGCGCTACGGTTGTAGATAGATGATGGTATGGCCGTCGATATTGCTGTTGAGGATGTTCCAGTCGTTGATGTTACTGGCGATGATCCTACTGCCTGCTGGTAATGACGCTGTTATTGACAATACTGTTTTATATCTCCATGTCGCTGTCGACAATGTCGCTTTCGACGATGTTACCGTGGGCGATGCGGCCGTCAATAATTTCAAACGTGGCGACGCAATTGTTGGCGATGGCCCTGCTAACCTCAGGTCTATGGAGGTTCCGCTGATAGTACCGCTGATATTACTGCTGAAAACTATGCCATTGCCACTGCCGTTGGTGATCCGGTTCAGGAGGGAATTGGACGGGAAGCTGAGGCGGGGGTTGATGGGGGTGTTGACGCTGCGGACGAAAAGGCGGAGGTTGAAGTTGGGAGTTGACAGCACTCGCGCTGGTGCCACTGACGTTAGGTAGTTCATTGACTCGATCGCCCAAGTTGGTGCTATCGTTGATATTGCCATTGGTATACCCGTTGAAATTACCGTTCATATGCCCATTCGTAAGCCCATTAGTATATCCATTGGTAAGACCATTGGTCACCCCATTCATGTTGGTGTCCCCAATGTTGTGCCTGGCCAGATTCCTGATAACGGCATCATTAACCTCGATAAGGTTACCGTAGGTATGGCCATTGGTATGCTCGTTGGCATTACCGTTCGCATGCCCATCTGTATGCCCATTCGCATGTCCGTTGGCAAGACCATTGGTAAGCCCATTCAGGCGCGCTCTTTCACCGTCATACCCGGTCGGATTCCCATGGACGTTTCCGTTGTCCGAATACGCGTCGCCTTCGCCGTGGGGAAATTGCTGATGTTCGTCATAAAATGGTGCCGGCTGATGATGCTCCTCATTCCAAATTTCTTGACGAATTTCTTGAATCGTCCCGGGAGGAAACATCCGGTACACAGGCCTGTCTACATCCTTGTTCTCCTGGTCTTCAATCGGGTACCGATACTCTGGTGTGTCGTACAATTCCAACTGGAACCTTTCGCATTGGTAGATCGCGCTCGCGATCTTGAGGAGCTTTTTTGCACAGCCACGTTTGAAATGGCAGGTCTCTCTGGTCTGGAGAATGGGGGTCAAAAGGCATTAGAGCTGTTTTGCTTCAAGCCTACATAGACTATTCGTGGATCTCGATGGGTGATTGGGAAAGTTGGAAGAGTTGAAACTTACCCGGGAGTTTAGACTACGAATCTTCCGTCGAATATCTCTCATTGAAAGCGTCATCCCATTGAACGCAATTGACGCTCCTTCTGGATTCCGATCCATACAATAATCAAACACTAGATGTCATGGCGGGCACAATGCCATGTGTCAGGAACCTTATCCCTTTAAGCCGAGCTCCAAATCAAGGACTTACAATCCGCAACAACGTCATAAACCTTGTTGTACAACTGGTATAGCTCTCTCCGCTTATTCCTCGCTCTCGGGGAGTTGATCTTGTCATACTCTTCCTCCAATAGGACCGGCGGATAATGCCCTGCCCAATCCTAAAAGCGGCGAAAGAGCCGCCGGACCTCGACAAGTTCGAAATACTGATTGTTGGGCTCGACGTCGTCGTCGTCTTCGTCACCGAAAATGAACTTGAGTTGACAAAATCGCAGGTGGATAGCCATGTGAAGCATGAAGATATTTTCTCGCAAGGAGTCCGGGACATCACCGCGTGAGCTCATCTTGGAAAGGCGGTTGTTAGGGGGGCTGTGATGGGTGTAGTGGTTTGCTTTGCTTGGTTCGTAATGATGGCCGGCTAACTCGGAGGCTATGTTCCAGTCGGACGGGCCAAGAGCACTTTATTTCGTGCTCCAAGGGTCAGGATGAGTTTCTCGTTCCTATCCAACTGATGTGATTAGTTAGCTGTCGATTATCACCAAGTTGATCTGATGAAGGGCATGTTACCGACCAAGCTCTTTCCAGAACTCTATGTACGAACTACTATTTGGAATCAGAGCAATAACGGTATGACAGCGAACGTTGATGTTGGATCTTCGACACCGTGTTGTTATAATCGGGCGGACATAAGCGAACGTCGAGTGGTTGGAGGGAAGTGGGAGAGAAAACGCGGACTCAAGGGTTCCAACAGGCACCCCCGTTGCTTACTGTCTTGGTGGAGAGCATCAATTTCACACTCAAAGGGAAAGAACGGACGACGGGAAACGTAGAGGTACCGTGGGACCAGACACGGCAAGTCCAACCGGACGTCTGGTGGGTATCAACTACCCGAGAACCAAGTTTACGATTCCGGTTCAGGGAGGAGCAGGCGAAGAACCTTGAGCAATTAAACAAGGCAAGAGCATATGAGTCCATTGCTAGAGGTAGTCTGCCCGGCTAACAACACTGGCTAGAATACCGAAGCAAAACACGCTAATATTTAGAATGAGAGCTGTTCGAATATAAACACCAAACCTGTATAACTATTATACAACATGACAATGACAAACAAGTACCTTAGTGGTGGAGTGATGCAAAAGTCGATTCTTGGCCGTAGTCTTGTCGGTAAGTGAGTGAGTGAGTGAGTGAGTGAGTGTTCTTGATGGGTATCATTTGTCTATCGGTGGATTTGATAAGCGAGTGTGAAGTGGTGTTTATTAGACGAGGTAGGTAGGTAGATGTGACTCGTTTTCGCGAACCAGCCGTGGTACTGTATCCCAATCTAACCGGACCTCCCACTGAGTAGATGACCTCCAACATCCAGCCGAGCAAGTATGTCGTGTGCGTCGACGCGTCACGGGCTTTGGTGTGATAATGATGTTATGTTCGAACCGCCCGCCGCCTTTCCTCTCACGGCTTCTCTCCCTGCGGTCTGTTTGGTTCGTTCCCTCCGGTGTGGTCCATCCGGGACTCTTTCTTTCCCAGTTCCTCGGTCAAGGGTTTCTTCCTTTTCCCTTCTCTTCCTTCCGTCCGTCATGAAGGGCAACAAGCCAGCATCATCGCGCGCGCAAGGCAGATTCGTGCATGCTGATATTTGAATGTCGTCGTTCCCTCGCTTGCGTAACCCTCTTTCAGAATCCAACAACACCACTCTTCTCGTCGATGTGACGGAAGCGCTCCCTCTCCTTGCGCTCCTTCAGCAGACAAGCGGTAGCCACGATGAGGACGGCGTCGATACCGACCATGCCGAAGACCGCAGTAAATATGTTGTCGACCAGGACGTTGGCGAAGGAGTTGATGGGAGTCGCACAGGGACGCATGAGCGCGGCGGCGGCTGGGCTGGAGCAGATGTCGTCGGTGACGAAGGCCGGTGAGGTGCTGTTGAAGTAGCCGCAGCATTGGAACTGAGGTTCTTGTTAGTATAAGTGAAGTTACAGGTGAGGGGATGGAATGGATGACATACGGCTGACTGCATAAGCTGCTGGATCTCAGGAGTCTGGCGGAAATACAGCGGCGCAAAGTCCTCCTTAGTGGTGAGGGTCAGGATCCAGAGATAGAGACCGATGATGAGGCTGAAGATGCCGCAGACGGTGGTCATCCAGCCGCCCATCTTGAGCCATCCTCGCGCGGGGGTGATGACACCGGGGATAGTGAAGAGGAAAGTGACGAAGATGAAGACGGCATTCACGATACCAGCTATATCGAAGTTTGTTGCGTTAGCGATATGAACCATAGGTCAAGCAGCATTTCGACATGAAGTCACCCACCTGTGAGAGGAAACCTCTGGTACAAAAGGTTCCTTGCTGCTTGATGTCCTTCTGTAGGGATCTCGAACTGGATGTTCTGAACAATGACGGAGAAGGCGATCATGAAGATGCCCATCAAAAGGAAGAGGCCATCGGCGACCACATAGGCCAGAAGCACTTTACTCATTGTATTCTTTCTAGATGTTGTCTCGTGAGTTTGTTGTTGATGAGCAGCCTCAACATAAAAGACTCGGCTGCTCCCTTTGACTCAGTCCGAGATAGTGTTCTTTTCACGGGCTCGATGGAGTGTTTTCTTCTAGTGTTCAATATGAAAATGACGACCGGCGTCTTCGTTCGGGATGTCTTCGTAGTAGTGAGAGACTGTACGGGGTATAAAGGAGCGAAAGATAAGGTACCGGTGAAATCGACCTGCAATTCCAATCGCGGATGAAGAGTGCCAAGAGGCAAAAAGAAGCGAAAGATGGACTGGAAAATGGTATAATCTTTTGGTGTTTACCAGATCATGACATCGAAAGGAGAGGTCGACGCGAAAGACTACCTACCCGCCTAGATGACGAGTAATGGAAAATCCGGAGAATGGCACCCTGGACGGAAAAAGCGATTCTGAGCACAGCCACGAGAGAGAAGAGACGTTCCAGAGTCCAGACACGGGCCAAGACAGGCCAGACGACGGGGGGCATCCCACTTGGCGATGGCTTCAGGAAACAGAAACGACGGAAAGATGTTAATGTAGGGATATGAAAAGTGATGGCAGCACTACCATTGCGCGAGTCGCATCGGTTGCTTCAGACCGAGATCCATGTTGTAGGAGAGTTGCCTGTTCCTGACATGAGTCGTTTCAGATGTCGTTGAGTGACAGGGGCTCGGGCGGTTGAAGGGTCGTTGCCAAGACTCGCGGCGGTTAGGGATTTGTCCAAAAGCCCACGAAATCAGGGGATTTACAGCACGTGCCTCTACGCGCCCTGTGCTGTCTCTGGAAGAGGATGTTGAGGGCGCCAAATCTGGATGAATGTCACCAATCTGGGGACGGGAGTGGTGGACCATCAGAAATCGAACGACAGAACGTTCAACATATCAAAACCTCAAACAGGAGGCTTGCTTCATCTTTTTTTCAACCTTTGGACTCTCCTCTTTTTGTTTCTTTTACCCTTTCTTGACTCTATCGAACTTATCGAAACGCCGCCAAACACAGACGCTCGAATGCAAAGACCTGAAAGCCGAGGTTGACCTCTTTTCCTTCTTTTTTCAGGTTACACTTGGACATTGGTGGCGACGGTCTCGACAGCGACATTCATGCGAACACAAACAACTACCGCCGACCTTGCTGTGTAGCAGCTGGGCGAGATGCTGCTACGATCCGTACTCCGGACTGTACGCCGTCGAAAAAAGGGACACAGTTACACGGAAACTGCACCGCCGCGACGACACCGCTCCCACAAGCTCTAGACTTGAGCTCTGAGTATTGCCTCTGACCCATTGGCATCTGACCATGTCTTTGGATCTCGGCACGGATTGCTCTCTGACTTTGTCAGCCATGATTCTCGTCACTGGGTCAAGAAACCAAAACCGTCTGGAGTTGAGACTGGCTTTTAGCGATTGCGCTGATTGGCGCAGAGTCATTCCAACAACCCTCCGTACGCCGCAGCCGCCAGATATCACGGGGCTTTTCTTTGATTCTGTGCCTCGTTCGAAGATCAGCAACCGGACACACCGGGTTGAGAAGAAGTGCGAGCTGAATCAACTTCACTTGGTCTCTTTGTGTGGGTTTCGTTTTACCCACGAGGCTTTGATAGTGGCTATGTGACAGTCAGCGATATGTAGCCATCAGGAGAAGTGTACCACACTTGTCTTGTTGATTTGCTGGAGATACTTGACCGCCAACTTTCAGCTTCCAAAACCAAAGGATGGGCATCGACTCGCATCGACATCAGTGGGTCAAAATCATCGGCAAAAACTCCCGTCTGATGCAACTTGATCGGTGCTGTGGTGCTGCATCCACGCGGGCCATCAACGTCCGGTCGCCCGGTCTCCAGTCCCTAGCAACCAAGTGGAATTTTGAGGGAAACATGAAAGCAACTTTTGACGCTATCCATAAGCTTTGCCGAGTATCTCCAGACACCTCGGTCATTGTGTTTTTTGGTCGACATTTTTCACTACCTGGGCTTGTGATGATGGCCACTGACTGAATTTGTGAAGCCTGATATTTGACCGAAAGGGGAAATCTGTTGGCTGCTGCTGCCGGAGCCCGTCCGATGGCGTCGGTTGTCTCGGTGGCTTCATAGCGGCGCGGGTAGAGACGGGGCAAGTCTGTCCGATCACAGGACAAGCTGGTGTCTGCAAAAGTGCACCCGGCGATGTCTGCCTGCCTGGAAAAGCTCGCCTGCCACTGCCTGCCCTCGATGCCACTGCAGCCAAAGGTTGCCCCCCACCCGACGCGGAGACAAGGGGGGCCCCACTCCGTGGCTCTTGCACACCAGCCAATCAGAAGTGGCCTTGCTTCCGTAAGAAGAAGCTGCTGCTCATTTCCTGTTTTCAGCAACCCACTTACCCGTTTTCGACCACTTTCCTCCGCACTTTTCTCATTGTTCGTCCCTGCCGGCCATTGTCGTTCATCGCTTGCAGCTGTGTCTTGTCTCGTGCAAGTGCCACCGATGCGTCCTCTGATTTTTCTCTTTTCGATAATTGGCTTGTAAAGTTCATGATTTGACAATGGGAGTTGGAGGTCTGCGATGATGGCATCGTCGTCTTTTCCGTCTTCGCACTTCCTTGCTGGCTGTCAGTTTCCTGTTCCTGAACTGCCGTTACTCTCATCCCTCGTCCCATCCTTCAGCCTACTGCTGCATGCCATCCACACCTTTCCTATCCGAGGAACTTGTCGCTTGCCCTGCGGCGCTCGTGAAATCGATTATCGGCCATGGCAGATCTCACAAAAGAGAAGTGTCATCTCTTGACACTGTAACTTATCCTCTCATTAAACTCTGCATATCTTGAAGCCTCTCCACAACTCATCCCCCAACGCGGCCCCAATGTTGCTTGCTCAAAAGCTTGTCAGGGCAATCTCTCTCAGCTCGACGCTCTCTCCAGCAACCAACAAGCAGCGGCCGGCGGGTACACAGTCGGGGCCCGCCGTCTTTGCACGATGGCTTCAGTCAGGTCCAAGGTGAGGTTACATTGTCGACCCCAGCTCTTCTTCCCTTCCACTGTCTGAACCCACAAATCCTCCTCACACGCAATCACGCGCTATCGCGCACCCCCGCTTTTCCCATCCTTGCAGGCCCATGCCTTCACCAATCTTCAAGCACTGCGCGCGCGAGCCTCTCACCCCCCGGTCGTCCCAGGGGGTGGGGCACCAGTGGGCAACAAGGGCAGAGAGAGCGGCACAGTGGGAACAAAGTCCAGCGCAGTTCGTGGGCAACTCCACCGGAACGCGGCCCAGCAACACACTCGAGGCTTTTGTGGCATCTTCCAGCCCATCATCACAGTCCCCCGAGGCCCCCTATCTCTCGCAATTGGGGGAGGGGGGGGGCGTCTTCCGGACTGACACAATCATGAATTTCCACTTGCTAGCCTCTCTAGACACTTCTCGGGGCCGATTATGTACGCTCTCGCTCGCTCTCGCCAACCCAGAGACAAGCAAACTCCCCTGGCCCCGTGCCTAGCCGGCCCCATCAAGGAGATGGGTAAAAGGTAGCATGGTGTTCTTTTTACGTAGGATGGCTTCGACATAGCAGAATAACACCTGCATACGATACAGGTACCATGTCTGATCATCAAGGTACGCTGGCCGGTACGGTAATAGGACCCGTAATACTTTTACTGGATCACAAATGGACGGCCACATGAACTGTCCGAGCGTTGAGGATGCTGCACACCGAGGCGTTTCGTGGGGCGTGATTTCGTTTGATTATCGTTCCGAGAGTCTGGAAGAGTCAAACCAAAGCGGACGGACGGGAACATCCAGCCGTTGCGCGGCTGTCCATGGGAGGCAAGATTTCCCTTCTTGCCTCCGCCTCGAAAAATCAAGGGACTTCCAGATATTACGGTAGCAAAGGGCTGCAGAACGACATATTGCAGGCGGGATAATCATCATGGAGCATGCGCAAGTACGGGGTATCGACAATCAAATCGAGATCGTACAATACACACTCCACAGAGGCACTGACAGCGGGTAATTGCCAGATCTTGAACACCATCACCAGACCGATGACCTCCCAACAGATGCGTCATCCATCTGGTTCGATAGCTCGATAGTTCTCATTCTCGACCTCGAACGGCATACGTTATCAAAGAAGAAAAAGAAAAAAAAAGAGTAGACATCATCTGTCAAACCAAACTCGGCAACAAACTCATTGGACGTCACGGACCCCTATGTGGTTCCGGGCCCTTTGAGAACCCTTGGAGGTGGTGTGGGCTGGCCTGTCCCTGGCAAGCCTGGGAAGGGTTGGAAAGAGATGGGCTGGCTAAAATCTGGCGAACTCTTCCCCCCATGCAGAAGATGGCCCAGCTACAACCATTGAGATTGCTATCCCAGATGCAAGTGCCCTGCCGGATGCCTTACGCGAAAGAAATAGCTGCACTGTTGACTCTCGCTTCTCAGTGTTCGCATGCTCCTGTCATTTCAATTTTTCCACCATGGAGTTATCCGCCCACAACGGGTTTATGTCTCGGTTTTCGAAAACGGGAATTACAACAATGAGGCTGGTGAGGGAAAAAAAAAGAAAAAACTGAATTTAGTGTCCCAAGTTGCCCGGTTGCCCTACGGAAGACCATGAAAGAGCACCGAGCGTTTTGTGGTCTTACCTTTCGATGCCATGTATGTTTTCCCCCGCTGCAGCTTCATTAAGAGGGAAAAGAGACTGATGAATTACACTCACCTGGGGCTTTGGAGACTGATCTTTCAGCAAGCAGTAAAACTGCCTCATGTAAAAGACTCGGAAATATCAACAACTTGTTACAGCACCGCCCACACTGCATCTTCGGTCCGCCGCTTCAAACTCGGATCTCAAACAGCAACTCGGTCACAGTCGGTCCTCAGCTGATATGCACTGTGCATGAGATTCGCAAGTGGGCAGGCAAAAAGGCACAAAGAGCACCGGACGCCCTCAACGTCCCCCCTGCTGACGAAACCCTGGTTCATGGACCCCAAAGACAAGAAGCAGCACAGTGGGTTTTGAGAACAGCCCGCGCCGCCGGTCGACAGCGCCATCGCCGAGAAAAGGGACCTTTCAACCTCGAGTTCGTGCTTGTGTGCTTGGGGAATCTTTTGGGGTCATCCAAAGTCACCTGACAAAACTACTAACACCTCTGGCTCTGGCTTCACGAACCACGAACAGGGCCTCTGCTCCGATGCTCAGGGGAACGGCGGTTGAAGCGGGGCGGCGCCGTTGGAGGAGCTTCGTTCCATTCGTTCTCTGCCCGCTGCGAGAGCAGAGAAAGGTAAGGTAAGGTAAGCAATGAACGAACACCTCCATCTTCTTGACCCACGCCATACCGATTGCGCAACCCGTAGGCAGGCATGGCAGGGCATTCCAGAGACACGGGCACGGGGACCTCCAAATCTCGAGATACATGCCTTTCCTGGGAGAAGAGCAGGTCACGGTATGTACATACAGTATCTATCTTGATCACCTCAGTGCGTGCCGCTGGGCTGGGCTCTCCTCCTCACAATGGCCCCTAACATTGGTTTCACCACTGCAAAGTACTCTTGTTTCGTGCGCCTCGGAACGCGACAGTATCTACTTATTTCTGCAGCCACTATTGTAGGCAGGGCAAATTACCTTATCCTAGTCATCACAAGTTCGGTGATGGGCACAGGGCAGGCGACGGACGGGTTTATCGAGGATTCGAGGGTGGGCTGCATGCCCGTGTGGAAAAGGTGAGATAGGAAATAATGGGCCTAGGCATATGTAATGAAAAGGGGAAGTCTGGCGTTTGAAGGTGGTGGATGGTGGTGGATGTTGGCCGGGAACGCGAGCGAAAGCTGCAGCAACCATCCTGTCCATCTGTGCAGCTCCAGTGTTCATTGTGTTGTGTCGGTTCTTCTCATCACAGTGGGCATTTCTCAGTTTCCTGATGGAGCTTGCAAATGCTCCAAAGAATGGAGCCCGTTCCCCAGGCATCCAACTTGGAATCCATGGCTCCATCGTCGAGTCCGGGTCCGTGCGACGACAGGTACGGGCAGGTGCCTTGGCCCTAGATTGGCACGTGCGTGAACCAGGTACCTAATACCCTACCGCTCCCACCTTTTTGAGCAACTCGCACCTTTCCTCTCTCGGACAAAGTCTTGAAGCACCAAGCAACCAACCTCCTTCGACCTTGCAGTGCAGTGTGTACAAGTGCAGAAGAACAGAACGACTCTGAAAGAAGCGAATCCAAAGACGACCGTTGACTGTCAGTCACTTCCCTCCCTCCCGTCCCTGCTCTGTTTTAAACTGTGGCCCGTAGCGCGCGTGGTGGAAGAAGACGGTGGCACCAGGTTTCGCTGTCCTCTTTTCAATCACTCCGCAGTCGCCCAAGCCCATTCCAGGCAAGATTGTCAAGCTGCACCGACGAACTGCGACTGACTTCCTCAACAGGGGCAGAAGGAAACCCAAAACGTGCAATTACACTGCAATTTGACAGGTACGGTACAGGTTGAGGTAGGTACACACGCAGACACACACAGCAACAATCTGCCTTCTCTTTCAGCCGCTTGAGGTTTCCACTTCCTCGGTTTGAAAGCTTCCACTTCTCCTGCCTCACCTTCCACATCCACGCCGCATCACAATTCCCGTTCTTTGGTCCCGGCTCCAGTCCAGCCCAGTCATCCGTCCGTCCCTTTCTTTCAACGGCAAGGAATCCCACTTCCACGTCCCTTCCTTCCGAACCTTATCCCGAATAACCACGGTCAATCACTGTTCAAACACTACTGCACAAAGCTTCCAGGTTAGGTTGCCCAGCCTCGAGCTTCCCATCCACCATCCAGGCCCCTCTACCGTGTGTCTCGCACTGTCGCTCACCCACCTCTTTCTCACTGCAGGTCGATTATCAGCGGAGGCCCCTTGTCTGGAAAGATCCATCCTCTCCAGCCTACCCACCAATCAGTCACCCCCCAGTGCACACTCCCCGTCGTACGGATTACATACATACATACTTTTACCACTGCTCACTGGCACGCTCGTCGCTCCGCGAAATACCTGGACCGTCCACCCCCAGCAACCTACCCCCCAGGCTCAAGAGAAGTCAAACAAAGCAAATAAAAATTAAAAACGTGATTCCTCGCTTCCTTCCGCCGTCGGCACACACCAGACTCAATACAGTGCAGCGCCCAACCAGGTTTCTGCGACAAAAGGCAGCCTCTCCGCACACTCCAGATCAAGCCTAGGCCATCGGCACAACGCTCAAAACAGCATCTCCACCAATTCTACCTTTTTCAGCATCTTCGTGGTACCTTGAACCTCAAATCCCAAAATGGCCGACATCACCGATCAGCACGAACAGACCTCGCCCACCGAGCTCGACGAGGCGCATGCCGTGGGCAATGGCAATGTCAACAACAACGAGCCCCGCGGTGTCAAGCGCGCCCGCCCTGCCACGGCCGATGACGATGATGATGACGACGAGAAGGGCGGCCGCGAGCGCCGCAAAATCGAAATCAAGTTCATCAGCGACAAGTCGCGTCGCCACATTACCTTCTCCAAGCGCAAGGCTGGTATCATGAAGAAGGTACGTTTTGGGCTCTGAAAGCAAGCTGTCTTGACGACAAATTTGGATATACGCGTTGGCGCCGGCGGTCCATCGGCCGTGTATCCTGTGTATCTTGGCAACATGTCACTAACTTGGTTTTTGCTGTTTTAGGCCTACGAACTTTCTGTATTGACAGGAACTCAAGTACTGCTACTCGTCGTTTCCGAGACTGGTCTGGTCTACACCTTCACAACGCCCAAGTTGCAGCCTCTCGTAACCAAGGCCGAGGGAAAGAACTTGATTCAGGTATGAGCTACAACGCGCCTGGGTTCGCATTGAGCTTTGCTGACACTCTCTCCAGGCATGCCTGAACGCTCCCGAGCCCGCGTCTGCCGAGAATGGCGTGGACGACTCTAATGCGGTCGACTCGCCCGAAGAGCCCTCGAGCGCCCACCTGCCTCCCCAGCAAGGCCGACCTGGCATGCCGCCCCAAGGACACATGCCCCCCAACTACATGCCCAATGTCGGCGCGATGGATGCCCAGCAAGCGCAAGCACTGGCGTACACAAACTACGTACAACAACAAAGAGGTGGCCAATACATGCCTCAACCTGGTCTGCAGCAGCACGCCGGCCACCAGTCATAATAATACTCAGGGTCGGCTCTTTTCATGACTTCAGCTTGCGCGATAATACCCAGCATTAATGCATTCATGAAGTGTCATTTCCCCCATTCGACATCGTTAGGGTGCCCCTCGTCGTTACGCACGAGGGTTTTGCCAGCTCGGCGTTCAGTTGGGGTGTTTGATACTGTTTTTCATCTCTTTCTAACAACTTCTTGACGGTCCTTTCCCTCAGTTTCGAGTTCCACGGAATTCATCTCATACCCTCTATATCCCAACTCTGCCCAGGGTTAATCGGTTGAACTACATGATTGGTTTGTGTTCGGGGCAGGAAAGGTCGATTTGCCCTGGAGACCAGTGAGCATTTGGGCCCGTGAAGGGTGGTACATGCGAGCATTCGCAATGGGGCGGGGATCGGTAACGGTGTGATGTACAAATGGCAATGTCATGGGATAAAGGGGAGGCTTATGTGCGGATGAGACGGTGGCGTCGGCTTGGTTGTGAACTTGGCGCCTCGCATTTTCTGCGTTTTCTGGCCAGAAGCGGTTCTCGACGTTTGCTTTGGTAAAACAAGGTTCATGTCAGGGGGCGAGGCACGAAGTTACGACCCATGAACGCTTTACGTTTACGAATCGAACTGCGTCAATAATTTGTTCAGTTTTTGTTCTAGTGTTCGGCCTTGCTACGGGCTGATACTGGCGTGGCTTAGTATGACAAGAAACTGTCTGCTTTCTCCGCTTGACCATCATCCTCCGCCGCCTTGGGCCCCGTTCGATTCGGTTTCTGGTGTTCTATGGCGACTCTTGGCTGCGTTTGCTATGCTCCAGGAGAAGAGGACGGGTGGTTTCCTCTCTTGGACCTTCATCCTCTGAACGTGTCCCCTGTGTCAGGCGGGAGACAATATGGGGAAGAGGACAAGGACAAATATGGGGGGTTTGATTTTTCGGGGAAAAGAAAAATGAAGGTTTAACCGTCCACCTACTTGTATGATATAGCGATGTTCCCATTCTCAAAAGCCACAATATCTTCATGTCACATTTTTGTGTTTTTAAAACGAACAGAGATCATCCATCCACTGCCTGTGTGACCTATCCATTCCGGGATGAACATCAAGATATCGAGTCTGACTAAGAATCGGATGGATTTGTCCAAGACAGGGAAGGCTCGGTGATCAGACCACCAAGCTTTACCCGTTTCCCGTGAAATCTCTCTCAACCCAGCATACCCAGAATGTGGTTTCCACCTCGAAATACCAAAGGAGGAAAGGTGAAGCGGGAGCGGGAAATATTGGATCATGGATCACTCAACGAAAAATTCAGCCCTACCCGCGCTGCCGCGATGCAGGCAGGAACAACCCGTTCGCGGGTTTCTTTTCCGGATCGGATCCCGCTCGGGAAGGATCAGAATCGGCAAAACAGAATGGGCCGCCAAACAGAATTGCGACGGTGTTCCCCCCCCCCCCACCTTATCTTCTCTCTGCTGCACTTTGGTTGTTGCGTCGACGAACAATTGCCTGACTTCCCGACTTAAAATTCGTCTGCGCTTCTTGCCGCGCGCGTTCTTGGCTCGCGGTTAGTTCGATGTCTTCTTTGGGAAATATGCTTTTATGGAAATTTTTCGCCTTCCCCCCACACTTACAAATCAGAGGATCAGGAAAATCGATCGGACGAACAAAAAAACTGCACATCATTGACATGCTCGACTCCATAATGCCATGGCCGAACGTGCCTGGGGTGCCAAATGCACGACATACTTGGCCAGCTAGCAGCAACAGCAGCGATGACGTGCCTTCCCGCCCCTGCTTGCTTTTGACAGAAACACATTGATACACATTGCTTGACGGTCACAGGAACAGGGCAGCGCAGCGCATTCACATGTGGACATGACATGGCAGCAACGGTAGGTAACGGTAATGGACGCAGCAACATTCGGGAATGTAAATGCAAAACTACTGCGGAGAGTCATATACGCGCAGATACGCACATAGAAGGAAGTACAGATACACATATGTGTGCAAGGGGAAGAGGAGCGGACGGAAGAAGCTAAACCGTTGTTGGATTAAATCCGAACGAGCATGGCATTTTGGGAGTGGTAGGTAGTGATCAACGACGTCATTTCTTCTCGACTTTGACTTTGAGTTGACATGTCCTGATGGGGACACGAGAAATATTGTAAGTGTCCGTTTTACCAACCGCGGGGAATGCGGATGCTGTGTGTGCATTGTGCTTGTGATGGAGAGTCGGGCGTTGATGGAATTGGTTCCAAGCACCGACGAATTCCAGAATAGTAGGAAGGGGAAAAGGAGGAAAAGATAAGACCAAAAGAAAAGAAAAAGAAAAGAAAAGAAAAGAAAAGAAAAAGAAAAAGAAAAAGAAAAAGAAAAAGAAAAAGAAAAAGAAAAAGAAAAAGAAAAAGAAAAAGAAAAAGAAAAAGAAAAAGAAAAAGAAAAAGAAAAAGAAAAAGAAAAAGAAAAAGAAAAAGAAAAAGAAAAAGAAAAAGGTCGAATGTCGGGATGAGATGACCAGAAAAAAAACATCAATAGGAGGACCAAAACAGAACACAGCACAGCACAACACGGGGGCATCAAAAGCGCAACAAGACAGAAAGAAGAAGACTGGAAGGTCAGATGGGGGTGAAAAGAACCAACAAGAAAAAATTACCCCGAGGAAATTACCAGAAAAAAAATAAAATAAAATTACATGCAACCAACAACACAGGTTCGGAACGTGTTAACCCAAAAAGAAGACAGAACGGAACGGAATGTTTTCCCGGAAAGTGAACCAGACTGACGGATAGGAAAACAAATCGACATCCCGAAATCCGATAATTTCTTCAACAAAATAAAAAACCTCTTGTTGAACCTCAGAGTCAAGATATCTCGCCCCCCTTCCCTTGCCTTAACTCATTCACCTCACTTCAGCGAATTTATCTTACTTAACACTTAAGCGGCGTTGTCAGGTCGTACTACTAGTACCCCTTCTCTGGAGTCTGTTGACTGGTTCACTCAACAGACCGTCTAGTTCAAGGAGGTGGGTTGGACAGTGCGATTGCCGTGGTGGACTTGAGGGTTAGGATTTTGAGATGAAGATGAAGGTTCAGATGAAGGTGAAGGTGCAGATGAAGGTGAGGCATGGTTAGATGAAGATATTGATGGTATCAGAACAGTTATAGATTTTTTTTTTTTCTTCACAAAAGGTAATGTAAGTGGTGGTTGAGTCCTGTGTAATTCTCCTCTCCCACTTCCCGCTTCCTGCGACGGGAAGGAGAGAGATTGGTGTTGAACATGTAGTAGACTAGCTACATAACTCAACCGATTTTCTTGCAACTTGCCCGCGAGTTGCTTTCCTGTCTCTGTGCTTCTGCGGTAGGGACTGGTTGACCCTTGATGGGTACTTACTGAGTGTGCTGCGTTTCCAAAAGAGTGTGGTGTTTGTCCCTTCCATACTCCTTCAAACCCGAATTCCCGTTTCTTGATGACATCCTTCCAAAGAAAATGTGTAAGTCCCGTCGATGTGAGCTCCCTCGTCCAGCGAAGAGGGTCGTCTCTGAATAGAGCCAAGTCACAACTCAGCTCCACGGGCTCCGGCGGGCTTGGTTAGTGCCCGTCTTAGGATATAGGCTCCCAATCAGGTACAAGCTTCTTGAGGTGGCGTTTCCAATAAAGCATGGGCGGAGCCGCTACATCCTTGTTCCGAATGATCTCGAATAACTTGAAGGTCATTGCCTCACGCTCGCGGCGCTCGCGCTCGCGCTCGTCCTCGCTCTTCTCCTTGTCCTTGTCCTTGTTCTCGTCCTCGTCCTCGCTTTCGCACAACGTTTTGTACACCACCCTATTCGGATCCTCATCTTTTCCATCGTTCGGGGCTGTGTACAAGCCTGGCCCGAAGTCTTCCAGTCCGAACTGGAATTTTTCGCATTCGTAAACCTGGTGAGCAATCTTCAAGAGCAGTTGTACATACTGCTTCTTGATAGCATCTTCGGTTCGCACCTGGGGCGTTGTGATAAGTTAGATTCGTCATCTTACTCCAAGAGAAGGATAAAGATTGAACAAGACATGTGTTTCTCACCGGTTGAGGAGTGGCTTTAAGAGGCAGACGTTGCTTTTTTTTGTCATCATCGCTTGACGAGTCCGAGTCATCATCGCTCTGCGAGTTCGGTTCATCTTCGCTTGACGAGTCCGCAAAGTCATCCTTCCATGACATGCTCGTGAGCTTAGCGACTGTCCACCACGAGTCAATTGAGAAAGTGGGATACTTAGTGCCAATACACACTAGGTAACGTCAAATAAGAATTGTTAGCGCCTCTCCTTGCTCTCCTTGGATTCGGCTAGAGGATCCTTACAATTCGTAGTAGCATCGTAAAGCTTGTTATACAACGCCAACAGCTCCATTTTCTTGCCCATCATGCGCTTCGTGTCGTACTCTTGGCCGGCCCTCCAGGGTTTGTATGTTGTAGCCCACTTATCAAATCTAGTCGACAAGCGTTTACACTCTTCCCATTCGTGTTTCCACTTATGGTTCTCCATGTCGGTACTGCTTGAGGGCTTGAGCTCGAAGAAGGAGTTGAGAGCCGAGAATCGACGGTCAATTCTCCTGTAGAGCTTCCGAAGATCTGTTCTCATGCTGGGCTGCGGAAAGCTTGACATCTTGAATGCTGATTTGACGATGGTCGCTACTTAGAAAGGTTTGACTGTGTTGGTCGAGGAGCGCGGTGGTAAAATGCTTGATGCTGCCGGCCATATTTTCCATTCTGTCGGAAATGATGGCAACATCTTATACTCGAACATCCTGATTGTCCACCAGTATCTCTGGTAAGCTTTTTATACACCCGGAGAAGAGATGTCGCCAACCAAGCGCTGTCCGCCGTCATTGTTCCCAACATCTTCCCTCGATCAGGTTGGATCTTGTAATTTCGGAGGCATCTTGCAAAAGCCTCCCTGTGACCATGGGCAAGGTAGAAAAAAGAGAACACTCCGCAAGTGTCGGTGTTCTTGAAAGAAAATGGGGTTCGGAATCGGATCAAAACTTCCAACAGACACTCTTCCCAGTCATTGCCTTCGTCACCAACATTATCCGTCTTGAAAGCGGGTTTCGGCCGCGAATCTGGTGCACCTAAGTAGAAAAAGTGTGTCAGTTCCGAGGAGCCAACAAGCAATTTTCTACCATCCACATGACACCCACGTCCCAGGAGAATTATCAAAGAGAAGAATGCTCTCAACCAGCCGGACATTGAGCAGATATCTTACAACCAAATCGACTCCGATATCATTTCAGCCTGTAGAATGGTTACCTTACCCGTAAACGGATGGAATAGCATCACCTGCAATTATGTTTCTCAGTAATGGTAACTGGGGGCAAGATCGGTCAATCTCCCCAAAACCTCCAGGTACTCGGCTTCTCAGCCGTGCGCCGTTGGTGGCGCTCACCGACGTGACTTGTGGCTAGAGTTGGCGGCTCAGATTTCTCCTGTCGGGTTTTCTACATCCGGATTGTAGAACACCAGGTACCCAACCGCCCGCCCCCCATGACGGAAGCGACTATGGAGGATGAGCGGTGTTGTAGTGGCCAAACACGGGAAGTTGGTGATAGCGCGGGTACATGTCCCGCCGACTGCCCCCCTGTGGGGAAACCAGCAACACCGGTCGTCGTTATAACTTCTCTCGGATTTGATGATGTTGGCAACGAGAGTGGAAGCATCGGTGTTCTTAGTGATGTTGATAAACACAACATGCTATTTTTGGTCATGTTGGTCGCTCATGAGACGTGAAGTGTGAATGAATGTCAGTTCCGGCGGTACGCCCAAGCAACAGCATGGTACCTTTTGCTGGATATATCAATGTGAGCCTGAGATCTCTCTCATTAAGATCTGGAAGCACCGGGATTATGAGCTTCATATCTGAACGGCTCGTTGTTCGACTGAGTCTCATAACTCGGAGTAAATGCACCTGGAGATTAGGTGACGAAGAAGGCTCATAGCATCGGATCGAGGATGTTTATGCGAAAAGGCATCAGGGAAGTTGGCTGTAAGCAGGCGTACATCTCAAAAATGGAAAGCAATGCTTGAGGATTACCTTGTCTGGATTCGAATGAGATGGGTCGACATTACCATTTTTGGCTGGGCATCGTACCACCGAGACACTCGCTCATCCCCTGCCCAAATTCTATGAAGACAACTTCAGGAGGAAGGCATGGAGGGCACTCATTTACGACATTGGTAATCTGTCGTTAATGGGGAAGGAACAACTCACTTGTCAGCGGAGAAATAGCTTTCAGGAAAAGAACGAATAAGGCCATGAGTTGCGTCACTTTAGCCTGCCTCTAGAGGTAGTCCGTTGTCAAGTCCTAGCGCTTTGCGCTTCCCTGATCAGTGAATTTGATCAACAGGCGCGCCTTCCAGGCCGTCCGGTGTCGTCGACGCTTATGATCCGTGGAAATGAAGACGCGGCATGCCGTTCCGTCTGGGGTTCGTGGGTTGGGTATGTTTTTCTTTGACTAAACCTCAATTCATGCACATCCCTTGACTGAATTGCCGACCAACGATCGATCATTCCGCGTCAACCGCAACTGTGACACCGGTTTTGGGAAGTTTACAAATGTGAACATGACTGTTGGCGATCAGATCTTTCTTTGCGTAAGGAGCGCGAACCTCCGAGATACCTTACCAACTCCAACGTTGGAAACATACCTTATTCTGTAAACCTTAACGTACGAGCAATATGTCGGATGTCTTTGTATGGGGCTTAAATCCGTCCGATCGGTGAGCCATAACGGGATACCTGAAGTTTTGATGTTCAGAACTGTATTCGTCTTGTTTCCTTCTTTACTATGTGAAATACGAAGGGATAGCCTGGACATATGTTGGTGAACGGAGCTTTACTTCCAGCGGCACATCAGCATGATAACCCGCGCTCTGGTGGATGCCTCAATATGTGACTGTGCCTACCGTAGAGACTCGCGAACTCGGCAAAAAGCTATCCCTCTTTGAGCGCCGGACATATGGCAGAAATCTGCCAGAAGTATGCCCAGTAAGCATGTATATGCCAGCATATGTGTCTATCCAGTTAGTGAAAACTCGAGGACATTGCCCATCACTCTAACTTGCGTACATTTCAATACATGGGGCCCGGCCTGATCCTGCCAGCTACCTGCACAGATATGCCATATGTCCGGCGCTCAAAAAGGGATAGCTTTTTGCCAATTTCGCGAGTCTCTACGGTAGTTCACTTGCAATGCAGACAAGGCTGCAAGTGCTCGCAGCAGCGCCGGAGAGCCGCGTTGGCCGCTCGGAGATGAGTTCTTGGTGCCGAGATCTTGGTGATGATGGGAGAACCGGTGGTTGACTGAGAGGATTATGGCCCAAAGTACCAGGTGCGTTTTGGAGCAAGGCTTCCGAAGTTAAATGGCAGTGAATCCTCTCCCACAACGACGAGATTGGTATCTCACGCATCGCATATTCTTTCTTCATATCTTGGAATATACTTGCAACAGTTAGTAACATCTGCTCCATTCTCTAGGTACCGTATCAGGACGATCATTCCCAACATGTCGATCCCCCGAATGCCAGATGGCAGCAGCTTCTATTTCTCTTCAATATCCGAAGTGTACATGGCAGACACCAGGCAAGGTCTCAAGCAAGTGTGGAAGTTGCCGGTGCATATGACCAGCCCCAACGCCTTCCAACCAACGATTCCACCGACTATGGGAGAGGCAGAGGATATTATCCGGCGAATGGAAAGATATGACCAGATGGACGGCAAGAGGAGAGTGTGCACCGCCCTTGAACTCTATTATGAGCAGGCAGGAAAGAAGTTGAACAACGAGCCCGGGAAGAACTTTCAGGCTCTTTGGGACCAGCTCGTGGCTAGTGCCCAAGAAGGTAACAACCTACCCCATGCATCAATCATCATAAGACTACTAGAAGAAATGTCTGACAGATGGCGGCTTGACACAGTGGCAACAGCGGTACAAGATGCGATAACCAACAGTAAGAGGTATGAGCGGCCGATAGAGTGGGCGCAGCTGCGAGTGGATAGCAAGCTCTGGGAGGCGAGGTGTGCCTTGTACGCGATCGAGAAATGGGACCTCGGACTTGAGAATCAGGGCATCAAGAAATACGAACCCGACCAATGCTACTACAAGCTACCCAGGTGTAGAATGCAGTACCCGGAGGAGGAAGACCTAGAAGTCTACCAGCCGCTCATTCTGCACCGGAACGGAACCATCTGAGCCACCACACCAAACGGTTCCCGCCAAAGCATACGACAGGATCTGCTGGTAGGAGAGGGTTGTTTGTGCACAAAAGCGTGGGCTCCCCGCATAGCAAAGCAGCACGCAGATTGACGGGACGAACCTGTTAAGAGAGAAGCAGTTGAGGATCACAGAGTTCTGCGTTTTCCTTTTCATCCTGGTTTTCCTAGGAAGGAGTGTCATTGAGGGGATCGGGCTTATGGGATGGGATTTGAGGCAGCGAGAAAGGGGGAGCGCTGAAACGACGCGCGCAACACGCTCATTTTGAAGTACTGTCAGTCACTCGTTAGGAGAGAGGAAAAAACGACTTGCGGGCGAGTCGTGGAAAACCGGTTGAGTTTGCACCTGTTTAGGACTTTTCACCTTCCCTTATGAGGTTGGAGAAGAATAATAGATGGAATTCACCACCAGATGCATGTTTCATCGCGTGATGTTTGTTGAGTTGAATCCGGATTTCCGCATAATGATGGCCGAAAATTTGACAAAATAACTGTAGCCGGCTCGGCGCAGGAGGGAATTTATGGGAAAGCCGGACACGGACACGGAGCCGGAGCCGGAGCATGGCCGGGAATGGATACATGACCGGAAGTCGTCGTCGGTGTTCGTGGAAGGAGCGGAGGATTCCAAATCATTACCTACGCCAAGTGGGGTCACGGTCGGCGGGTGGAGCAGGGGTGGGGATCCAGCCACTGACCGACCATCAAGGTTGAGTTGATTTGAGCAGATTTTGTATGCATGGCACCCATGCTAGCGCTGTCAAAAGTACAGGTACCTGCCATGGCCGCAGCACTATCAGAAAGCTTCCTTTGTTGACGACTCCAAGAACCTTTGAGAGTGATGGACAATGAGCGCTGGCGATCGTGTTGATGCCTATTATGACTCCTGTGATTAGTTCTAGGCAGTTGTCGTCCTGTTGACCGTGTTTCCACGAGCTATGCCAAACCGTTTTCATGACCTCCAATTCTGACCAGATTACCCCCCTCCGAACTCCATAGAAAATAGACAACCGCAAACCGATGAAATGCCGATCAAATGCTAAACTCCCATGCCCAAAAAAAAACAAGAAAAAAACCAGAAATTCATATCGACAGGCCACGTTAGTGACCCGTCTGTGTCGCGTAGCGGCCGCATAGAAGACTGCCGATGAAGACCCCGCCGAGCACCGAGATGAAGTATCCGACATTCATGGTCATGACCGCCAACATGCTGGAGACACCATATCAGTAAAGTTTAGGACATGGAGAATTCGGGCAAAACTCACAGAAGATAACCGACCCCAGCAATAACCGTATCAAGCACCGCACGAATCGGATCTACGCTCAACCTGAACGGGCGCCCTTCCGCTCCATGCCTCTGAACGACCGTGACGTTCTCCTCGACGCCGTTGCCGCTCAGCACCATGGGCTTCGCCAGTGAATCATTGCTGACCCTTTCGGCCAGCGTTCCTCGTCCGGCAACAACGACGTAGCGGCGCTTCATCTCGGCGTCGATCCATCTGTTCTCCTGCCAGTTGCGAAGGGCCAACAGACCGCGGAAGATGGCGGAGAAGACAATGAGGAAGATGCACGTGGCTGCGTAGGTGCCGGTTGTCTTGGGCGTCCAGGCTTCCGAGTAGAGGGATGTGGCCATCGAGTTTTGGAAGACGGCCATCATGCCGTGCCCGCTGGCGCCGGAACTTGTGCCGGAGCCCATGTCCATGTCCATATCGTGTGTGTGGCTCATTTTGATGGATTTTGATATTGAGGTCTTTTGTCGTCGAAATGGTGTTCGGCAAGACTGGCGGTGGGAATTGCAGCGGGAAGATGAGTGAGTGTGCGACAGCTCTGATTCTTGCTGGCTTCGATCGCGTCTTTCCTTGGTTGGGGCCAAACAACTGAACGAGTGACGAGAAGGAGAAGAAGAGGCTGTGCAGAGTTCGAAAGACCGGAGCAGTCGCCCCTTTTGCACGATTGAGCAGTTCGTGCTTCGTCCGATCGTGTCAGAGAAACATGCTCACCTTGAGCGGCACGTTGGAGGATTGGCAAGTGGAGTGTAACCCTGCCATGTGCTTGGTTGCTTTTATGTCTCTTCAGTCAATATACTAACAGAGCTACACCTAAAAACCCTAGTAGTCAGTTAGTACCTGTTAGCATAGAACACCTGAGTACTCAGCACTAAGAGAAAGCGGAACCCGCCGCCAACGTACAGGTACTCGGTGTAGGGTAAATCCCAAACACTTGCACGCAAGGGCCGGCCCATTACCTATTTTGCTCTTTCCGTGCCTGTTTGCATCTCTTGTTATCCGTGATATCAAACACCGACTTCTGCTTGCAACAAACCCAACACTCTTTGCCCAAATATCAACTTCTCCCCGAAACATCATCTACAATCCCGCAAAGCACAGCAATTCGACCTGTACCGGCAGCTTCCCTTTGTACTGCTCAAAGAAGTTTCATGTGACGCGGGCGAGAACTTGTGATCGCACCACTCGGCCCAGAATATCAACTAGGGAAGGAAGGAAGAAAGAAGAAAGAAACGAAGGAAAGAAAGAGGTGGAGGAGGAAGGAGACTGTTATCAATGAAAGGCAGGAACGATAGTTACGGGCGGGGTGACGGCATCTTCTGCTCCTTATGGCCGTGTCACTTCTCGGGTTCCATCGACATTCAACATCAGCGCTGTTAAACTTCACTGCCCACAATCCATGCCAACTTCCTCCGCGTCGACCAAATAACAACGCGCCCGAAACATTGCGTCCGAACCGTGCCCTGCCGACCCCTCGCGATGTCCACGCACCTCGTCGTCTCTCGGGCTCGCAGCCGCTGCAGCTACTGCACCATAGGGCGTTCCAGCAAAAGTGCCATGGTGCTCTTACAGTTACCCTTTGGGGGCCTGATCTGCCTCGTTCCTATCACTCTCTGCGACACGCGCTTGTCGAGCCGGTGATCTGCACTGTTCAACCCTTCTCTGGCAAGGTCGCCCGAATGGTCGCCGACTAGCCTCATGTGTCTGGTCTTGTACGGGCAATATCAGGCAAAATAGCCCTTCGACACCGGTGTGTACCTGGTACTGTGGATATGATGATCACATCGCTGACGACCACTTGGCAGAAGATACGGGACTAGGCGTGACAAGGTCAGACAATCGGAGTTCCGGGTACCGCAAATGCAACCGCCAGTGCATCAAATCCAACCCGATGTCCCAGTGGGACGGATCACAGCCGCGAGACACCATCGACAGAGTCTAAATCAACGTCGGGCAAATCCAACCTCCGCAACCGCCTGTGTTGAGATACCACAATCGGCTGCCGTTGCACAACTTACCTGGCCAGAGCTTCTCCAGGACATCCGGCCTCCATGTGTTACCTTTGATACCAACATCACCACTGCCAGCGAATTTTATTCCTTCTCGATGCAGCCAACCGATCTCCGTCACAACGGCGCGTTCGCATTGTGCTTGGTCCTAGTTCACCAGGCTGCACTCAAGCCTTGACTGCTCTCCCTGGTCAAGACGCAGGGCTCCGGCAGCAATGGCCAAATCTGCGACACTCATCAGAGCCAAACCCTGGGACAAAGTTTCTCGGAGACGTTGCATTTTCTCTCGCCGGGGAGCCAGAGCCATGCCAGCCTGTGCGACTGTTCGCAACTTTGTTAGTCATCAAACCGCACTTTATACTTGAGTCCGATGTCAGAGTTGCTGACTTACACTCCAGCAACAGCATCCGGGCAAGTGCTTTCTCCTCCTTGGGTTCCATTCTCCAACAAATTGTCGTTCACATAACGCACACATATCCGATGAATGATATTTTATCTTGACCACCGACCAACCGACGTGGTATCAGCAAACCTATGGGAGTGTCTTCGGGAGATCTGCATAAATAAGCCACAAAACCCGGGAGGGCGTTATGCGGCGGTCTTAACACTGAGATCTGGATATGCTCTTGTCAAAGCCACAGCATGCAGAGAACTGCTAAACCGCCTATGGTCCCGCCATATCAGGAAGCCACCCGCCATATCCAGATGGACTCGTGCGCCGAAAACGGTGGTTGAGCAGGAATGGCTGGTGAACGGAAGACGAAGGCCCAAAGTTAGGCGATGATTGAAAGAATGGGGGGTTACATCGCATTTGCTCTCGCCGAAGCTCGCTCGCCAAACGGAAACAAGTCCGTCCAAGGCACCGTTATCCGTCCTCGTTTCCCACTCCGGATAGCTTGGCAAGACATGGCAGCCATAATCACGACATTTCCTGCTTACCATACCTCCCACACCACACATATTCGAGAAGGGGCGTTAGCAGCGTACTCGATTCATCCTGAAAGCCCCATGGGGGGGCATTCAGTTTCCATTGGCAGCATGGACGCTTCACAAGTCCGCAAGCCCGCCGGTTCAACACTCTTCAGCGGCAGTTAGATGGGCGGCCGGTCTCCTCAGCCAATCTGCAAGCCTTCACTGCGTGAAATGAGCAGTTATGGGTGCACTGAGCCTTTGTGCCAATGGTTTTGGCTCTTTTTCCACACTCGCCGTCCAGAAAAGCAATACTCAAGATCGCACACAGTCCAGTTATCTGACGATATATCTTCACCTTCGGGTAGCGACCTACACATGGACGCAGGGGCATGTCGAGGACCGAAGCGAAAACAAGACATGCGAACCCGAGACGCTCGAGAGCGGCGAGAGTGACTACAAAGAGGGGAAGGGGAGCAAATTGTCGAAATGTGTGACCTCTAGACACACCGTGCGAAGGAGAGTGACGAACGAGTTGCCATGTACATTGGTCAGCCCAATCAACAATAGGTCTGCTGACGGGGGCGTGAGGATAACAGCTTCCATCAAGTGATGGTGACGGACAGAAGAAGGTCGATTCATTGCAATCGCCCCTTTGTGGACTCTCCGATTTCTTTTGGGCCATGAAACGGAGATGGCCGGTAGCCACCCGCGTGCCTTCAACACCCGAACATTGACAATGACCCGCCGGACACCCACACTTTTTGATGTTTGGACTGAGAACGGTTGCCATCACTTCCTGATCTGGGCGGGCTGAAATGCAAGTCGCAGAGCGCCACGGCTTGCCGCCCTCCACCGCGAACCAAATTCCTGAACCCTGCTTACCGGCATTGCTGCCCCGGGCCAAGCCATGACCTTTCATCCCCTCTTTCTGGATTCTGCTTGCCACTGGTTAGTGTTAGCGGCTCAGAGTCCTCCCCAAGCGGAATCGCTTGCATTTCTATCGTGGGGAGAAGAACTGCAGGTGTTGGGACTTTTGTCCGTCATATCAAGACATACCGTGCTCTTGAATGGTCAGAGTCTTCCCAAAACCATCTCATCGAGGGTTCTTGGGTAACACAATCTTGGTTTCATAGGCTGCCTTCCTTTTTCTGGGTGGTTTCTTACACATCCCATGCCGGGAGTGACATAGCCGATCAATAAACGGGACGGCTTCCCTGCTTCGTGCTCACCACCCGTCGTCTTCATGCAATATCATGGACTGTCGCTGAGCCTCACGAATCACAAACTCATCGATTCGCTTCAGCCGCAATGTTAGCATTATCCCTTCGAGTCTTGACGAGTGTCTTGTCCGACAGTGTGATTACCTGAGGTAGTCATCAAGAAGTGCAGAAGCTGGACCTGCCTGCCATAAGAATATTACACCGGCATTCGAATAGGTTACACTAACAGGGAAACAACTGTCAAGGCTGACTAACTTTCCTAGTGTGGTCAAAGTTGTTAGGCGCCGCTGTATGTCTGTTCTAGACAGACGAAACCCACATTTCTTAAGCAGAACTCAACGTATGCAAGTGCGCAACCAATCCCAAGTTTTCTTGATCCTTGCAAGGATCGTGAATGGGTGTTTGTTGTATGCGTGATGCACTTCTGTGCATACACAGTACCTACGATGGGATATTTCTGGGACCATTCACAACATTCCGACATCCTTCCAGCCCGGTCAAGCGTCACCGGGTCTTCAAACCGGGGCGAGGTCATCTGGGAAAAGGGGGTTGCTCCATCTTCTTGCAGGATCTTCGTGGGGGAATGGTAAGAAGACTTGGTCAAGGTGCGAAAACCGGGAGTTTGATTGATCTTCACTGTTCGGGCTGCCAGCTTCACTTCCCCTTATTCAGACCGGCCCATCCATGTCACTTTGTGACTTGAGTCTGATTGAGGATTGCAATGGCCAAACCTGATCCCTTGCTTTCAACCTCAAGGGATAGGAACTTTGTTGACGACAGTCACCCATTCCAAGTGGACATTACTATCTATTCATTGTTCACGTCGTGTGGGGATGCTGCTTGCTTGCTTATCGAGCAGTGAAGACAGAGTGGCATGAGCATGGGATGCAAAAACCCACAGGACTGATGGCTCTCCTTTCCGGTTGTTAGATTCCCAACAGGTTAAAGAAACATTATTGGGTGTGTGGTACGAAAATCGAGATGCTCGGTCTTCAATACTCGGCTATCAGCTGTGAAACTAGAGTGTATTCATAACAGGCGGTCTAGTGATCGCTGAGAATTCTCCAGACATCAGAAATCGATCAGTTGCGAGTTTCGGTGTTTGGTATTTGATACGGCTTCTAGAATGAACAGCTCTAAGCGGAGTCCAAGCATTTGATTGACTGTGTGTTCCAAACGAAGACCGGGAAACTATCTCAGGATGATCACCATGAAGCCTCAATGTACTGCTTTTGTTTATTTTCAAGATTCTTAAGTATCTATTACCACTCCTTCTCGTATCCTTTGCTGTTCCTACGTCTAGTGATGATGATAGTGTTCTATCGCCATGCCGTCTCACCATGGAGTAGGGGTAGGACAGCCCCTTCGTTGTGGACCAAGGCCAAGGCGCAATACTCCCAGGCTGCAGCGTACGGAGGAACTTGGAGACATCTTTGCGAGTTGAGGCTCGTGTGTTCCGTTGAGACTTGCACTTTGCGACTAAATACTTGCCGTTCCAATCGTTTGTCAGCACTTGCTCATCAGGCTGGGGACTAGAAGAATGTGAGTACCGAAAACATATGACCAAAAAGCTCACAGGACTGGATAATCTCACCAACACATCTGAGAAAGTATTCGCCTAGTAACGTTATTAAAGGAAAGAAAGCCAGTGCTCGGGGCAATAAAAGCCACAACCGCCGAAAACCCCGTTGTGCGTGGCGGACGCAATCGAGAGAGGGAGAAGTGTGGCGGGCGCGCTGCTAACGAACGACGGCCTAACGGTGGCATAGCTGCGATAGCTGCTCCTCCCACCAGCTATCGTTCATATCTGGTCTATCATTCAATTTCTCTTCCCCGTTCTTCAGCTTTGCTTCGCGGAAGATCCTGGGTCATTTAGAGCAAAATTCCCCCGAGTGCCAGCTAGCTCTTGGCTCCGATCGTACTTGCACCACTCAAACGCGACAAAAGAAACCTTTGATGAGCGGTAATGCAAGTACTAACAGCTGGAAGTTCCAACTAATATTTCTTTCTTTTTCGTGGGGTTCGTTGGTTCGCAGACTTTGTGAGTGGAACGGTCGAACGGTCTGACAGTGCAGGCACAAGCGGTAAGTGGCTAGCTGAACACTAACGGCTTTCTTCCCGTTTTCCTTTTGCCTTCCCACTTATCTCAAGTTCTTCGATCTTTTTGTTCTCATCAAAACAGCGATAGCAATCGGCGTCAAATCATACAGCCTTTCTAGTTCGAACAGATATCGAGTGTCTCTGACATCTAGACCACTCGATCGGGACCGCCGGGGAACCAATCGGTCACTTTATAGTTAGTTTGACAATCTCATGAACCAGATCAGTCTCTGGTTATGTGTGCCCTTCTGGAGCTAAGATCCAGAACCGAGACCCGTGAGCCTGGAACCTGAAAGATTGGGCGACTGGACGGCATGGCCGCCGCTACCGCTCCCGCCGAGAGAGGCCCTACCTATCGCCACAGGGGGGGAACTGGGCTCGAACCAGTAAATAAAGACTCAGTCGATAGGGTCTGATCTGCGCTGTGTCAAAGAGTGGTAGCGAGTGCGGCTGTGGCTCTACACTAGCTAGCTATGTTCCATCCCACTGGAGTGGCTCAAGACTGGGTGCCAGACGCTCGCTGACAAAAGTCTTATGGTAATGGAACCGTCTGTTCCTGGAATCGTATGCTCTCGGGACCGCTAGTAATTGTAGGATGCTGCGTTGGTAGAATAGTGCTATGTAAGATAACATCGTCCTTGGGCTTCCATCTACCATCTGCTGATTGATACTATTGTGAGAGCTTGTAGGTACATAGGTGAGGTAGGCTAGGTAGGCCGTTCGCTGTCTCCATTGCTCTTTCCATTCCTCTTTCCATGACTTTTCCGGAGCAAGGTTGCAAATTCGGGCTTGTTATATATTCTTTCTATTGATGATCTTTCCATTGCTCCCTCTCTCCCTCCCTTGCTAGGTTGCCCCTTCCATTGTCAGTCCGCGTCAGGTCAGGCTCGCATGCGCTCAGCGCTCCAGCTCCCGTCCCGTCATCTCATTGTGGGGAAGGAAGGAAGTAGGCTTGGAAGTACCACCGACATGGTGAAAGGGCAGTGTCTATCTATCCCGTAAAGCACCCGGGCTTCTTCCAACCCTCTTTCTTTCGTCCTAGATCTTTCTACGGCACCGACGTTTGTTAGTCACAGTCTGACTTTATCGTTACGCTATGCTTTGTGCCGTGGATGTTGTTGCAAAGAGTATTTTTGCTCCTTAAGGACCGACCGAGAAGGTGATCGAAAAAGCATGTGACATACCAGTTCGTGTCGGAAAGGCAGGCTAGCTGGCGTTAAGAAGCGCTTTTAGCATCAGAATACATGAAAGCTTGCGAGATCAAAGTGTGAAAGGTAACTGAAGTCAATAAGGCTTGAAAACTGGTATTTAATTAGGTGTTCTGATACGGTGAGTGGGTTGGTAGTGTAGTGTAAATCAGGTTTAGAATAGGGTACTCAACCGTCAGGAACAGCAACGGCAACACACCACTTTCTCACCAAGGAACTGAAGTGCACACTCGGGATCTACATTGTAATATGTTGTTCAGGTGTGAACCGACTCAACCACCATCTTTTGCTTTGCGAGCTCCAACTCGGCCGAGTTTTGCGAAGTGAAAAACAGTAGGGTATATAAAAATCAATCACCACCCACAGAGGGTTCGGTGTTAATTATACAGATACACACAAAACGCACTCCTTGTCAAGTTCAACCTCCCGTTCGTATTTGACACCACCCCTTTTCTTTGCCGCCCCCTCAAAGTCTTGTCCTCGACAATGTCTTGTCGCAAAATCAATCCGTTCAAAAGCCTTTCAACCTATTGGGAAGAAAATAAAAACAGCAAACGCAATGCAAAACAGACTCTAAGAAGCCGTTATGTTGTGATGGAGCTGCAAGTTCAAATTGCAAGGCTCTCTTTGCTCAAAGTGCACCGGGTCCATTCCCTCCTCTTTATTTTACGCCTGATGTGTCCGTTCCATATCCAGAGAAACCGCGAAAAAACCAGCCCTCCAAAAAAAAAAAGCCTGCATGAAAATCCATCAACAAGAAGGTTATGGAAAAAAGCGTAGCCGTCCAAGCGCCCGATTTATCCCGTCCATGTCCGATTGATAGATGTACCGCCGTTATATCCAAAGTCCCGTTCCATTCGCTAGTATTGGTCCGTAAAAAGAGCACACATGAGAAGAGAAAACGTCAACGAAAGCCAGAAACAAGGCGAAATTTCGAGCCCAATTCGAAGTGGTCCTCCTTTTACGCTGCCAATCGCGCCACTGCTCCGTCATCACTCGCATTTTCGTCGATGCGTTCCATCTTTACCGAGTAATCGCCCGGTGGCCGTGTGTTGTTGTCCGCCGCCGTTCCTGTCGTCGTTCCTCCCGGCTTGGTGTTGTTTCCGTTGACCTGATCATTCTTTCCACAACCCTTGACTAGTCTGTGACGCTGGACGTGGCGCAAAGGGAACGTTAGCATTTCGCTCGTGGTAGTCACAGGGGGAATTAGGCAACCTACCTTCAACGCATCCTTCCTCGAGAAAGATTTCTCACAGTTGCCACAAGGATATGGCTTCGTAGCCAAATGTATCCTCTTGTGGCGCTTCAAGTCGTGATTCCTGTTGAAGCCCTGTGTGCACTGATCACACTTGTATGGTCGGTCCCCTTGACGAGGTCCCAGTTGGTCGTGGCCAGCTCCATACCGATGGTACTGAGGCATCGGATGGTGGGTGCCATAATGAATGCCTGACATGCCCACCATGGCCAACGGTGTGCCGGGCTGGTGCATGTTGCTCAGCACGGGACCGTGTCCGTGCCCGTTGAGCGAGTAGTGATGATGAGACTGGAGACCATATTGCTGAGGTCTGCTGCCCGTCACGTACTGTAGCCCGGATGCGCTGCTGCCGCTGCTCGATATCGATCCCAGTCCGCGTGACGCATTCCCTTGGGATGTCGACGGTGAGTAACCTGTCGGGGATAATTGCGATGGTGGTGCCCCTTGGAAACCAGGATATGAGCCTTGCTGTGGTGTCGACGGTGATGCGTAGTAACTACTTTGGGTAGAGCTTTGTGGTTGTTGGGTCGCAGACGGATAGTAGCTGTTCTGGGACGAAGATGTCCTGAAGTTGCCAAAGTCAAGAGAGGGCAACGAAGAGCCGTGCCCCGCCGTTGGCGGTTGGGTTACCGCCGGGTTCTGTGAGTTCAGCATTGGTTGGGTAGGACCTGACGCTTGTGAAGGGTGCGATGATCCCAGAGGTCCTCCCGACGATCCTACTGATGTCGGAAACGAATGCTGTTCCTGGTAAGACGATGAAACTGGCACGGTTTCCGCGTTGGTCGACGTAGAGGTGGTACGGCCCCCTGAATAGTTCGTCACAGATGACGGAACAGAACCAAAGTTGGCTTGTGGTCGGTGAGTATAAGAGGTTTGGGTGAGCGATCCTGACCCAGGGTTGGAATCTGGACTCAAGTACGTGTACGCGGATAGCGATGAGCTTCCCGGCGTTGGCCACGATCCTGTGAGTTGACTAGAGTAGTAAAGGGATGATCCGGGCTGCTGGGAGGATTGCGACCCGCTGCTGTTAATGCCCGATGATAGATTGAGCCCTTCAGCTGCTATCTCTGATCCTGAGGTGGTTGTCAGATTACTGTTGTTTGTGGTGATGGTTGTGCTGGTTGTGGTTTGACTAGTTGTGGAGGGCTGAGGAATGGAATGGGTAAGAGGGGGAGGATAAGGGGAGGGCGAAGTGAGACCTGCTGCCTTGGGGGCAGTGGTAGTCCACCGCTGCCGGTTGTGATCCCCAAAAGCACTGTCACTCGGGCTGCCCAGAACGGGAAAAGCACGATAAGGGTTTCGCGTACTTGGTATATCTAGAGCAGGTAGAGTAAAAGGTGGTAGACTCGTGGTCACCTTTCTCGTTCTGGAGAAGCTCTCAGGATGTGCTAGGGTCGCCTGATGATCGGTCATGATACCCATACGCGCGCTTCGGTTCGTCCTGTTTTGCGGGAGTTGATCGTTCTCGTCGGATGGAAACAGAGTTCGTTGTTGTCGGTTGTATGATTATTGCTGATAGACAGGCCTAAGTTATAGCAGTCCTTGAAGCTTTGATGTGACAATGGTATCTATGGGATGGCGTCAGGTTGAGACACATCCGAAGGCTTGTCAGAGGAAGAATTCCTTTCGCAATCTCTGCTTCTGCCTTTGACGTGTAAAAGGACAATCTGCCTTCGATAGAAGCTGAGTTCTGCTCTGGGGCTTGTAGGAAGTCTAGTCCGCGGGGAAGATGTCGGCCAGGTGAAGACGCCTCCAGGCTTAGGTTGTCGACAACGCTGAGTCTGTAGCGGATGGAGAGGTATTGGCTTCAACCAAGGAAACGAAGGTCGCCGAGAGCCCTAATTAAGCTTACTTGGACGGAGAAGAGCTTCGAGGTCGCTCTTTGATTAGTTTCAGGTAGCAGATGTGGAGTGTCGATCTGTCGATGGCATCCGCCTGAACTATATGTGCGCTTGTCCCAAAGGTGTACACACACGCATACGCTAGCACCCACACACACACGCATGTACCCCCCGTAGGGAGGCTCGGAATCCAAATAAGGACCCTGTCCAAGTCTAGCCAAGGGTATGTAGGTGTGGCAGGATCAAGCAACAGCCGCGGGCGTTTCTTGCCCCTTGCCCGAGAACAGATGTGTCTCTTTTCGAATGAACGACTGCCGGACGGTGAGTAGTACCTGGTAGTTCGGCTGGAAGCTCGTCCCTGGCTGGCGCTTTGTATTGTGCCTGGTGGCTCCTTTGCTTTTGGTTTATGGTCGAACTTGGCTACCCCAGTGCGGGAAGGCTGAAAGAACGCGGGTTGTGAGAGTTCAATCCTTGTTCAACCTTCGATCTCCGAGGTTGGTGTGAAATAGTGTAGGACGCGCCCACCATCGGACTTTCTTCTCGACCTTCTTCAGAAAATCCCAATGTCACTACGTGACCTCTTGTGTATGTTGTTGTTGCTGTATTGTTTTGTGGCTGTGGAGTTGTCGGCTTCCAGGGTTGCTAGTGATGGTCGTCGCAGTCTGACAAACAAAGCTTGATAAGGGGACAAAATGCTGGCAGCTGAGAATATGGAGACTTGACAACTCTCGACAGTGGCCACAACGCTAACAGCGCCCCTCCCATGTGGTGAGGTACAATGTGCGGTTGGTAGACCACCTCAGCAAGAAGACAGGCGCCACGGCAGAGTGAAGAAGCTTCTTAACGCGGTCTCTTCGGGGGAAACGGAGGGAATGGCGGCAGCAGTGACCGTAGCAGAAACTCTCAGCGTTTTGAAAGGAGACTAGCGCGCCAGTGATGAAAGAGGGCAGATGTTTGCTAATGATGCTCTTGCTGAGTCGAGTGTACCCTGTTGACGATGGCCTCTCCCGCGACTCCAGAGATCTGGGGAGCAAAAACAGACAGTCGGGATGTGGAACCGGGCTGGACTTTTTTTTGGTACGGAGTACCTACAGGGTAGAGGGTCCCTGGATAGGGAACGGTGGGAGTGGCGTTCAGGTCAAGCAAGCGCGTACGGCGTAAGTCTGACCCGGTACATGAGATCGTGACCTCCTCCTTATCCTTTACACCGGGGGTGCAGTGCCAAACTCAACTTGGCGTGGATCCAAGTGCAGTGACGAAGCCCAGATCCGGCATACACTTCTTTTTTGTGAACTCTTATGACGGGACCGAGCTCAAGATTTCGGGCTACCGAGTTGTCCGCTCCCTTGAAAGAAAAGGAAAGTGATAGATGTAGTATGAGCTCCGTAAGGGGGGGTTCGTCGTCGTGTAGGCGAAAGTTGCTCAGCTTTTCGTCACAGGTCGTCGTCTTTTCACCAGTTCTGCATTCTCAACGATAAGCAGCAGTACTGGAGGTGAACCCAGGAAATATAAGAGGTTATAGCCAACCGATCATGTCCTGAAGTCGAGACAAACGACGAGGACCGACGGAGGCCAGAACCCCGGTGCTTGGTCCACCTCCCACACTGGGAGTCAACACCACCCGCCCATGCACCAGGGCGCCGGGATGTATCCGCATGCTCCTTAACCTGGGAAGTTCTAGTAGGAACAAGGGTGGTATCGATTCTGATGCACGGTGCCTGGCACGGATGTGTGGACCGTCTCGCTCTCTTCTCTTCGATGCATCTGGGCTGAATAACGGTTGACAAACCTAACAAGGTGCTAATCAATGGCCGTCAGTTTAGGTAATAACCGCCATGGTGGTGCTAGGAAGAACCACGCCAGAAGCCGTTTTTTTTTCGGACTCTCCGTTTCTGCAAGGCTACAGTGTGCAGTCCCTGCCATACGGAGTACTGCCACAGACTTCTAAGCGTTCTCCAACAGATGTCAGCGAAGCATGATGTGCAGCAGGGTTCGATGTCAATCCGTTCGTTATTGCTCAGTGCTGACATGTCTTCGCCAACATATCAGTTATCCGAATACGTCCCAGCAGACGAATGACCTGGTAGCCCCCGTATTGACAGCGAGTGGTGACAATAAAGGAACTGCATCCGGCTCCAGCTAGTAGGTACTGCGAACTGGCGAACCAGGCCCAACCCAACCCGAGCATACCGGGACAGATTCGGCTTTGCTGCGAGCGGAGCTTGTGGTCGCGGTCCAGACATTCGGCACGGGAGGTCCACAGAACGCCCCGTTTGGGCGGTTTGCCATCTTGGGAGATGTACCCCTGCCAATTTAATCCCCGTCACCGGTGTCTTCGTATGAATCCCATGCTTGGCAGCTCCTTGGATAAGAAACACTCTGCTTGATTTGGTTAAAATTGCTTCCAGTAACGTGGAAGTCAGCTTTTAGTCAAACGGTAACCTGCTCCCCATAAATCGTCTTGTGTTCAGCATGTCCAGCATAAATGCTCAGCGAACAAGTCCGGTCCAGAGCCTGGGCAGAAGCTCATTTCGACTTCTCGAAGTTGTGCATGGTTTGAATCGCGTGGCCACCGTTGGACTTTGACCCAAGACCTGGCTCCCCACGAGGCAAGTAGTGGGAAACGCGCCATGAAGGCTAAGTAACCAAACGTGGCTGATCTCAACGTAGCCTAACAACTACATAGTACGGCAATGGCACTGAGTGGTGCAGCCATTGCACGCCTACAGGCATGGCGCTTCGTTGCGCCTCCCGTCCGCTTCTCGAATCAGGCGCTCGGGGTATTAAGATGGAGGTGTGATCCCGTCAGATTCACATTCTCTGCAGTGCTCACGCTTCAGCAAAATCACCGCCCGGTCGAATGAAGGGGGTCGATTCCACCTTTTGCACTGAAGGAAATGACGAACGATGGAGATCACGTCGGGTCATAGAAGCGACCGAGCAATAATCGGACGCAGCGCCGAATAGCAATCTTGGTAGGTAGGGGTATCTTGGTAAACAGTGCGCGTAAAAGTCCAGAGACCAGAACACAAGATACGGTAGTCCCCCATTCCCTCTACAGTGATATCTGACACGGACAAGGAGACGGGACGAACGATAATATGGCTACCTGCTAGGGCAGGCGGCCGACCTCATCTCGCAAAGGTGCATAGAAAGTATTCAGCTGAAGTCCAGGTTTGAGATTGCAGGACGCGTTCACGGAGCAGAGAATTGGGTGACAAGGCCAAGCAGCGGCCATTGACGGCTCGGAATCGCATCAAGGAGCACCCCTGAAAGCCTGTTTTGCTCTAGCCTTTTCCATCGCATCCAGTTGACGGGTGCGTTTGGTGCCACTAGTTTACACGCTGCATGGGATCAGCTCCAAGGGAGGAGGGGTGGGTGACACCTTGAGCCAAGAGAAGAAGCACCCCCCAACGACTCCATTGAAACGCAAAAAAAGCAAAGACTTGCGCAGCCTTATCTGCACTTCATTTGCACGACCCTTCTTGTTGTAGAGGACCTGGGCAAAATAGGGGAGAAAACTTGGTATTTTTGCACCTGCTCTGCGTTCGGACTGGCAAAGACTCACCGAATCGTCCATGCCAGTATTGAGGGAAACATTGGGAATGCTGACCCAGATGCGAAGCCTGGCAGGTCTGGTAATTAAGGCGATCGTTGACAGAAAGTGCCTGCGGGCTTGCTTCCACAATGCAGGGGCTATACAGAGTCCCGGGACGGACAAGCAGCCCCAAATCTCGGTGGATGTTACTCAAGCTTGATAACCATCCCCCGCAGAATCATTCCCGTCTCAAAGGGCCCAGTAAGATGAGGTGTGTGTGTATGTACGGAGCACGGGGTACCCCGTATGACACGTCCCGTTCTGGATTCCGTAGCCGGTCTCCACGGAGCGCGGAATGATAAAGAAAAGTTCTTTTTGTGCCCCAGGTGGGCATTAAACGTCGATTTTGTAATGCGTACTCTGACGGAATGGTTGCACCTGACAGATGGCCGGATCGGTGAAAGAATGGGTTGAGAGGAGGAAGGACAGAGTATCATTGGGCGACAAGACACGGTCCTTTCTGAATTGGGGAATCTTTGACGAGAACGGAGACTAATGGCCAGTCATCGCCTGTTATCCTTTCAGACGTTTCTAGGGTATTGTCCGGCGCGGGTGGTCCTCTCCAACAACGAAGCCTGCGAGTCTCACTCGGCAACTTTGCTTCACTGGTCGCGGCGCGTCAATATTGGGATAATCCCTTTCCCAGCCCTAGGGCGTCGACACAATATCCGAGCCTTCTTTTCTTTTTTGTGTCGCGCTTGTACCACAAAAAGCTGGATTGCAGCTGCCGTGGGCGTACAAGGTCGAATCATAGCGAGACGCTGGTAGTAGGTAGTGCCAGGGGAGGAGAACAGCAAACGAGGTTCCGGCGAGGAGCTATGACATGCGGAGTACCTGGTACGTTCCAGTGCTGGGGATCAGAATGCCAGGTTACGCAAATTGCTACCATTGTTGCCCTCGATGCAGCCGTCCCTCAACATTGCACAGCATATCACTCCGATAGCTGGAACCTCGCGGGAATCGACCCCCAGGCGGGTATGCTTGCTCCCAGAGTTATTTTTGCAAAGTGCCACACAGTAGGGACGGATTGCTGCCCACCGTTTTCCTCAGACATGCTTCATAGAGAGGCGCCCCTGGTGTGATTTCGAGCCCTTGGTGATCCTACACAGTGCGCTCCAGAGAGGTGGTAAACGGTGATGCACCAGGACCGCCTCCTTGGCTACTGCGAGGGCCACTGCGCATACCGTACAAGGCGGCCGTCAAGCAGCACTGCCCACGATAATAGTCGAGCGAGCCAAGCATTTGGCTGTCGATAGACCGTTGTAGAGGTGCCGTGACCCGTGACCGTCACCATCATGAACAAAGTCAAACGTGAATGCCGCCTGGGGATCGTTGCCGAACAAACAATTGTCGGGAAAGCGGATGAGAAGGCCGGACCAACCGTATGGAAGCCTCGATTATGCCCCTTGCGCAAGGGAACATACAGTTTGAGAAAGGAGCACTTGAGACGATTCAATTTTGTTGGGGCCGGGCTGGACTGGCAGAGTTGGGATGCTGGGTAAGGGACCCGATGCCTCAAAGACTTGCCGCCAAAAGATGCCATATCCATGTTGAGGCAGCTTCTCTCGGCTGCCGGAGGGAATTCGTCTGCCAGTGAAATATGAATAGGCGCAGTGGCGTCATCATCGTTAAGCCGCATCTCTAGGACAAGGCGTAGAGATGGCACCCAAGGAGGGCCACGACCCATGAGGCTGGCTTGCTGGCTTGCTTGTGGGCGTTCTTGGACAAGGCAAGGTGCAGCAAGCCAAGATGCGCCAACGAGATTAGCCAGCATGTGGCAGCAGGACCATCCCGTCGACGATGGGTCACGCCCAAACCCCAAAAAGCGCTCTCTGAAGTCTCATTTTTTTTTTGACATGACGAAGATATGTGTCGTGGGAAAGGAAAGAGGCAATTTCCTGATACGACGGGCCGGAGGATACCGAAATTCAAAGTGCGGAAAAGGAATGAGAAGTCTCAATAATGGTCTGCAAGCTTTCGGGGTTTGGGCAAGACAGCAGCCGGGATTGGTTCGACAGACTTGACAGTGTGGGTTGAGCCGCACTGCCATTGAACGTTTTCTGTACATTGCACAAGGCAAGGGAAGGGATGCAGATGAGTAAAGCGAGCAAGGCCGGTGGGCGTTGACGGTGCCGGTTCGGTTGACGGTGCCGCCATGGAAGGAATGGTCATGGAAGCCTCTCAAGGCGGCTGCGGCGGCGACGGCGGCAGCGGCACAAGACTTGGGCTCTTTCCTGTCCAAAGCGGGCAACAGGCGGGACATGTGTCTACTTTCTTTGGCGGAGAGAAAGACGCCTGCACCAGACCGTCGGGTGTTAGCAGTGAATACCGGAGGGATTTGGGAGCTGTCAGTTTACCATCTTGACCCGTGTGTGACTCTACCAAATAGTCTAGCACTTGTACCTGCACAACGACCTCAAAGACGTTCGATCATAGGCTGCTCATAAGCTGCTGATTGGAGCATGGCAATGATTCGCCGAGTGGAATGGGGTCATCGCTTTGAATCGCATCCGTCACGTCGGGTTGGGTGTCATATCGGACCAATACCGGAAGCAGTTGGAAGCGGAGCGGGCACCGAAACAAAAGTCGAACTGTTGGATGGAGTGACGTTGAAAGAGGGAGAAGCAGAGTGTCGTTGCAATGCAAAAAGTGCGGTGGACTGCAGTGTGTGGTGATGAGTGGATCCCGAAGCCCTGGAACTTGAACTGCACTAACGGGGACACTGACAAAACGCCCCTTATCAGTGTCTTTATCTGATAGGGCGGTACTTGGTCACAAACTGCGGGATAGGCGACGGGAGGCGCCTTCCCGAACTCGTCCTTCCAACTCCTCCAAATCGAAGCCCGCAGACTGAAAAACCACGGCAGTCATGCGCGCCTGCCATTCGAGCATAAATCAACGACAACTTAAATGGAAGTCACTCACGCCGTCAAAATCAGAAGGTCCACCATGGGCCCATGGCACGGCAGAGGAAGCAGTTACCTTCTACTCTCCCGGGGCCTGACCTGATCTCGTTCACTCAGCCTCTTCGTCGACTCCATCTTCAGTGCCTTTCCCTTATCCCCCAAAGGTGACGGCCGCGAGACCCATGCGTCGATCAATCATGACCCAAAGCTTAATCTTGACCGTTTCTTGACCAATCCGCTGTGGAAACCGTCGGTGACTGGCCTTTATGCGCCTTTGTTCTCAACGGCATGCTTCACGACCAAGTCTATACCCATCTGGGACTTGCCAACAAGGTAGCCAACATGGCTCGGAGGCTCCGAAAGGTCTAGAACATAGAGTTCTCTCTTTGAATAACTCTTCAGATGGCACATCTCGTTCAGTTTGTCAAGTTACCGAGCTACTCTTGATGGTAATGATGATGATACGAGGTGACATAGGCTGAACACATGTCTCATGATAATCCCCTTCGAGAAAACATAAACTCTATTTCTACTGACCAAACCTAGACATGATCCTCGTATAGGAAATCTTGCTGGGCTATCGGTATGTCGGATCGGACTCACAGTGGTTCAGAATACCCTCTCAAGCGTTACACGGACTCACTTCAACTTTACGAATCTGGCTAAAGGTGCTTACCAAACAACAAAGAAACCACCATCATCACTTCCATGTTCACTGTAAACACGCTCCAAGTACCTCTACGAACCCCAACCTGACAGATACTTAGACAAGTCGGAAAGATAACCAACACCTGTCTCGGGACACTTTCAAGATGCATCATCGATTACCGCGGGCAGTGCTCCTATTTCCGGAAGAAAATAACAAACAAACGCAGTGAGCTTCAGTTTGCTTTCTGTCTTCGAGTCAAGGACTCGCACACACACTCCACGATAGCATACTGCAACTACGCAAACTGGGGAAAAGAAGGTCATACGGATATCTACCTTATCACCCTTTTTCTCCCCCAATTCGGTTTACCGACCGAAACGGGAGGGGAGCCGGGTCGCACAAAAACAGGCGACACAGGCACACACAGGCACACACAGGGTCAAGTAAACCTCCCCCGTCCCGGTTCGACATCCCTGCCAGCTGAAGGTCTGCATTCGCGGACACGGATGAAAATAGAAAGAATGTTTGGCAACCATTAAACGTCTGCTATAACGGGGGTGGAAAGTAATATTGCATTTCAATTGCGATGCCGTCAGGAACTTTCACACGCATTGGTAATGGCAACACCAGTAGCCAGCCTCGGCTTAGTATCAAGCTGCAGAGAAGCAACTTCATACGCACAAAAACAGGCAATTCCACGATAATAACTGATTATTCATGCGTTCAAGCGAAGAAGGGCACAGCGAACACAAGCAAAGAGGCGAAAACGGAGAGAGACAGTCAATGGCAGAATGGCAAAACCGGCGGCGGGTGGAGACACAAACCCCAGCTCAACGGGTACCTGCGTTTGTCATACTCAACTTTCTTCTTGTCTTCCCCCTTTTTTCGTCCTTTTCAGGGCAGGGGGGTATGTCGATTCACATCATTGGACTCACTCGTTCTCTCACTCTTTGCACCGCAGTCAGTGCTGTGGCTACGGCTCGATTCTCGTTGGTAAACAAACGAGGTAGTGACTGAGTGACTGACCGGTAAAGGGGGGCCCGACATCGATGTCTACCGGTCAGTTGGTCAAATGGTGTCACGGCCATGTTGAAACGGGAGGTAAAAACAGGGGCTCGAAGAATAAGGTAGGGGAGGGGGGGGGGGGGGGGGGACCGAAGACTGAAGTCCTACAGCACCCGTCAATTACTCTTTCACGGTGCGGGATGCAATTGTCAAGGGGGCATATATGTATGTGTGGGGATTGGCAAACGGACTGACTGGGTTGAAGGAATGTGCGGAAAAGAATTTCACTTCCCCGGTCGGTGTTTATGCCTCCTTCACTTTGTTGTGTAAGTGATGATTGCTGAAGACGAAGGTGAAGATGAAGAGCAGCACTCACGATTCCCATCACGGCTCAATCTCAGCTGGCGTCGAAGAAATCTACTTCCACGAGGAAGACGACCCACGAGGACTACATGCTGTACAAAGAATAGGGCAAAAAGCAACTTGAAGAGAGACATGAAAGCAAAAGATAATAGAAAATAGTAAAAAAAAAGAAACAATGAATGTAAAGAGGCCCGAAGAGGAAATCAAAGTGACAGAAAGAGGAAAAGAACGGGAAAGGAAGAAGAAAATAAAGACGACACAAAACACGAAAAGGAACGAAGGCATTAACATGACGAGAGAGAGAGTCGAACGAAAACATTCATTTTTCCCATTACAACTGCTGTTCTGCAGACACTGAATACTAGCAAGCTACTTATTGACCGGGCCATCATGGGCCCCCTTTCTCATGCAAGATACATCCATCCATCTCTCACTCCGGCATCTTGCCTCACTTCAATCTTCTCTTTCACCGACCTACAGTTCATGAGAGAGTGTAAGCAAATAGCACTTTGTCACCCTTTCCCTCCCTTGCCTCACCCCTTCGTTCCCTTAGTTTCCATTCTCATTCACATTCTCTCCGTCGCTACCTAGCTTTTACCTCGTCGTCAATACACTCCTCTCCCCTTCGCTCCAGTCTATTCTCACCCGACTCCTCCTCACTTATTTCCTGCTATAAATCGCATCCAGTGGCTGGCTCAATGAACCAACCTCATCCTACCACCTTCAGCAACCCGTTTAATTTTCATCATGCACTCACATACCATTCTATCTATACCTTATGCGTCTTATAACCTCGCAGCTCACTATGAAAAAGTTATGTAAAGAAACCGGACATGACCACCGGGGGTACATGAATTCAAATAAAACAACACGTAAAGGTAGGTAAACGAAAAGAAATGTGACGGGGTACGAAACCGAAGCCAGTAAACAGGAAGGAACGCGGTGGGGAAGAAAAAAAAGAAGACGAAGGGATGGAAAGCACGATACGAAGAAGAATAGAACCTGAGTGACTCTAAGCGGGGGCGTCCAAGAGCAAGTAAAGATAAGAGAATGGAAAGAACAAATGAGAGAAGTGCCGGGTGGAACGAATCAGTCGTGTCGCAGTCGTACTTGCCCGCCCGCCCGCGCGGTCTGCACTGCAGTGAATTGCGACTTCAACATTCGTTGTCCACTTTACTAATGGAAGTCAACAGGTGCATTCGTTGGCCATCGTTACTTCCCGCTACTTGAACTAGTCCTCGTGAAAGCCCTAAATATAACTGAGGTGTCCTTCTCCTTTGACTTTGCTATCTCTACCTACTAGGCAAGTACTGATGCTTAAGTTCCCGTCCCTCGTGTAGTGTACCTAATTTCCCTTGTAACATTACCTTCGCTTTGTTGGATTGAATGTAATATATTGATGAAGACATTATGTTGTGCAGACTCCGACAGAACGGTTGGCCCACTCACGAAATCTACTACAGAGCCCGCCATCAAATATATCGTGTCATGTGTGTCATGCTACTATATACTTGTCATGCCGATCGATGATTGGGAACACTGACTGCGTGGTAACTGAACAATTGATAAGACGGGAAGAGACATCATGATGTCTGGATATGCAGCAGCAGTTGGCATGCCAGTAACTGTTGAGAATAGATTCGCCGCCACGTAACATCGGGCTCATAGAACTAGAGTACGCGGCCTCTTGCGAGACATCAATGCGAGCCATGTCCCGTCATGTCCAGAAGAGAACCAACCTCAAGACAAGGTATCTAGGATATGAACTGAAAGCTGGATGGGGGCTGGTGACAGCCGCGAATCTCATATGAGAAGACACGGCGGTGCGCGAGTGAAGTAGTACCTCCAGCCATGGACATTATGAGCCTTCAGTTCCAGTCATCATCGATCCACCTCACAATAGTTTTCATTGATGCTTGGACGAAGAAGTTAGGGTAATACTTCAATTTCCCTGGGTAAAAAAAAAACAGAAAACCTGAACTGATATGATGTGATATATCCAAAACCCCAAAGAAAAGTAAAGATCATAAAGAAAATCCACATCGCTCATCCTCCATCAACATTCCTCATATCATCATCGTACTTTGATAATCCGTACAATTTTGCTTTTCTCTTTCCATTCCTATCCCTCCCACACCTTACACTCCAAGCCCACGCTCAAGCTCAACATTTAGAGCTTGGAAGCAGGCAACGAGTTACCGGCGTTGGTGATCTCGTCGTAAAGCAGCGAGGTCAAGAAGTCGGCATAGTCCTCGCCCGTCACCTGGGTGGCGAAGTACTGAGCGGCAAGCTGGAACTTGTTGCCCTGGGGAGCCTTGGCGGCGAGCTCGTCGGTCTGCTCCTTGAGCAGCTTGAGGGCGTACGACTTGTCGACGCGCTTGCCCTCGGCGGTGGTGACGCCGTGCTTGACCCACTGCCAGAGCTGGGAGCGGGAGACCTCGGCGGTGGCGGCGTCCTCCCTGTGATTGTTGTTAGTATCCTAGTCAGGGGGGGAAGGGATAAGGAGATACGTACATGAGGTAGTTGATAGGAACGCAACCGACACCACGGATCCAGGCCTCCATGTAGCCGAGACCAATGTTGAGGTTCTTGCGGATACCCTCCTCGGTGATGCTGCCGGGGACGTTCATGTTGAGCAGATCCTGCTGGCCAATCTTGACGTCCTCGCGGCGGTTGAAGAGCTGGTTGGGGGTAGGCATGTGCTTGTTGAAGACCTCAAGGGCAATGCTGGCAAGGGCGGGGTGGGCAACCCAGGTACCGTCGTGGCCGGCGCGGGCCTCGCGGAGCTTGTCGGCGCGGACACCCTCCATGGCCTTGTCGTTGGCGGCCTTGTCGTCCTTGATGGGGATCTGAGCGGCCATGCCACCCATGGCGTGGACGCCGCGCTTGTGGCAGGTCTGGATGAGGAGCTTGACGTAGGCGTCCATGAAGGGGACGGTCATGGTGACGCAGGAGCGGTCGGGGAGGACGAAGGAGGAGTGGTTGCGGAACTTCTTGATGGTGGAGAAGATGTAGTCCCAGCGGCCGCAGTTAAGACCAGAGGAGTGCTCGCGGAGCTCGTAGATGATCTCGTCCATCTCGAAGGCGGCGAGGATGGTCTCGATCAGGACGGTACCACGGATGGTGCCGCGGGGAATGCCAAGGTAGTCCTGGCCGAGGTTGAAGGCGTCGTTCCACAGACGGGCCTCGAGGTGAGACTCCATCTTGGGGAGGTAGAAGTAGGGGCCGAAGCCACGCTTGATGAGCTCCTTGGCGTTGTGGAAGAAGTAGAGACCGAAGTCGAAGAGGGAACCGCTGACGGGCTCGCCGTCAATGGTGACGTGCTTCTCCTCAAGGTGCCAGCCACGGGGACGGACGAGGAGGGTAGGGAGAGTCCTGTCGGTACGGAGCTTGTACTCTTTGGGGCCCTGTTTGAAGTCGATCTGGCGACGGATGGCGTCGTAGAGGTTCACCTGGCCGTTGACCATATTGGCCCAGGTAGGAGCGCTAGAGTCCTCCAAGTCGGCCATGTAGGTGTAGACATCAGAGTTGAGGGCGTTGACGATCATCTTGCGGTCGGTGGGACCGGTGATCTCAACGCGGCGGTCGACGAGACCGGGAGCGGGAGGCGCACCCTGCCATGTGGGGTTCTCACGGATGTGCTTGGTCTCGGGGAGGAAGTCGGGGAGGACACCGCGGTCGATCTCGGCCTGGCGGATCTTGCGGCGCTCGAGGAGGTTCTTGCGGGTCTGGTTGAAGGAACGGTGGAGGAGGGCGATGAAGGAGAGAGCCTGGGGAGTCAGGATCTTCCTCTGGTGCTCCTCAATGGGGCCGTTGATGGTGACGCCCTGGAGAAGAGTCTCGACGGAAGCCATTGTGAAGTTTGTGGTGGGTATTATTCTAAAAGACAATGCTGATGTTTCCTCCACAAAAGGTCAGAAGTTAGCAGTGAGGTTCACAGCAAAAGGTATCAAGTTACGTCTGAAGCAAACATACAAACTAAGAAATCCCGTGCTACCGAAAAGTGCCGAGGATGTGAAGAGAGGATGATGTTTGGTTGGATGGAGGTATGGACAAGACAAAGACAGTGAAGAGAGAAGAGAGAAAGGGAAGGGGAGAAGGGTTTGTTTATCTGTTTGAGGAATTGAAAGCTTAAAAAGTCTCGTGTAAGTCCAATGTCGTTCAATCCACTTCTTGGCTCGAGTCACTCACCTGGACAACTCGGTTTCTGGAACCAATTGATGTCTATGGAGATGTGATGGAGCAAGGGGAGACGGCGTTAGGACGGGTCTAACGCCGTCTAACGAGGCATGACGAAAAGAACCGGGGGCATGGCGGGGCTGTGTTACCGGCTGTTACTAGTCTCTTAGCTCTTTTGCTGTTCTCCTTATCAAGGTGCATCTCGAGATACCTGCTTCGGGTCAGTCTCCCATGTGGCCCTTCGCGGTTTGTCCCGGCCTACACCTGGCCTGGGGTACATGCTGTACATGCTGTACGGGAATCTGTTACCGGTGTCCTGCATCCACTCTGCGCAGAAAGGCGGCATTCGCATTCGCGGAGAAGTGTTGAAGGTGGGGGCCGTTTTCACTATCGTTTACCTTATCCAGTTAGGCTATCAATTGCTGCTTCAATGCCATTCATATGCTGTCCTTTTCACCTTACTATTTGACATGGAGTCTTAATCTTAAAGCGAAGCCATCATCTTGTCAAGACGAGGCCTGTCACCCCAACACAACTTACAAAGGATGAAAGCTGTATGTAATGTCGGGGTAATCGACTTTGACATGTGACGGCTACCGTACATTTCCCATTGCAGGCTGTGAGGTCATCGGTACATCGGTACACTACGAAATGTGGTACCCTGGGTACCTTACCGGCCAACCCCGCACGCCCCGCCATGTGAGTGAGACCGCCCGCCAATCACCCAGACGGGAACGTGGAGGGGGGCTACGGCGGCGTGCAGTCACTCTTTAACTCGGGCGAGAGCTGCCCGAAGCCTCAACTTTGTTACGTATCTTCTTGTCAGCTTTATCGCTTCTCAACTTTAATAAAAATCTGTTTTTCCTCTTCTTCTTTGCTTACAAATTCAACGACATTCATCATTTTCTTCCATCACCTCAACAAAATACCCGGCTCCGATATCGTTATGAATTGACAGCAACCAAAAGGTCATCTCTCCCACTTACTCTTTCTAGGTTCCCCTGTTTGCTCGATACCTGCTCCCCAAGTCTCCTTCGCTTCGCTTTCTTCTCCAAACCTTTCTCTTGGCTTGGAGATGCTGCAACACTTCCCCAGGCCCGGTGACTTGCCCCGCCATCCATCCGGGGTTGAAGATAAACCACTGGACGACCACTGGGAAACCGACGGGAATCCCCATGTTTTGGGTTTGTCTCCGGTCTGCCGGCGCAGAGCCGAGGTCGACTCCTTTCGGGTGTGGGGAGAACAGGGTTCATAGACACTTTACCGACTCTTTCCGATCCACGTCGTCCATGTTTGTTTACACTACAGTACATGTGTACCTAGTCAAAAAAGCTCGCGACTCCGACTTTGCGAGAACTGACTTACACGGGAAACGATTATCCAGAAGATAAAAAGACGGAGACAGAGCAAGGAGACAAGTCACAAGGAACGGAATTACATACGTGACTCAAATTCCCAGTCCAGTCCAGTCATACCTAGGCTGTCCTGACCGTGACCACGACCCCGGGCAAAAGAGGAATGGGCACCTCTGTATGGAACCCCAAACCATGAAGCCAAAAAAAACTTCCCCAGGCCCGAATGAGGTCCATATCTGGATACGGGGTAGGGTAAACTTGACAAGGTCTGGCCAAGCTTGCCTCCTACCTCTCAAGGTTCTCTCCAGTCGCGAGGTGGTGATCACCTGCGATCGTCACGAGAAAGGCAAATACAGTACTTCCAACCTTGAACCTTCACCGTAGCAAGTTATCGGCGATGGACATCGATTGGTATGACAATAGGAGCCGGCTGCAACTAGATTATTAATGTCCACGTCCGATTCAGGATCTGGCTATGCTTAGATGGACCGAGGATATCCGTCCAGTCCAGTCCGGGTCCCGGAGTCCCAAAAGCTGCCGTCGCGAGGCAGGAAAGTCCGTCGCCGGAAGACGGTATCGTAACCTCGCAACATCCGAACTCCGGCCGGTCCGGACGCGGGGCGGGGCGGGGCGGGGCGGGGATCCACAATTACCGAACTTGTTACGTACTGTACCCTTTGCCGACATCACCAACAAGTTCACCGACTTCACCGGCGTCCCCCTTTCTCACCGTGCTTCTCGTCACCGTCAGTCACCTAGTTCATCAGCTCGTCGAGTCGTCAACTATCACCCCGTGCATTGCGACTCGTTGCGTTCACCAAACTAAAGATTTCAAAAATGCGTAAACTCCTGAACAAACTGTTCAGGCTTTCATCCTTAAGAGGTACATTTCATGCAACGTATTGAACGTACCGAACGCGCTACACCACAGCCACGTCAAGCTTGCATGCCTACCGAGATACATGGCGGCACACGCCACACACACATATGCTACATATGTTTTCGGATTCGGTTAAGGGTACAGTTCCATATGTAGGTACTCACTGCAGGTACCGGGCTCTCGGGCTTCGTTCTACCGGTAAGCTTCTAGAAGCCGACGCCGACTGTCGAGACATCGATGGAGGGAGGCATTACGGGGGATCGCTAAACCGAGAATGCACGAGATACAAACAAGGCAAGAAAGGGCAGAAGGAAGACTGAAAAGTCAAGAAGACTCCAAGCGTTATTGCGGCAAAAGCTCAAAGAGTAGGTAGGTGTGGAGTGGAGTTGTAGACTAACTAGGTATCCTTTTCTCTCTTTATATCTCTTCAAGGTCTCTTCAAAGTCTCTGCAATGTCTCTTCAATGTCTCTTCACCTTATTCTCACTATTCCTTAAAGGTCTCTTCAGATTTTGAGGTTTTGGCAAGGCACTCTTCTCTCCGTCTCTTCTCACAATTCTTCAGACGAATAAGTTGTTCTATCCGGTCCGGACCTAAAATAGTAAATCTTCTTCTATCCGGACCATTGGGACGGTAGAGGGAGGTATCTCTCGGCAACTCAATCTGATATTGTCGGCTTTGCGCAATGCTTCCTATACCCGCCAAGGCAAAGGGAGCAAGCAGGAGAACAAATATCATATGAAGCTTTTGTCGTGTCTAAACATACTACACCCGTAACCTTAGTTGCCTCGAACGGGTTGTCCTTTTTGCCTGGATTGCATAACAGTCGCGGTGAAACTAACCCCCGCGGCGCAAAGGAGGCAAAGGAGGCAAGGGAGGGATGGAGTGTTTTGTTGGAAGCTCTCTCGAATGTTTGATATACTATCAAGAAGCATGTAACTGGAGCCTCTCCACACTAAGCAGTTAAGCTCGAGTAACTAGAGAAGTGAACTGAGATGTGTACTTCAAAATGGTATCATTGAGCTTCATTCTACATAGAATTACAAAATATCATCACCTCCCTTTCCCCCTTCTCTTGCACCCCAGTCACTACTTAACCCTTATAAGGCGTAGGACCAATCATCAACTCGGGCTTCACCAGGGCATCAAACTCCTCCTCCGTCAACGCCTTCAGCTCGAGCGCGGCCTGCTTAAGCGTCAGTCCCTTCTTATGCGCATGCTTCGCAACCTTGGACGCCATATCGTATCCGATCTTGGGGTTCAAGCAAGTAACCAGCATCAGAGACTCCTTCATGATGCTCGCAATCTTCTCCTCGTTCGCCTGCAGGCCGTGAACCAAGTTCTTCTCAAAGGAGCGCATGCCATCAGCCAAAAGACGAGTAGAGTGCAAGAAGTTGCGGATGATCAAGGGCTTGTAAACGTTCAGCTCGAACTGGCCGTTCATGCCACCGATGGTGGCAGCAACGTGGTTACCCATCACCTGCGCGCAGACCATGGTGAGGGCCTCGCACTGAGTGGGGTTGACCTTGCCCGGCATGATGGACGAGCCGGGCTCGTTCTCGGGCAGGTTGAGCTCGCCGAGGCCGCAGCGCGGGCCGGAGCCGAGGTAGCGGATGTCCTGGGCGATCTTGGTGAGGGAGGCGGCGAGGGTGTTGAGGGCGCCGTGGGCGTGGACGAGGGCGTCGTGCGCGGCGAGAGCCTCGAACTTGTTGGGGGCCGTCTTGAACTCGGTGCCCGTCATCTTGGTGACTTCCTCGGCGATGGCCTCGGCGAAACCCACGTACGTGTTGATGCCGGTGCCGACGGCGGTGCCGCCCTGGGCGAGCAGGCGGAGGTCAGGGAGAGAGGCCTCGACGCGCTTGATGCCGAAGTCGAGCTGGGCGACGTAGCCAGAGAATTCCTGGGCGAGCGTCAAGGGGGTGGCGTCCTGCAAGTGGGTGCGGCCGATCTTGATGATCTTCTTGGCCTCGAACTCGTCCACCTTGGCTTGGAGGGCGTCGCGGAGGGACTTGAGCGCGGGCAGGAGCTCGCCCTCGACCTCGAGGACGGCGGCGATGTGCATGACGGTGGGGAAGGTGTCGTTGGACGAGGCGGAGCGGTTGACGTGGTCGTTGGGGTGCACGGGCTTCTTGGAGCCCATGGTGCCGCCGAGGATCTCAATGGCGCGGTTGGAGATGACCTCGTTGGCGTTCATGTTGGACTGGGTGCCGGAACCGGTCTGCCAGACGACGAGGGGGAAGTGGTCGAGGAGCTTGAGGTCGGCAACCTCCTTGGCGGCCTGCTGGATGGCCTCGGCGATCTTGGGGTCTGTTGTTTTCGGGGGAGGTCAGCTTTCTGCGCATGGCTTCCAGAGCTTGCCCTGAGGGGAGGGGTTTCACATACCAAGACCGTAGCGCGTGTTGACCTTGGCGGCAGCACCCTTGAGAATACCGAAAGCCTTGACAATGGGAGGAGGCATGCGGTCCTGGGGTTGGTTGATCTTGAAGTTGCTCAGAGAGCGCTGGGTCTGGGCGCCCCAGTACTTGTCGGACTCGACCTCGATCTCGCCGAAGGCATCGGTCTCGATTCTGGTGTTCTTGGCCATGGCGCTGGAGCTGGAGAAGTAACGGGCAGAGGTCTTGGTGGCAGCAGAGAAGCTGACGGCGACCTTGGAGGAGGAGCTGGCAACATTTGAAGCAACGCGGGCGGTGCCAGAGAGGCATGTGCTAGCAACGGCAGCAGCAGCCCGAGGCTTGGCCAGGCGGCCGGCAGTGCGCATCGATCGAAGCATGGTTACTAATACTCTTTTGTAAGGTACGTGTGTAAGCGAACGGTGCTCGTATGCGTATGGCTAGCACCGGAAGGTGGTGGTGCTGAAAGCTTAGTGATAGCGGGGTTTGTTGGAGAGAGTGCGACTTGTGGTCAGATCAGATGATGATGGTGAGGGGAACTACTGCAGCTATACTCGGGGTAATGAAGAGGAGCGGAAGGTGACGTTGACGTTGGTGATGATATCACGAGAATAGAAAGTAAACATACAGATGAATAGAAATTAAGGAATATACGCACCAGAAAAGGTCACAGACACAGCTCCGGAGGGGGGAGGATGGGGAGGCTTGAGATATTATAAAAAGTTCAGGAACAACAGGAAATCACGGAAATTCACGCGTTCGCGCATATAAAAAGCACTCATCCATGGACCACTCATGGAATATGGAACCAAAAGGACGGGAACCCATGAACCCTTCCTCGCCAGTCGCCAGTCGCCAGTCGCCAGCACTCGGAAGCGGAAGCGAGAACCGCTGTCCGTGGTCCCCAGCGCCAGCAGTGAGGTCGCGGTACGTCTCAGAGCTTCCATTTTTTTCTGCCGTGTCGTCACCCTTTCTCGCGACCCGACAACAACCATGCCTGTCTTCTCGAATCAATTGAAGCCCGAGCTGGCCGCCCAGTCCCGCCATCCCGCCATCCCGCCATGTTGCGCTGGCTGCCGCTGCCCCTCTCGCGGCCCCCAAACGCGGCAGCAGCGGTCTGCGCCCACTATAAATCCTAGAAAGCCCGCAACCCGCTGGTCCGTTAGCTCCGGCCGGGCCACCCCGGTTCCTACCCATCACCGCCCAATCGGGACCCGTTCAACGCGAACAGCAGGACAGTTGGCATTGACCAATCTGACCAACAAACCATCAACAGTGTCATTGAATTTGTTTTGTTGGCTGCCGGTTGAAGTCTGAAAAAAAAACCTCTCATTGAAATCTACACCTTCTTTTCGTTTGGTTCTACAAACGCACTGACTGACTGCTAGACAAGATACATGAATATTACAAACTTTTAACATCTCAAGCTAATAGAGCAGCTGAAGACCAGAATTAAAAGATAAAGAATTGTAGTTAGCTCCTGTCAAGGAGAACCATGAATGTTCCCCGTTCCCATTTCCATCTCCATCTCCATCTTCTCCTGAATGTCGTCGTCCTCAACGACAACGACGACTCGCGAACTCCAATGAGCCAATCTCGTCAAGCGGAACCACTCATCAAGTGGGTCCCATCATCCCCACCATAGCCGCCAAATGCCAAGATTACGTAGGGAAAGACGGAGGGCATCTTCGGATCTGTCGCTGGTCTTTCTTGTTCCTCAATCACCCACACACCCGTGAACCACCACCACCCCCTTTTTGAGTAAACAAACAACTTCATACCCCTGCCCATTCTCTTTGTGACAGACAGATGGACTGTTCCTCATCCACCTTTACAAGGACTAATATCCCCTATCCATTCGCAATCCCAAAACTCCAGAGGATCTTCCTCTCATCCAATCCTAGTCCAACAAGGTGCCCGATAACTCCGTTTACACCAAAGGCCAACATGATAAAGCCACCAAACAACGTTAGTATAAGATAGGCAGAGAAAAGTGCAATGCCCGCCAGAAAGGCATCATAACATGCTTTGAGCCTTTGTTCGGCAACCGCGGCGCGCCATCAATATCGAGTGTGAGCAATAATGGCGAGAGGTGAGGTCCGTATAGGATCAATCAAGAGTTGAGCGTCTTGATCATCATCTGCGTCTTGCGCTTGTCGGTGACAAGAAGCCCGCGGTTACGGAACTCCACGTTGATCGCATCAACAACCTTATGGAAGCTGCTAGCTGCTCCCTTCTCCTGCGTGAAGCGCGCAATGCTGAGTTGGGTTCGCTGGTTACGCTTGCCATGCTCAATCACCATCATGATCTCAATCGCAAACGAGACCTCCTTGACATTGTGCACTACACATCGAACATAGATCGTTAGCATATCCATGTCTCCATATAACTCTGATATCTGAGACCAGACAAAAAAACTTACCATTCTGGGCGCCCACGCGAGCAAAGATGATGTTGCGTTCCTTATCAACCTCGACATCCTTGATGCCGAACTGGCGCCACTCCCTGAGCAGGATCGCCACCTCTTGCCGAGCCCGCCGTCTAGGCATGGAGAAGCACAGGTGTCGCGTAGCAGGCTTGACCCGGAATAGCCGGGCCAGCCAGTTCTGATGAACCTCAATTTGACGGCCACCCCCTTCGCTCTCACCCCAGCTCTGCGAAGTCGCGCCGCTGACCACTCTCGACTCGCTCTTGCTGGATTTGTGTTTCTTCCCACCGCCGTCTTTGTTGGTGCTGATATCGAAAGTCGATGCTGCATTCAGTGTCAGTAAGTTAAACTCTTCACATACATCTCTAGGCCATTCTTACCAGTAGGCGACGAGTTCTCACTCTTGGATCCCTTCCAGAATGCAAAGCTAAAGGCCTTCTTCTTGTTCGGGTACGGGCCTGGTCTAGCACTAGACTGTGACTGAAGTCCGTCTAGTTGCTGATGGATATCGGAGATGATTGTGGTATCATTGTGATTCACAGTCGTATCGGCTGTGTTGGCAAAGCTCGTGTTCTCTTTGGAGGACCGTCTGAACCAGGATGGAACACGCTTCTTGGCTGGAGCGCCGGCATTGACAGTGTTATCGCCAACATCCTGGCCTTCCTGCTGTGTTCCCAGTGGGCAGTTCTCCTTGTAATCAGGAGGGATGTTCGACAAGGCCGTCTTGCGGTAGTTGCTTTCAGAAGGCGCGGCTGAGGTCGTCTTGGAGACCTTGCGAACATTGAGAGGCTCCGGCATAGGAACGGGTCCTGCCGTGGGAGAGTTGACCACACGAATAGTGTTCTCAGCTCTAGCCAGGTAGTCCAGCGCTTTGTTGTTCTCAGCCGGTGATGGTGTTTCAGGAGAGGCCCACCTGGTGGAAGCATTGCGCGTCCAGTCTTCAGACGCCGTCTCATAGATGGACGGTAGTTGTCGGGGATCCCTGCCTGCAGGTGTCGTGTAGGCAGGCTCCGAGACAATACGACGGTCTGGAACAATGGTCTGTGAGGGGCAATTGCCTAGAGAAAGACGCTCTATCCTGAGGGGAGCTGGATGGACATTGACCACATATGTCTGATTTGCAGCCGGAGATACTTCGATAGATGGGATCGGAGGGAGAGGCCGGTTCACCCACGAATGGCTGGCGGCTTGTTGTTCAGAAGGTAATGCCGTCGACGACTCTGGCTGTGGAGAGGGCGAAGATGTGCCCAGGGAGAGAGAAAATGGACTGTTCTCACGAGACCCGCTAACAGCAACACTAGATTCAGACCCGACAAGAGAGCTACGGAATGCTTCATCGCAGTCCATTGCAATTCTATAGCCGAGCTGCTGCAGTTCCTCGTCCCAGATGAGCGTCTCATCTCTCGATTTCAGAGTGTTGTCGGCAGAATGGATATCCGAGGCCTTCTGTCTCAGCTGCTGCCGGCAAGAATCGCGTCTATCAACCACACTGCTACCAGCTACACTGCTCGAAGCAGCCCGCACATTCTCCCGAATCCGAGCCTGGAGTCGGTCTCTGGCACGAATGCTGGAAAAGTCAACACCCCTCCTGGATCGGTTGTTTGCCCGCACCCGAGGTGTGCCATTGATACTCCTAAGTGAACCCATGGATCCCATGGAAGATCGCAAGCGCCCTGTGGTATTCGTGCGTTGAGAGTTCATCCTCGGCCGCCTACGGAATGAACCGCCAAAAGATGTATAGGAGTTGTACGAATGGGCAATGTTCGACGTGTTGGACCGGGTGCCTGGCTCGGAGGGATTGCGGTGGACTATGATCCTTGCGTGGCTCGCTTCCGAAGCGCAATTGCGCAGGACTTGTGACGCTCTGTAAGGATCATAGCTACTGACAGTGCCGGAATCATTAACTTCGGCGACGTTGGAGATGACGGTGAACTTGGAAATGCTCCTCCCATGACCATTTCTAAAGGGCTGCGTGAATTCGCAGGTCGAAATGCGCTTTCCCCAGCTAGGGGGCTTCAAGTGGTGGAAATCGCTCTTTGAAATGGGAATGTCGTTGTTGTAGTTCTCGAGCTGTGCATTTCTGTGTCGATAGAGAAGCCAGTAAAACACCTTTTGGTCGTTTGGTCTGTTGCGCAAGGTTAGCATGAGGCCTGAATAGAGACTAGACAGAAGAGGCATAGGCTTACTTCTCTTGGCCAAGTTTCTCTTTGATTTGGGCCTCTGAATAAGCATGCCACATGGACTTGAGCTGTCTGAGGATCTGGGGATCAACTTCCTTCTCTGGGATTGGACCGATGTCTGCGTTCCTCAAGACGTCCTGCGGTTGACCATCGCTTTGCTGATAATCGTCGACATAGTCATACTTCTTGATGAGGGGATGCTTCCACATCTGCTTCATGGTAATGCGTTGCAATGGGTTGACGACCAAAACCTTCCGGATAAGGTCCTTAGCCTCTCGGGAGAGATCGTTTGGCATCTTGTAATGGCCTCTTCTGGCCTTTTGAAGCATGGTGTCCATGTCATTGTCATCGAAGGGGAGACGGCCAGCCAACATGGCAAACAAGATGACTCCCATGGCCCAGATGTCCACGGCTGAGCCCTTGTAGGGTTGATGCTTAAGCAGCTCGGGTGCAGCATAATGAGGACTGCCGCAAGCGGTTTTGAGGTGATGGGTTGGCTCCTGGTGCAGGGCTGCCATGCCAAAGTCGGCAATCTTGATTTGGCCATCTGACTTGAGCAAGATGTTCTCGGGCTTCAGGTCCCGATGGCAGATGTTGAAGCTGTGGCAATACTCGAGGGCGCTCATTATTTGCCGAAAGTAGAAAATTGCTTCCTCTTCATTGAGGCGGCCGTTCCAGTTGATGAAGTCAAACAGGTCACCCTTTTCGACGTACTCGGTGACGAGGTAGCTGGTCCAGATGTTAGTCAAGTCAATCATGGAGAACCGCACATGGCGTTGTTTATCTTACATATCCTGCCTGTTCTCCCAAATGTCATGCAGCTTGATGATGTTTGGATGCTGAATGAGCTTCAGGATAGCAACCTCTCTCTCAATGGCGAGGGGCATTCGGCGGACCCCGTCGGCGCTTGTGCTTGGCTTGCGGTAGTCGACTCGCTCCAGGTTTACCATACTCGTAGCTTGCGTAACATGGGCAGTGCTCTTGGCTACAATCTTGATGGCGACCAGCTGATGGGTGGTGCGATGACGCGCAAGGCGAACGCGGGCAGAGGCGCCCTTGCCCAGGGTCTTGCCCAACTGCCATGGGCCGATATGGGTCTTTTGTAGGCGGGTGCTGGACGCATTTGAAGAAACATTTGAAAATTGGGAGACCCGGCGCGCATCGTGGACTTCTTGGTTGTTCATCTGCTGAAGTGAAGAAGGGTGACGGAGGCGGCTCATGGAGGGGACATCCGGTACAGCAACGGGAGAGGGGATGGTTACGATATGATGCTGAACGAGAGGGATGTCGGTAATGATGGGAGGCGTAGATTTGCTGCGGTTGGTCTTCTTCCATGACTTTGCGTTAGCCTCGACCTTGGGTCGCGAGCTGGTTTGCATCGCGGCGATGTTTGCTCTGTTGGTCGCGTCGCCGAGAGGTTGGCGGACGGAAACACGAGAGCCCGTTCGTTGGTCCATGGTGGCAGAATCAGCGTGGCATGGAAGGATAGTAGACCCTCGCCAATTATCGGTGGAGGACGACCGACGAGGATGAAGCAATTAAGTCGCGACAGGCGGCTGTAGATGCTTAGTACGATCGCGGCTTCTGTCTCTGCGAAGGAAGAGGGGGACTAGATACAGACGACGACAGACGACAGGCAAGAGCAATGCCGAACTGGCGATGCCAAGGAGGCAACAGGGTAGGAAGGAGAAAAGACACGAGCAACAAGATGGGAAATCCCGACACGGATTGAGTTGAACCCAATGGGATGGTTTGCGCAAGTGTGAGTGCAAGAATTGAATGATGTCGAGGATGAGGTCGAAGTATCGGGAGTGGAGGGTGAGGAGAGGGTGAGGAAAAAGTGAAGAGGCGGACGGGAAGGGTGGAAGGCCTAAGGCTGCGGCTGGCACTTTAGATTTGGGGCGGGACGACTTTACCGGTACTTCAGAATTGGTTGGAAATTTTGAACTTGACGGACCGGAACAGCCGTCGTAACTTTCGGGTTCTGTTTTTGCGCGGCCGTCCAATGTTTGGACCCGCGAGTTGATGTCCTTGGAATGGAAGGAGCGATTTCCCCGGCAACCGCCTGCCCTTGACTGACCACGATAGTCCGGCCGGCACCATTCCAGTGACATCGGACGAACAACAACACAACCTGGAAATAGGTATACAACTACACTGACCGTCCTGGTTCCTACAACTTAGAGGTTCCCAAATGTTGGTTGCTAGGTGGGAGCGAGGTATCCTTGACTCATTCCCATCATGATCGTCAGTCTGCAAAGACACTCTCTCGTAAACTCGCCTTGATGGCACCCCATATGTTGCAATCGTGCGAGTTAGAAACCCTGACAGCTCTCTACCTGAAGATAAACGTCTAAAGCCGTATGTCTCGTCAAAGCTCAAAGAATGTGGTGCCCATCAGCACGTTTTGGTTCCAAATACCAAATACGGCTGGGGCCAGGCAGTCTTCGGTGGGACACTTGCACATACAAAAGCCGCCGAAAGACAAAATGCCTGGATGAGACAATACACTTGGAAACCATCAATCCGTCAAATGAGAGCCAATGTCAACCATGGATGAAAAGCAAGCTTTGTTGTGGAGTGTTCAGTGGACGTCCATCGTGTGCCGTTCAACTCTGTCAAAGGTGCAATGCATTATGCCAGCCATGGCGCCAACTGCTGTGAGCTTTTGAGGTTTTCGAATCATTCCCACACTTTGTCAGACGTTGGAAAGTCCAAATAAAGCCCAGGTATAAGAAGCCCTTATGAGCTTGGGGCGGAGATAAAGCGAAGCAGATGGGAAGACGACCTTGGTGGCCTGTGGATGGGAGGAATGGATAAGCACAAGCATGAGTCAACAGCAGGTCGTGCAAATTCGCGTCTCCGAAGAGGTGGAAAGGATTCGGAAGCCATTCAAAATATCATCGGGCGAATGAAAATCGAATAAATTGAAGACATCGCTTCTCATGACAGAAGCAGTTTGAATATGGTGGTCGTGATCAATGACATGAAGTCAGTAAAGTTTGAACTGTACAGAAAATTGGCTGAACGCCAAGCCACAAATGCACAAGGGCCCTGAAGCTTGGACCAGACAGGCGGGCCAGGTGCAGATGCATAAGATGCATAACTAACCCTTCAGTCAACAACGCACGAACCACCTCCTCCTCGTGACCTGGCGACCCGCACCCGTCTCTTTTGCTCCCCACTGCAGCAACGACCCATTCAGGAAACTCCATTAACCAACGCGCCTTGTCGCGTTCCTTGACTCGCTCAACATCCTTCAACGACATCCGTCCTTTGTATCTCTCGTTTGATTCCTGTGCACCACCATCGCTACTAGCCTTGGTTTATGTGCGAATTTCAACCCATCCTACTAGCCCAGCATCTCCGTGCCATCGGTTCTAATCCAGTCTCGCCTCAGACTTGTCTCAGGTGGCCAGGTTCAGGTCCAGCGTTGACCAAGTTTTGATTCTGGGCTCCAGATCGCTGGAATATGCCCTGATTCCACACGCGAGACCCTTTTTGCCAGCCTCTGCACCGGGAAACGCCCACTCTCGCCCCAATCTTACATTCCCGCAAGCATGGCGTCCGAGCCCGTGTCTTTCCCCGCCGCGGGACAGCGAAATCCCACGGATGACGAGATGTTCAGCAGCTTCAACCTCAGAGGAGGCGATGGCTCACACAATGTCGACGGCAACGGGCCACAAGCTCGATCACGGAGGAGAAGGGACCCTACAGCATCGGCATCGCCCCAGCCAAATGGCCAAAGCAGTTCCGATTTCAAGCCTGGTGCCATTGTTCGCGTCAAACTCAAGGACTTCGTCACCTACAACGAGGCCGAGTTTTTTCTTGGTCCGAGTTTGAACATGGTCATTGGACCCAATGGCACCGGAAAGAGCTCGCTTGTCTGTGCTATTTGCTTAGGATTAGGCTTTCCTTCCAACGTATTGGGCCGCGCCACCGCCTACGGAGAGTTTGTGAAGCACGGAAAGGACGAAGCCACGATTGAGGTGGAACTCCAAGGGGAACCCGGAGAGAGCAACTACGTCGTCGGTCTTCTTATCACCCGAGAGAATAATAGCCGCGATTTCACCATCAACCGTAGGAAAGCCACTCACAAGGAGGTGCACCAACTGATGAGTTCGCTTCGCATCCAAATCGACAATCTGTGTCAATTCTTGCCCCAAGAAAAGGTGGCCGAGTTTGCTGGCCTCACTCCGGTCGAGTTGCTGGAGAAGACTCTGCAAGCCGCCGCACCGGAAGAAATGATTGCGTGGCAAAGCGAACTGAAAGACCACTACAAAGTCCAAGCAGAAGCCCAGCGCAGTGCCGACGAGAGCGGCGAGGAGATCAAGAAACTGGAGCAGCGACAAGCAGCTCTGCAGACGGATGTCGAGAGGCTTCGGGAAAAAGAACAGTACGAGGCCGCCATTGCCAAACTCAAAAAGCTGAAGCTTGTTGTCGCCTATAACGAGGCCCGTGAACAATTTTACGTTGAAAAGAAGAAGAAAAAGGATGCTGAACGCCGTTTGATTCAACTCCAGCGAGACTCTGCTCCATCCTTGGAGGCGGTTAATAAAAAGCAGGAATACGTGGGAGGGGTCAAAGCCGCTGTCGAAACCAGGACAGCCAAGCTAAGAGACGCCGAAAAAGATGCTGAAAATGCTGTCAGAGGTATTGAGGCGGCCGAGATCACAGTCAGGAACCTCGCTGGCCAGCTTGAAGCGGAACAAGGCGCGTTTGCTGCTAGAAGACAGGAACTTGGCAAGATCCGTAAGAAGATCACCGAGTTGGAAGCCAAGTACGAACAGAACCCTAGGGAATTTGATCCAGCCGAATGGAACAGGCGAATTGTAAGTGATCCTTCCCCCACGGTGACAGAATGACCTTGTTAATATGCTGACACCCAACAGCGAGAGCAAGAGCATAAGATCCGCGATAAGGAACAGGAAATCGCGGAACTGAATGAACAGATCACGACGTTGAGAACTCAAGGGAAAGAAAAAAATAGGACAATCCAAACGGCCCAGGAGAAATTGGCGGCTCTCGATTCTCACCAGGGCCAGTTACTCAGCAAGCTGCGACAGGCCAACAACGACGCTGCTCAGATCTGGGAATGGCTGCAGGAGAATCAGAATGTTTTTGAGAGCGAGGTATTTGCCCCACCAATGCTGAGCTGCTCCGTCAAGGATCCTCGGTATTCCAATCTCGTGCAAGCTTTCTTGCAAGGGGACGATTTCCTGTGCTTCACGACGCAATCACCCGAGGACCTTAAAAAACTCAACCACCAAATTGTCAACGTAATGGGACTTTCCGGCACTATTCGATGCTGCACCGCCGACGCCAACTCATTCAGGCGGCCTACGTCGCAGGCAGAACTCAACGCTCTCGGTCTTGACGGGTTCATCATTGACTTTATTGAAGGTCCCGACCCGGTACTGGCCATGTTTTGCGCCGAGAAGAACTTACACCGCACGGCGATCGCACTTGCCGATATCTCGGAAGAACAATACGACAAGATCACATTGGACGGTCGTATCCGCTTTTTTGCTGCCGGAAGGCAATCTTACCATATCACTCGCCGTGTAGAATATGGCTCTGGTGCCGTTTCAACTCGTGTTCAGCAGGTCCGTCCGGGCAAATTCTGGACAGACAAGCCGGTGGATGACTCTGTGAAGAGGGAACTGCAGTGTCAGCTAGCTGAAGCTGCCGGCGAACGCGAGGAACTGAAACAGCAAAATACTAAGCTGTTAGGGGACATGGATGTGTTGCGGGAAGAGATTACAACAATCAACAATAAACTCGTACGTTACTCGGCCTGTAATTTCCTGGATGCAATTAACTGACACCTACAACAGGAGCGATTACGAGCCGAGAAAAACGAGCTACAAAGGGAACACAGCATTTGGCAAGCTCTCCCTGACAAGATCGGTAGGTTTTCTTTGACCCTAACTAGCCATCCGTCATGCTAACCTTACTTATAGAATCCGAGAAGAGGTCAGAGCAGGACAAGAGACAGGAGCTCGTCGAAACTCAGCGCCAACTGGCCGATCTCGAAAAGCAGCACGATCGCGCCGTTCTCAAAAAAGCCGAAGCCGTTCTACAGCATCAAGCGAAACTTTCGGACATCCGAGAGGCGTACCAGGCCCTCCAGGAGGCAAAGGTGCTTCTTATCGAAGCCCAGTCTGACTTTGAAGTGTTGAAGGAGAAGAACGTCGAGAGAATCAAGAACCTAGAAGATGAGAAAAAAGCCCTGGGGGAAATCTCAAAGCAAATTCTCCAGATACGCCAGCGGGCCACCGAGGCAAAGGCGGCTGCCGAAGATGCCCTCAGCGAGGAGGAGAGGAGTGGGGGGGAATTTTCGGCTCTGGCGAAGACCACGACTCTAGAACAGGTTGAGAGTGATCTTAGGGCGCAGGAGAACTTGGCGGATGGCATCGAGGCCAACAATCCACATGCGCTCAAAGAGTACCAGGACTGGGCGCAAAAAATCGAGCGCGAGCAAGCAAACCATGATCGCCGCGCAGCCCAGCTAGCCGACGTAAACGCCAAAATCGAAACCATCAGGAGCCAGTGGGAGCCTAGGCTGGATGAACTTGTCAGCAAGATCAACGACGCGTTCTCGTACAACTTTGAACAGATCAGCTGCGCGGGAGAAGTCGGTGTTCACAAGGACGAGGATTTCGAGAAGTGGGCCATCGAAATCAAGGTCCGATTCCGGTACGTTTCCCCTTTCCCGTTCCTCCTCCCACTCCCTTTCTCACAATCAATCACTAACCCTTATTCTACCCTACAGAGCGGGCGAAGCCCTCCAACGTCTCGACCAACATCGTCAATCCGGCGGCGAGCGCGCCGTCTCAACCATCTTCTACCTAATGTCCCTCCAATCAATGGCTCAAGCCCCCTTCCGCGTCGTCGACGAGATCAACCAAGGCATGGACCCCCGCAACGAGCGCATGGTGCACGAACGCATGGTCGAGATTGCCTGCGGCGAGCGTACGTCGCAATACTTCCTCATCACGCCCAAGCTGCTGTCTGGGCTTAGATACGACAAGCGCATGAGGGTCCATACGATTATCTCTGGCGAGCATGTCGACCCCGAGGGAACTATCAAGATGAACTTTGGGAAGTTTGCGGAGATTCAGAGGGGGTTGCTGAATAGGACGATTCCGTTTGCGAGCCAGATGGCGAAGGAGGAGGCTGCTTCGCAGGCTTCTTCGATGGTGGAGGCTTCGCAGGCTTAGATGTAAAGCTCCGGAGGAGACATGAAGGGCTTGGTTGTCAAAAGGAACTGATAATTTCGGGACTGGTTGGGTAGCTTTTTTGCTGTTGCCGTGTTGGAGTTGGAAGAGGCTTATCTAGGTAGATGGTTGTTTGTCTATTTGGTATCGTTTCGAGATCTATTCACCGTTCATATTCCCATGTCTGACACTCGTGGTAAACGCAAGATACTACTAGCCTTTCTGCTGAGGACAATGAAAGTCAATGTTGCTGCTGTATCTGATATCAGTCCCATCTGGCGGTTACCTATCCCTACTCCTACTGCTGTGCCTCTACCTTCCCTTCGAGCCTCCCTCCGAAACCACACCACCAGTCTCTCCCGAGTCCCGTCAATGTCATTTGTACTTCTAACTCAGGCCGCCTACGGGAGAGGTATCCATGGTATCCATTGATCAACAGGAACAAGCGGAACACAACCGTCATCATGGTGGATAATGCGGAACGTCCAGTCCTGCGTGTAAGGCGTACCTACAGTAGTGTCATGCTTGCCATGCTCACCATACTTTCCCTGCTTCCCTGCGAGGCGAGGCCACTGGCAGCGCCAAGTGATGTTAATATACCTTATTAAAGATATCGTCAATTGTTTTTTGTTTTTTGTTTTTTTTGGCTGGGTGATTCAAGCTTCCAAGTGCTTCCAAGACTTCCATGGATCTTCACGATCCATCCATCCCGATAGCCTGTCGTATGTATGTTGTCTGCCGTCGTCGAGAAAAAATCTTCTGGAAAACCTTTCCATAACAGGTTCACTCGCTCACTCGTCCTCGGTTCACTTATACGAAACTTTCTGCTGAATTATGATTGGCTGATTCTGTCTGTGTACCGACATCAAAGGTGACAGATTTTGATATCATGTGAGCGTCTTTTAGCGCCGCTTGCTTGCTGAGCTACTGTAGTGTGCATTGCCTTTGTTGCTTCCAGCTTCCAGGAAGGAAGGAAGGACCCTTCGTGCATATGGAGTATGTATGTAATGTATGGATCGTGTGTGTATTGTATTTCATGGGAGTTTAGTTGCATCAGGATCGGAAGCTTGAAGGAATGACTAGAAACGTCAGATGACGACAAAATATTGTTGCCAGTAAAGCTGTGTTTTCCTTACACGTGTACGTAGAACAATAAGCAAGCATGCTCATAGGCTGTCAAGAACTGCGGAAATCGAACGCACTCTCATTGGAACTTTCTTCAGCCCAAGATACTGAGCCAAGCAGACCAAGTAACACTTCCGCTGTAATGTCTGCACAACTTGAACTATAACTCAAAAGAGCAGGTGGAAAAGGCCCATCATAGAAAAGAATTTTCACCATTCGCTTCGTGCTCACGATGCGCTCAAGAAGAGGACAACCGCGGCAATGCTGGAAAGCTAGAGGGAGGAGGAGGCAATGGCGGAAGCAAAGCACATGAACCAGGAGGCGGTTCGTTCGAGAAGTCCAACTCCAAGAGCTCAAAGTCAGGCCAAAGGGAGGCACAACTGGAAGCACAATAACGGGAGCTCCAACAACCGCTACTATAATACCGCCGATACCAGTACCGCGCGCCCATGGTAATGCCCTTATCCATGTCAAGTCAGATTTCAATTGAGCGCTTCGAAAAAGGTCGTTTGAGCTCTCTTTGTCGTGGTTCGAAATGATGACTTTTGGTGAGGATTTCCATTGGTGATGCGCGAAGTTGATGCCAAGCCTGGGGTCTTGGCTTGAGCTTGGCTGTCAGTTTGTATGGCCCCACACCGCCGAAATATCTGGGCACACAGTCGATCTATCTGGCTCGATCCATTGGGGCGTTGACAAGCGAGTGACATACCCCCTTCATATCAGATGGATGGATAGATATCGCTGCTGCTGCTGCAAACGGACAGCTATAGCAAGCGGAATCCCTGAAGATAGGAAAGTGTAGAACTGCCAAAAGTGCCAAAAACCCCTTGTGTCCAGGTGGTCATTTCGCTGATCGGCACGCTGTGAATGGTGGACGGCAACACCAGATCCGGGGGGTGCGATTGTACATCCAAGAGATAAGGGAAATATTATCTCTCTCTTTTGACGAACCAAGCAAATTTGCGATGCCAGCAAACAATGGATGTGTCTGTAGTACTTCCTTTTTTGAATAGGAGAAGAAAGGGGAAGTAAGCCAATTTGCCATTGTTATATAAGGCTCGCTGATTCCCCTTTTTGTTTTGAGAGAGACATGTTGAAATGTCATCAGTCAGTCGGCCGACACTTCTTTCGACAACACTTCAACTTCATAATCAACTTGATCAGCAAGGAGGAGGAATAAATCGACGAACGCACGACACATGGAGCTTGCAAAGCATGGGATATACGACGGATGGAGAGTCAACATCTCAGGGTTAGGGGTCTCACTTGAGAAGCATGGAGGATCATAGGAAGGAGGACGACTTCCAAACAACAACGACGACGACAATGACATGGACAAGCAGCGAGAGACAGGTCAGAACAGTCGAGCCACCATCCATCCATCCAACAACGAACGGCATTCGAGACCAGCAACGAACGAACCTGTTTCCCAGCACGGGTTGATCATCGGCCCGGGTCACTGGGAAATGGTCATCGAGACCGAGACCGTTCATCGAAAGAGGGATCCAAACGTTGAAGACGACGACCTCGCTGTGTTAGTTCTCAAACCAACCATCCAACCATCCATCCAACCCCCAGCACCGAGCTCTCAACTCAGCCCCTGTCGACCACCTTCACAAGCGCCCCGCGTCCAACCCGTGCTCGCCCGTGTCCATCCCACATCGCAACCGACCACATGCTGCGGGGGTGGTGGTGCGCCTTGGGTGAACCCCCACGTCGAATTTACCCCCTAATTGGCCGCCCGTCTCGAAAGCGACCGAAAGTGTCAAGGGTTTCACATGCGTCCTGCTTCTGTTTTCTTGCCTGTTAAAATGCCGCAGGTCGAGAGACGGATTTGAGAGAACGAAACAGGAATTCAAGTGGCAAGCTGGCAATTTTGCAAGGTGCAGGGGAAAAGAGGAGGAGGTTGGTGAGTGAGAACTGAGGATGCTGTCGCTGTCACTGAGGGCGTGGTGGTGACAGTGGTGACAGTGGTGGGTGTCCAGTCGTCACTGCCCGTTACAATGATGGGGTCGCTAGCGGCTCGGCTGGGCTGGGCTGAGGTGAAGCCTTCCCCCCTCCACTCCAAGAGTCCATCTGGATATGACTTGCACAGCCGCGGTATAGTGGTGTGTACTCCTTGGGAACTAACTAAATCCTCAAAGATGAGAAGTGATGAAGCAATATGGTGGACGAACAGGTGGGATGACGAGCACTCTGACGACTTGTCTCTTCCAGTTCGCAATCCATCAATTCCAACCACACTCGTTTCGGGATACACACCCCCTTGCCAAACTGGTAGGTACTTAGCTACAGCGCGTCAACCTGCCACCTCAGGCAGTCAGCTAACCAACAAGCCGTTCAACTTCTGTCCCGTTCACCGACCCTATTAAGGAGGAGGAAGGGCGGAAGCAACACCAACAGCATTGCTCTCTGTCCTCACTCAAATCTCCGAAGCCGGAGTCTCCAAGTTGGCTTGTCTTCCCACCCGTGCATGAGAGTCCGGGTTCACAAAGCTGGCAAGCTGGCGATTGCCCGCCCGGTCGCAGACAGATGGCATCACAGATGAGATCACATCATAGCCTCCCTTTACCTATCTCTATCTATACCGCAGTGCGGTATTTCGGCAGTAAAAGCGCACCATAGCTGTACGTCGGAAGCTTGAATTGTCTTGGCGACCAGCGGGTGTTATAGTGGACAGTCCGAGATCGCTCAGACAGCTCCCGAAACTGATATCGCCAGCGTTGTGATTGGCTTTTTGGCAACATCCGGGTTGGAGGTCGAGGGGCAGCTTCCGTGCTATTCTCTTGTGGCAGGTCTCGACCGAGAGAGCAACAATTCCAATGCATGAGGGCGTCAGTAAGATGGTTCGGATCCTCCTGTCAAATGCCCGTGAGCCGCATCGACGGCTTCTTCCACCACTACTACCTATTTCCATCTCGCTCCTAATGTTTAGCGCAATGCAGCGCTGGTTGGCTTGGTTTAGCGCTCCGACAGTAACAGGGCATTAGTGGCTTTTTAGTGAATGCTACCTGTCTCTTTCCGCAGCTAGATTGAAGGCAAGGGAGGGGATTCCGTAGAAAAAAATCCACAGCATCGGGAAATGAAGGAACGAGGCCGAGGCTAGTGAACTCTCTGTTCCGAAGTTGAGATAGGCTCTTGATAGGGTCATTGAAATTGTCAATGGCAGACTCAAAGAGTGATGAGGGTGAAAGGACTCCATACAGTATCCGTTCTTTGGAGGAGCAGAGCTATGGCCATGGTGTTTTGGTTTTGCGGAAAGAGGTTAACATCTCCGTCTTCCCAACCGCCATGGTGGAGTTGCTTAGGATAAAGCACTGCCCTTGCAGGCCTTGATGATCAAGATGGCCCATAATGTCATGCAGAGCGCCTGGCGGATGGCGGATGGGGGCGGGGCCGGGCCTACGGGCCCATCAGGTTTTCGGGATGCCGTGATCGACCTTCCGAGGCCTTGATGAGGCTTCAGCTCCGCGTTCGATTCGGCGCCGCAACACCGCTCCGGGCCAGAGATCAGAGCTTCTTTGATTGATGGCATTCAGAGCAAGCTTTGGCCACTTGATGATCATGACTTGCATCTAATATTTTAAGATCAACCGTTCCACAGCTTCGGGCCCTTTGATCTTGGCTTTCTATGACGCGTGTTGTTTATGAAGCTTCATCTTAGTCGATCGATCTTAGTGTACTGCCGCGTTGTCTCTGATCTGCGGTATTTCTTGTTGATTCCGGTGACGCTTGGCGGCCCAATGTCCGGCATTGGCAACGAAGTCTTTTGGTCGGCAACGGTCCCGTAAGACCGTGAGAACATAACACTCCACGGACTTGTGGATAGCAACTGCGGCGATGTTTGATGTTTGTAAACAGCGAGCGTAAACACTCTCTCAGTAATCTTGACGTCAGCAGGCAGTCGGACTTGTGACGTCGAGAGAGCGTCTTGGCAACAAAGCTGCAGTAAGGAGAAAAAGGCTTGGCTTTGGCACTGTTGATGGCATCGTAAGGGTCCGGTGGGTCTCTGCTGGCCTCTGTTTCGATGGCATTGTCCAATGGGCGGGAATATTCGGCCATGTTGCTCCCAGCCAAGCCTTGGAATTACATATACTCGTACCGTAAGCAGTGAGGAGTTCTAGAATCTTGTCGTCGGCAGCATCTCAATGGGGTGGAGACGAGAAGGTGCCATTGTGTCTGACGGGCTCGCGGAGTCGCGCTGGAAGCTTGGAAGAGGCTCCATGCGGCGGCTTCAATCATTGTCGAGATTGAGAACGGTCAAGCCAAGGACGGAGAGTTCCATGAGCGAGGACAGAAGAGGAAATCGTTGTGCAAGTCAAAAGTTTCGAAAAAGACAACGGTGGAGAGAAAGTGGAAGGCATTCAGATGAAGTTGCCCTCGACAGTGCTTCAGTGCCTGCAGCCTCTGAAAGTGGACGCTTTGGCGCCTGCCAATTGGACTGCCCTGTCCAGTGCCTGTAAAGTGCGCGGCTGCGGCAGGGGAAAGGGAGCGATGGAGTCTCTCAGACGGTGGGGGTCGCCATGCAGCTCGATGCATGTGGCTTTGCTGCCCTGGCCCAAAGTACCCGGTACTTCGACCTCCTTTGAGTTCGCATCCCTGTCAGACCGCAAGTGGAACACAAAGCCCCCTCAGTCACTCGGCCAGGGCATTCTTGCTGTCTTCACAACAAAACATCGTATAGTAATATGCTATGCTAGGTGAAGAGTGGCGCTTAAGGATGGGGATAGAAGATCACACGCGCTCACCTTTTTGATGAGTCCGGAGAGCATTTCCTCAACTCTTGTGTTTACCACACTTTGTGACTCGGACTCAAGTTGGCAGGGTGGGAAAAGCATGTGGTTGCCAAGTCTAACGATGAGACATTGTGATGGTGGTTTTGGTGGTGTGTGAGAGGCGTGGGGTGGTTTCACGCGGCCGCGTCCTCACAGGAACTCCCTGCTGGGACGGATCGGAGAACACATTTCTTTTCCCAAATTCGTTGTTTTGGCAAGATATTGGAGTGTTTATAGACAAAATGTCGTTGGGAAGTAGTATAGCCTCACTTGACAACATGCAGTGGAAGCCGAGGTGTTCCGCTGATGAGGACAAGTTGAGTGAAATGATTGGCCTTCAGTATCCAACTCATCAGCTATGAAATATGAGATGGTAGAAGAAGTATCGGTAGCCAACAACGGAAAGCGCGCGGGATGCCCTTCACACTTTCTGTGTCGTATTGCAGTTTATCATCATCAAGTTCCTGTACTTGGCCCAGTCGTGCTTGCCATCCAGTCCCGCGCTCATGTCTAAATCTCCTGGCCAGTGACAGTCGACGCCTTCCTCACCACCACAGCTTGAATATCGGACACTCCAGTCTGGCTCTGTAGCAGACCTGAGGGCTGTCAAGTTGCCTTTTCGGATTCAATGTCTTATTCAGGCTGACAGATCTGGATCATCCGGGCGTTACCATCATGGCAACTTCTATTTGTGTGACAGTCAAGCGGTTCTGACCACTTCAGGGTCCTTCGCCATTCGGTATTGTCCATACCGAACACTGATCTACGGCGGACACGGATCTGGTACAATACCCGATCGGAAGCTCTGAACGTCGGATTCACTTGGTTGACGGTCATGTCGATTGAAGAACTCTTTTCTGATCTCTGTTTTCTTCAAGGTAGACACCTGATTTTGGTCGATCTCGGCCTTTCAAGCTGCAAGTCATCCGCTCTCTCTAACCACTGGCAAAATTTCGGAGGTGTAAACCCCGTCCAACATTCTCACCAACATCGAATCGGACTAAAAGTATTTACAAACCATCAAGTTCACCCACGCACTCGACTTGACCAGGGACAAACAGCTTCATCCAAAGACGTGAGGTCGTTGGTTGCGGTCGCGCGGTTGTGCCGTTACGTGGTGGTTACACAGTAAATATGACAGGGCTGCAAGCATTGCTCGGTTGAGGGCCCACTGGCCTCGTCAGCCCCCTTGCGAACACTAGTCCAAAAGTGGTCTGGTCCCAATAGTGGGGTCGAGTATCCTCGACTTTGCACCAGTCTCGTTTCACGGTCTCGCTTTCACGTTCACGAGCAGTTCATGATCCTTTTTGACTCCATCTCATGGTCTCTCGTCACCCAACACATCGACAAGGGCCTACAATTGCCCGTTTATGGCCTCTCGAGGCCCTCAGAGCTGCCTTTGATCGGTGAATCCGCCACATTTCGAACCTCTACTACCCAGAAAGAAAAAGGAGTGCAGCTTCAGACAGCTCCCACTCTCACCGACTCGCATGCACTTCTACAGAAAGGTGCTGCGTTGTTTCCGTGAGAATCCTGATGCTGCTGCGCTTTTCGACTAGCGCCTCTTGGTTGCGCAGGGATCAAAACTTTATACATATTCAGGGCCTCTTTGGCTCGTGGAAAACGCCCCGTCGAGCCGTAACAGGCAGCCTGAACCGGGGCGACCACCACGATGCTACCCAGCAGGTAGGATTGCCAGTGACGAGAAGTGGGAGAATGGCTACACGGAACTCTACTCACTACTCTACAGGATCTAGAATTCAAGGATCTTTGCCACACAAAGCCGATATGCACGAAGGGCCGAATTCTGTCGCTGTCTCGTAAGGACGACGAGTTAGAGACGGGTGGTGCTGATGAACCAAGACAGTGCGGCGGCCAGACGTTGTGAGAAGCCAAGCTAACAATGGCCCTTTCTAAACCCAGAAAAGAAGAGCCGAGTGTCTTGGTTAGAACAAGGAGATGAACGCTTTCTTGGGTGAGTCCGCCGAAGGGCCGACGGTCGAAGCCTTTGTCTCCGGCGAGTCCATTCACCACTATCAAAGACAAAGAGGATCTCTGAATTCGTCCTGCCGATATCACAGCGAGTTCGGGCGACACTCTAGTTTAGCTGACTCTAGTTCCGTTGTTAGTTGTTTTGAGGAGATGTGGACGGAGCCGTAACAGGAATCAAGACCGTGATCGTCTCTTACAAAGGAATGAAAAGCGAGCCATAACCCCACCAGATACTCGTACCAGCACCAACTCCCTGTTCACGCTGGAAGAACCCGAGGCCGCTACCGCGTGTGCAATCTCGTGGGACCTCCACTCTTTCTCACTCCGCTGACGGAGTTGAACCCGAGAGGGACTGAATATTCCGAACCAGGTGTGGTTCAAGAGAGCTGTTGCTTCGGAGGCCAAGAGCCAAGCAGAGACAACCAAGAGTTACTCTTGAGATCATCACGTCAGGAGCCTTCAATACCACCTAGGAAGAAAGTCCAGCCTCTCGTATTGGCAGTATTGGATACATACCCTTCTTTGCCTGGCCGAATATCCATTTCCTCTTTCTGCAGTCTGGCTTGCCTGAACCGAGTCTGGGCATTGAACGGCGAGGCATGGCATGGAACACACTAGGCAAATATTAGTTGCGATCTCACTTCCAAGTTCTGCCGTAGACGACGTTGACGGACATGGACTGGCCTGGACAGCAATTCCCCTCGTCTCCGCCGTACCTGGAGCCGAAGGGGCCTGAGGGGCTTACGCTAGACTCTACCTATAGCAGAGACGGGAATTGAAACATAGGACGGACGACGGGATCACTCCACTTGTTAATTGCACGTCTCTTGAACAACGACATGCTCGGGTGCTGCTCCGAAACAGTCCGGACCATTTCTTGTCTGTGTAGTGTACACAGTAGGTAGTAACTAGCAACAAGGTATTGTCGTCACATTCGTCCCCCTCATCTTCATCATTTTTCTCTTGTTGCTGTTGTCGCCGCTGCCTTCTTAGTGCAACGCCCGAAAAGAAATCCATCTGCAACCCCCACACGAAGAACGGCATCCCGAAGCCGGCCCTGAACCTCTTCAACCAACATGCAGAGGTCTCACCTTGCGGTTTTCCACGGCTTCGTTCGCTTCTCAGAGACATGTACGGATATTCCCATGCCCGAACAGTCAGTCATCCTAAAAAAAAAATGACTGAACTCGAGGGCGTGAACAATGGCGTTCCGCGTACTGTGTACATCCAGTCAAGTGGCTACGACAGGGGTTAGCAGGTACCGTGTACCGTGGACTTCATCGACCTTTCAATCAGATCCCACTCTTTGCACATCCACTTGGACACGCTCGCTAGCGTCCCGGCGTGCCGCACTTTTTCGCCAGTGGGCATTCCATTGTGGAGTTTTCGCGGTGGGCAGCGCAGCTTCTGACTGGCCTGCTCCGAGTCGTCGAGTGGGTTTTTTTGGCCGGCGGGCGTGTGCGGGCGTGTGCGTCCCGAGCACGAGAAATGTGGGCAGTGGGCATTCTTCGAGGCACTCAACTCCTCACAGTCAATGAGAATGAAACGGAAGGCTGCCCGTGCGCTGAGCAGTCACCACCCGAACGTGGGGAAACTTTCCTTCCATTCCAATCCACTTTTGTGCTCTGCCCTGACTGGACCGGAGGAGTTCTTGCTGGTCTGCAGATGGTTCTCGGCTGCTGCAACTGCTGCCGCTTGGCTGTTCACACTGCTGAGTCCTGGCAACTGTGCTGCTACACGCTACACACTAGTTCCAAAGCCCCAAAACCCGGGAACCTCCACTACGAGTGAAAGTCAATTTCACAGTCATCGGATCGGCTGCCATCTACGTCGTCACCAACAACTTCTTTCTGGTCGTCGTCGCCGTCGCCGTCGCAGTTCGCAGTCGCATCCCAATTCCGCTGTTCGAGAGAGCGCAGTGAGACTGACTGACTGTCCGTGACCTTCTTTGACCTACTTCGTTCTAGGTCTTTAGCAGCTCTTGCCCTACAACTACGGGCCTACCACTACAGTCACCTGTCGGTCCTCCGGAATCCCTTCCCCTCCTCCTTCTCAGACTCTTTTCCTCAGACACGCAGAGTCAACGTCAACCGCATCAGTCTCATCCTCCACCCCGGCAGGTCTCGCTCCTCCACCCTTCCTCTGTGCGACAATGGCGGCCAGCACCACAACCCCAACCGCCACGACAAGGCCGTTTTTCTCCATGAACCCGACGACAACAGAGCACGACTTTCGCTTCCCGCGCAGGCCTGGTGACTCCGTGGCCGGCACCGGACTTGGAGGCGCCGCCATGTCATCGTCCTCTGCCAACAACCAGCACCACCCCATGAGCGCATTCAACCACCACAATGCTGCCAATGCCCGTGGCCGTGATAGCTTCGGCCGCCCCAACAACAATATCAACGGCTTTCACCAGAGACAGAGCAGTAGTAACAACAGCATGAACTACAGCAGTAGAAACACCCATCCCACCAGTGACTACCACAACCAGTCGGCGTCCAGCGGCGGCCCAGCCTATGATCTGCTCCGCTCATCCGCTTTCCCGCCTTTTCAGGACGGCCTGGCTGGCATGACCCAGAGCCCAGACGAGATGCAGAAACAGGACCCGCTGGCTACCCAGGTCTGGAAGTACTTTGCTAAGACCAAGCTGGCCCTGCCCAACCAGGAGCGCATGGAGAACTTGACTTGGCGAATGATGGCCAAGCCGCTGCAGGCCCATCGTAGGCTAATGGAGACAGACCGGTAAGTGAAAGAGAGACTCTTAAAGAAGACGTCGTGTGTTGTTCTCTAGCGCCTGGCCAGCAAGCTAATTATAATTGCATTTGTTGTAAAAAGGGCACACCGTTTTTCGGAAACAGCCCCTCGAAGCGGCATCGCGCACTTGCGCAAGTCCTCGGAGCAGACCCAATCCCAGGGGTCTGACCTCATGAACCTGGACGATTTCATCAACGGCGAAAACATGGGCACGCCAGCTGGCATGTCTATTGCGCCTTCTCCCGAAACATCCTCCAAAATGGCCGACGATAGAGCTGCTCACCACTCCTCAGCTATCCCTATCAAGGCTCGCAAAGAGCAGCAACCTCAGCACATGATCCCTCAGTCCGTCCCCGCGGCCCTGCATCACCCAAGGATGCAGACCGAATTTGGCTATCTTCCTCGACACCTTCGCAAAACCAGCATCGACGAGACGAGCAAACGCGTGAGTAGCTTTCTTATCAGTTCCGCCTGCTGATCTGGTGTAATCTGGTCTGATACAATTATTCTTTGTCTAGAACCCGAACCGCAAGCGCCCTGCCGATTTCTCTCCTCACGTCTCCGCCGTGACTCCCAGCTATGCAACTAACGGCCTCGACGCCGATACTGATCTCCATGACTACTCGCTCGATCATACGAGCCATGGCGGCATGCGGCAGCAAACCGCTCATTCTTCGGTTCCCTACGCTCTCGATACCGCCAACCTCGATGCCGATACTTTCATCACCTCTGCCGGTCCCTTCCAGCAGAACTTCTCCTTCTCGCCGTCCACGTCACCAATGGTCAGCCACGATCCATTTACGGCCATGTTTGGCCCCAACAACTCTTCCATGCACACTGGCCCTATCCATGGCAACAACTTCTACTCGCCGCCAGCTTCCGCTTTCCAGTCGACTGCCTCTACGCCTCATCCCATGAACGAGGGTGGTGATAACTTCTACTTCAGTGTCGACATGCGCCAGGCTCGCCAGCAGCCTTACCGGGCAGGAAATCATGGCATGGGCAACACTATGGCCCACCAGTTCCCCTATGGCGGTAACGGAAACATGATGTTCCCGGCATCTTCGGCTGGCCCAGATCCAACACCCTCCTTTACAGCCCCGAACTCGTTTAGTGGTCACATCGACCCCACCCAAGTGTTCCATAATGAACAGCCGGTCCGATCACCAGGCATCAATCTTTTGCAGGACAGTCTGTTTACGTTTGGAGCGGAATCGGATGGAGACGAGGAGGATGGTGGCGCATTTGCCGATCGCAACCTATCGATTTCTCATGACTTTTCTTCCCAGAGCATGGAGGAACCGGCATTCAATTCGTCGTCTATGGGGTGGGACCCGTCTCTGCCTGGAAACTTCAGCACGCAGGCGGCGAGGTATCCTGGCGGCCCTCCGCGAAAACAGGTTACGATTGGCGCTACAACAACCGACTATGTTGATAACACTGGGGAATGGGATGGAAACGGTCTTCCCAGGTCTCAGTCGCAGTCATTCCGTCAGAACGACCCGCGTAAAGGGAAGATGCATAGGACGGCATCGACCCCGGGTCTTTTTGCCAAAAATAACCCCTTCGAGAGGCTTGCGCAGTCTACCTCCAACTCGCCCCCCGCCGATGCTGGTCGTTCGTCTGGTCTTTCCTCGGTACCGGCAAGCCGGCCTTCATCCCCTCCTCCCGGAGCAAAACAGGGCTCGACAACGAACTTGCAGGGCGCAGCTGGAAATTCGGCAGAAACCCCAACGACTTGCACCAACTGCTTTACCCAGACGACGCCATTGTGGCGCCGTAACCCGGATGGACAGCCCCTTTGCAATGCTTGTGGCTTGTTTTTGAAGCTCCATGGTGTCGTGCGACCACTCAGTTTGAAGACTGATGTCATCAAGAAGCGAAATCGCGGTTCGGGAGCGAGCTTGCCTGTGGGCGGTACAAGCACGCGGTCTAAGAAGAACGCAAGCATGAGTGCAGCGGCTCGGAAGAACTCGACTTTGTCCATTACCTCCAACGCCAACAACCAACCAGCCGCCCAGGTGGCGACGTCGCCGGCTCAGCAGCAGAACCGTGCCAGCAGCGTCAACGAGAGCCCAAGCCCCGCGAGTGGCCCTGCTTCGGGTGGCAACACTGCGGGTAGTACCCCCTCGAGTTACCACGGGAGCGCGGGCTCTTCGAGTGGTGTAGTTAGTGGAAAGAACGTGATTCCCATCGCGTCTGCGCCGCCTAAGACTGCGCCGGGACCTGGGGCTGGTTCTACGTCTCGTCGCGATACCATTAGCTCGAAACGCCAGAGGCGTCATAGCAAGAGCGCCGGAAGCGATCAGCCTGTCAGTGCCGGAGCTGTTAGCAGCAGCGGAATGGACGTCGATAGTCCCGCCAACTCGACGGCATCTAATGAAACAATGCCTACCTTCAACCCGGGGGGTGCCTTTTCTGGGCTTCCTCCGACGACTCAGAGCAGCCTCGGTTTCGGTAATGGATACATCAACACCCCTCGTCCTATGGTTGGACCTGGCGGTATGATGGGAATGCCGAATGGCCAGGCTGGTCAGATGATGGGTGCGAGCAGCAGCAGTGGGCCTGGAAGTGGCCCTTCTCGTACTGGAGCCGAGTGGGAATGGCTCACGATGAGTCTCTAATGTGGAGGCTACGATACAGCGACATCGTTTTATGGATTATTTTGATGACAAGTTTTCTCGCGATATATCTCGTTTTTGGATGGTTTTCTCTATTGGTTTATTTTGTTATGGATTTTCTCTTTGAATGCTGCAGCAATCGGTGGCTTTGAAATCACACAAGGCAATGGGGCATTACGGTGTGGCAATGGCATAGACGGTCTTGATTTTTGCTATTTACTCTGGCCGGAGGAAACGGTACGGTTGTTTGAGCTGTCGGTTTTCGAACGACAGCTTTTCTGAGCATTTTCTCCCACGCACATCTCATTTCATGGTACGCAAGGGTTGATAGAGGAAGGAGGCGGATTGACGGTGATGGAACGAGAGGGCCAGGAGGGACGGGGAAAGAAGGAGACGAGAAGTTCGAGACACACACCAGCATTCCCATCAGCTTGGTGACAATGTTGAGGAGACTCGGAAAGCGAGAAGACAGCATTGCCAGCGATTTTCGGCCGGGAATTTCAACCTGCCAACTATAAAATGGGTAGGAGGACCCCGGCTATTCAGCGAAGAAGAGCGCGATCGCAGCGGAAGATATAGGATAAACCAAGGCAACTTCGGGAGAACACATACATTTGCTTCGAGCGTTCTTTGATTGACAATGTCGACAGTCAAAGAGAAGAAGAGGAAGGAGATGAGATGATAAGGACGGGACTTGACGGACGAGCCTCGCTGCTACCGGTCCACTGGCGATGTTTGCTTGATGCTCAATGACGTGGATGGCTGGGCCGAATTTTCAAGTCTCGCACGTTTATGCTTTTTGTCCATATACGAGAAAGATGATGATACCCACAATTCTTCTTCTTACACACACTTGCTCTTTTCTGGCTGGATTGTTGTTTACGATAGGTAGATACCATCAATGGAGGATATCATGCAAATCTGGCGTTGCTTCCGCGGTGACTACTATTTGAGCTGGATTTAACCGAGTCACGAGGGTAGATGGTTACTGTATCTTGAGAGTTCTCATGTCAAGAGTGCCTGCAACGACGAACTCGGTGTCACAAATCGACCCTACGATGAGGAACAAGGCGTGTTTTAAGGTTTGTGATATTGACGGAGAAAACTCGTAGTGAAAAGGCTATATATGCTTCATGATAAATGCTCCAGACCAGTCTATAAAATGCTGGCCCCATCTTCCCCGTGATAAAAAAAACCCGAAGCCATGCAAACCGTTCCTTTGAAACCGCTTCATCCGTCATGCACCGCAACAAACGTAAAGCGTAAAAATACATGAACAAAAGGAAAAATTCATTTACCAAGGCGTGAGAGAGAGACAGACCCATATCGAACGTTCGTATTAAACTCTCTCCAAACCCCAAACCTCCCCCCAACTCCTCCCCACCCTTTCTGTCAACTCACTCCAAGTCTTCCTCTCCTTCCACAACGACAACTTCTTCCACTCGAACCCCCTTAGTCCGTCATCAATCCTTTCGTCATCACCCGCTACCGCCGCCGCCGCTGCACTCTTCTTCCCCTTCTTATTATCCCCTGTCTGGTTGACGACACTTCGGCGTACCAGCAAAAGGCCTAACATGCCCACCCCAAAGGAGACACCAACAAACACCACCAGTCCCCAGTACATGCCCCGGCAGGCGTTGATGAGGTGCGAGCCGATGGGGATGCCGGCTATGCTTGCTAGGCTGATTATGGTATACAGAGTGCCGAAGTACTGTCCAAATTGAGTCTTGCTGTTGTTGTTGTTGGTACCGCAGACAAGGGAAACCAAAACGGGTTCCAACCCCAAAACAGCGCCGCTGGAGAGGCCGAAGAGGACGGCGAAAGCGGTGAAGCGACTGGGGGACATGCCCACTCGTCCGGGGTGCAGGATTGGTGGTAGCAGGACCGCGAGGAGGGAGAGGGTGGCGAGGAGGGAGAACAAGATGGTGGTGTTGAATGCCCCCAAGCCTTTCAACATCCCGCCGGCCTTGGAGGGGGGCTTAGTAGAGGCAGAAGAAGATGACCAGAACGGCGAACCAGAAGCCAGCAGCCCAGCGAGTAACCGACCGCCAATGGAGGAAATGTTTACTACGAGAGTGCTAGTCCGAAAAGTAAAGCTGTGCGAATAACCTTGGGAAAAGAGGGAAGTGGCGGAGAGGTAGGTGGTTGTTGTGTAGATTGATAGGTGGATCAGCAGGAGAGAGAGGAAGAGGAGGGTGTAGGAGGAGGGGGAAGAGAAGAAGAAGGGGGTGAGGGAGGGGTGGGGGGCAGAGGCCAGCTTTCCTACTAGGGCTGGTCTTGCTGATGCTGAGGGGGTGATGATAGCCGAGGGCCCGCCGACCACCATGGGGGTCGTAGAATTATCAGAAGCCGAAGAAGAGGCCGAGGAGGCAGAAGAGCCAGGTGGTGGTGAAGGAGTCCGCGACTTCTTCCCCTTCTTCCCCAAAGAAGATGAAGCAGGGGACGTCGGCACAAAAGGAGGAGAGCGAATCAGGAAGTTGGCGATCACCGCCAGGAAGAAGCAGATCAGACCGAGGGTGCGGATGGTCCATGGCCAATTGACCTCATGGAAGAGGTTGCGAGTGGCATAGGGGAAGACGATGCCGGCGGTGGGACCGGCGGTGGTGGCGAGGCTGGTCGCGAAGGTGTAGTAGCGCGGAGAGCGGCTGAAGAATTGGTGGATGGTTACGAGAGAGGGGATGAAGAGGAAGGTGGAGGTTAGGCCGGAGAGGATGCCGAAGGCGAGGAGGATGGCCCATGTTTCTGATTTAACCATTGTTAGCACCATGTCGCTTATACCATTCATTCTGTCACACCTGTCTTTTCAACCCTCACGTCCCACCCACCACCTTAGCTTTCTCTTCCATAACTAAACCCCCGACTCTCCCTCTGGTCGGGTCCTCTCGACCCTCTTAAACACCCCCACCCAGACCAGACCAGACCAACAGAGAAAAGAAACTCACCACTCCTACAAGCCAAAACCACCATCCCCACCCCCAAAAACACCGTCCCAGACAGAACCATCCACCGCGCCCCAAACCGATCCGACAACGGGCCCACGTACATCCCCAACCCCAGACTAACCACAAAGTAAAGGGAGAAAACCCAAGCGAGCGTCCCTTCGCTGATGCTCGCCACTTGCTCCTCGTTGTCCCCAGCAGACACGTAGTTCTGGCATATCGACAGCACCGTCAGGAGTCCGAAGGAGGAGAAGATGGCCAGCCAGGCGCCGAGGACGGTGAGCCAGGAGCGGAGGGCGTATTTTCCCGTGGTGAGATCGTCTTCCTCAACAAAGGAGGAGTTGTGGTGTTGGTTGGCGGGGATCAGCCCGGGGGTTAGAGGGGCGAGGGAGTCGATGGAGGTGTTGTGCTGGTTTTCATCTGATGGTCGGCTGCTGCTTGCGGCGCTGCTGCTGCTGCTGGCTTCGGGTTCGGGTTCGTCGTGGCTTCCTAGGAGGGGGACGACTTGTGCTTTTCGTGTGGCGGCGGTTTCTGGCATTTTGAGCTTGGTATCTGGGTTTGGGTTCGCGGTTTGTGGTGGCTTTGTTATAGTTTGGTAGTCTGTTGTTGTTGGTACTGCTGGGTTGAGGGCATGGTCGTCGACGGATCGACCGGGACCGACCTCGTCCGCGCCTGGCGGGCGATGAGGGAAGGAACTACTCGTCATGATGTGGTGGTGAGTAGAGGTATGATTGGATGCTGTTTCTCACGACAAGACAGGAGGGAGAAGAAAACGAAAAGGTCTTGTAAGGACGTCCCTACAGATTTTCGAGTTCCTACACTGATGAAACACTTTTGACAAAACGAAACGGGAAGGGTTGTTACCTGTCACAACACAACGGGACGAGATCAAACACGTCTTTTTGTTTGCTCCTCGGTAAAGGTAGCTTTGAAAAAAAAAAGTCTCCACAGTGTTGTCACTGACGCACGGGGTGATCGTTCGGCAAAGAAAGGAAAAAAAAGGCCCAAAAGCTTGTATGCGCCCACTTCTGCTACTCCCGTCCGTTCGAAGATCGCGAAGAATGAATGGCTGATGTAAGACCGTGTGCACATGTGGACTCAACTCCTTGTAAGTGGACAATGCCACCCTTTGGACCCCCTGCAAGTTGGTTCTTGGACTGTGAGCCTAAAGCTTATTTGGACAAAGTGAGACTGAGCTAAAGTCTCTAGGGGTGCAAATCACTGCTACGTATGAGCCACAATATCACCTCCTCTTGCACTTGCAGGCAGTTCGAACGATGGAACAATCCCTCAGCTCGAATGCTTTATTTTACTCCGGAATGGGTCACCAAATCACGTCTGTGTCACCAACCGTCACTAATCGGTATTATTCCCGTCCGTGGCCCAGGGGCGTTGACAGATGCCAACGGTCCCCTTCCCGTCATTCTGCGCCTGTTTGACAGATAGTACTCAAAGAGTGATTGGCGATATATCGAACCCTTGCAGAACTCCACGCTCGCTTGCGGGGATAAAGGCTAAGAACCCTGCTGGGTAACTGAGGCTTTCGGTCAGGCTGTGTTCCTCACCTAACTCGGAGCCCTCCAACGACGAAGCTAGGGCTTGCCGACTGGGGGGTACCATGCAGCAGGAACCGCTAGAATGGTTGATTCCAGGCACCGGTGCCGGATTGTGTTCCTTCTTTTGCTGGCGCCCTGCCGAAATGCCTAGGCCGGTGCCTCAAAGGTTGTTCTTTCTCCACGACAAGCCGTTGCTGGGCTAAACAAGGAAAATTGGCACTGTCCATTCCTTTCTCTGGCTGAAATGCCAACGGGCTATTTCATGCTAAACGGCGGACTCGGGCGAAGTGTGTGCTGCATAGGTCTCGACTCTTGAATGCCAAGGCGGAGCTTATTCCATCAGGTTGGTTAGCCCCGAGTTTCTCGGCAGTAAACACGTGCCGAAGCGCATGGTTTGATGTGTTGGTATCATGTCGATTATGATGAACCATAAAATGCCAGACTCCTATTCGCCCTCGGAAAGGTTTCGATGCGGCATCTAGTCTTCTTCTTCTTCCGCCTCTTCCATGGTAACTCCACGTGGACCGGCGCTCTGGGAGGTCTTCAGGTAACCGGCCCTCTCGAGTTCGTCGGCTTCTTCTGGTTCCATAAGACCTCCCTTGCCCTTGCCCTTTTCCAGCTTCAGCAGGACATTTGTTGGTACGAATGCGCTCACGGCCTCCTTTTTAAGATCGCGGACCATTGGCTTGGCCTCGTAGACAGTCTTGACCTCGACCACAGGAGCCTTTGGCTTCTCGGTCTTCTGGTCTCCCTGTTGCTGCTGTTGGTGTCCTCTGCCTTCGCCGACTGGCTCGTGGTTCGCGTTCGCAGCCCGCTTTGCCCTGCGCTTGGCATACCACTCGTCTAGAACGTCCTTGGGAATAGGCGGGGGAGTGTCGCGTGGCATCGGTATCCTCTTGACATCTTGGGGCACGTCGCTGTCGCTAGACTCTTCGTCCTCGCGTCGTCGCTTTCCGAGGGCTCCATTGCGTCGTGGTCCGTGGCCGAAGGTGGGCGCTTTGTCGCCTAGTGCCTCTCTAGCCTTCTTGACAGCCTTGAGATCCTTTTCGAGGGCCTCGAGGACCTGCTCTTCGTGGGAGGTGAGCTTGCCCTCCTTTTCCTTGATCTTTTTTAGGTCGTCGATCTGCTGCTGGATTTTTTCTGGATTTCGTCTCGCGAGCTGTTCATTTCGCTTTGCCTGCTGCTGCGCCTTTCCTGTGCGATGTGGGTTGCTGTTAGTATCGCTTGCGCGTAGGATCCAAATGTCGCCTTGTCTTTCCACTTACCCTTCTTGATTTCCTTGGCCTTGTCAGCTTTGCGCTGGGCTTGGACTGGGTTGTAGTTTTTCTCCTTGGGCATTGCGGCGGTACTATGTGTTGTTTATCTCGATAGAAAGAGTCGTTCTTGGTGGTGTAGCCGGTACCTATGCTCGACTGGTGATGGCACAAAAAGATGGACAAGTGGAAGACGGAAGCGTGGCACCGCAATTTAACGGATGGAGCTTTCTGGAGCGGAATGACGCGTTAGTGCACGGCTGCCAAGAACATTTCAGCGCGGTCCAAGGAGTCGCGGTCGAAAAGACCCCGCGATTTGGGGCCATTGGGGAGCCACTGGGGAGCCATTGGCACCCAAAGGGCCACTGTACCGCACCCACTGACACCCAATTCCCATGGTGAATGGCCGTTGCCGGGGTTTCTGCTGCGACTGTCATCCGCTTGTTGATATTTGCCCCGCCTTTTTCCCTTGGATCTCTCAGGTCTCTCTGCCTCTCTGCCCGCTCCTGCCCATCCAGCCGCGCCTGCCCAATTGCCAGGGAGAACTTGATTGCTGCACTTGCCCGTCGCTGTTGCTTGTTTTCCATGAAGGAATTGCATGATTTAATTTTCGGTTTCCGCTGGCGACCAAGATCCGTTTCTGTCCTCTGACAACAACAACCTCTTGCAAAAAAGGGACAACACCACGGACACGGCATCGCGACAAGCTCACTCCCCCAACGTCAACAACAGTCAACAGCATTGTACACAGTACTTCTACAACATACCAAGACCAGTACTTCTGACACCATTCCAATATCGCGACCCCATCTCAGCTTGTTTTCAGCTGCCTCTTGCAGTCCCCATACCCACCTACCCACGGGTATTGTTGCATCTGGCAACCCAGCACTCTAATCATCCATTTATCCTCCTGCTTCATTCATCCAAGCTTCCCACCGCGGCCCTGCTTCGCTTGTCTTGCCTTGCAGCCGCGCGGACAGTACAGATACAGGAGACGGGACGACTCCAGCAGCACACCGACTGACTCCCGACTCGCTATCCATCCTCACGGTGTTCCCCTGTACCGCTGCCTGTCCGCTACTGCAGGTGGAGGCTGAGATCGCCCAAGCAAGTCAGCCCTACCTTGCTCCGTTTCTGGACTTGGGATCCGTGCCCGTGCCCGCGAGGACAGCACATTAAAGGAGTACTTTCCCCCTATTCTTGCTACCTTGACTCTGGTGCTATCTGGCATCACTTTCAGTCATGTCTAGCTACATAACAAACTTCTTTCCCAGCGGCGGGAAGCAGGATGGTACCAGGCCGCAGACCCCCATGAAGGCGGGCACCTCGAGCTTCGTCAACCCCGTCAGCACACCCCAGGGGAGTCCCAGCAAGAGGACCCTCCCGCCTGGCGCCAATGAGCTGCCTGCGGCGTTTGAGTCTATGAAGCTTTCAACGCCCACCAAGCTCGCGACGTCATCCAAGCTCGGGACAGCATCCAAGCTCGGCACACCAAGTGCCCTCGACAGTCCCATTAAGCTCGGTCGTCCCCAGAGTGTGGCCACACCTCTCTCGCCTGGAAAGAGCAACCTCAAAGACGTGGACGATGATACCTTTGAGGACCTCACGGGCAATGGCAGTGTTGTTAGTGTCATCCACAAGCAGGTGGACAAGAACTTGCCGAAACCATACCCTGTGCCCACGCCCAGGAGAAAGGAAAGGGAACAGAACCAGGAGAACACACCACCAGTCGTGACCCGCGACCCCCGCGACCCTGCCAGTGAGCCAACATATCAGCGCAGCCATGCTGCCCTCTCCCGACAGGAGCTTTACCAGACGAGGGAGCGCGCCTCACCCACAGTCAAGAGATTTAACACGTCGAGGGGACTCACTCCCGAGGAGCGCGAGCTACTAAACAAGCCCAATGTCAAGCGACTGGTCAATGTGACCCAGCTGTGTAAGGACCATGTCATGATGTTGCTCTCGCTGTTGCTAATTGTTGATAGACTTCCTCGACTACTACTTTGACTTGCTCACCTATGTCGGACAACGACAAAACCGTCTGAATGCCTTCAAGGCCGAATTCCCTCCACCACCCGAGACCGACGAGGAGACGTACAAGCAGATGTGGCACAAGTACGCTGGTCGGGAACGTGCTAATCTCCGCAAGCGACGAGTGAGACTGCGCCAGGGCGACTTCCAAATCCTTACCCAGGTCGGCCAAGGTGGATACGGACAGGTCTTTTTGGCCCAGAAGAAGGACACCAAGGAGGTTTGCGCGCTCAAGGTGATGAGCAAGAAGTTGCTGTTCAAGCTGGACGAGGTGCGACATGTGCTGACGGAGCGAGACATCTTGACAACCGCCAAGAGCGATTGGCTGGTACGCTTGCTGTACTCCTTCCAAGACGACAAGAACATTTATCTTGCCATGGAGTACGTCCCGGGAGGCGATTTCCGCACCTTGTTGAACAATACTGGCGTTCTCTCGAACCGGCACGCTCGCTTCTACATCGCCGAGATGTTTTGCGCGGTCGATGCGCTTCATCAGCTGGGTTACATTCATCGCGATCTCAAGCCGGAGAACTTCCTGGTTGACTCGACTGGTCACGTCAAGCTCACCGACTTTGGTCTGGCGGCTGGTTTCCTTGCCCCTGCCAAGATCGAGTCGATGAGGATTCGCTTGGAGAAGGCATCTGAGACCTCGGTGCCGTTTGGCAAGCCGATGGACCAGCGAACCGTTGCCGAGAGAAGAGAGGGCTACCGGACAATGCGTGATCGGGATACCAACTACGCCAAGTCGATTGTCGGATCTCCAGACTACATGGCCCCTGAGGTGCTGAGGGGCGAGGAGTACGACTATACCGTCGATTACTGGAGTCTGGGTTGCATGCTGTTTGAGGCTCTGACAGGTTTCCCGCCTTTTGCTGGATCTACCGCAGACGAGACTTGGCGCAATCTCAAGCACTGGAAGGAGGTTCTCAAGCGTCCGGTCTGGGAAGATCCCAACTACTTCCTCAGCAACCGGACATGGAGCTTCATCACGACGTAAGTACATTGTGACAAGAACATGTGGAGTGTAGATGCTAACCAGGTTATAGCTGCATCAACTCCCGATCGCGGCGCTTCAACAACATTAAGGATATTTTTGCCCACCATTACTTTGCCGAGGTCGACTGGGCCATTCTGCGCGAGACTAAGGCTCCGTTCGTGCCCGAGCTGGACTCGGAAACTGATGCCGGCTACTTTGACGACTTCAGCAACGAGGCTGACATGGCCAAATACAAGGAGGTGCATGAGAAGCAGCAAGCCCTCGAGGGTTTGGCTGAGCGTGGCGAGGAGATGAACAAGAGCTTGTTCGTCGGGTTCACGTTCCGTCATCGCAAGCCGGCGACGGATGATGGCGCGAGTCCGAGGAAGCCAATTCCATTTGAGGAAAGCAACACTTTTGGTACGATGCTGTAGAGCCAGCAGCGGCAACACCAAGAGGAGGATGAGTGGCAGGAGCCATCCTCACAGATATCGTTTCAGCATGACGAGGGCGAGAGTGTTTTGATTTGTGGAAATTGCGGTACGGATACATGGGATGGTCGATACCCGTTGTCGAGTGATATGGACAGCCCTTCGCGCCGGTCCCGGTGGACCAAGGCAGATCGTCAACAGATGTATGCAGGGAGAGAATATGACTTGCTGTAGACTGGAGGGATGGATTTTGTCTGAGTATCAAGGGAGGCCGACTAGGAAGGAGAGATGTCCCAGGTCCTTAGTTTTGCTGGGACGTGTATGGGGAGTTATTGCCGTTATCTGGCTTACAAAGAGCATAGCAAGCAAGCAAATGATAGGTAGTAGAGTATGGAGTATTGTAAGCAATGAAGAGGCTCCAGTTATAAGGCTGAGTGAAGTGGTGCTCGAGGCCCGAGAGTTGGTAGGACAGTAATGGACCGCGTCACCAGACGTCTGTCAGGGTACAGCTGAAACAATAATTCGGAGGCATGGGATGCTGCAAGTAAGCCTTCAGCATATCCCAAAATGGCATTGGTGCCACGAGGGCGGCGAGGTTGGAGGAGGATGGATTCTCGGGACCGGGCCGTTGGAGTCGTCGTCAGCGTTCTCGGTGTAGCTGCGGTATTCCAGAGAGGAAGGGGGGCGGGAGTTGAATTCAATGCCCAATCCGATATCGGGATTTGAACCCTGCGAAGATCCAGGGGTGTTCAGGCGCTAACACTCTCCTCCCTCAGGGGGCTTTCAGCCCTATTACGTGATGACTGTGGACTCTGCTCCGGGAAACCTTCCTCCACTACCGCTAATTCTCATTCAACTGGGTTTTATCTACCCGCAAAAACTAGGCCTACTCTAGTCTAGGACGCTTGCGCTGTTGTGTCATCCGTTCGAGCCGCTGCGAGTCACTTGCATGCCAGCTTGCCATTCAAGCTTTGAGTGGTCCGCTAAGTCTGCCGGCGGCGATGGCGCCCCAGTTTTGAGGTAACTCCTAGATATGCTAGACTGTAAGAGGGAAGGATAAAACCTAGTTGAATGAGAAAAAGCGGTATCAACCGCATATGCATCAACAAACACGAGACCGAGATCGAAGACGACAGCCTTCGGCGGATTGAAGACACCGACTCCCGATGAACGAATCAAGCAGGACGTTACCAGCCGCCGCCACCTGATTATCCTGCGCAGTGTCGGCCGCTGACCGAAGTCAAGCTGTTAGCAATCCCGTTCAACTTGAAAATCGTAACATCTCGCCCGCCGTTACGGACATTCCCCAACTTATGAAACGCCACTCAGCCACAGTCCTGGAGGTTGGGCTTCTGATATCAGAAGCTCCCAGCTCGAAAGCCTCCCATTGGATCTGCGCCAGCCCCTCACCACCTCTTTTTGGGGTCCCTGTTACCCTCCCGTTCCGTCCCTTCGGTCCCGAGCTTACGGGAAGGGAAAGGGAAGTGTGAAGAGCTGAGCCATACAACGTCGTCCTTCAAAGATGGGAAAGTTGCTGATCCCTTGTTGAAGTATCTGTTTCGGGTAGATGGGTTACGCGTCTCCTGATGGATCTCCAACGACAACTTCAACCTGCGAGAGAGACTGGACGCTTTCATCGCTCGATGCTTTCGTCTGATGCAGCAAGCACTTTTGACAACTGACGACCGACAACTGACAACCAACATCTCCACCATCTCCCACAGCATCTTGCGTTTCGTTTTCCTCTCGGCGCCGAACCTCAAACACACATACACTCGCTCTTGGTTGGGTTTAGACTCCGATGTCATCCAAAACGGGAAGCAAGATCTACTTCGTAGGGCGTGTCGTTGGCCGATGAAGTTCCCTCAGAAATATTTACCCGCCTTCTTTTTGCGGTTGTACAAGATAGAAACCCGAGAGAAGGAGACGCGCAAGCACACATTCCTAGCCCCCCTTGCCATTTTCGTCCTTCCCTTCTTCAAGTATCTTCACAAGACATACCCGAGAATGAAAGGATGATCTGATGTCAATCACTGGAGGCTGTCAAGTGTCACCCTGTCAACTTCGTCTGTCTTTCTAAGCCTCAACTCCGACTCCGAGAAGGCAGGCCCTGTGGGCAGGATGCCGCGTGTCTGATATCACCTCATGGCACATAGCTATACCCGTTTTACCTACATCTGCAATGTTCAAAACGGATGAGAGTGGCTAAGGTAGGTACCCCGTGCCCTACGTACAGCTGGGCTTGTACCTTTCACCATGCACAGTTGACTCTGAAAATGGAAATCAGATGGATGTACGCGCAAGTGCATGCCTACTGCCCATGTTGTGTTAGCTGATCTCACCAGCCCCATCCTATACAGCTGACGAGCCTTCCATTGGTATTTCGCCGTTTTCTACTTGGTTGTTCAGTATGTAACATACATTCCAGAAACTGCTAACTAGTACTGATGTATTATGTGCTTGTCTGTCGGGCTGCCAGGTACCTGCCCCTACCTACCTAGCAGATTTCCTCGCTCTTGGGCGCAGTCCATGGCATACTGTAGGCAGGGGGTCCCGAGACATGTTGGTCCGATGTTCAAAGCGGCTCGGCTGTGCTACTTTCTATGATCCCGTAACATATATATATGTATGTCGGGTACGCTCTATTACTTCCATTTGCCTATCTTGGCTTTTGTGTTTCAGACCAGACAGCAGACGTTCTCATCATTATTCTACCACCCTTCTCACCATCAACACTGTTCACCTTTGTCCTCCTTCTACCCTCACACATAACACACACAACCGTCAGTCAACCACTCAGCAAAAAAGACCAAAATGGAGCGTGGTCAAATCCGCCCACAAACCCTCGGCCTCTATGTAGCCCTCTTGGGCATGCTCGGCCGTGCTGACGCCTGGTGGGGTGCCGGAGCCCCCGAGTGCGCAGTAAGTTTCCCTCTAATTCCCCTCCCCTCCCCTCCCACATAACTAACCATCCCCTTCTTCCCCCTCAACAGCAACCCTGCCTCTCCTCAGCTTGGTCCGCCGCCAGCACCAGCTCCTGGCCCGCCCCAACAGATTGGTGCGCCGATTCCTCCAAGAACTCCGACATACAATCCCGAATCGACGCCGCCTCCTCCTGTCTCGTCAGCGCTTGCTCCGCCACACCCACCGCTCACTCCTCTTACTCCTCCCTCTCTTCCTCTCTCTGCGCCCAATATTCTTCCTGCTCCGCCGCCGGTTCTACCGGCGTATTTACCGTCTCCCTGCCCGCCTTTACGGGAGCCTGGGACGGCGGCCACGGCGGTAACGGAGGAGGCCCGAACGGACAAACCGGAAACTGGGGTCCCCACCACGGCTGGGCCGGCACGGCCACCTGGACCGGCGGCGTGTATACCGTTACCGGGTGTGAATGGGACGGGTCACCGTGGGCTGGCGGGCCTTGGGGATGGGGTCACGGCCCCAATAGTGGTGGTGACTACGGCAACGGCCAACCCCACGGCCCCTGGGGCGTGTGGGGAGCAGGCTGGACGATGACGAGCACGGGGACAAAGACCGTCACGGCTGTGCAGACGATCAGCAAGGATGCGACGGGTGGTGCTGGGAGTTTGACGACGGTGGTGGAGCTGGCGACGGTGGGGTATGCGGTTAATGAGGAGAGTAAGGCGGAGGCGACGACGGTGTTGGGGGTTGTGGAGGCTGCTGCTAGTACCACTGGTAGTAGCAATGGTGCGGCGAGTGTTGGTGCGGGTGTGGGAGTGAAGGTTGGGGCGGCTGTGTTGGGGTGTGTTGTGGTGGTTGTTGGGTTGCTTTGATTTTGATTTGGGCGCGAGATCAGCTTTGAAGGTTGAAGATTGATATTTTGGGCTTGAGGTTCGCGGTTGAGATTTGAGGTTGAGATTTGAGGCTTGGATTTGAGGATGGATGAGTCAAAGTAGAGGATAAGGTTGTTTGGTTGTTGAAAATTGGTGTGCTCTGCGTACAATACCTTACAGTCGCTCTCTTGTTTTGGGTTTCTGGGCTTTCACGAAGGATTTCTTGGTTGAAGCAGTTCATTAGAGTTGAATAATGGATGAATTGGAAGGTTGATTTGATATGTATGGACTGAAAAGCAGGTGTTGTTTTTGGAACGCATCTCGGCATTGGCAATGTCTGGTTATCGTCGGGTTAGTCTCTTTAACTCTTTTCTTTCTGGTTGTTGTCGATTTGCCTTGTCAAGACACCTCTTACATTGATACCACATGTTCAGTACCCAGAGACATGTAATGCTGTGCCGTTTACATTCATTGGAGATTTGATCACCTTCGGAGGGGTTAATTACGTATCTACCTAGTTCTGACGAGCAAAGGGAAGACTTTTGGCCAGAACGCCCCTTCCCAACGTACCAGGCTCGTGCGCCTCGGTTTGAGTGTCTTGAAGTCGTCGCCCACCGCCTTATAGGCTCCTGTAACGTTTGGAAGGTGCACTTCGCCTGGAAATTCTACTCTTAGGGTATTCAAGGTGGTCTGGCAAACCATCTCCTCTTCAACCAAGCAAACCACCAATCAAGCATTTTCCCAATCACTTCCTCCCCATCGTCTCACTCCTCTCCAAAGCGCCGAGGCATACCAAAGCCACAGACTGCCGGTCCTCTTCCACTTTCCATCGTCCTACAACATGCTGCACATCTGTGGTTTCAGCCCAACTGGTCTTACTTCTCTCAGAGGCCACCCATGTCATGTCGGCTGACAATTGCAGCCCCCGTGATTCGACTAACGAGGAAATGGCCAATGGTAACGCCTCTTGTGCTACATTGGGCAGATGAACAGGGTGCGTCGCTCTCATATATATCAAGTCTGGAGCCTTGCTGACTTTCGTGACCCAGCACTCGTGTCTCTCCAATTCAACCTCCTCGACAGTTCGTCAGATTATCGGAACACATCGGCATGATAGTCCATACTTCGGCCAAAAATGGAACCAGGAGTTTGTAATGTCTGCAGGGACATTCCAGCGTCCTTCTGGCTTACACCAGAGCGAGAGCGCCGTATCCAGTTACCCAATATCGAAGATGTGGAAGCAGAAGCCGAGAAAGGATGCTCCTTTTGCAAAATCTTGGTGTTGGTCAAGAAAGCACATACAGTCAAATTTGAAGAGATGCTAAGATTGCCGCCTCAAATGTACGTTAAGATCAGGGCACCTGAGCACACTCTCATGAACCACGTCAAATTATACGTCAGGTTTTCGGAGTCTCAGTCCCGTCCTTGTATGTATGCGTCTTCTTGATCTTCATCTATTCACTTGTGAGAATGGACTTTCAAGCTAACGGACAAGCTTACACTTATTGTCGCATATTTCTCTATTCATGTCAGAAGCTGTTACAAGATGGCAGATCTTCGCCAGACTTAGGATACTCGTTAAAAGAGGTTGAAAGAACAGATATAGGGTAGATTCCCCGCACTGACACTTCCTTAACAAGATTGAATTCCCTAACTTACCCTTCGTTTACCAGATCGGGCAATCTTACACATGACCTCGCGAAGCCAATTGAGCAACTTCAAAACACAGAAACTCTTAAACGTATTGAAAGGGTTACTCATTCAAGCGATGCAATGGAGTACAATCTGGAGCTTATGAGGATGTGGATCGAAGAATGCGAAAGGAGCCATGACGAACTTTGCCGCGTCGCCCAAGACTTCCTGCCTACGAGGCTGCTCGATCTTAAAGCATTCAGAGACGATATCAAACTGGTCCATATACGTCCAAACGAATTTAATGACAAGGACCAACTACCATCGTATTTGGCCTTGAGCCATTGCTGGAGACCACCTGAAAAGCACCCCAAAATGACAATGCGGGCAAACCTGGCAGAACATATGGATCGAGTACAATTCATGACACTTCCAAGGACTTTTCAAGACGCAATCAAGATTACTCGCATATTAGGACACCGATATCTTTGGATCGATTCCCTTTGCATCATCCAGGATAATGAGGAGGACTGGGCGCGAGAGGCATCGTTAATGGCCAAAATATATTCCAAAGCATACTATACTCTTGCAGCTCTTAGCTCAAGGGATAGTAGCCAGGGGCTCAATCTCGTACGGCCAAAGCTTCTGGTTGATATGGTTATTTATGACAACGAAAACAAGAAATACCGGCTCCAAATTGAGGATAAAATGAAGCCGGCGTGGGACTCAGAATACAACGGCTCGTTTGATGACAGCCCTCTCTGGTATCGCGCTTGGGCGTTCCAGGAAAAGGAGTTATCAACCAGAATCATATACTTCGGAAAGCAACAATTGCTATGGGAGTGTTTAGCTGGAAAAGCCTCTATCAAAAACTATTCGAAAGTGCAGTATCCAAAATGGACAAGGCAATGCCCTCGACAGTCCGCATCCAACAATGACTTGCATGAGCTGTGGATACTACTCGTCCTGGATTATGCAAAGCGGAACTCAACCAAAGACACTGACAAATTACCTGCCTTCTCCAGTATTGCACAAACATACCAGCGCTTAGTTCTGGCGCAAAGTACGTTGCTAGAATATGGAGCACACATTTACCAGAAGCTCTGCTCTGGAGTACGAAAGTAACAGGCCACAGGCGAGCATCAGAATACATTGCGCCGAGTTGGTCTTGGGCATCCGTCATACTACCGATCTGGTATGATTCGTGCTATTTCGTCAGGAATCTTAGAGTGCAGGATATGTGGGGATTACCCAAGCATGACAATGCCTACGGAGCTATTATCGACGCTTCACTAGTACTGAGTGATGCTGAGCTTGTGGAACTCGATTCAGAAATCAAGCTTCCAGAGGGAGTTCCGCATAAGGTTGATTTAGGGCTTTTAAAAGAGAGAAAGAAGAACATAGGCATCCTCACCAAAATGGTGTCGTTGCTGGGCTGGTGTCTCTTGATGTCATGGATGAGTTGCTACCAAATACAGGAGGCTTGATGTTTTTGGCAGTTGGCTGCAAGCATGAGCAGCTCATACCTTGGGTGATGATATCCCGTTCATTACACACCTTCATAGGGCTTGTGCTTAGGAAGGTACATCAAGATGATTTACCTACCTATCGGCGGATTGGACTTGGTCGGTGGGTCTCTGTATCCTGAATTGACGGCGTGGAACCGTGTACGATAAGATTAATATGACGATCTAATTCGGGTGGAGGAAAGGAGTATAACGGAATTTCAGTCTTGCTTAAGCCTCCCATTCGGTTGGTGTTCACAAGGGACCCTGGCTGGCGTACGTTTGCTACTTTTCATGCTCATCCCTCTCCTGTTCCTAGCTTTCCATCTCTTTCATCCTCTCCGTGCCCTAGGTAGTGGCTCACAGCGTCTTGAGAAAGAACAGGTCGTACCTTTCTTCCTTTCCCAGCATCCTGTGAGTGCTTACACGGAGATACGAACTGGTGAATGAGTGATACCTGTCTCCACTAGACTCCTTTCAAGCCTCTCGCCCTGATCTCATCTAGCCCATAGCAGCGACGAACGAAGAACAGAGAAAGAAAGAAGCCCCCCTCAGGTATTGACATTTGGAGATACAATGGCAAATGATCGTAAGAATCAACCGAGCACGTCACAATTTAGTACATCACACCTTGGGTATTCTCTATCAGGCATCTAAGCGTCTTTTTTATACTTTACCTTTGAACCCAACCTCTGGACAGTTCCTGGATGGGAAAAAAATTCCTAATGGACTCACTTTGGCCGATGTGTTTCTGGATTATTGTAATCCATATCACAGTTTTGTAACGGGCCTTTCCGAACCATAACGAGCGGTATTGGGACTATCCGTATTCGATTTTTATTTGTACGACCGCTCGGATGGCTACAACTGCCTCGCTCAAGGTGTCTAGCGTAGGGGTAGCTGGAGTCCGTCTCGGAGGGGGCACAGGGTGAGCCCGCTCTGCTACCCACTTGTAGCGTCAGGGTAGATCGAGTGGAAGGAAGGCACGAGGCAGTAGGCGATATGGGAACATGATGCCTTGAAGATGAGGAGCTCTAGCTGACGGAGGTGTGTCTCAAGCGTTGAAAGTCATTGTCGGCTCTTTGGAAGGTAGGGTTCTTTTCGGGTTGGGTTGTTTTTCGAGAGTGTCGTTTTCTTTTTCCTTTTTGGCGCGGGCATGCTGAGTGCTAAGGAGCAACATGGTGTGTATTTATACGCTGTGATTCACCAAAATTACTATTTAAACAGTGTTTTAGGGCGCTCTTGGCACACTGGCGATGACGACGACAACGCGTAATTTTTGGAGACGCGATCGTTGTGATCTTTTCTGACACAAAACCATCGCAATCACCCAAAGCAACCTTCATCTCTGAGGCCCACGGAAACCCCCCAAAAAAGCGCCATGCCTCCTCCTCCCCCGCCTATCAGGTGCGACAGGAACAGCACCCTCTCGGAAATCTTCCAAGCTGTCGAGCAAGAGCGCGTCCGCCCGTTCGCGCACCAATACTACTCGCCCAACTACGTGGAAGAGTACGACTGGGACAAGTTCAACCCTAAATACTTCTCCGGGCCGGAGTTCAAGTCGCTCCCCCTTGAGGAGCAGTTCCGTCGTTTTCCCAAGGGCATCGTGGAAAATGTGGATAACTACCTCGACAGCACGGCCTTGGAGAAGATGCTGGCTTACATGGGCGGGCGCAGGGATGACAGACACGTATACTGGCTGGTGGATCATCAACGCGAGGCATGGCACGTTACGAAGCTGTTTAATTCGAGACTAGAATCAAAGAGGTCCGAGCTGGAGAGGGAGTTGGGGGAGGAGGAGGTGGAAAGGATAAGGAGGGCGATGAAGGCGGAGAAGGAGAGGAAGAAGGCAGAGGCGAGAGAGAGGAGAGAAAGGAAACTGAGGGAACGACAGAAGGAACTGGAAAAGCAGCGGGCGGAGGAGCAGCGAAAGAAGTTACAAGAGGAGGACGAGAGGAAGATGAGGGTTGCAAAGGAGGAAGAAATACGAAAACAAGTCGAGGCTGAAGAAGTGAGAGTTCGCCAGCAGCTGGTTGAAGACTTAAACAAGGGGGCTTTGGCTTTGAGGAAAGACATTGCAGCATTCTCGGCGAGCGACGAGTCTGTGACTATTGGGGAGTGTGAGGCACTCATCGCCCAAATTGGGCGGTTCATCCGGCTCTTTACGCGGCGTCTAGAGGCGCATGTTGAGTCGCAGATGGGGGAGGTCAACTGGAGGGTGGTACGGGCAGCGGTCGAAGGTGTTATCAGCGTGCTCGAGCTTATCTACTTTGAAGATGTCACGCAGATTCAAAGAAACTCGCACGTGGACTGGAAGGATCCAAATGTCTTGTCCCACGTTGCGATGGGTGGTGTTAGGGAAGGATGGGGTTCTTTGCTGCGCAACCTGTTGTTTGAGACCCAAATCTACCGCATGGTGCAATAGGTCCGCAAGAAGGATGACATTCACGAGAGGTTGAGAGCGGTACTTGTGGACATGGCTGGGCATGGAATGAGTGGTGCGAGGGAGATGACAAGTGAAATTTGATATCTGAGTGCGACTTTAAAGAAGTGGAGGAGGATGAATTCCTGCTTGGAACCCTCACAAAGGGAAGTTCTTGTTCTGTCCTTACACTCAAAATCCGTATTGTTTCCAGGTCCTGGAGCTTGTCTCCGACAACGCACGTGTACCATACATGTCATGAACCATCCCATAACCTTGCCTCGAGTGCTGCCTCCATTCTTCCACGTAACAAGCTCTCCTATCTTTTAGTCGTTGCTTTTTTTCCACGAGATGGTTTACTCGCGGTTACTTTGACAAACTCCTAGCGGCAACACGTACTTGTTGATCCATTCCATCTCTTCATCGCTAAACTCGCGGGTAGAGTCGTTTCCGTTCCAGGTGGGTGAGTTCAGACGGTCAACGACATCCTGGACGTCGATTATGTAAAGGTCTTTCCCTCTGTAAATGCTCACAGTCTTCCTGGCCTGAGCCTCGGGCATGCAGCGGGCCGCATTATCCTCAACCTGCTTCGCGAGCTCCCACTTGCGCCTGACAATGTGATCGTTGAACCGACGGGCAATCGTCCACCCCAGGCTCTGATCGGAAGGAACGACAGAGGCAAACATATCAATGACCGCGAAGGGGGGTAAATGAGAGAGCATCGAGGACACGGTGGCTGTAGACAGAGAGCTAAGTGAAGCAGATCTGGCAACGAAGGGCGGGAGTGAATTGAGACCCTCGATGTCGCCGTTCCTCGCACACTCGATCTTCCGTGAGTTGATGATCGCGTTGAAACGCTCGGCGATCTTCCAGGCTTGAACCTGATTGTCGGAGACTGAAGATGTGAACATGTCGATGACCACGGAGAGGGGTAGATAGGAGAGTATGAACCTGATATCTTCGGTCGCAAGGTGGCTGTCTGGGCTCATTTTGATGGGAGTTGGGAGGGCCGCGAGTTGTTCGGACGCAAACTGGTTGACGCCAGAAGCGGCAGAGGAGGCTCGACGCCGCTTGCGAGGGATCACGGGTGAAGCCATGTTGAGGGTCAAAGGCCCGGCATAAAAGACGGATATTTGGTGATGTACTGACAGGAAGGTGATGATACTGTGGGATGTGGGCAGCACGATGCTCTCGTCGGCGTGGAGAACTGTGCACGCGGGTAGATAAGTTCTTGTTCCAGCGGCAGCAACGACCCGGTTCAAAGGGGAAAAAATTTCAAAGAAAGAGGTTTTAAAAACGACTTGAGTCGCGAATCTCAGCTGTAAGTGATGGGTGAAAGGAAGTTCACTTCATGGATCGCTGCGGAGGGGTACAGGTTAATGGAAGGAGGGAGAATCAGGCTTCCGCCCAAACGAGTCCCGTCAACAAACGGCCCTTTCATCTGAACCTTGCTCGTTGGATCCAAAATCCAGTACAGTTCTGGAACCTGGAGTTTGCATCCACAGGGCAGAGTGCTGTCCTAAGGGTGAACTATCGGGACCGACTGCTTCAGACCTGCCTCGTGCCTGCCAGCCCTGACTTCCACTTGTGCCTGCCTGTACTATCAACTCCTCACCCCACTTTGAAGGAAGGCAACAGCAGAAGGCACATCATGTACAGTACAAGTAGAAGGAAGCCACGACGATGCTTGGCACAGAAGGAGCTCAGGACTATTGCGGAAGCTATTCCCAAGCCGACTGGCTGATTAGGAGCCTGATTGGCGACGAGAAGAGGTGCATGCAAAACCAGTTCCCCCTCGGGCTTCTTGGACAGTCTCTTCTTCTGCAGAATCAAACACTTTTCCATATCTTTGGGTCCAGACATCTCTTGCCTCACGTGAACGCTTGGAGATTTCTCGTTCCCCATCGTTGGTGTTCGACCAGAAATGCCTCTCAAGACGAAGCAAATCAATGTGAGAGCAATCGATCGATGGTTGTATGCTGAAAGGAAGAGGTAGACTGCCAAACACACCTTGAATATCCTCCAGAAAGAAAACTTAGGTGGGTAACGACCTCCCAGTGCTAACACTGCTCTTCCGCATCTTCAGGAACTCTACAGCTTAATCCCAAACGGCCTAGCGACCTTCTGCATCCTGGTCCTATCCATCCCAGCCTGTGTCATCTTCTCGAGCAACATGCCCAACTTGCGATGTAGGTCCTTCTCCCACTTCACCCATCGAACCAGCTCCGCTTTATCAACCCTCGTCTCAAAGAAAAACTTGAAGAGCAAGTCCCCCAGCTTCTTTTTGGCACCATACGCCCTCAGCTCGTCTGGTGCTTCCATAACCTTCAGCTGCTCCTCCCCCGACTCTGTAGCAACCTTGAGCTCCACGGGCAAATAAACATACTCGAGCACGCCGATGACTCCCCTGACCGCCGCCTCCTCTACCGTCCAATCAGCCACCCTAGGAAACGAAATATGTGCCTTCAGTCGTCTCGTGGCCTTATGGATGGACCCTTCAACCCGCTCGCCAACGTCCTTCATGAAGTCCGTTAAGTAGGTTTTGTTATGGTTGCCCACCTCCTGCATCGACTCAAACTTCACGATACGCGTCTTGACAGCCTCGAAACCTTCGTTCAAACTTCCAATAAGCTCCCTTTGCTCATCCTCCCTGTATTCCTCAATACTTCTCGACACCCGCGGAGCAAGAGCCTCAACCTTCGGAACCGCCCCAAGCTCCACCACCTCCCCCTCCCCCTGCTCTTCGTCCATCCTCCTCCTTTTCTCCTCCCTCTTTTTCTCCTCCTCCTCCTCCTCCCGATCTTTCCTCTTCTTCTCTTCCACCCACTTCTTTCCCTCCTCCCTCCTCCTCCTCTCCACCCGCCTCACTCTCCTCTCCTCCTTCTCCACCCCCCTCAACCTCTTCACCTCCTCCTCCCCTAATTCCTTCATCAATTTCTCCCTCCTCCTTTCCAACGTACGATTAAACATCTTCGCAATCCCCCACGCTCTACTCTGTGTATCCCACACCTTCTTCAGGTACTCCCAATCCTGTGCTTTACCGTGGTCCCCCAACCAAGTAAGCATTTTCTCCAGGTCGCACTGCGAGAGGTGATTACACGTGTTTTCGACGATGCCCTTGGGTAAACGGAGGAATTGTTCGGCGGGCGGCAGGGCGGCGAAGGACAGGTCGAGCTTATTGGCATAAGAAGGGTCAAAGGTGTCCCAGGGGTAGTCTTCGATGTAATCGGGGGAGTAGAATTGGGCGGCGAAGGGTTTGACGCGGCCGCGTTGCATTTTGCCCCAGAAGGAAGAGGGGTCTTCGTCGGAGTCGTCGATGGATAACATTGTGGTTTTTGGGGCTGGGTTTGTTGGAGTTATAAAGTGTCGATGTTTTCGGCGGATGAACCGATGGAGGAAGAAAGTGGTTGTGTGTGGGTGTGTGTGTGTGATAAGGAGTTAGGAGGACCAGTTGTGAAGTGGTAGTCGCGGAAGAGATTATGTTGTCGTTGTTGGCGGCGTAGGAATATTTTAAAACCACGCACTTTGAATCGGACCACAATGACGCAAAAAGATCGTATTGCTTCTGCTAGGCTGGTTTAAAACCGCGACTGTAAAAAAATACCGTAGGCCTTGGCAGTTGACACGGTAACCGATGCATGAAGACGTGCTGGTTATGTCGCGCGAGGCTGGATCGATGACGAGCAAGATACCGCATCAGATCAATCCGCTCATGTCTTCAGATCACATCACACACTCACACCTCGATATCCAGAAGGAGCTCATTCCAGAAAGAATAGGCAGGCTCTTATTTTGTCCCAGTTATCAGACCCAAGCTACAGTTATCATGACACAAAAGCCGAAACGCTTCCGACCTTGTAAAAAAAATCTAAGCTTTTCTCCCTCGGGCCTTTCTTTGCTCTGTACGTACGTTCATCATTTCCCTTTCGTTTGTTTGTTGTGATCTTTTTCGTTTTGGAATCAATCACGCTTTCCACCAGTTCATGACCAAAAGAAGTAACAGGAGAAATAGCAGAAAACAGAGAGAGTTCAGCCTGAGACAAACTTGCAAAAAGCCTTTGACACATTATCCATCCTCAAAACACGCTACATACTGTCCTTCGTTTGATAAACCGTTTAGGAAGCCATGTAGGTGGAGGCATCGATACCCTCCTTGGGGAACTCACTAAGCAGAGGTCAGTATCTGTTGTTGACAAGGCGAGAGAAGTGTCAGGTGAACTTACGGAAGAGCAACCTCGAAGCGCTTCTCAATGGCCTTAAGAACCTCCTTGTCCTGATCAGTGGTAACGAAGGAGATAGCAAGACCCTTGGTACCGAAACGACCAGCACGACCGACGCGATGGAGGTAAGAGTCGGCATCAGCGGGGAGATCGTAGTTGATGGCGAGGTTGATGCGTTCGATATCGATACCACGGCCGAAGACGTCAGTGGCGACGCAGATACGCTTGTTGAATTCCTTGAATTCCTTGTAACGACGGATACTATAAGGTACAGTCAGTAGGCGCCCACACGATATCAGGACAGGTATACATACCGCTCTTCTTGGCTCACACCAGAGTGGACAGCGATCGACGGGAAGTTGCACTCGCGCAAAAGCTTGTCGAGCTCGGTGGCACGGAGAGTGCTCTTGACGAAAATGATGACCTGGTTGAACTGCAGCTCATCGAGAAGCTCGTTGAGCTTGCGGTTCTTCTCACGCTCCTCAAGAGGAATGTAGTATTGCTGAAGACCGTGGAGGGTCAACTTGGTGTCCTCATCGACGTAGTGCTCGGTGGGGTTCTGCATGAACTTGCGGCAGATAGGCTTGATCTCGTCCGACAGGGTAGCGGAGAACATCATAACCTGCTTCTGCTGGGGAGTGGCACGGAAAATCTCCTGGACGTCGCGGCGCATGTCTAGTTGAGGGTTAGTAACCGTGAATCGACTGCTGGACAAAAGGAATCTTACCAATCTGGTCAAGCATCTTGTCGCACTCGTCGAGAACGAACATGCGGACGCTGCCGAGACGGAGGTGCTTGTCGCGCACCAGGGCGTTGAGACGACCGGGAGTACCGACGATGATGTGGGGGTGGGTCTCCTTGTTCTTAAGGATCTCGGCATCCTTCTGGATGGGAGTACCACCGTAGAAGACGCCGGTCTTGATGTCGGGCATGTACTTGCTGAATCGGTTGTACTCGTTGCGGATCTGGAAAGCGAGCTCACGAGTGTGGCACATGACGAGGACGGAGCACTCGCCGGCGACGGGCTCGACTTGCTGAAGAGTGGTAAGGACGAAGACAGCCGTCTTACCGAGACCGGACTTGGCCTGGCAGATGATATCACCACCAAGCATGGCCTGGGGGATACATGTCTGCTGAACTGTATTCGAGGACCGGATTAGAATCGGGTTACGCAAGCTTTGAATTGGGCACGAAGAAGGACGGGGTGGTGGTATCGAGAGCGAAGGGCCCGTCCATCGTCGCAGCAGCAAAAAGACTTTTTTTCCGGTTATCCATTCCTCCCGTCGTAGGTGCGTGGTGCCGACATCATATTTGTTCCGAACATGGATCGAGTGAAGAGGCGCGTCTCGTGATGGTGTCACCCATTGAAACGGTTCCATGACATCACCAGTCATCAACGACTAGTACAAAGCGGTCGACGACTCTTTCGAGACCGCGGGGGACAAAGTCTCCCTTGACCGGGGATCCCCCATTGAGGGCCCAAGGGTACTTAGCCCGAGGGTGAACATTTGGGGTGATCGCTCTCCGCTCGCCATTGTGTCTTTTCCACCTCGGCACCGTGATCGTGGTCGCGTGTACCGGGGTGCCAAATTCCAGCAGCGCTCAGAGGCGCGAAACAGCCTACGCTCGTTTCCGAGACGCAAAGCGTGAACAAAGTGATGATGTAGGTCGTAATGGTGGACGCTAACGCCAAAGCACCACCTTCCTCCCCAAGGTGTATGATGGCGGCGCGCGTTTCGGCGCTCCTCTCCCGACGTGCGAATTGCCCATGATGACGCGGTATAGTCTTTTGTATTTGCATGCGATGATGGACGGAACCCGATTGAGGCAGGAAGTGTAACGATAAGCTGGGGGTAAAATTTGTCAGGACTAACCCTCCGAGGGATGCTCGAAGCCGCAGTCGGCAATGGCGCGAAGAAGTTCGGGCTTCAGCAAGAAGTCGCGGAAGCCGGTCGAGTGGATGCCGACATAGGAACCCTTCTTTGTGTCGACAGTCTGGCCGGCGGGGACAGTCTCGGCCTTCTTGCCGTTGGTGGGAGCGGCGGACTCGTTGTTGAGCTCGTCGTCGGAGTAGTCGATAAGATCTTCCTCGGCAGACATGTTGGCGGTAATGTGTTGGTGGTGGTGTTGAGTGGTGGTTGATTAATTAGTGAGAGGCGTGTCGAAGCTGGAATGCGGCTGCGACGACGACAAAGGCGACAACAGAAAGCTGGGGAAGAGAAATCCGGTCAAAAGAAAGTGGAAATTTGCTGGAGTCGAATGGGGTTGCGCAGACCAGTCGAGGCAGAAGGCTTGTACGTGATGCTGCGGAGATGAAGTGGAGAGAAGGAAGAGGCGACGCGCTGATGGAAGTCGGAAGATGTTGAAAAGTCGGAGGGGGAAGGGCGACGCAACAAAGGTGCCAAAATAAGCAGGTTCAGGTTCCCGCCGCACCACCACCACCAGCCGTGGCCCGCCCGTGACTTGGCGTGACCTGGACGAGGCGCAGGCGTTGCTTGCAGTTCCAAAGGCCCAAGCTCTCCAAGGTTTCAGGAGGGCGCCAGCTGGCAGTTCGCCTTGTTTCATGAGACAACTGTGGCTGAGCACCCATGTTGGCGTCATGCCAGCTGCTCTCTCGGTCCATGACGCACTGACCCTCTTCAACCTTTCTGGACCTTCACTCCCTTGCAGCGCCGCACTCATCCAGTGAATTGCCACCTGGCTTGGCACCAATTGCAAACGACAAAGAACAAACAGGCATTTTGAGACACACTCCGATGGACAAAAACAATACTCAATAAACTCAACCAAAAATAAGACAAAAACAATACGGGCACAGTACGGACCACCAAAATGGCCAAAGGCGGCGGTAAAAACAACGGCGGGGTCCAAAACAGGGCAATCTACTCCCGCGTCTCCTTCCTCCAGCAAGCCGCCGTTTTTCTATCTCAGCAGTCACAGTCACAACAATCAGTCCAGCCTTCCACATCCTCAACCTTGGTTCCCAATGTCCCACCACCACCACCAACAGCCTTAGACGGCATGTCCCGCCGTCTAGCCACCGACCTCCGCTCCGTGTCCCTCAAGACCAGAATCCGTCTCAGTCCCGCCGTCAAGCGGACCATCTGCAAGTACTGCGACTCGGTTCTCATTGACGGGTCAACGTGCACAGCGTTCATTGAGAACAGGAGTCGAGGGGGACGCAAGCCGTGGGCGGATGTCCTGGTAAGGGGGTGTCATGCGTGTAAGAAGGAGAGGAGGTATCCCATTGAGGCGAAGAGGACGAAGAGGAAGACGGAACGGGGAGTAGTTGAAGGAGAGAATGTTGGGGATGTCATGGAAGTTGATGCCCCTGCTGGTGGAAAGGGGAAGGGGCAGAAACAACAGGGCCAGAAACAGAAGCAGAAGCAGTCACAGGGCCAAGTGCAGGTGGAACTCCGGGAACAGAAAGGCTGAAGATGACGCTTCGAGTTGAGAAGAGCTTCTACAGCTATACTTGCGTCCAAACGTAACGGCGAGAATACTATTTAGTCAGCCACATTGGGGACTGCCGACGGGCCGCGTACCCTCTCCAAGCATGCCAAGAGCAGAAGAAACCCCAAGAGTCTGGACACGGTGAGAGGATCTTGACCATGTCCGCTCAGGCTTTGGATGTAGCCATGATCAGTCGCGAGGACATGGCCTGTCCGGGAGAGTCACAACATGGCAGCATACGGGCGGCAGCCAGGCCATGAGTTGGCCCATCATGATGTCGAGAGTGACTTGGGCGAGAGCCGTTTCTTGTCACAAGCGCTCTCGCCAAGTCCAAGGTCAAGATGAAGGAAGACAGCTTGGCCCAGTAACTGCGGACTGGCTAGCGAAGGAAGACTGTGGACGTTGTAGCATGTACAAACCTCCTTGTTCGAACTGGAGGATATCAGAAGAACACAGACAGATCGAAGCCGTGTCGGCTCCAAGAACAATAACAAAACACCATCAGAAGGCCCAGCCCTTCAAGACACATACCTACGAGTTACACACCTGATTATCCGTGAACGTGACATGGTATCATTTCATTTCCCTCCTACGCGTAACTCAACTATCCCCGTGCTTGCTCTCACCTCTTCCTCCAGCTTGCTCCAGCTTGCTTGCTCCCATAGACACTCTCGCCGACCCAAACCAAATGTTCCCAATCCAACTTGACCACAACATCCCTCAATCACTTTCACACACCCTCACCTCTGCTGCTGTCCACCCTGCCCACCTTGACCACCACCCTGTTGCTGCTGCTGCTCAACCTGCACCTGCTGAGCCTGCACGCTCTGGACGCTCTCTTCTCCCAGAACTTTACTTGCTGCCATGAACCTAAGCATCGATTTCCGTGTTAGTCCCCGCTAGTAGATAGGTTGGTGGACAGACAGACGGAATGGAACTTACAATCCACCATGCCAACTCCCCAACCCCCTCATGCACTCAGCCTGCACGCTGGTCATGCGCAAGAGGTTCTCGGTGTCGGCGAGGTTATTGGATAGTTGGGTTAGTTGGGCGTGGAGTTGGGACTGTTTCGTGGTTTTTGTTAGCACAGTTCCCCCCTTCTTTTTCAGAACCACCTCCTGATGGCTGGAAGAGCGAGCAGTAGCAAAATCAACGAGGTGAGGTGTCTGTCTGTAAGGGCCGTGTCATCGTGAAGATAGTTGGGTGGAGTGCTAGCAAAGCCCCTTCACCAAGTTGTTTCTCTAGTTGTTTCGCTAGAAAGTAAAACAGTGAAAGAAAGAAAAGAAAAGAACGAACATACAATCTGCCTAGCCTTAACCGCCGCACCACTCTGTCCAGAAGTCGACGAAGCGCCGGGAGCCATGGACTGCCTGCCTCCGCCGTAGCCACCACCACCACCACCACCGTGCCCGGCCCCGGCTCCGGCTCCGCTGCTGATTTGCGTGCCGAAGATGGTGTTGCGGTGGCTTGCCATTGCTACGTCGCTTTGGGTGTTTGTTCGCTCAATCGCGTAGTTGTGAGAGAATTTGTGAGAGGTTTACCGGTTTCAAGTGGTCTCAAGTGGTTAGACGTCTTGCTGGTGCGGTGCTTGTTGAGTGTCTTGTGAGTGTTTGGTTTGTTTTGTTTGTTGTTTTGGCGTTCCATGTTTGGCGTGGAGGTTTGGGATTGTTGTCAAGTCACTGAGCTGCTGAGCAGGTACAGTAGGTTGGGGGGATGTTAGTGCATCCGCTGACAGTCGCTGGCTGTCACGGGGAGGCGTCAATCAGGGCCGCTGTAGCGCATCTTCAAGCCATTGTAAATAGCGATGCGAGTGCTACGCCGGGTACTCTGTTAGCATGCTGCTGTCTGCTGCGCACGTGCACTAACAATTTGTGCATCTCGACCAAAACCTCAACACAACAACCTACCTCCCATCGTCTTCCAGTCCTCTAGATCTGGGCTACAAGTCCCAGATAATCCGCTTCTAATGTTCCGCTTTGACCAAATCCCATATGTCTCACACCTTTGAGAGGAGACGAACCAGCCCTGCATTCGCGAGCTGCAATAGGGACCTCCCAAAGCTCCTCAGATCGTCTCGAGCCACACCTAGCATCTCAGACCCTCTCGTACAAAGCCGTGCACAAGATACGAGACGAATAAGACGAGATGAACCCGAGCATGATCAGGGTCTGAAGTTTTGATCAATCAGTTTTCTACTCCTTACCTCCGAAACCAACCTTGATCTCCCCGTGGTCTTGTCTCGTACAACAGGAGAGGGCAGTTGGGCTTGGTCTAGTTGGCGATGATACCATCTCTTTTTCTGCGCTACCTCTATAGTATTCTGCCGTCACCAGAACAGGAGAAGCCTACGGTAATACACAACAAGGTGAAGGATAAGAATGTGATGTTCAGTATAAGATCAACAACACCACCAACCACCACGCATCCGATCGAGAATCCTATTCCCTTTTTGCCGCGTTGAACATCTACAATAGTTGGAAAGGGAGCATTATCGCCCCAGCTGAGAACCGTAAGAACTGCCAGATACTGAAAATAGTTACGATTCAATGCACCATGCCAATCATATCCCCAATTGGCCCATAATCCGTTTCCAGTGAACAGGTATTTCAGTCCAGAAAGAAAAAAAACGTGGGGTTTGCCCCTGAGAACTTGCAGCTGGACGACACGATACGATACCTACCTGCAGAATGGGTAACAGTTTCTACATTATTGAATGGGAAAGAAAAAGCGGAATCCAATATCCATCCATTCAGCGTATCAACCAAGCAATTGTTGCGCTCTCCTTCTTCCTGTCTCCTAATCCTAATCCTAATTTGCTGATTGACTTCCATACAGGTTGCAAATAGTTGCAGAAAATTGACAGAAAAGTTGGCAGATAGAGAGCTAAAAACGTACTATTTGAGCACTAGTTACTATAACTTGGCATTGGCCCATTATGTTTGGGATATGAATGATGTAAGATAGCACCGGCAGGGACAGGGAGACTGTGCAAAACGGGAACATGGGAATTTGCACAAATCCCGTTCTCAATTTTTATTCCCCCAACCAAACCGTTCAGTGTGGTGCGCAAATAAACGGATCGTCTTCGGTGCCTTTCAAGGGTGTTGAATGTTACCTCTACCATTGCCAACGTGGATACTGTAGCGAGTGTAGTGTAGCAGCCGGAAAGTTTTGTTTCTTGTTGGTGTCGTGTTCCTACTTGTTCCTACTTTGAGCTTTGCAAACCAGGGAGGGCCATGGGTGCCGACGAACAGGAACGCGATTCCGCACCGATTTGACAACTGTCGACGAAGATCATCATCACGTTCGTCCGGGTATTGTCCAGTTTTGGGATGCCATTGAGAAAGAACTGGGACCCGAAAACGAGGGTCTGGATCCAGCAACAAGCTCGGGACCCGAGAAATTGAGTAACACTTCGGAATCCGGAAGGATTAGTGCTTGGTATTGACTGACTCCATAAGGTAACTCAACCGTTGAACAAATGCCATGTCATGGTTTTGACAGTTAAGCAGCAGCAAAGCCTACTTACGGCTGCCGAACGAGGACGGGGCAACGGGAGTTGCACGGTAGCAAACTGTGTTTCTGCATGTTGGGCCTCGATGGTCGGGGACCGTTCGGGTGATACTCTGAGACATGCTTTGAAATCCTTCTTGAGAGTTTATATCAACTCCATACATATTTCCAATAGTGTCTACTCGGTGTGATGGGATACCTACCTCTTCAGCCGCTACGTGTCCGAGAGTCGTTCCCCTGAACTGATCTTCTTGGCGAGAACAGAGAAACTCAAGATAAGCAACGGTGCTTGGGACAAGGCACCTCTCAGGGGTAAACTTGACCGGCCGGAGTCTTTACGCCGCCCCGGTACGGCAGAGAGAACGACTGTGATGAGTACGGCACGGGGGGCGCTATCGACGAGCTGCAGATGGCGTTTGAAATGTAGGCAGGATAGGGTTCACCGTCTAACGAAGACAAAAATCTTGGTATGGGAATAATTGAAGGATCAAACCTCATCTTACGGCCTGGCGGTTGGAGGTTTTTATTGGTGCTTTCGGTGTTGTGTTCCCGGCAATGTTGTAAACAGTTCGTGTCATTCTGCTGTTGCATTTGTCGGTACCGTACTCATTCGATGCCTTGCCGCTCTCTCTGATATAGGTTTTGTAGTCGTCTACTATACTGGTACGCGTAACCGTTGACATATCGAGAGCCAAACGTTCGATTTACCAGTGTCCAGCTTTGAGTCTTGGCCAGGTTATTAACAGCCAAGCCAATGACATAGTGTTGATGGGCTCAGAAAGTTGGGCAGAAGGCTCTGTTGCGCTTGTCCGTCCAATGCTGACGAGACTTATAGGCTGATAGTATTATGAATACCTTCATCTCCGAGATGTCGATCATAAGCCAATCGGGAGACGTATTACGGCGAGAACTGCTGTCCTTGTCAGGTTCCCCAGGCGCCCTGCTCGATATTTACTGAAACTGGCCGTTTAAACGGCCCAAGTCCGCTCTTGATGTGTACAGCATGGCATGGCGCCTGGGGGATCCCGCGTGAAGGTGCTACGAGCGGCTGAGGCAACATGGCAATGGTCGTGATGTTTACTTGTTGTTTACACAAAGTTCTTGGGTACCGTAGCACACCTGTCTGGATAAGCTTCATTTTGGGATTCTGCACCGTTGAGGTTCCGCCGCCGACGGGCCGGATGTGGAACATGGGTCTAGAAGCGCGAAGAGCGGACCGCTTGAGTTCGTTGCTATGAATTATGATGCCGCTTGACGATCTTTTTGGCGAACATGGAAACGTCGGAACGTTGATCTGCCTCGTCTGGTTGCCGAGCATGGAGCAACGGAGCATGGATGGACGGGTCCATCGTGTTTAGTGCAGTGTAGATTATGGGTTCGAACCGTGGTAACGGGCTCTTGGAGCGATGGACGGTGTCTCGAGGTCATCGTCGCCGGGGGTTGTTTGGCAGACAAGAAGCATCGGTGAAGAGAGAGCGGGCTGATAAGAAGCCCGGAGGTGTGCGGTTTGAATCCGAAATCGAGGACGCGATCTCGATCTCGACCGAGTTGTTAGTGGTTGCATGTACGGTCAACACTTTTTGGTAACAGCGAACAGGCAGAAGCGCAGGAACATGGAAACCAGGGGCTGCAAATTAAGCGGGGCTCTCAGGAACAGCGTGGAGCCGCGTCTCGCGTATGCCAAGGCTACCAAGGCAGCTAGGGCGGTCTTCTCCGTTGGCTAGCCGCTCCTCAGCCTGGACGCCTAGGCTCGGCTGGGGAAAGCGCAAAAAGACGGGCGGCCCACACGCTGCGTCATACCTATCAGCGCGCCGGTGGAAGACAAGGTCCGAAGACAAGGACACGGGCGATCGACGAGCAACTGCATGGCACCTCGGATGCCACCAAGCCACTGCCGCCAGCGAGCAAAAGAAGAGAAGCGCGACGACTGGCAACCACAGGCTGTGGACAGGGGGCCAACGACGGCGTCGACGGTGACGGTGACGGGGGGTGGTTGGGGGTTGGGGGTTTTGACAAGAAGGTGAGCGGACCGACGAACTCGAAATAGAAAAAAAAATGTCGAAAAAAGTCGAGCGGGCATTGGCTGCCTAGTACCAGGATCTCTCCCAGCAACAACGAGGAAAAACATTTTCTTCAAGCTCCCGTCGCTTCCGATAAAACTGACAGGAAAACTCCGTCTTCTCATCAGATTGATGCACAACAACACCACCTGCACAGCAGACCGCTATATCCATATGTAGGTACAATGTGCTCTGCGAGAAATGCCTATCAAACACTCGGAGTCTTGTTTTCTACGGCGGTGATCGTAACGATTATCATGATAGACTCTTTGCATGGAAGATGCACAGCACAACCTGAGCCGGTCATCTGGAATATCAAATGTCAGCAAAGAGAAAAAAATAATTCGAGATCGTGTGGATACCACCAAGGGATCCATCACCATCCTCACTTTCGGCAAAGCAGCAAGGTACCTGGGAGGGACCCAGTTTCCCTTCTCTGCCTCTCAAGCACCAACATTTCAATTCGGTAACAACTCCGAAATATTTCAGTGTGACTTTGATTATGAAGGGGATATCGACATGTGCAAGAACATCAAAACAAGGAGCGGGGAACTGCAGCGGCAAAAGAGAGTTCATACAGGTAGGTAATCATTTCCCTGTTCCAAGTTTTGGCCCGTCCTTCCTTGCTACCGCAACCACACGTCCCGAACTTCACCACCCCGTGGCGGAGAACGACAACGAGTCGTCGACACATCCACCATCATGGGGATACATAGCCTTTTCGCCGAATTCTCAATCAGACGCTGGCAAAGTCTCGGACGCTCCTCTGCAACAGGAGGTCTGGCCATCCGCAGACCGGTCGATCCTCACCAGCCACTCAGCGTTATCGTTGTCTTCGGACTCCTCTCTTTACCCGTTCGGCAACTTTAAACAATTTTCATGAAACTGCACCACACTGCTGGACGACAGACAGACAAGCTGTGCCCCACGTAATCCGCAATCAACACTTCCGTAACCCGCCCGCTCGTTGGCCCTGCTGCCGTCGTGTCAAGATCTCGTTCGCCAATGGACGGCGCCATCAACGACACACACTTGACGGCTCCTGGGATGTCGGTCGGCCGCCCGGGGGCTTGTTTCTGACCTTATCTCTACCGTACACCATCATCAACATCATGGAACCTGCTGTGAAAGATTGGATGCGATGCCGAATTGGGAGTAGTGCAACGCTAAATCAGCGATGATGTCTTTTTCCGTTTTTCCTTCCATCAACAAACCCCCTGCTATTGATGTCCACCCTAGCGTCCTCCCGAAGGCTCGGCGTGGGGCCGTACTGTGTGTTTGGTCCACAGCATCAGCACTTGTAAACTGTACGATGATTTACGCGTAGGCGTGGGTGGTGGTGGTGCACTGGTGTTGCACCGGCAGGGCCGAAGAGCGCATCGTATCTGATACCGTCCACCCATGATCATCTCCGAAAAAAAAAACGTGTGAAGAACAACAAAGTAAAATATATCGGGCATGAATTCCCAACGAGGAGAAACTTCATCAGATCGGAGGTCCAGGGAGGCAGCCCGTGCCGAGGCATTACCCAAAACGTTATTCTAGCTTTCTGGGCCGCAAACGTCCTTGGCCAGACATGTCCGAATTCCATCGTCAAAACCCACGAGAAGCAAAGAGAGAATCGGGGGTTCCAGAGCCCCTACCTACGGAATGGACCCCCGGATAGGGTCTATCAGTTTGTTACACCACAGCCCTTTGTTGACCGTCGTCCTCTGATGCTGTATTACCGAGCGGTGAGAACCCTACCACGCGCGGCCCTAATTTGCAACTCCTATCGCAATCACTCACTGTAGCTCTGCTATGTATGTCAGTGCCGTCGTCATCTTTGAGCGACTGTCGAGGTTGTTCAACCATCACAGCCTCAAGAGGAGATATTGCTCGACTGACAATCGCTGTCTATCAAGATTAAACTTAACGTCAGAGCTGACGGGGGATATGGGATGAACACCCGTTCCCCGCAGTCTCAATGTTTCCTTTTTCAACCTCCTTACAACACACGTCCCCGAAGCCCCCCATTCTCGCGTCATCCAATATCAGACAGGCAGGGCGATACTCACATCATGTAAGGATAGGGAGCTCGTAAAAGAGCAAAGCCACACACACACGCCCAGCATATCACGGGCCTGTGCCAAGACGCGTCAGGAGTTTCTTGGTGATCTGCTCATCCCTTTTCTCAGTTCCCTTTCCATCGGGACAAGATGGGGAAAGACAGCTTGGCATCATGGCACGTATCAGACTTTACAAAGCCTTTGAGCCATTGCGACTGGTCGAGACTTTGCAACAACAACCTCAACTCCGGAAAGTCAATGAAGAGCTTCAACGCCACGTCATATACCGGACCAAGCCATGTTTCTACTTGTAACGTTGCGAATTAATTTAGCCACGGGAGTTGACATTCAAGACAACAAGCCTCTGCCTCTTTTTTTGTTTCTCTATTTCCACATTTTCTCTCTTCAGGCCCGGTTCCAGTTCTTCTTGTTGGTTGAGTCTTCGTATCATCAAAGTCCGAACCGAAAATTACACATTCTCGAATACGGGATTTGGATTACAGAGATCGGGGCTGTGTTACCTTAACCAAGTGGTGCTCAGTGGAACCCGCGACAGAAACACGCAACAAAGGTGGATCCTTTCTTAACTGCTTAGGTCATCAGCCAAAGTGGACCGGGTGGTCATGGCTTCTTCAAAAAGGGCCTTTTTTCCATTTTTCACTTCCTCGGCTTTGAATGCTTCGCATGTTTCTTCCAAGCAGAAAGCCATAGACAAACGAATCTGGGATCAAGAGTTGAAGCAAGGACGAGATAGATAATTCTGCTGTGAACAACTGAAGCTGGAGTGTGATTCAAGACTTCACTTTAACATCCTCTCCGTGCAGGACATTCACAGCTGAAAAGTACCTATGTACGGTGTTAGTGCACACTGCACGGAGCTTTCCACTTCCCGAAGTCCGTGCACCGGTACCGACCCATCATTCTTACCTTACCATACGCGTATCCACCAGGGCTGGCGATTGGCGCCGTTCCAAATGCGCACTGTGCCCGCCCTGCCCGGTCCTGTCCACAGTGGAAGTTTCATTACAGCGGGCGTACCTCGTCTGTCCAGCGCCCAAGAGTTGGTTTCATCCACTGAAAGCCAATGCAGGGCAAGGGAATAAACATTTCATGGGAAAGCATTTCCATCGACAAGGAAACATCCAAGTCCCCTTGACGCCTTCATTCCCCCATCATTTCATTGAACGATGCTTCTAGATGCCACGTTTTTATGCCATCTTGTTCCGGAGGGCTAGGCTGGCCTGCCTACCAAAGGCATGTTCAGCTGTTATGGCATTTTCTAACCGGACAGGGTAATGCCTTTCTCCCTTTGGGTCGAGGCTCTGTTACAATAGTTACGGTAATAATTACACCTCCAGGTTTACACTAAGGATTAGAGATATCGAGATCACTTCACCGTGGCTGGATATACCTAGACGGGGACTCACACACAGAAGGAGAGTTCTTCTTGATGTTTGTAAGGGAAGAAGGATACAGGACGCCTCAAGCCAACGGTGGAAGCCAAAAGCAAGTAAGCAACCACTAACACGAACCAGCCTGCCCACTGCCCACCGCCCCGTTCGTACCTGTATGTTTGTTATCGACTTCGTAACCAAACCTTGAACATGAATGGTTTGCACAATTCAGGGGAAGCGCATATCAATCGCCATCGCTACCTCACAAGTGGCCCAAAAGAAAACCGGGAAGACAGAACAGAAAAGAGTCACCCAAGGGAAACGAAGTGCGGAAGGTGCCCTCATGCCATGTTCTGCACGAGATCCCCCTCATTTTTGACATCGCATATCCCCGACATCCGAACCATAATAGACGTCCCGTCGGCGGGTTCTATCACCGACACCTTAGAACCGACAAGCATCAGTTGACAGTTGGAGGTTTGGGTTGATAGTTTTCACGACCACCAAGTAGTTAGTTTAAGGTAGACTCTTGCTATGAGGTGCAGTGAGATCATATCTGGATGACTTATTTTACATGCAAACTGAAGTCCCTTTTCCCCTCATGAGGTTTCCGATGTTCTGCCTTCCATGCCACTGAGAGCCTCCCTCCCTCCAAAACCTCAACCCAAGCAAACGGGATCCCCGTCATTTCCGGCAACCGACCGCAGAGAGGTGTAGAGAAAAGTCTGAAGTTCTCTTTTTTGGACAAGCATTCACTCTGTAAGTAATCTGGCTTGTATTCTGCTTTCTTGCACTTTCTAGCTGTCCTGTATTGTTCTCGTTGCATTGCTGTCTCGAACTTTTCTCTTCCTTCCACCTTCGTTCTCTGCCACCATCAAAGCCCTGAAAGCGCCTTCCCTTCACCACCCCTTGCCCCCCCCCCCCCCCTACAGGTAGCCGCAGCCCAGGACCTCCCCAGCAGCCAGGTGCTGGCCTCGCAATTGTCAGGACCCAAGAGACCCACGGAACCAGCCTGCCAGAGAGGGACGGCCTAACACGAGCGAGCATCATATCCACCACACGACGACGGACCACGACCGGCATTGCTCGACCATTCCGCAGTCCGCTCGTTAGCCGGGCGCCATCGTCACATCCTATCGCCTCCACTGGCTGATGCTGCTGCTGTTCGGCTGTTAGTGCATCTTCGCACTACACGTTGCAGAGCTTCACTCTCTACGGCACGGGCAAACGCGCACCACGCTCCGAGCGGCTCGTCACCACCATTTGCATCCGGCGACTACAAGCTCGACGCCGGTGAGACCACTACGAACGGCTAGACAAAGGCTGCCACACCGTACACTACATTGCTCCCCCATCTCCCCTCCACACGCTCGCTCCACGCGGAATACAAGGTCGAATCGAAACCGTCGGTCATCTCGCCCTGTCCAGGTTGAGGTGCTCTCTTCAATATCCTTGGCCGTGGCCAATTACCATCGACCCCGATCTCTGTCTTGTCACAGCCAGTGAGCAACCACATTCGCCGTGTTCCATTTCGGATTTCAGCCACAGCTCTCTCTTCTCGACTTGATCGGAAGGGTCCCCAGACCCGAAGTTTGGAATATCTTCTGTCGCCTCGTCTCGCTCTACAAAATACACATTTAATCGCTGCCAAGGCGTCACGCTCGTTTTAGTCTACCCGGCCGACGCTACCTGGAGCCGCTAGAAGAAGGCCTTGATTAGCGCTGCCCAGCGCCCAGGATCGTCTAATCCCCAGGCACAACCGCGACTATCCCTATATTGCTGCTTCGACTCTTGCTGTTGGCCACTGCTGTCATTGCTGTGTGCTGTCACTATCATTGTTGCTGCCCCTGCTATCGCTGACTGCTGCTGCCGCCGCTGCGTTGTCACGACTGTCCCTGTCAAGCTGAGTGACGCTGCCTTCTCGCTCGCTCGTTCGAGGCGCGTTGGAGAGGAGTCCATACCGTATCCTCGCATAACAAGAAGCACAACAAGAGACAAACAAGAAGCGAAACGAAGCGAAGCGAGCCGTGCTCGAGATTAAGAGGTTTCGAAGAATAACGAGACCGCCTACCGCGGGAGAAGCGATAACATATCCAAGCGAACAAGAGTCATCGGAGAAAAGAAGAAGAAAAGATAGGACTCGATTCGAGATTGGGATCACGAAAAGAGGAAAAGAAAAAGAAAAGAAGGAAGTCAAGAACATCATCCGTCCCACGCACACCGGCCCACGTCAAGCACTGCGGTAATCAAGCCACAGGGGACTTGGTCTTGGTCGCGCTGGTGGAACAGGCCTTGGTTTGGTTAGACAATCTGCCAGTCCTTCCTCTTTCCGGTTGAGCGCTTCGCACCAAAGAAGGCTGCCGCTGTTGCAGCTTCGAAACCTGAACAGCCCACCATACCCGGTTTGGGACTCCGCAATGGCACCCATGACGCCCCGACTCAAGATCCTGTCAGGTGAGTCGCCAGTTCATATTCAGCACTGTTTGATGGATACCACTTGGATACCACTACGATACAGGTCATCGAGAAAAAAACGCTGCTTGGATGGATGGAGTCGAGTCGTTTCGGCGCCGGCCCTCTGCCTTGACTTCGGCAGTCAGCAACGAGTGTTCCCTGTCTCCTTCACCCATGTACCAGTTCCCACGCTCTCCGCTCTCCTGTCCATGCTATCCATTGTACCCGCTACATACCTTTCTTCTCGCTAGTGCTACACCAGCTTTCCGGGACCAGCCAGTCTTGACCGGGCAGAAAGAAAGTGGGCTACGCTATCCTATCCTATCCATCCATACCACACACACGCTATTATCTCTTTGACGGCCCTCCCCTCGTCCAACTTCTTTTTCCCACTTCCGAGACCTGAAAGAACCTTTGCTTGACTGACCCTGCCGTCACCACCACACTCGTTTTTTTTCTGCTTGATCATTTTTTTTGGGGACAGCTGCTGCGCTTGCGGTTCTTGAACACGCGCAAACCAGCCATGTCGGAGAGTAATGAACTGATGAAAGTTGTTACAGTGGGCGGAAATTCGGTTTCTGCCTTCTTGTCGTGGCGCCTCCAAGCAACAAATGCCTGCGACGTCACTCTAGTATGGAAGACTGGCTACGAGCACGTTGCGCAATACGGAATCTCCTTCAAGTACGTTGACAATGCGCAATTCGAACCCTCGTTTTCCGGGCGCAAGAGAATCGCAAAAACTCTGGTCCCCACGCATCCGGATAACAATGCTGACATGAAGTTAGGTCTCCGGTCTTTGGCAATGAGCGCTTCAAGCCTCGTCATGGTAAGCCTCTCTTATCATCTCGTGTTCTCCATGTTCTCCAATGCGCTCGACCGTTGAACGTTGTGCTGATCCGTGATGCTATGACGCAGTTGTCCGGGCACCCGAAGAGGCTGCCACTCGCAGAGAGGGCGGCGCATTCGACTATGTCATTCTCTGTATAAAGGCCCTTCCCGATGTTTACGACCTGGCGTCCGTGATCGATTCCGTCGTCACTCCGCAGCACACTTGCATCCTTGTTAATACCACACAATCGCTCGGCCTCGAATCAGCCATCGAAGAACGATTCCCCACTAATGTAGTCCTTTCGCTGGTCTGCGGCGCCGAGCTCACTCAGCTCGGAGGAAGCGAATTCGAGCACAAGGGCTCAACAGAAGTCTGGGTTGGCGCCGCAAACAGAAACTCCAACATTCCGGCCTCGATACAGGAGGATATGGCGCAGGCACTGGCTATGACCCTCAGCACTGGTCAGGTCGACTGTAAAGTCTCGAGTAACATTCAGCAACAGCAGTTTGAAAGAGTTATTGGGTATGTTGTTCATCGTTGGGATAGTAAGGTCAAGATGGAGATGCTAACCGAATCGCAGCCCAATTGCTTTCCATCCTCTTACAGTGCTCTTCGAAACCCCCAACTATGGCCAGCTCCTCGACAAGGTGGGCGTGGCCAAGCTGATATCAGATGTCATTGACGAGCTATTAGCCGTGGCCGAAGCACAGGGTTGCAAGTTCCCGCCCGATTTCAAGAAAAACACCATTGATGAATTCGCGAGGACGACGACGGAGAATATGATGTGGCAAGATTACGTTGCGAGACGCCCAATGGAGGTTGAGACATATCTCGGCTCGCCTATTAGGTTAGCCCAACAATTTGGGGTGCCAGTTCCACGAATCGAGACGCTCTACGCCCTTCTTCACAACACCAACATCGCCAACCGCAACAGACCCAAGACGGACGGTCTGGCTCCGCCTCTACAGCCAGGGTCGCCTTCCGCTACGCCCCCTCTGCCCCGGGGGACGCCAGGTACTCCACGTGCAGTAGCCAACGGTATGACCAACGGGAACGGGATGCCGCGGATGCGCCCTAGGGGCTCTTCGCAGCTGGGACCTGCACCACTCGGCATGCGCAGACCTACTCTGAACGGCGGTGGACCGCCACCTAACGGATACCCCAGACCACCAACCAGTGGAAGCCGACAGCCGTCAAGGAGGGGGTCGATGGAAGGAGCTGATTTGGAAGAGTTTAGCCATTTGGTGCTTTACGACGACATTCCAGAAGGCGGCGAGGGCGGTTATTCGCCGCACGATCTGGCTTTGCGGGAAAGAGAGTTGCAGCTGCGGCAGCGAGAGCTCGCCTTGAGGGAGCAGGAGATGAGGCTCAGACGTGCTGCTGCTGCTGGTGGTCCCCCGCCGGGATCCAGAAGGGGCCCTCCATCGAGGTATAACGGCGGTTTTGATGATGACGATGATGAAGACAATTACTACGACCCGGCTTCTGCGCCTCCCGTGCCAATGATCGATCCCGACAACTTTGACATGATGAGCGTCACTTCCAGGAAGACCCGGAAAGCGCCTAGCGATCATCACCAATTGCGCAAGAACCCCGAGCCCAATGCGCCTACTTCCCGGAGTAGTAGGTTTAAACCGAAGTTTGGGCGGAACCGATCGAGCCATATGGTCGCCGAAATTCCGGGGTTGCACGACAACATCTTGGACGACCCGTTGATGAGCTTCACCTCGAATCGGTATGGCGAAGTGGACCGGGGAATGATACACGCGGGATCGAGGACAAACTCTTTGACGACCGCCCGTCTGGATGAGCTGCAGTACACTCAGGGCCCTCCGCCACACGGAGGCATGCCGAGGCGCGCCAGTCAATCACCAGGGAACCCATACAGCCCATCCATGAGGGGCGGTAGCGGTCGCCCTTCCCCACCAAACGGGTACAGCGCGCCATACATGAACGGCGGCGGGCGACCGTCGCCTCCGGATGGAATGCGGCAACCCATGCCCCGTTATCCTCCAGGACACGGAAACGCGGTCGTGCCGCAGCAGGTGGAACAGCATGCCGGGGTGAGCGCCCTCCAACCACCAGAGACCATGATGACCAAAAATGTTCGAAGTCTGACTGGTAGTGCAAGCGCCAGCGCGGCGAGTGGTGATTCTACGCATCAGCTCGAGTCATCGGAACCCTCGGCACATAGCAGCCAGAGTAGCCTAGGACGTCGTCCGCCCATTGGAGTGCGTTAAGCACAACGGACAACGGAGTTTGGTTTTTGAAAGAAGCTTTTTGCGTGTGTGAACGACCGGTGGTGGAAGAAGCATTTGTCATTTATGAACGAACTGGCTACTACCCTTTTTCTCTCCCGAATCATCATCAATTCTCATCAGGCAACACATATTTTGGCTCCTATCGATATCCCCCTTTTCAGCAGCAGTCGAAAAAGGAAGAAGAAGAAGGCGAAAGAAAGCATTCATTCAATTTACTTAATGATAGGTATGGGTGGGGGAATACAAACTTATTTGGTTAGAAGAAAAGGCGTGCTCGTGTGCGATGAAAGGATTGGACGTGTGAAAGATCATTATGGAACTGATTGGCAGGCGGCGGTTATCAACTTTTTTTTCTTTTTTTTGGTTTGAGTTTTTCTTCTGTTAAACAATCGATCGAACTGGACAAACAAACGAGACGAGATGCGAATAAAAATAAGCAGTTACCCTACTTACCTGTCCACCCTACGGTCCCGCCGTTTTCGTTGCACACGCGACTCGATTTCCAACGTTAGGCGACTACGTACGGCTTTTTACATAGGTCCGAGATGGCAAGTCACTGGCAACAAACGCACATGGCAGCCAACTAGCCAGCACACACGCAAAGTGGATGATGGAGGCCGAGGAAGAGATGGACGGAGGAGTGAAAGCCAGAGGGGGAGGATGACAGGATGAAATGGATTGGACGGATTTATGGACCCAGGAACGAGCAGGACGGAACGACGTGGCGGATGAAAATAGAGAGATGGACTGGACTGGACTGATCGGACGAATGCAAGTGACGGACAGAGACAGTGTTCAAGACTCGACACACATCTTTCCTTTTTGGTTTACCTTTCTTTTGTTTTCTTCTTCCTTATCCTCCATTGAGAGAGAGTGGCTTCCCATGTTTTTTGCGCTTGGCTTATGGCTTTTTTGTTTAGTTGTATAAGAGTGATGGAAAAGAGAAACTGTACATAGAATTGTTGGCGAACGTAGAAGCAAGCTTCTTACCGTAAGATCGTAATGATAGTTTTTAGCATCAACCTACCTTTCCTTGACGTACTTTACCTTATCCTATCTACATGGTTGTTCGCACGCTTCTCGTTGGGTGTACATACTTGGACGACATCTCAACTCTATAAACAGAAGTGTAAAGCAATACGCGAAAGGCAAAATAACTTTCCGCTCATCTCCTCGAAGCGAGTGATCTTTACGGATTGTAGTAGGATTTCGGAAGTCCAATACTCATCAATTAGCTCATATCGCCTGACAAGAGATCACCTCTCACCTACCTTCACCGTGAACACGATGCTGTCAATGATCATCAGCGAGATACACGTCCAAACATGCTTGCCAATGCCATTCACGGAAAAGAAAAACGAGAAACGTGGGATGTGAAACAACCTCAATGCGCAACCCAGCTACGGTCATGGGACTAATCAATGCCAGTCAGGCGACACCCATCATCTACCCTTATTTCGAGATCCAACTTACTTCGTACGTCTCTCGCCTATCATGAGTTGACATATGGGAACACAAAGTTGAGGCTCGGTTGTAAACTGTTTCGTTTCCGCGGGTGCTACTGCTGTGCTGTATTATGCTGTGATGCTTGATGTTGTGTAAGTAGAAGAGAGGGGGGGATGGGATGGATGGGGTCGTGAAGATCGTTTGGGATATAGACAACAGGCAGAAGATGTATCGTCGTCTTGGGTAGTTGTGTCCTAACGGGCTGAAGGAGGTTGATAACATTACATGTGGACCTCGGTGTGGGAACTGAATGGGATATACTCGATTGTTTGAAGTCCTGGAACTGAGGAGCTGGAACGCAGGGGAGAAGGCATTAATAGGACATTCGATGACTTAAGTTCTCTTTGAAGCTATCCACCAACTAACTGGTCCCGTATCCCAAGAAGCAACGGCGGCCACTGGCATCTTCATCCAAACTCCTCTTTCACCTGACATTTTGGCAATGCTGTAGCCCTACCATCTTCATCTCCTTGTCAAATCCTCCCGAACTCAGTCAGTCCTCGTACATCCCCTCAATCTGCTAGTAGTCAACAGTTAACAGTCAGCATTCATCTCTGTCAGTTCCTTCCCGTCTTGCATCTCCCAATCGTAAATCGCACGATCCTCGGCAGCATGTTTCCCTTCGTGACACCCCGGGTTTCGACCGCCGACCCCACGCCACCAGACGGGAACATGCTTATGAAACTCGCATGGCTTGCAGTTGAGCTTGTGCCCCTATCTCTGTGTGTCAGCATCTGATACGATGTGGCTTGCATGAAAGGGTATGTATGACGAGGAAGTGGCTTGGGTTGGGTTGAGTTTGTTTTGGCGATGCTGGGAAAGAAAGAGCGAGGACATTGCTTCGTTGATATGCGAAGGGGGTTGAAGCAATTTTGATCTTGGTATGATTTGGGATGTAGACTCGTTTTGGTGATCGTGGTGTTAGCAGTTACAACTTCGCAAGACCTGGATGGACGATCGTTACGTGTCATGCTCTGACGTCTGGATGCCAGGTGTGTTGGTGAGGCTCTCGACGCCTGCTTTCATTGTTGTGCGCTATCAAACCAGGCATTTGCCGAGGGAAGGAAGCAACACCAGAACTCTCATATGGCCCGCCCGCTGCTAAGTAAACACTCCGCCCTCCCATCTCTTATGGAAGGTGCGGCAGGCGGGAAGGTGCCGGCAAGTCGCCGGCCGGGGGACTCGGGGTGCCGAAGTTCTGGGACTGTGGCCGGCAATGCACGGGTCCTCGGCAGGATTCTAGAAGCATTGAACAAGAACCAAAAAAGATTTACCGACGCCTGGTTCGAACGCACCACCTCTCCAGAGGAGATAAAAAATGATCCAAAAACAACAACCGCTCGTTCAGAGCAATGGTGAACCGTTTGACCTCGATTCTGTCGACTGGAGTGTTCCAAGATACCATATAGGTAGACCGGCTACTAGGTAGTGAAGACCCCTTTACGTGTCTTAGCACACACCGTTCCCGATCCGGACAGATAATGGGTTTTGAGTTTTGAGACTCAAACGGTAGACCACTGTGCCATCAGACCAAGCGGTTGTTGTTGGAAGGAGGGACCAACCAGGTCCCTTATATGGTCATTAGGGATTGGGTTGATATCGGATGAAGGAATGATGTAGCAGGGCCCGGGCGCGGCAGGCATGGAAGGTACGGTCCGGTAGCTGGCAACCGGGACTCGGAGCTCGAGCAGTTCAGTTGAGGAAGCAACGATGGATGACGGTGTTGCTGTCGACGCTTCTAGAAACTAGAGTACGGGACCTGGCAAAATATCGTGTCAGTTCACATTTTTCCGCAGAGGTAGGTTTTGTCAAACTTGAAGCAATGGAGGCTCAGAGCACCCTGCACTCCAGGTAGCAGATAGAACGGTGTCGTCGTGATTTGAGGTCTTCCGCATCTTCTCGCCAGGAATTTCCTCCTCGTCTTTCTACTCAGAATTGCGGCAGGAGCGACTGGAAGCGAGATGTGAAATCTTCGTTCTTTCCTTCCTCGTCGCTATCCCCGCAGCGTTTCCCTCCACCCCATTTCCCCGAGAACCCAAATTTCAATTCCCTGTCCTAGGGATCACGCGTCCACCTCCTCCCTTTCGCGGCCGTTTCTTGCTCGAAGACCCGATAGTAATGCCTTTTTTTCTCTGACGTCTCGCGTCGCCCGAAGGTGGAAAGCGACATCACATCCCTCATTGCGGCCTCCCCCCAACTGCGTCCACCGACGGCCGCTCGCTCTCCGGCGCGGGCCTTTCAAAGTGCTGCCGAAGCAAAAAATCGTCATTGATGCCGCCCATCGTCCTGAATCCTTGACCCAACAGTCCCAAAACCAGAGACGGCTCTGATAGTGCCAGGACCTCGGCCGTCACTCTCAGGACACTTGTCCTTTCTGTGCAATTCCTTCAGTTTTGGCTGCCCTATTCTCCCCAGAGTTTCGTGCTACGAGATGAAGATACCGCTCGTCGAGTTCGGTGTGGCGAGCTGTACCAGCAATGAAGCTGCACCCTTGTGGTCGAACTCGAAAGGGCATACATGACGACATGACGCGAGTTGGTGCCGTTGTTTCTCTTATCGCCGAACGACGAACTTCCGGAACGCCGGAGCGCTGATGTTGCTTGAAAAAAATCGTTCTCACACGCATTGCGTTCGGGCGTGCGTTGGGGGAGGGGCTGGAGGCGTGTGCATACTGGTGGCCTTCCTGGCGGCGTTGAAAATTGAGGCCTCGTCATCTGCGTCGGACTGCCGAAGACGTTATTGTTGGTTTTGAGGCGCTTCCCCCCTTCCCCAATGCAGGCCGCATCTCATATGTACGTTTTGGTTCCCTTGTGACCAACCGCATTTCTTTCACGCCTCTAGGGGACAGCGTAACGACGAGCATTCTGGCCACTTTCGCAATCAAGACTGGATATGCCGGGCAAAATTCTTTATTGCATACGTCATCTCGTCATCGACTTCTGCAAGATTATGGCGTGATCTCTGCTCTCCGCTCGTTACCTTAGGCCTCGGAACGGTATTCGAAAAGGAGACATCGGCGAGCGAGGCCAGAGAGGGGCGAAGGAAGGCGTGTGGACATGGATAGAGAGGACATTTGACACTAGTAACATAAGTTGGGGGCTCATTCTGAGGGTGTTCTTAGGGCTGTTCACGGTGACGTCCACAGAAGTTTTGAAAGGAGAAAAGGTGGTGTAAAGCACCAGGAAATTAATAGGCACATCTTGGGTTAAAGTAGTCCACCTCTTCCTCGACTTTTCTCACACATGCTAACTCTTATGACGACAGATGTCGGCGATGTGGCCGGACTTCCCCATACAGTCCGCCGAAGTGGGAGCCTGATGGCGAATTCGGACCAAATAACAGCAGCAAGTGTCGCATAGCAGGCGAGGAGTGAGGTTGATTCTATATCCAAATTAGGAAGTGGTGATATGTACATGACTTGCTGACAAACACGCAGAGTGTACGTCTACAGTCGAGCACGTGTTCCCTTCCCCTGGCGCTATCGAGATCCCTTGGATAGTTTGGAACGCAGGGACTCTCCCACATAGGGTCCCCATTGGTCAAGATCATGGAAAGGATCTCAATCGGGCAAGTTCCCCTGCTTCAAGAAGTGCCTGGATTGCAGTAATCTGGTATTTGCTTGCCTTTACAGGAGTCGAGGTCAGAGCTCGGAGGCCATCACTTAGGGTAGGTTGAATGTTGAGAGACCTGGTACAGGAAAATGTCCAAACTTCAGCAGCGACACCATGTCGGAGGTCTGGAGGGGCTATGCTGATGCTTTTCTGTAGACCTAGCGGGCTAAAACCTGTTCATGTGCTATTATCATAGGGGAAGCGTTTGGCCTGCACGGCGCGCCGATATGTACGGCAGGTTCATACCGAACTCCGAATCTTGAAGTCAACAGGCATCTGCGCCATGCACGGCAACTCACGGGTTCTGCATATCAAATTTCTTTGTATGCCGAGTGTCCTCAAGCTGCGGTGGTAATGGAAATGGTGAGTGTCCTCCTTGACTTTCGCCGTCTCCGTCCGTTTATGCCCCCTTTTCCGTGTTTCACTCACGCCATTTTCTTGGTCGATCTCGAAGTGCTGCAACGAGCTGCACAAATATACCGCACAACCGAACACGGTGACAAAAAAAAGGCTCAGAGCCCGGTTGATGCGAGATTTTACTCTCGAACAAGTGCGGCTCCAAATTCGAATGTCCGTCGCAAGTGTCTCTTTACAGGGAGGCTACGTGGCAAATGCAGACATATGCAGTTCTCGGCCAGAGTTTTTTCTCCTGTATGCACTCCCTCGATAGCCGACTGTTGATGCGAGATACAGTCATCTCAGCCTTGATTATTGAGGTGTAGGCATTCGGGCTTTGGACATGTGAGAAGAGGAACGGTGCTCTATTCCACAAAGCTACCTTATATAAGGCTTCCCTCGACTGTCTCGGGCTTCTCCTTCTATTTCTTCTCTTCACACTTCATCGCCGATTTCAATAATCCACCTGCTACAGGAACAACCCATATATTCATCTATCTTATATTCAAAGATGTCTCAATTTACCACTGGCGATGTCGCCTTCCTCTTGGAATGGCACCAATTTAACAAGGGCGGAAAAGCTATGCTTCAACGCCTGAATCCAACACATTATATGGAGGGTCCTTGTGGACATCCCGTTATTATCTTGAATAAGACCGCAACTTACGCCCTCGTTACCACCGTCTCGGCCCACGGGGCGGGGCCGTGGGATGGGTGGCGGGCCCCATGGACCTCCGGTCGCCATTACGCTAGGGAGGCAGACCATTTCCGGTCATTTGCCGGAACCCAGAGGTCGAACAGCCACAGGGCATTCCTCCGCCTTTCCAAGGGGGCTTGGCCCAAGCCGAAGGGCTCGTGGGTCCACGTGGAGAATGTTCTCCTTGTTCCTCTCTTTGCTTTGGGCATCTTCACGAAGCCCAAATGCTGGGAGAGGAGCGGGACCATTCTCCACGTGGACCAGACCAGTATGCACGATCTGATGATGCATATCCAGGTAGCCAACCCTCAATGGTTTGAGCTTCTTGGCCGACTCGATATACTCGCGGGCAACAAGCCAAAAGCAATCCAGACGAAGCAGCACCCTCCTCATCCAGCTGCTCCTCGCCCAGCTGCTCCTCGCCCAGCTGCTCCTCGTCCAGATGAGAGCGAGTCTGGTTGGACCACCGTCAAGAATAGGAGAAGATGATGTCCCCTTATCAACAGAACATCGAGACGCGTGCGGTGGCAACTTAGCAAACAACGGGGGGGCGTGGTGGCCATACACTCTCACCCCTCGGCTGCAGGTTACTTAACGTCGTCGTCGTCGTTGTCAGAACACAACACAATCAGTTGGTTGAAGAAAGAAGAAGAAGAACAAGTCTCTCTCAAACACGGCTTGACGTCTGCGGACCCTTCTTTCCTCTCACGACCTATTATCACCTACTATTACCATACGAAAACCATTCCGACCGCGCCATCCACGCTACGATCCTCACTCACCAACCACCCACCTTTACCGCCCGAGGAATCACTATCGAGTCGAATCGGTTTCGAACAACTCAGCTGAAGGAAGAAGAAGAAGAAGAAGAAGAAGAAGAGCAGCTTTCTCCCAACCGAGCCTCATGTCTACGGACCCTTCTTCCCACTCTACCATAACCATTACCACACGACAAACCTTTCCGACCTCGCCATCCTCGCAATCTCACTCTCATCTCTCACCACCTATTCTTAACGGAGGAATCACGATCGAGTCGAATCGGTTTCGAACTGTTAACAACTCAGCTGAAGGAAGAAGCAGAAAACGAGTTCCCTCACCCCCGGACTCTTGTCTACCTACCTCTAGCTAGACCCTTCTTCCCTCTTACCAACTACCTACCATTACCTCACAACAACAAACCTACCTATCTATCCGCCTCGCTATCCTCACTATCTCACCATTCTCGCCAATCGGACACCCATTTCTTCCACGGAAGAATCACATTTACCATCTATCGAGTCGCGTCGAGTCGCGTCGAGTCACGAGTTTCAGGTTTTGGTCTTTTTTTTTATCGGTTTTTTTTTAAGCAGCCCGTGAAAAAGCGGGTTGCTGTTTTTTTTTCTACTTTTTTTCATCTCGGAAGAAAAAGAAGAAAAAGGTCATGCTAGCTCGTTGGCTATGAGCATCTGTCTTGACGGGCAGAAGGTTCTGGGTTCGATTCCCGGGCGGATCTATCTCTGATTCATCTTCTCTGAGAAAAAATTACAAGTCATGTATCATCAAGCGTTGCGAGTTGCGAGTTGTTTTGAAAGTTTGTCATTGGGTTTTTGGTTGTGTTCTGGTCGAGGCAAGGAAGTTGCTTGGATACTTGTGAGGGAAAAAGATGGCCAGGGCGTCTCCAAGTGTTTTACGATTATGTACCTATTGCTCGGGGTTGTCGATGCTTAATGTCTGTTGTCTGTCTGCTGGTTTCACGATAGGTGTGTCCGAAATGATGAGACGAAAAGAATTCTGATCGGCACATGGAAGCTGGACACTTGTTTATCCAGGGAAATCCAGAGACGGACGAAGCGAAGACTTGTTCACGGAAAGGAGCTTGCTCGAGACATCGGCATGGACAGCATACATTACGGGGGGCAGTCTCTGAAGTCTGAAAGCAAGGAAGCCAACGAGAAAGGTGAACATCTTGGAGCAGGAGGAAACCAGATACGAAGAACAGACTCGTCGTCGTTTACCACGACACCACAGAGATCCCGTCGGGAAGGCAAACATTTGATTCTGCAGATGATAAAGGACGCAGAAGGAGGGCGGAGGATAAGGAGGACATTCAAAGAGAATACCATCGGAAAGGCAAGCGAGTCGGGGTGTCGTTTCAGGCGTTGGATATCAGGAATCGAGAGCATCAGTTTCGCGGACGGAAAAGGCAATTCGAGTATCATGACCATCAAAGCGATGCTCGAGAGCGGATGTTTGGAAAATTGTTTTGGTGCGACGAGTTAGGGCATTGGCAGAATTTTGAATGGAATCGTGAGTTGCGTTGCTCCTGCAATGATCCATTATCTTGCAGGTCATTTGAGTTTTGTTGTTCTCAATCTCGAGTCCCCCGTGAATGAATCGAGCCTTCCCGAAGTGTTGTGACAGAACTACCAATGCACACTGGTAGAATTCTTCAAGGCAACTGCGATGGACGAAAAATTGATCATGTCAGAACACCACTGTTCTGGTTATGAGAGACGGATATCGTGGTACTTGTTCATGCCCTTGCTTTTCAAGGATGCTATCCTCGTAACTCGACTGACATAAGACATCAGCAACATTTAATCAAGGCCCCTTTGACACCTCCCCTTAGTTTTAACTTAACAAAAGTTATCCATGGCCTGCCTGCTATCATTTCATTCGTTACTAACACCAATGGTCGCGCACATCCTGTCCATTCGGAAAAAAAAAAAAAAGAACGACGGCCCACGTGCGCTGGTCAATGACATGGACACGCCTCGAACACTCGTCAATCACAATGCAACCGGCACCTTGACCACTTCGTAAAAGCCTCCCAAATGATCTTCGAGCTTTTCAGTTACTCATAAAGACTGTGACTCCCAAGCGTACGATGTTGCTCAAGTGATATGGTCCAGTGTCATTCACCGTGGCCATGGCGGCGGAACTCCCGGCCCGACCATCGTGATCCAGTTTCGTACCTCGTTGGGCAACAAAGTCAGTACAAGTACGATGACAAACCTTCTGGTCGGATCGTGATCCAGTACCAAATTTCGGAAACAATACCTTCAAAACGCGTGCTTGCCATAGCAGAGAGTCATCTAGATCCCCGAATGCGATCAGTGTACACGGAAGGGCGCAGTCACCCGCTCGACATCCGCTCACAAACATAGAGGTACTCGACAATACCAGCCATCATCGTCGCGGCAACAAGAAGACGTCAGAGTCACCAATCGGTTACTACGACGGCGTGTCGGCCCGTCAGCGGATAATTAACCCGATTCAACACGCCGCTCGCTACTACCACGGTCCTGTGTTTCATTCCGTTCAGCGAACCAACCAACAACCAACCAACGTCTTACTCACACTCATGCTCACTATCGCAGTCACGGCTCGTGCTTACCTGCCTACCCGCTCGTACAGTGAATCATCCTGATTGATCGTGAATCATGAACGAAACTGCTGACAATGTTTTCTTTCTCTCGTCTCTCGAAGGATGAGATCCGCTTTACCAACTCGGTCGACACACCCCGTTACAATGGGCGGCCCTATGCCGCTCACGTTTTCGGTTGGAAAACGCCTGGGTCCGAGCTTGTCATCGAAAAGCTACAGTTGAAAGTTCCTCTTCTCGTATCTATCTACCAGAGAAATGTGTGTGCAAACTCGAAGTGTGTCATAACCGCCCCTGTCATGGATGGGTATTCACACAACTTCAAAACTTCGTTTTGAGTTCCCGTTTAGGGCATATGGAACTTTCCCGCGCCAGCACCTACCTAACTCGACACCCTCTGTCTCAGTGTTCATCGTATCGACATAATCACGATCTCGATTGGATGATTGCTGACAGAAAGTCACTGGCCGTTGTTGTTACCCTTACCCAGTAGGCTGGTTGGGTTGATCTCACTTGCTGACGGTTTTGGTTTTGCGGCTTACTCACCGACTGACTGAGTCTAGAAACTTGGAATCTCACCTCACCTTGGGCCCCACATCGTGCTACGGTACCTACTCACCGGGAGAAAGTTTCCTGTTTTCTTCTCGTTACTGAGAGTGAGAAAAGCGTGGGTGTTGGACATGGCTACAACATAATCATCTGAGCGGACAGTCTTGAGCAAAAAGTTGAGGAGTAACGACGGTCAGATGGAGTGGAGTCGGCAAAGCGTTAGTAGGTATTCTGTCCCTGATCATGTTTGAACACACCACGATGTTTATGGAAGTAGTGTCGCCATAATTTTTGAATAACATGATAATGACTGAATGAACTCAATTAGCACAGTTGAGCAATGCTCACACATCAATCAGTACTTGAACAGTCAGAATACACCAACTTTACGACCTAAACCTACTTACCAATGATATCCCAATAACGGAGGATCGGATTAATTCTTCCATTCAGGACCGATAGACTTACAGCTGAATAACAGCCAACCAAATCTTTGACCATTACTCCTCTGTGAGAACGGAGAATAGAGGTGCGAGACATGACTGCTGCCTGCTCCCCCTGTTACTATTCAGTTTCGCCTTGGCCATTACAGCCTTGACCACGAAAGGATAATCCACGGCACGCTGATCTCAAAGGGGAAATCCCGAAAAACTCCGCCCCCAACATAAACCTGCCTGGGCCTGCTCATCGCAATAATTTGCATTCCTACGTTTCCCGTGAAGAGCAAGCGAGTCTCGGAGTTCATGTGTGCGACCAAGCCATGTTTCGTATATGTTCATTCGCCTTGTCAGGCTTGTCGAGAATTTGACGGTGTGGTACGTATCAGCTTGGCTCGCTGGCTCGCTAGGCTGGGAAGAAGGAGGGTATGGGTATGGGTGTGGCGATGGAAGCCTGATCGTAGGTAGTTTGTAAAAAGTTTTTTTTTTTCTTTTTTTTTTTTTTTCCCTTCCAAGATAGGGAGCGGTACTACAAGTAGGTGTAGGAAATGGAGGTGATGCCCAAAGGCTAACCGGGGCCTGAGGAACGGAGGTGTGATTGATGGAGTCGGTCGCGAATGAGAAGGTGTGAGGATGGTGAGCTGTTTCGAGCCCGAAACTTCCACATCATCCTTCATCGCGATCATTGTCATCACCTAGCAGTCAGTAGAGGTATGCTCACCGCACCCGTGGCTTGTTCCTCCTGCTGGGTCGTGCAGCGTGCTGGCCGCTGCTGGCGGGTACCGCGGTGACAGTTCATCCGGTCAGCAACAGTGGGTCCCTTCCAGGGCATCTGCCTCCTCCAGTTCCAGCGCTGACGAGTGACAAAGTGACGAGTGATGCCGGTGAATGACCTCGCAGCGGTCGGGCCCAACGAAGCTTCCGTGATGTGTGGGGTAGAATTCGTACGTCCCGGATTCCTTCACAGAAGTTCACGATTTGTTACGAAAGTATAAAACTGCGGATTGTGGAAAATGCGCACCTTTATGGCTATCTTCCGCACATCATCCGCATGACGGAATATCATCCGTTGAGACTTTTTTGTTCTACTTTTTGCGCGCTGCGTGGGGAGCAGGAGAACGACGTTGTGTGTTGTCTTGTCATAAGACCTGGGAACCTTGCCTTTGCCTTGGAAGTCCTGGCAGCGCTTTCCTGGCTTTGACCGGCTTCGCCTGGCTGTTGCCTGGAGGATGTCAAGGACGGTTGCCGCGGTGATATGCTTCGAGGAGAATTCTCGAACGAATGAGAAAGATTCCACATTCCATAGTGTAGGCTAGCGAGGCGGATGCGTTCGGGCAAGAGCTGAATGTGACAATGGGTGAGTTTCCGGGATTTTCTTGGGTTTGCGACTCTGGAAAAACCACAACTTGCCAGCGCCAACAAATCGTGAAGGCATTTTCTCTTTTCCCAAGATCACGGCCCCGGTTTTATCGGGCCCCACTACGAACGGTTCACGGTCTCGGTTCCCCGTCCCGAGAAGACGGGACTTGGTAAAGAACCCCGGCCGGGCCTAGACGTTGGTTGTTCGTCATCATGCTTTAGTTTGGGACTTGGGATCATGGCTAGGGCAGGTTTCAAGTTGTTGGAGTTGGTTGGGCTTGTGACTTGTCTACACCGCGATACGTGTACAACCTGGTGGTTGCTTGGTGGTGCTGCCAGCTGGGCGAGCTGCACTAGCGGTATTCCAGGGTAGGGGGAGTTGGGAAAATGTCGGTATCAAATGTGTTGTTGTCGGTGAGCAAAGTGCATCGACGATTCAGGTTCTGGGGGCAATGGAGTTGGGAACGAAACCTGAAGGACAGGTTGGGCGACACCAGTACGTATCCGAGTATCCCATTTGATACGGTCAAGTGAGTTGAGGCTGTCTACGACAACCCCCATCGGGCAAATGTGAAGTGCAGATCTTCAACTTCAGGGCTTGTATCTTCTTTCGGGAAACAGTAAACTCATCACTCACAACGCCACAAGGCTTTGATATGCTGAACGATATGCTGAACGGTAGCCATTGCGATTTGCGGCTCTCGGTGAGGTAGCCACTCGGAAACCAAATGTCCTTCAAAGCCTCATGGCGTTTTGCCTTAGCTGAAGCGGTCCGACGTGCAT